GACAGCGGAACGGCCTTCAGGTTGGAGACGGAGGATGCGGAAGAAGTGAAGACATATAGCCCAATATTCTCCGGAGGGCGATGCACGGGAGGCGGCGTGAGTTTCTTGGGGCCATACTGGCGGATCAATGCAGGGATCGTACTTCCCTCGAGAGCGAAGGCGCGGAGCGGGATATTATGAGCTAACAACAGAGATCAGAGGGAGCAGGGTCGAGAGGAGTTTGATCCATGGCGTACATCTTGCAATTTTCTGAACCCTTGCGTCCGTCTCCGGAACTACGACACATTGCGGCCCAATGTTTGTAAGCATCCCACTAATGAGCTCGTCCGGGGCATGATGGTCCAGAGGCGCCACTATGCCGCCGAGGAGCCACACAGAAAGTATCACCGCGAGGACATACGGATGGTTCTCGCTGAGTATGGCCACAGTAGGTGTCGGTCCATAGTCTCGTTCGAGTTCTTCCGCCAGAATGCAGCACACTGAGAGCATATCTTGATATGTAAGGCTATCGGGCCCACATTCCGCCATTGGTAGTAAGGCGCATTCCTCGGAGAGACATGTTTCGATCCAGGCATCCACGAGTGTCGCAGGCTTCTTCGACATCAAACCAGACCTGCGGAGGAGAGCGATCAACAGAGGGGAGGGATTCGGATAGCATCACAGCTGCACATACATAAGAGCGAGCGCGCTCATTCTCAGGACCGCGGCTAAGTTACATCTCGTCAGCCACAGACGAATGCGGGATCAAATTTGGAGACGAACTGATGAACGTTCTCGCCCCAGTCCATCGGTCTTGGCTCAGATTTACGAGTGGTCAGCAAACGTGACATGAAGTGATGCTAAGACCCCCTTAAGTAAACTGATTTTGTTCAGGGGCAGATTGATGAATGTCACGTCATGGTAGGTAGGTAGGTAGGTATATTTCCGGCGCGGTCCCAACAGCGGAACAACCGGTTGCCGCACCGCACGCCAGTACGTGCGGCTTGGCGCACACAGTGCATCCACGGTTCCCGTGAGCTGTATAACAGCCGGTCTGTGAAGGTTTTCCCCTCTCAGGCTCCTTCTGTACGCGACTGTCAGTGGTCACAACATTTTCTCGGGAGTCTTACGCGTTCAAAACAGCAATAAAAGGTTGATGAATGTTAAAGTGACTGCGATTAACCATGGATCAATAATCGACCGACATGAACGTTCTGCGGAATTGGATTACGTCAGCGGAATTCCTATTGCGATCGGGATTGAGCCAAGGCTGCCAACCTGTGATCCACTCTGACCGGAGGAGCCGCAAAGCGGTGCAAACCTCATACTTTCAGCAAGGTAAGCACCCTGAGTGGATCAGAGCCCCCTCCTTCCAAACCGCCTAATACAGCCTGTCTCACTGCTTGTAGATAATCCCCGAGCCGTCTACCAGGCTGACTCGTGAAGTCTTCATAGAGTTTATAACGCGAGTCCGCAACCGTGATCGCAAGCTGCAATGCGTGCTTGAGATTTCTGAAGCGTTGTTGGCAACTGAGCTACGAAGCGAGAGATCTGACGATTGATGTGCTCACGTTGGAATCTCGTGACGAGAATTGAACAATATCGCGTGGAGGCGGAGTATAAGATCAGGAACGTAGATTTGTCGGATACGGATGAGGTCGCGTCGCCGCCGGTCGCCTGTGTGACATCGCCATCAGATGAGGGGGAATATCGATGGACATGACGAACCTTGAGTATCAAGTACGTTTGATACCAGCCATTCCGTTGTTAGCAGCTTGAGGAACTGCTCTCTCGCTTGTTCAACGATCGCCTGTGAAAACTAGTCAATGTCGCCGCAGGAGAATATGCGATGCCCGTACTTTATAGTCACTCATCCACGTTGTCCTGAGATCGCGGCTCATTTGCCGGGGGTCGGAAGCTTCAAAGTCAGCCACTTTCTCCGATGCCTGCCATACAGAGAACAATTGTCGGTAGCAGTAATATTCGTCGGTGCATTCCTCCGGTTCCCTGATGGAGGCAAGCTCCGCGGGCAACGCTGTCAACAAAACGCGGGCAATCTGAATCTTGCCGGCCGCTGCGGAGCGTAGAAGAAGTGATCATGAGATGCAAAGCGCGAGCGATCGGAAGTTAACCTCAAAGGGTAGGAAGACGAACCTAAGAAGTACCGCAGTATTACGTTCGCTTGTTCCAGCGCGGTAGGATATGTGGAATCCAAAAACGTTGTCCACTCGATTGATCGCAGTAGCAATACCTCCTCTTGATTCGGATGTTCTGTCCTCTGAGAAACCTGCGGCAGCGCGCCTTTCGCGGGCGGCAGGGTCTTTAGTGCCCGGTCAATGGTCCGTTCCGCCGTAGCGATCGCTACTCGTTCGATATCGAGACCGTGTTCCCTAGCCCTTGTAAGCGCCAGCCGGCGCTCGTCGACGTCCACAGCAAGCTCCAGGGACGCAAGGAACTCGGCGTATCGCTCCACAGCGTTGTCTCCGAGAGCGCCGGCGTACATTGCGATGAGGTCGCGTTGACCAGCAGCCTATAGACTGACGTTCAGCAAGGAGCGTGGTATGATGTCAAGATACCGAACCTCAAGAACTCGGAGGTAAGACTCGAGGATCACTTGAGTCGCCATTGGGGGCGTCGGGATATCTATGAGTCGGAGGAAGAGCGCAAGGTGAGCAAAGAAACGGCTCAAAGACGGGAACCTGTTAGAAGTGTGAGCGAATGAGTCAAAAGATTCGTCGGCCCCAAGGAGCTTACTCCGGAGAAGATTGGTCGTGAGTGCCATCTTGGAGACCTTGCGCAAACCCTTCTAACAGGTCGTCCGTCCGGTCCAGGATGATATGCAGCTGTGATATATGCAATGCATGATCTGCTGGAGCCCTGCCCTCAGCGCCGTCAGAGGCGACCTTAAGACTGACGGGCAGGAGTGAGCTCGTACCCTTCCTGCACCGATACACTCCTCAAAGCATCCAACGTTTCTCGGACTTCTCGTTCCCACTCCTCTTGCTCCCGTTCTTCCTCATCCGCGTCAGGTTCCTGCAACCATACGGCAGAGTCTACCCATTCCAATCCTGCCTTGTTCGGATTCTCCCAGAAGCCTGCGCCCATCCAAACAACCGAGCGTCAGACGTGACGTGGGAGAAGGGGAAGGGCGCGAACGTACCTAAGCGCAGCATCTCTGCGCTCTGCTTCTCTTCGCACATGATGCTGACCTGCGCCCATAAATAATCTTCCCATGTTCGGCAGGCAATTTTAAGTATGTTGTATGTCTGGGGAGACGGGGCGAGCGCAGCATATAGTACGCGTTCTTGATCTGGAAGCGCAGTCTGGAGGGACAGTCAAACACCATCAAATGGCACAGGAGGGTGAACGCACGTTGAGGGCGGCCCGCGTACATGTAGACTTCCACAATCGCCGGCGTCTGTTCCCTTTCCAAGCGTCTGAAGCTTCACCGACGTCCATCGTATCATTCCTTCGTCCATTGTTGGCTGTGGAGTGTAATGGTCAATCCTCGTGTAAAAGGCATGATGCAACAACTCAGACATAGGGCATCCCAAGAGAACAGCAGAGAGCCTCGGATGGTTCCGGCTCTCCAGGGTTGATCCACGCGCCTACAAAGGTCGACGGCGTCCTCTAGTCTTCCTCCTCGCAAACAGGCGTACAAAGCCTGGGCAAGTGCTTTGTCGTAATTCTGCCCGCGCACCAGTGATTTAGGCATCTACGTTTACGGCAGGGTTCAATGTAGACGTACCGCATCCTCGCTCGCGACTTTCCTGTCTTTCTCCCTGTTCCCAGCGTCCGGGTCCATCTCCCTTACCAGCCCGTCCCCCGCCAGCCTCCGACCTGTCCTCAGATTCTGCATCACGCTCGCTTTAGTAAATTTCCAGTAACCGGTTGTGGCGCCCGGATCCGGAGGCGGTGGCGCGGTGTCTTGCAACCATTCTCTGACTTGAACGAGCTGAGAGAGGAGAGGCGAAGACGCCAGTATCGCCTGGGCAAGCGTGGAGGTTGGCGTGTACGGGTTAGTGCGAAGGAGTGCACGCGGGGAAGGCGCAGGAGTGTGTTCCGTTTTGCGCTCTCTACGGGACAGTGAGTGTGGTGAATGCACAATGAAAGAGCGAAGCTTACGCCATGAGCAACTGGAGCAATGCCCACGTATTGCTCTCTAGTCGCAGCATGGCAGGGTCGGTGTCTGCCATCCTATGCACGCTTGGGTTGAGTTCTAGGTCCTCTAGCCTAATGGTGGTTGAGTGTACAATCCAGTGACTATTCCAGTGAGACGAGGTTGCGTACTGTTCCTCGCATAACTTTTGCAGGCGCGGTGCAAAACCGGATTCAGGATCCAGTATTGCAGCAAGGTCATCTTTCATAGACTGGCATAATGCCAGCACTTGAGCACAGGACGCGTAAAACGCGTCGGTCATGATAAAGCAACGCTGTTCGCGTTCAGAGTGCAGGAGACGTGGATCCGGAGGTGAAGCTGTGAAGTCCCGCACGCCTTGTTCCACGCCACAACATCGACAACACCCACCGTTGATCGAACGCCAGTAATCTAGTACTGACGTACTGGCTGGGCACTCTTTCTTTCTCTACCTTGCTTTAAAGGATTCAAGAGCCATGCATGAACGTATCGACATCGGCACAAGTGCATCGGTAGCCTGAAAGACGAACTCCAACCCATGTTTGATGTCCGAAAGTGATGCTACCGTGTGTTCGCACAGTATGATCCGCAACGTGATGGTGGCGAACATGTCCGCCTGTCTTCGAGTTCGAGGTGTTCGAGTTCTCTGGGTGAAGGACAAACTCTCACCTGCGGAGCTTCAACATCCTGGCAACCCGAAGATCCACTAGCATTGTATTGAGCAGCCAACGTGCCTATACAATATTACGATAAACGGTAAATCCATTTGTCTTCAGTGCCTTGCAGCAACGGCAGGAATGCACTTTTATCCGCAGTGATGCGCGCAGGGAAGTTTATACAGCTTTTGGCAGTTGCAAGCTGTCAGGACATAAAGGTTCGGCATGCTTGCCCCGCACTTTTCCTCCTCGTTCCATCCAGTCAAACCAGGCATTGCGTAGGTCTTCTCCGTGAGCGAACATTTTTGAGATCGGCCTTTGCCTAATCATCCTTGTGTCCTAGGCGGAACATTCGCGGAGCCTCGTCCCTTTAATGTCCTCTTCTCTGAAGTATAAACTCGAAGATCAGAGTCACGACCATGACCATGGTCACGGCACACAGTCGGGGGGTGGAAAAGATGACACGACGCACTCTACCGTTGGCCAGACTAGCGCGGAAGGGACAGCTGGCGTAGGGGGGGCGGGAGCTCAAGGTGTTGACGATGGCGTCGCCGACGCTGGGGCATGGGGTGGAGATGCTGGTGGTGGAGATGCTGGTGGCGAATGAGTGTCGGTCGGCAGGTGTGAAGCTCGACTGCGACTCGGATCCATGGTACCTCCGTACACTTGTATGAGATTGTGTTGCTCTGTACGATGTTTTGTGAGTTATATTACGCTAGCGGTCGACTGGACAGCGCTTCAGCATCCATGAATATACCCTTTGCTGATACCGCGAATGCGCGCCTAACGTAGGCGCCTAAGCTAGCACAGCGCAAACTCTGATAAAGACGGAGTCATAGCGATGACCTAGTAGTGACTCCGCCAAGCCGGCGGCGATGTGCATGACGCCACCGATCGCGGCGTGCGCAGCGGCGAGATGGCCGCCGACAGACTAGATAGCCAAGGCTGCCCCATCCTCCCTGTCTCGCGTCTTTTGGCAGCGCGCATATATCCTTCAATTGTCGTCGTCGGCCTCGGCGTGGTTCACCCCGGCATAGAGCGCATCGCCTTTCGCTGCGACGACGAAGACATTGATCTCCCACGCCGGGTAGATCGCTTAAGGGCTGTTGCTATCGAGAACCGAGACCGGTGCACGGTGCACGACAACACGACAGTAGTGTTATCTTCCGCCTTGGTGCAAAACTATCACCATCATGTCTTTCTTCAAGAAAGTAGCAAGCGCGGTAGACAAGGTGGTCGACAAGACCGAGGATGGGCTGCATCACGCCAGGGAAACCGCTATCGGCGAGTAGTGTGATCATCTGCAGTTCCGGCGTTTCTGACAATATATCGCAGGCTACATAAACCCGAACAGTGAGATTGCTTAAGCTGTATGATTGAGAGACGCTGACCCTGCGCAGGACGTCATGACGATCCTGAGGAGAAAATGCAGGACGAAGTCCGTGCAGAGATCAACAAGAGCCATCGCTTTGAGAGCTTCGGTGAGTCTTTAGGCATCCTAACGCACGTGTCCCCGTCCTGAGTATTCACAATCTTCTGATTCAACAGCTAACCAGAGATCCGACAACATCATCAAATGGCACATTGACGGCCACGACTACATGTACGCGCTCTCGGAGATGCTGGACAGCGCCAAGGAAGCGATCTTCATCCTAGCGAGTACTCAGCTTTTTGTATTGCATCTCGATGACTGAGGATTATCAGGACTGGTGGCTTACCCCCGAGCTTTACCTTCGTCGTCCTCCTGCTGCTCATCCTGAATGGCGACTCGACCGAGTGCTGCAACGCAAGGCGGAAGAAGGCGTCAAGGTCTACGTAATTGTGTATAAAGAGGTCACTCAGACCATGTCCATGAGTTCGGCCCATACAAAGGTATGCCTCAGGTTGCCTGCTGCTTGTCATTCGAATTGCAACTGATCTGTCTCGAAGCACGCTCTCGAGGCTCTTCACCCCAACATTGCCTGTATGCGTCACCCCGACCACATTGGATCTAAGGACGACGTCGAATATTGGTCGCATCACGAGAAGCTCGTCGTAATCGATAACCACCGAGCCTGCGTTGGCGGTCTCGACCTCTGCTTCGGGCGTTGGGACACGCATAACCACCCTCTTGCCGATGCCCACCCGCTCGACTTCAGCAAGACCCTGTTCCCCGGACAAGATTACAACAACGCGCGAATCGTTGACTTCCAAGATGTCTCCAACTACCTCAATAACACCATCAGCGTGCTGGAGAGCGCTAGGATGCCATGGCATGATGTGCGTTATGTTCGTAGTCATTGTTGAATGTGGAGATGACGAAAATATATAGGTTCATATGACTCTGTTTGGTGATGTGGTCCTTGATCTGGTGCAACACTTTACCGAGCGATGGAACGAAGTCAAAAAGCGCAAGGTAAATTCTTTGAGTTTTGAGACCGTCTGATCACATTTGATCACATTCCAACTTCTGTACAGTACAGACACGATGAGTGAGCTTGCTATGCTACATCATTGACTGCTTCTGAGATTGTCTTAGGCGTTACGACTGGCTAGCCCTACCGCACAAGATTGAAGTCGCCCCCAACGAGGCTGTTGTTCGTCATCCGCACCGCGAGAAATGGCATCAGATGGGCAGGCAGTGGAAACAGCATTTCCACCTGTTCGAAGGGGAGGAAGTCGATGACGACTGCCCTCCGCCCAAGGGAACGTGCCGCGTACAAGCAGTGCGGAGCGTCAGTGACTGGAGTCATGGCGTGCTGACAGAACACAGTGTCCAGAATGCTTGTAAGTCAGCCCAGGCTCGAAGAAAGTTCGCTCTCTGATGAACGCGCAGACTGCCAACTTATTCGAGAGGCGAACCATTACATATACATTGGTAGGTTTCCTGCATCTTTCGCCATAGCTCATTCTGACATCAATTCACAGAGAATCAGTTCTTGTAAGTCTTTATGTCTTCTGCGCTCCGTCTTGGATCATGTTCTTGAACACCTATATTCATAGTATCTCCTCCACTCAAGACACCGGACCTATTAAGAACCAGATCGCCAAGGCGCTTACGGAGCGCATCATCCGCGCCGCGCAGGACGGTATCAAGTTTAAAGTTGTCGTCGTCATCCCCGAGGTGCCCGGATTTGCAGGCGATGTCAAGAACGAGAGTTCAGTCCAGATCATTATGGCAGGACAATACCGTACTATCAATCGGGGCGGCAACAGTATCTATGAGGAGATCCGTAAGGCGGGATTCGAGCCGTAAGTTTTACATGATCTATCTGCGTCGGGAACACGGACTAACCGTCGTTTTGTGGTTTGTAGTATGGATTACATCCGTTTCTATCATCTCCGGGCCTTTGACCGTATCCACGGACCGTACGAATCCCTGATCAAGAAGATGACCGACAACAGTGGTGTCAGCTTCCATGAAGCTATGGTTGCGCTGTCGCGGCAGTGGATCGGCGAGCAGATGGACGAGGGCCAAAAAGCCCCTACCGAAGTAACCGTCGTCCTCCCGCAGCCGACTTTGCAGGGGGTTGTCGTCACCGGCAAGCAGACGGAGGTGAAGAAGGAGACCGTGCGGATCCCACAGAGCGCCGAGGAAGCCAAGCAGATCATCGAGCGATTCGAACATGGCGCGGCGGACTTGCAGGAGGAACGAGAGGTGGCGGATAACGTGGTGCAGCACATGCTTGAGGACAGTACGAATCTCGACCAAGAGAAGTGGCTGGGCACGGAGGAAGAGGAGCTGCAAGCTTATGTCTCCGAGCTGCTCTACATTCACTCTAAGGTCATGATCGTGGACGATCGTCGAGTCATTGTAAGGCTACTGCCATGGCATCGCTGCGCTTCAGTAACTAAACGTTTGTTGCAGATGGGTTCTGCGAACATCAACGATCGCTCGCAAAAGGGAGATGGCGATTCAGAGATCGCGCTCGTCGTTGAGGACGATGACATGTTCGAGACCACCATGGACGGCAGACCGTACATGGCCGCCCGGTTCGCTGCCTCTCTTCGGCGGAAGCTATACAAAGGCATGTGTCTCAATGCCCAATTTTATGACCTTGGCTAATGGTAGCTACCCAGAGCATCTCGGTCTGATCAAGCCGCAATGGTGCGATCGCAACGAAGAGGTGACCAGCTTCATGCAACCTGCCCCCATTCCCAACGAGAATGAAATTGGCACGCCCGAGGACAACGCTGTCGCGGATCCGCTCTCCGAAGAAACTGATCGCCTATGGAACGAGACCGCGAAGACGAACCGCGAGATCTTCACGGAGATCTTCCGGCCCGTGCCCACGAACTTGATTAGGGACTGGAATGCGTATGCGGTAGGGTTGAATGCTACTCTGGTGTCTCGATCTCTGACTTGTCATCACAGAACTACGTTCCCAAAGTGAAGACCGGTCACGTCGCCCCTGGTATCCCACTGCAGCGCGTTAAGGAGCGCCTGTCCCAGGTCCGCGGAGCACTGGTCGAGATGCCTTTGGTATGCTGCGCGAATGCTCAGTGAGGCAGCACCCTGAGTTTCTGACCATCCTTTTATAGGACTTCTTGATTGACCAGAAGGACTTCACCGAGAACGCCACATGGTCAACATTCAACCCGACGCTGCCCGTGTACATTTGAAACAACTTCAAAGGGACATAATGTTATTGTACACGTATGCGGTGTTTTTTGTTACATTGGAAATGATAATTGTCGTCGAGGTATTTTTATGATGTACTTGTAATCCACGAATGTGACAAACGCGAGTCTAAAAGGAGGAAGAAACGAGCGTGAGGATGCGGGATATATGCTCCATGGAAATTAATCTATCTGCAGCTATGATGACGTCTATATGAAACCAATGTTCAAGAAATGTATGGATAGGAGAGTAGCTGGAGTCCATAAACCCTTTGGTGGGCAGGCCATTGCATAATAAGCCCATGGCGCAAGCTTTCACAAGCTGAAGATACCGGATTGACGTTTGCGGCTTGGCACTGGGTAAACAACGACGAGGGAGACACCCAAGCCGACTGCAAGGCCGATAGAGACGGAGATAAGCTGGAGGCCGGTCTGGAAACCCGAAAGGTATGAATTGCTGTTGCCCGAATTGGACTCGTTGGCAAACGTGAGCAGGCCGCCATTTCCCAGACCAGAGGGAAGTTGGAACAGAATGCCCGTGATCTTTACAAACGAAGATTAACTTCGTACTAACGTAGTGATCATGTGTGCTTACCATGATGGTGAACGCGTTCCAACGGAACAGTCGCCCAATCAGGTTGGCGATGAATCCAACAGCGAATGCACTGCAACAGCGTCTCAGCAAACAAATACGCGCAAGCCGCTGATTGGAACTCACCCGACAGCAGAGCTGACATCGGTCTGGTTCGGGAACTGCTTGCCCACGAAATGATTGGTCGCCCATCCAGCGCAGGAAATGAGTATCAGGAAAAGCTAGCGTCAGGCGGTGAGTAACGATTCGACGACCGTCAAGAGATGAAGGAGCTTACAAGTTCCTTCCTGTTGTATGGTGCCTGTTGCCGCATACTCAGGAATAAAGAGTACATGGGTACCGTAAGGAAAGCTGCACAACTTGGCCTAAGCGACCATCACCACACACAATACTGAGCAAATAGTGCTTACCCCACCACGTGGATGCCGTGCGTTGATACCAAGGCCCGTTCGCGTCGTGGGACTGAGCGCATGCATAATCTTCCGGGCCATAAACAGTCTGGCCCGTAATTTTCTCATAAATTTGAGCGCCGATCGCGAGACCAAAACCGAGGAACAGGGAGTAAATGAGCGCGTAGCACATTCGTACCGAGCCCGAGATAATGTTCCGCGAGGTCAACTCGAGGGCACCGGACAGAACGATGTAGCCCTGGTCAACAGGGTGAGCTGAGGCAAGACACAAATGCTGAAGCAGAACTCACAGGAAGGATGAGCACAACAGAGCTAGAGGCAACGGCGGAGTAGCAGAATACCCGTGAATTAGCCAACGCCGCCGACACGAAACTGAGCAAGGTTGCGATAGTAATCCTTTCGACAAACGATGAGCATTGAACTCGAGTCGAGGAGTTTTCGGACTTACTCAAAGACGTTGGAGTACAGTTCGTTCCTCGCCGAAAACAGCTGCACCGCGACCAAAAACGCACCCAATGGGAACGACACCAACGCGTCGATGAACGATCCCGAAAAGCTGACAGTGCAGATCGCAGACGAGCAAAACCCGCCGACCAAAACCAGCTGCCAGAAGTTGTAGTACGGCTTGCGGGTCATGATCTCGTCCAGCGCTGCGCTCGCCTCTCTGACCGACATTTCGTCGTGGATGACGTTGAAGTGGAGCTCATAAGCGTCTTGCAGCTTGCCAACGTCGAGCGCACTGCCCTGGCGAATCAGATTGACATTGGAAGTGCTCGTCGCAGTGTCGTCGAAGGAGATGAGTATCACGTCCGGCAGGTACATGCACGAGAGCGGGATCTCGAGCACGCGTCCGGTGGCTTGCACCTGAGCCTGCAGGCGGTTGGACGGCCCGCCGAACATCATCATCGCGCGCGCAAACTTGAGGATGAACTCTTGGCGCTGGATGATTTGCTCGACGTGGCGGGTGATCTGGACACAAGCTAGTCAGCAATCGGACCATAGCTCCGGACGACATTGATCGCTCACGAAAATCTCGGCCTTCTTTCGTTTACGCTTCCGCTCACGCCGCTCCTTATCTTCCCGCCTCTCTTCCTTCGTCTTCTCCTTCGACATAAAGTAGCTGTCGCTCTCCGCAACAGAGTACGGTGTCCCTGGCCCGCTTGGGGATGGCATCCCCGACCAAGCAGTGAAAGTCTTTGGCTTGGGTAGGTCCTTAAGGATGCCGGTCCACGGTGTCCGCCGCCCACCGCCTGGAGTAGGGGGCAGAGACTGTGACTCGGTCATTTTTTTGAATGGTGGCAAGGGTAGCTCGAGCTCCGACACCCCGGAGCTCGCCGTGAGCACTGCGTCGCGGACGGTGTCCGTCGTGGACGAGGGCGAGATGGACCGCGGACCGGGCGGTGGGATCAGACCCGGGGAGGTGTCGCCCATGAGCCCGTCCGAGCCGCCGAGTACAGGATGGCTCTGTGACCGCGAGAGCGTGTTGGTTCGGGTCATCATCGACGACGAGCTCTGCTGCCGCTGCTTCATCGGATCGCTGGCGTCGATGGAGTAGCGGGAAAGGTGGAAGCCGGAGCGTTTAATGTTCGGGGCGAGAGTACTGGGTACCGGCGCCGCGACACCGGAGATGTTGCCCGTGCTGGCGACGAGCGCGCCGAACACACCGGCAGCGTTGCGCTCTGGGGCTGGTCGTTCGCCTTTGAAAGCGTTGCGCATGACCGATGCGGAGGCGGAAAACGTGTGGGAAAGGCTATCGGGGAAGATCATGCTAGAAGGGCGGGAATTGGTGCGAGAGGGTGATCTGGAGTGGTCGCGAGAACTAGGGCGAGAACCTGAGACAGAGGGAGTCGAGGGCCCAGAGTCAGGGTGTTCGTAGAGTGTAAGGAGGGCGGACAACATTCCCATGCCGCCCATGCGGCGGCGAGGAGACGCAGCGTCAATTTGAGCGTCGCGTTCGACGTCAGGCTCCGGGGCGCTATCCGAGCGGCGATGCCGTCGTCGTATCCTTTGCTTCTCGGCCTCGCCGCTGGTAGTGGCTTCCGAGTCGTCGTGGGCGTGGTGTCCAAAGGCAAAGTGGGAGAAAAAGCCGCGCTTGTGGGCGCGAACGTACTTGTGCGCGGTAGTTTTGCTGTAGGCGTCGAGGTCCGTCCCGGGAAGGCCGGCACGCTCGTTGGGGTCGATGTAGTTTTCGCCGGGGACCTGCTCGGAGAGATCGGGATGCGGCGCTTCTGGATCCGGGGTAGACACTATGCTAGCCACCACTGAAAGAGGATGAGTCTCGGTGGCGTGTGTTGGTGGTGTCTCTCGATGGCGTTCGAGAGCTTCAGTCAAAGTTCGTAAAGCGTGAGGCTGAGGAGGGAGGGGCGGATCAGGTCAAGAGGGTTATTGAACGAGAGGGTGAAACAACTTACGTCGAGGCCGTGCTCGTCCAGCGCGTGGGTGGAACTAGCATGGCTTGCAGCGTCACCCCGAAGTTCGTGCGCCCACTGGACTTTGCGAGGTGTCTTCGTTCCGCCGTTGCTTCTGGCCGTGCCTCCGGGAGGTCTGTCGCCAGCCGAGCGATCTCCCGAGCCATTAGCCGAGGAATGAGTGCCCGTCGGCTGCGGGATGTCTGCGAGGTTTGACTCAGACATGGACGAAGATGAAAGACAAGGAGCAGAGGGAGGACGAGGACGTCTTGATCTGCGCGCGGGGCTCTTTGGGACGGTCGGCCACTGTTGTTGGAACTTGGCTATCCGCAGCACAGGCGCGCCTCGGTCACAAAGACATCTCGTCGGAACTGGGGATCATGTTTTTCAGGTGTTGCCGACCGCAAGCCGGATCCCTCGGCGGACGTATCCGGTGGAGATAAGTCACGTGCACGGTCGTTCTTAGTCGGCATCCAATCAGCGTGCCCCACCCCTGTTCCTTCGCTCGGCGCTCTCGATTCTCTCTCTGTGCCGTCTGCGTCCTTTCCATTGCCCAGACACAAAAACAGCAACAGAGGCGGCAAGATGCAGCCGTTCATGTATTCTGGCTTAGCAACGCTATCGCGATGGTCACCGATCGTCCGGGGGGCCGCGGCGACGCACGGTCCGGGCCTGGGATGGCCACGGCACAGCCACTCGTTCCTCTGCGCGCAGCGCACTCGTCGATCTCCGAGCCCGACGTCATTGCATTCCTAATTGCCGACACTTCCTAAACGATCGCTTAGATGTCTGCTTCCGGCGACATCCCGACGACAAGCGCGCCCCATTCCCGCCACAGAAAAGGTGAAGTGCTGAAGGAGGGTCGAAGGTGCAGAGGATCAGGGTGACACAAAGGTCCGATTCCTTGATGACCCTGCCGAACCTGACCTCATATTATTAGGAACCAGGCGGGTCCGTTGTTCTCACCGTCGACATAATCTCATGCGTTTTGATCGTGGTTCGGATTGCATATTACTGGCACGTAATTCGGAGCACGTATACCATGAGCTGCGATAAGTCCTTTGGCGAGCACTGTCGAGCCTTGCCCGCCGATTCATGCCAGACAGTTCGTCAACCCAGCAACTCGAAAGAGTCGTTAAAGGCGCAACAACGGCGTCTCCAAGGCCGGCGTTCCCGTGGAATCAACTCGGACGCGCGTCGGGAATCCCGCAGCTCCACAGATCTCCAAAACTTCACGAGAACACCGAACACGCAATGAATTCGGCGTCTAACGCGCCGCGTCTTCTTCTCTCGTCTTATCGGGCAGCTTTCCAGAGACATAGCTATGTATATCTTTCCGAGGTGCATCTAATTTGGTATATGCGCCACAACAGAACTGCAGGATTGATATGAGATCGAAACAAATCCGTTTCTGGAACCCGGGAAGCGTGCACATCAATATCATGCTTCCACCGGAGTTGCGCAACCTGTAGAGGAGTTTCCACCTGCACTTGGGGCGCTCAAGACAGGCGCGTGAACGTTATTACAACACAGAGACAGGGGGGACGCGCAGATATCGTATACTGTGGGCTTTGCGACAGACCGGCGAGCTAACCAGACGTTCTGCAGACCAATACGACACACAAGCAATGCTCGAAGATCGCCCGCTTCCTACATCGCGGCTATTTCCGAACTTCATCCCTGGATATCGACCGCGTGCGTCGTGTTTACGTCTTGGGTCGAGGTCGCCGTCAGCACGCGAGCCAGCTCCCACAACCCTCCGGTATTCTCCTCCCGTACTCAATCAATTGACTTAGACGCTCAGCGATGCCGCCAGTGGGCCGCCGTCATAATGCGTTCACCAAACCGCTCTACCAGCACCTACGGGCGGAACTCATCGTCTTGGCGCAGGCGTTGGACGTGTCATCGGATGGATCGGTCGTCGAGCTGAAGGAGCGTCTACAAAAGCTTCTGTTCGATAGGAGGGCCGAACTGATGACCCACCCGGACTATGAGCTCCTGTATACCAAGAGGCAGATTGAAGATTACCAGATACTTGACGGGCGTAGAACAGCAGATCGTGCAGCTCCGCGCCCTGGAGACGAGCTCGAGAATGGGCGACGCCAGCGCCAGAATTCTATATCTGGTGCAGTCCGCCCACCGCGGGCGAGTTCAAGTCGTGGCCCAGCGGTCCCCATACAGATCCCGTCGAACAATACGATATCGCCCCGACGCAACGATCGACAATCGCACGGGAGAGAAGATAGGGGTCAAAGGCAAGACCGCAGGCAACGTGGGCAGTCGATACCGCCTGTTCATGGTGTGTGCTGTCCTTCGCATATCTTGATGCGGTGTCAGGTCCCTTACATACCCTGAGCAGCTCGTGCAGTTGAAGAACCACGCCTGGAGCGTCCGCAAACATCTGGCGCTCGCGCTCAAGCTCCGGTGGCAGGGCCAAGCACGGAAGGACACACCGCACCTGCGCCAGTCGCGAATGCACGCCCTCCTCCGGTCTCGCCACCCGCGGCAAACAATCCAAACTCGTATTTCATCCCGCCAGACGTTCGCCAGCAGTTGCAGCGACGAGTCCATATCCAACTGCATCGGCTGACCGACGCTGCGTGTGCGCATCGCGAGCCAGCCTCGTCCCTCGCGTTGCTGCTAAAGAACAACTTGAAGGCAAGCACAGCGGCAGCTGAAATTTCGGGTTCCAAGAGCGAACTTCAGCTATCGTTCGTCGAGTGGTTCCAAGCCTGGCAGCGCCTGCTGCAGCTGGTGCGCCAGCACCTGCCGCAGCAGCTGGATGCGTGGCAAGCGCACTTCGCCCACATCAGGGACGCCCCAGGCGTCACCGGACACGACTGGCCTGTGTGGCGAGCGTATGACGCCGACGTCCGGAGGCGGGCTATGACCGAAGGAGCTAGTCCCCGCGCGGCGTTTGACAAAGGGGTATGGGACGCGTGCTTCGCTGGTTATGTCGCTGGGGTGGAAGAAGCGATGAGACTGCAGCAATCGGCGTTGCAAACCCCTGAGAGGGCGTCTACGCAGGAGGGGCAGGGTGTTCGGAGCCGTTCACAGGGATCCGGTCCATCTCGGCCGAAGAAGGGCAAGTGCAAGGGCAAGGGTAAGGGCAAGGGCAAGGGGATGCGTGATACGCAAAAGACAGTTCATCCCGTGCACGCTGGTGAATCAGGTAAAGATCCCGTTGCCCAAGCACTCAAGAAGGCCGAAAAGAAACTCAAGGCGGAAGCGAAGGCGAGAGGAAAAGCGATTGAGGACGCAAAGCAGCAGCAGGCCCCGCCGATTGGCAGTACCTCTACCCCGCCCGCAGGAGCAAAATCCACCAGTCGTCATGGTGGATCCAAGAAACAGAAAGGGAAACACCCGCAGCCTGCAAGCTCGGGTTGAACTACTGGCTTCGTGGGGGCGATTTCAATTGCCACAACACCGGGTCATCATATTCATGTCTAGGACACGCCACGTTCAGTCGGCGCTGGTTACTGCTGCTACTCCTGCCCCTCATATGATATCGATCATCGCCTCGTAACGTTCCGAAGGTGTCTCCAAAGGAGGTCAAACTTCCTCATCGATAGGAAGGAAGCCGCTACACTCCTTTGAATCAGTAACCGTGCTTACATGCTGGCGAGCGTGTGCATATTTATTGTCAAAACATGGTTCGCGGCTACAAGCAGCGCTCCTTGGGGAGGAAACGGGCCCACTCAGCGGTACCGGTGTTCGCTTGTCGGGTTTCCTCGCCAGGTTAGCCAGCAAATGGCTTCCTTGGGAATACTCTGCAACGCATATCGCATTGGACATCCCGAGGACTACCTGTACATACGTCCTCGACCTCTTGTGATTGCTCAGTCAACATCAGCCTCGTAGCATCAGTCTGCCAAGTAATACAATGCTGGGTAACGCGGGGAGCACATGATACGTGTTTGCTTGCCTCGGGGATATGACGAACACCTGCCAGAAGAACATCTGTGCAACCTTCACTAGGAGGCTGCGCGTCTCGGCGAGCGCACGTCATTGTTTGCCCAGGGCCAGGTCCAGCCCCGCTCTGAAATGAACGGGAGCTTATTCCCAATGCATGACGACAAAGAGACGATCTCGGTAACCCAGAACGCCCACAAGCCAAGAAGACGAGGATCTTGTGTCCGTGCCTGTGACAACATCATATATGCGGGAGGACAGGACTACATGTACTCTGGGGAATGGTGGCACACGACGTGAAAGGCTGAAGATTTGCGGGAGGCGACCAAGCGTCAGTCTGGGAACTTGGTACCGCAGCTCACTATGCGATCGTTGAGACACAGGCTTTCGAGGCGGATGAGCGTGAGCTGTTTCAACGACGTCCATGGAGTACGAGGCATTCGAATTCGAGGTAGGTTGACCGTGGCAGACCGTGAACACGTGTGACCCGCTATGTATGAATCGCACAAGGCTTTCCGGCGTTCATCTCGGCCTCTGATGCAGACACTGTCAGATAAGGTTAGCGTAACATCCTTCTGGGCAAAAACAGCAGAAACGAGACAGAGGAGCCACTCGCCAACTGTGAGGCCAACAAGGCAAGGGAGACCCGGTGAACGGGCGATGGTTCATGATGAGGATCCTATCCGCGCTGTATGGCCGCTGAGATGTTTGATCAGCCGTCAAATGCTACGGTACGATGGGCCGGTGACGTCGTTGGCGCTGTACACCAAAGCTACACTGAATTGAGAAGCTGGACTCTGAGTCAGAATCGTCGACATGACTGGACAATGGCCATCAGACGAGTCCTGCAAAGCTATCGCAGACAGGAAGAAGAACCAACGCAGGGTCAATGAGCGGGCATCTGACTCAGACCTGCCCTCTCACGCACGACGGACGATAATCGGCGCAGCCCGAGCTTATTCGCTGTAGAGAAGATACAGTTGTCACGACGAACGGAAGTGTCTGAATGCTTGCGATTCTATTATCAAGCCCTGAGACCTGCTGTGGTACTGGTGCGGGGATGAAACGCGCGGGAGTGGGCATGTCGCGGAGGTTGCCCAGGAGAGGGGTTGTTCATAGGAAGGTGAGAAGAAGACGCGGGCGAGGAGCATCTCACGGGCCGAGCGAGCCTGTTCCGGCCGCAAAATGAGGGCGACGAGGCACCCGAGGTCTGGTTTTGATAAGGCATAGGCAGGCGGTATAAGACGCTGCATCTGCGTTTACTCGGTTGCTCGGACTTGCGGGGGCGTTGTGGCGAGAGATATTGAAGCGCAAGGGAAGGCAGAGCCAGGAAATAGGGCGTCAAGTGGTGCCGAGTACGAGGAGCTCGCGGGTTCGTGTTTAGATAGGGTTTTAGTCAGTACTCAGGAGGGAGGCACGAGGCGAAGGACGATACTCAATTGTGGGGCACTCGGGTAGACTCGTAGAGGCGAATCATGCAGCGAGGGCCTGCGGGAGCGTACAATAGGCCGCGCGGCTTCCATAGCAGATCAGCGGCAGACGGAGAAGACGTATTCTTATCGCGACTGCTGCTCGGCAGCACGCCTCGTTGGCAGTGATATTTCGTACAAACGCAAGACGAATACCAGCTGCGTTGTCGGCGTGATAATCGAAGGCGCGGGCTGTGGATACATCGACGAGCACGTCGACAACGTGTTGGTTGGCGTCGCGGTCGGATTGGGTTGGTCGGAGAAGCGGCGGTCCGGCTCGCGGTCATCTCAACGGAGCGGACTCGGAACGTGCCAGGGCGAAGTCCCAGCTGGTCGGCCTTCTTTTCCCTCCTCCCCTCCATCCTGGCTGCACTCGCCCGCTTTTCGTCCTGGCGCTCGCTACCTTTCTCCTACAGCTCGTAGGGGACTACGCACAGAGTACGCGCCCGTCATATATCATCGCGTTACGAGCGACTCAAGGATCTCACACAGCTCTGTCTTCCCTCTTCCCCCCTGCATCCCTCCCCCACCCCGGGGACCGCAGTACGAGCATGCCCGGCGCCTACCCCGATGCCGCCGACATCGACGACACTTTTCTCAACTATCTGGTGAACCTCCTCGACGTGCACCACAATGTCCCGTTACACTCCAAAACACCGGTACCCAAGTGGAACGGGCCTGAGGACTTCCGGAGGGATACCATCCTCAAGGGCATCAATAGCATCGCGCAACGAATGCACCGATCTGAGGGGCAACTCGAAGAAATCGAGAACGCGCGCCAGTGCGGCCCGGACTCGAAGAAGCGACGCAGCATCGAGCAGGCCATAGAGGGTGAGAGCTTCCCCCAGCCTCACTCGACGCCGCTTTACGGCCCGATTGACGCTGCCCGTCAAGGTCAATCTCACTCCCCGTACTTCGCAACGAAGGAGTCGACCACCCCCGCGTCTAACAGACACCCTAACGGGATCAGCATCCAGAATGGCGTCGCTCGCAATGGCGAGAATGGTGTCCAGCACCGCGCCCTGGAGAACCGTGAGCATCCCCTCACTCCTCCCGCTTCCCCGGAGGAAGAACGATCACCGACCCCTCGTACAGGCCCGCGCCACATTCCGTTGGACGACCTCCCCCCTTTTGAGCAGTCGACTACCACAGACGCGGCGATGCAGACGCAGCCGTCAACGGCTGCAACCTCGCCGGAGAACTACATTTCCTGCCCTGCTTGTGGCCATAAGATGCCCCGCGCCCAAGCCCAGACCGTCGCGCAGCAGATGGCGGGCGACGCTGCCCAAGCCGTCTCCCCCTCGTCTGCGCTGGACCTCGTCGTTCCGGCCGGACCGTTGGCTACTGCTACTGTCTCTGGAGGCCCAGAGGCCGTAGCTGAGCTCAACGTGCTGAAGAGTCAGATTCAGGATATCGCCGAGGTGTGCGCCGCGGTCGCGAAAGGCGATCTCAAGAAGCGCATCACGGTCCAGGTCAACAGCGCAACGATGATACATCTCAAGGACTCCCTCAACGGCATGGTTCGTACGGTCGCGCATATATTCGGGCCATTGGTGCTTATCGCGTCTTCACAGGTCGATAAGCTCACCATATTCGCGGAAGAAATCACCCGGGTCAGCCATGAAGTCGGCACTGAAGGGTGCGTCTGCTTTCTCACGCTTTGACATTCGGTCGCCCGTTAAGGTAATGGCGATAGCAAACTCGGGGGGCAGGCACTGGTCACCGACGTCGACGGCACATGGCGGGAGCTCACCAACACGGTCAACAAACTCGCGGCAAACCTCACGAACCAAGTTCGGAGCATCGCAACGGTCACGACGGCGGTAGCCCATGGCGACTTGTCCAAGCAGATCGAAGTCGAAGCACAGGGCGAAATACTGGACTTGAAGAATACGGTCAACGGCATGGTTGTGCAATTACGGACGCTAGCGGGCGAAGTCACGCGGGTCACGCACGAAGTCGGCACTCTGGGCAAATTGGGCGGTTCTGCAGATATTCCTGATCTCAAGGGCGTTTGGTCAGACATGACACGCAGTGTGAGCATCATCACGAGTCTACTTATCTGGACCTTTCCTGACCAGCGATGATTGCAGGTGAATGCGATGTGCTCAAGTCTGACGGACCAAGTTCGGAGTATAGCAGACGTCACGACGGCCGTCGCTCAAGGCGACTTGATGCAAAAGATCGACATCCAGGCTCAAGGCGAGATCGCGGCACTCAAACAGACAGTCAACGGCATGGTGGATCAGCTTCGTTCGTTTGCGTCTGAGGTCACTCGAGTAGCGTTGGAGGTCGGCACGGAGGGTATCCTGGGTGGTCAGGCGAAGGTGCCGGGCGCACAGGGTACTTGGCGTTCTTTGACCCAGAACGTCAACGTGCGTTCTCCTCTTCCCTCGCATAACGGTGCTCAGACTGATCGTCGATGATGACCCTAGCGCATGGCCACCAATCTGACTGATCAGGTGCGGGAGATCTCGCGGGTGACCAAGGCCGTCGCCGAAGGCGACTTGACCCGCAAGGTTCACATCGACGTCAAGGGCGAAATGCTCGAGTTGAAGGCGACTGTGAACCGCATGGTGGACCAACTGTCCGTTTTCGCTTCAGAAGTTACGAGGGTCGCGCTCGAGGTCGGCACGCAAGGCGTTCTCGGCGGGCAAGCACGAGTCGACGACGTCAAAGGCACATGGGCTGAGCTCACGGGCAATGTCAACGTAAGCGCTGCTTCCTCTCTCAAGGGCACGCCAAGCTAAGACGCGCTTGATGGCAGAATATGGCTTCCAACCTGACCAACCAAGTGCGAGAGATCTCCAACGTAACGAAGGCCGTCGCGCAAGGCAATCTCTCGCGCAAGGTGCATATCGACGCGCGAGGCGAAATGCTGGAGTTGAAGGTCACTGTCAATCGCATGGTGGATCAGTTGTCCATGTTCGCCTCGGAAATCACTCGAGTGGCTTTCGAGGTTGGTACAGATGGTATACTTGGAGGCCAAGCACAAGTCGATGGCGTCCAAGGCACATGGGCTACGCTCACTGACAACGTCAACGTACGGCATTTATCCAATTTGTTTTGCAGTTGGGTACTGATCCCTCCTTCAGAATATGGCTGCCAATCTGACGAACCAAGTACGAGAAATATCGGAGGTGACCAAGGCGGTAGCCGAGGGTCAGTTCACACAGAAGGTTCACGTCGACGTCCGCGGCGAGATGTTGGAACTGAAGGAGACGGTCAATCGTATGGTCGACCAACTCTCGATCTTTGCCTCCGAGGTGACCAGGGTAGCCCTGGAAGTCGGTACCGAGGGTATACTCGGTGGGCAAGCAGAAGTCATCGGAGTAAGCGGCATGTGGGCTCAATTGACGGACAACGTGAACGTGAGTGTGCTGCGTGCCGCATGTTTTCTTCTACTTGTGCTGACTCTCTAATCACCGCAGAGCATGGCTGCCAATCTGACCAGTCAAGTGCGAGAGATCTCCGAGGTGACGAAATCAGTCGCCGAAGGAGACCTTACCCGCAAAGTAGAGGTCAACGTTAAGGGTGAAATGGCGGCGCTCAAGAATACGGTCAACCAGATGGTGGACCAACTGTCGACGTTCGCCTCAGAAGTCACGCGTGTCGCCCAAGAAGTCGGAACCGAAGGCATGCTCGGTGGTCAGGCCAAGGTCGTCGGAGTTCAAGGAACATGGGCCGGTTTGACCGATAACGTCAACGTATGTGAAATCCGCGTCTATCACTGTGTATGCGACTGACGACGTTCCTCCGTAGAACATGGCTACCAACCTGACGAACCAAGTGCGCGCCATCTACGACGTCACCAAGGCTGTCGCGGAAGGCGATCTCACCAAGAAAGTTCACGTAAACGTTAACGGGGAGATGTTGAGCCTCAAGAATACTGTCAATCTCATGGTGGACCAACTGTCGGTCTTTGCTTCCGAGGTTACGCGTGTCGCACTGGAGGTCGGTACTCAGGGTATTTTGGGCGGTCAGGCGGAAGTCCCCGGTGTGCAAGGCACTTGGGCCAAGCTCACGGACAACGTCAACGTGCGTAACTTTCCGGTATTGATCCGGTTGTTAACCTTGCTGAGCCGCGTGGTGTATACAGAACATGGCCGCCAACTTGACGAACCAAGTGCGCGAGATCTCGGATGTCACTAAGGCTGTCGCGTCAGGCGACCTCACCAAGATGGTTGAAGTCGACGTCATGGGCGAGATGCTGGACCTGAAATTGACGGTGAACCGCATGGTGGCCCAGCTCGGAACCTTCGCGTCGGAAGTGACACGAGTCGCCGCTGAAGTCGGAACGAAGGGCATCTTGGGCGGTCAGGCTCAGGTCGATGGTGTTCAAGGCGTTTGGGCAGGGCTCACCGACAGCGTCAACGTAAGTCTCTGTGCCTTACCTTAAAGTACGGGATGCTGACCGTCATGCAGAACATGGCAGCCAATCTCACCTCGCAAGTGCGAGAGATCTCCACGGTCACGAAAGCCGTTGCGCAGGGCGACTTGACTCAGAAAGTCCGCGTAGATGCCCAGGGCGAAATTCTTGAGCTGAAGTATACTGTCAACTCCATGGTGGACCAGCTTCAAGAGTTCGCGCGCGAGGTCACGCGTGTAGCACAAGAAGTCGGTACCGAGGGTATGCTTGGTGGCCAAGCTCGCGTTGCCGGCGTACAAGGAACATGGGCTGGTCTGACCGGTAGTGTGAACGTCCGTTGATTTTTTCTGTTTCACCTTCACATCCTCTAGTCTGACATGCTTCACAGGACATGGCAACCAACTTGACGAACCAAGTGCGCGAGATCTCAGAGGTCACCAAGGCGGTCGCACAAGGCGACCTTACTCGAAAGATCACTGTGAACGTCAAGGGTGAGATATTGGAGCTCAAGCTGACCGTTAATTCCATGGTGGATCAACTCTCGACATTTGCTGCTGAGGTCACACGGGTCGCTCTCGAGGTCGGCACGGAAGGTATGCTTGGAGGTCAGGCTCGAGTTTTCGGAGCGATGGGCATCTGGGCTGGGTTAACCGAGAGTGTGAACGTGAGTATGCCCGCGGTCCGCAAGGCTTGCTCTGATGAGTGTCGCAGAACATGGCCACAAACTTGACCAACCAAGTAAGAGAGATCTCCAACGTGACGAAAGCCGTCGCCCAAGGCAAGCTCGACCAGAAGGTCACTGTCAACGTGAAGGGCGAGATCTTGGAACTGAAGGTAACCGTCAACTCCATGGTGGATCAACTATCAACGTTCGCGTCGGAGGTCACCCGCGTCGCCCAAGAAGTAGGCACGGAAGGCATCCTCGGAGGACAGGCGGAAGTCATGGGTGCTTTGGGTATCTGGGCCGCGCTGACGGATAACGTGAACGTGCGTATCTCTGTATTGCCCATCACGTCGGACTAACGGATCTCACCAGAACATGGCCATGAACCTCACGAATCAAGTGCGAGAGATATCAGACGTGACGAAGGCCGTAGCCAGGGGAGACCTCACCCGCAAAGTCACGGTCAACGTCAAGGGTGAAATACTCGAACTCAAGCTCACCGTCAACTCCATGGTGGATCAGCTGTCAACATTCGCCTCCGAAGTCACACGAGTTGCCCAAGAGGTCGGCACAGAGGGTATACTCGGCGGTCAGGCCAAAGTCATTGGCGTCCAAGGCACCTGGGAGCAGCTGACGAATAATGTCAATGTAAGCGACCCTGCCTACTCCTGACGTGAAACAACGGTACTGACTGTCCACAGAATATGGCCTCCAACCTGACGAACCAAGTCCGAGAGATATCCAAAGTCACCAAGGCTGTGGCAAACGGCGACCTCACGCGTAAAGTCCGAGTGGACGTCAAGGGGGAGATGCTAGAACTCAAAATGACGGTCAACTCCATGGTGGATCAACTATCGCTGCTGGCGCGGGAGGTTACCCGAGTTTCGCTCGAAGTGGGAACTGAGGGAAGACTGGGAGGTCAAGCTCAAGTTCCTGGAGTTGAAGGCACATGGAAGGCGGGTATACATTTATCGACCCTGTGTAATTGATTGCTCATATATCTTGATAGACTCTAACCGATCACGTCAACACGATGGCGCATAATCTGACGACACAAGTGCGCGAGATTTCCACCGTCACGAAAGCCGTAGCGCAGGGAGATCTTAGTCGGAAGATTAATATCAATGCGCGGGGAGAGATTCTAGAGCTGAAAGAGACCATCAATGAGATGACCAGTAGTCTCAGTGTCTTCGCTAACGAGGTGACTCGAGTCGCGCGAGAAGTCGGCACAGAAGGCCGTCTTGGTGGGCAGGCGAACGTTGTCGGCGTTTCGGGAACCTGGAAGGTGCGGCCTGACAGCAGTGGATGCCGGAACATGGCTTACGTTTCACTTTCAGGATCTGACGGATTGTGTCAATGTGATGGCAAACAATGTAGGACCACTGATACATGTGACGAATATCGGGTTACTCACGAGCCTTGCATTATCTATAGCTCACATCACAAGTCCGGACTATTGCCGATGCTACAGTACGTTCCATAAAAATTGTCATAAAGCCGAGTGCTAACTTTCCCCTCAGACCGCAGTAGCTCGAGGTGATCTTAGTAAAAAGATCTCCGGCGTCGTGGTGTCGGGAGAGATGTTGGCCCTGGTCGTCACCATCAACAACATGATTGAGGGCTTGAACGAATTCGCTACGCAAGTCAAGATGGTCGCACAACAGGTTGGCACACATGGCAAGCTAGGCGTGCAGGCCGAAGTCGGCAGCGTGGAGGGTATATGGCGTGAAATTACGTGCGTTCTTGAACTCGCTGAGGTTCAACAGTATGTTCATTGTTTTCTGTTCTTAGCGTTTCAGTCAACACTATGGCGAACAACCTGACATCACAAGTGCGAGGTTTCGCTCATATCTCGCAGGCGGCCATGGACGGCGATTTCTCGCGTTTCATTACTGTCGAAGCCAGCGGAGAGATGGACTCTTTGAAGAGTCAGATCAATCAAATGGTCTTCAGTTTGCGCGACAGTATACAACGCAACACATCAGCCCGAGAAGCCGCAGAGCTGGCCAACCGGTCCAAATCAGAGTTCCTTGCCAACATGTCGCACGAGATTCGGTGAGTCTGTGAGCCTCTTTCCCCTCAGAGCGATGCTGATATTGATTAGAACTCCCATGAACGGTATTATCGGCATGACTGAGCTAACTCTCGAAACCGAAGGGCTCAGCAATCAGCAGCGTGAAAACATGATGCTTGTCAGCAACCTTGCTCGCGGGCTTCTGTTGATCATCGATGATATCCTCGATATCTCGAAGAGTGAGTCTCATTGCTGTACGCAGTAAGTCCTTATTGCTGATATCCTGCGAAGTCGAGGCTGGGCGGATGACGATCGAAGCTGTCACGTACTCGTTCCGGCAGACTCTGTTTGGCATCCTCAAAACCCTTGTTGTGCGAGCGTCACAAAACAACATCGACCTCACCTACGACGTCGATCCTGCCATCCCTGACCATCTAGTTGGCGACGCACTTCGACTTCGACAAGTAATCACCAACCTAGTTGGCAATGCAATCAAGTTCACTCCGAACAACGATTCGCGGATGACTCGGGGCCAAGTCGCGCTCATCTGCAGATTGATCGCTTCCGACGGTAATCATGTCTCACTGGAGGTCTGCATATCAGACACCGGCATCGGAATCGCCCAAGACAAACTCGACGTCATCTTCGACACTTTCTCGCAGGCTGATGGTTCGACCACTCGTGTAGGTTTCCATGAATTTATATGCATTCACCAACTCATATCATAGCGTACATAGGAATTCGGTGGCACCGGGCTTGGTCTCTCCATCTCGAAGCGGCTGGTGAACTTGATGCACGGGAACATGTGGGTGGAAAGCGAGCTTGGCAAAGGCAGCCGATTCTTCTTCACTATATGCTGCCCTATACACGAGGGCCCTGTGGAGGAGATGAGTCGCATCCTCATGGCCGGCTCTCGCACTATTCTCTTCATCAACGCCCTTGGACCGGACCCGGACGTAGTTAGTCAGGTCGAACAACTGGGCCTCCGGACTCTCGTATGCCCGTCAACGAAGATGCTGAAGAACAAGGATGAAACCCCCAAGATCGATGCTGTGATCACGGATTCCGCCGTGGCTGTGAGTGTCGCCTTGGTTGTTAGCGGCAAGTGTTGACAACCTGACGCAGACGAACGAACTTCGACGCCTGGAGCACCTGCGATATATCCCGGCCGTACTGCTTACAAACCCGACTACGCCTCTGAACAGTATGCCCCTCCGACTTCACCTAGAGCATCGCTGATTCTTCTCCCCCAACAGTGAAATGGTGCTTGGACAACAGTGTGGCGGCGCATACGACAAAGCCAACGTGTCCGGAGGATTTGGCCTCAGCCCTCCATGCGGCCTTCGGCATGAGTGCGGTCACGGATTTATCTGCTGATAGCGAGATTGCATACGACATTCTCCTCGCGGAAGACAACGCAGTCAATATCAAGATTGCGCAAAGGTTCCTCGAGAAACTTGGACACAAGGCGGATGCTGCTGAGAACGGCAGCATCGCGTACGAGAAGTTCAAGGATCGGCTACTCTCCAACCATCCATACGACATCGTTCTGGTAAGCGACTTTCCCTTCTGCCTAAGCATCTGCTGACCTGTGCCTCGCTTCAGATGGATCTGCAAATGCCCGTATTGGGTGGCATCGAGGCGACCAAACTGATCCGCAAATTTGAACAAGAGCTGAATGTTGTACGCACACCCATCGTCGCTCTCACCGCTCATGCGATGGTCGGTGATCGCGAGCGTTGCCTAAGGGCCGGTATGGACGAGCATGTGACAAGTGGGTTCTCCGATACTCGCTCGTTGATGCGGATATTGACGAATGCATGTGCAGAACCGTTGAAGCAGCAAGAATTGCAGGTGGCTTTGCGACTTGCTCGCGAACGTGCGCTTGCTCGATTAGGCAAGATCAAAAAGGCAAAGAAAGCTGCTGCCGATGCCGCAGAGTCCAGAGCTCATCCGTAATGCGCCTCTTCACGCTCCCCCGCTTGATGCATTGGATGCTTGTCTTCACTGTATTCACCATCTCATTATCCCGTCGTCGCACTTACACTCATCATCATCTCATGTCTTGTTTATCTGCATTTTGTATCATAGGCAACATGTTTATACCCTGAATCCCGAATAATGTTTACTGTACTGCACTGCGGTGTACATTTCTACTCTTACCTTTCGATGCAGCTGACTGCTGCAGCAATACACGTAGTTACATGTACAGCGAGAATATGTGACTTCATAGCCGACTTCCAGCTCAGCGCTCCGGTCATGTGACTAACCCTAGCCCTAACCTATTAGGCAGCTACGGTGGCTGTCCGCTAATTAGTGGAGGGTCTTATTGGTCAAAACCCATATGGTTGACGCGTTACTGTAACGTCCAAGCTCGATTTGAGTCTTTTGGCCCACACCACCGTCATGTGTGGATCTCCAACTATGACGGGCCGGTAGGGACCCCTCTATATCATTTGTGTACACTCATCAATTATTAGCGAAACAAACGTACAGGTCCACACGGCCGACCGCGGCCGGCACAAGCGGCTGAGCTCAAGATCGAAGAATCGGACTCGAGGCTGCCTCGCACGAGTTATCACTGGTCGTACTCTTGTTAATCGGCGTTGCTATCGGTGCCCCAGCAGACAACCCCGAGGATATTGACGATGCCTGACCCTGTCGGAACTCCCCCGTCTCCGCGGCAGTGGCAGAAATCTGCGGTATGTGGTTTGTTTGACTGGGCGATTCCTGATTTCGAGTCGATATTTCTCTGAGATGACTTTCTTACACAGGTCGTATATCAGATCTACCCCGTCTCTTTCTTTGACTCGAACGGCGATGGGCTAGGAGACCTGAAAGGCATAGAAGGCAAACTCGATTATCTCAAAGAGCTCGGCGCAGATGTCCTGTGGCTCTCTCCCATTTACCCGAGCCCCCTCGCGGACATGGGCTACGATATGTATGTCGATATGTACATTGTACCGATACGATCACGATCCTAAACGGTTGCCAGCTCTGACTACAAGAACATTGACCCGAGGTACGGTACTCTGCAAGACTGGGACCGGTTGGTTGAGGGTGTCCATGCGCGTGACATGAAACTGGTGTAAATACTTGTCTTCCGAGATGCTCGCCGCAATGCTGATGCTTTCATGACAGCATGGATCTCGTCGTCAATCACACGTCGGATGAGGTGGGCAGATAATATCATCATTGGCGCAAGGTTCAGCCGGCCTCATCGAAATCAGCATGCCTGGTTCAAAGAATCACGCTCGAGCAAGATCAATCCCAAACGCGACTGGTACATATGGCGGCCGCCGAAGTACGACAAGGATGGCAATCGCATGGAACCTAACAATTGGCGTTCTGTCTTCCAAGGTGTGTATATGCGTCCACATATGCTGTACGAGTTCCTATTCCATGACCTGGTGCCGTTATTCAGCTTCCAGCTGAGTCTGATGTCGAACTTGTGGTTCACCTCTCTTTCACAGGATCCGCTTGGCAATGGGATGAAAATACCGAGGAGTACTACCTACATCTCTACGTCCCAGGCCAACCCGATTTGAACTGGGAAAACCCAGAGGTGGCTCAGTAGTTCCGTTGTGTTCACAACTCGCTGACTCCCTTGTTTCTTCTGGGCTACAGGTGCGCAATGCAGTGTGGAGCGTGCTTCGCTTTTGGCTTGACCGAGGCTGCGACGGCTTCAGAGTGAGTACTTCCTTGCCTACATAGGGCAGCAATTGAACACGTTCCCCTACAAAATGCAGATGGATGTCATAAACCTGATATCAAAGGTTCCGGGACTGCCAGACGCGCCCATTACTGACTTAGAGGGCAAGTATCAAGTTGCAAGCATGTTTTACGCGAACGGGTGCGCGCTTGGATTCACTCGAACCTAATTGCACTTCTGACCCAGCACCCCGTTGTACAGCCCTCGTGTTCACGAGTTTCTTCAGGAGATGCGTCAGAAAGTGCTATCATGTACGTGTTTGCTACGTGTCAAACTCCGACTGTCGTGACAGGGGTTGTACTCATTGCGTGTGGACAGCTTATGATACCTTTACGGTCGGCGAAGCACCGTTCTCTTATTCCGCAGACGATTTAGCTGCATATGTACTACCGCCAAACCGTGAACTCAACATGGTGTTTCAGTTTGAGCACATGGGCCTCGACGAGGTATCGGGCCAGGACCCGCTTGTTCCCGCGAAGTGGACGCTTGCCGACCTTAAACGAGTCACGGAGAAATGGCAGACGTTCAAACGCGACGAGGGGTATTGGAACTCGTCCGTTCCGTTCATTCCTTCCCGCTACATCAGCTCACGGAGTTCGGTAGAATTTATATACAAAACCATGATCAAGCCCGCGCTGTGTCGAGGTTTGGGAACGATTCACCAAAATGGCGTGCAGTGTCTGCGAAGTTGCTGTGCATGTTCAATGCGTCGCTATCGGGGACGTTGTTCGTATATCAGGGCGAGGAGATAGGGATGAAGAACTTCCCTCGGAGCTGGGGGATTGAAGAGTACAAGGACGTCGCAAGTCAGAACTACTATCAGAAGTAGGTCGAAGTTTCTGGGTCTGATCGTCTTTTGCTGATGGGAACTAGAATTCTCGACCAGAGACGCAAGAAGGCCGGCCCTGGTGTAGAGATCGATATGTCAGATGTTGTCGATGGCTTGCAGAAGAAAGCCCGTGATCATGCTAGGACACCTGTTCAGGTATATTTGTTGCTATCATCGACCTGGAGGAGTATTAATCACTATATGGCACGAAAGTGGGACTCGAGTCCGAATGCCGGGTTCACCACCGGCACACCTTGGATGCGAACGAATGATGATGAAGGCGAGAGAGCGTGGACAATCGCTGCTCAACTCCAGGACCCGGACAGCGTCCTCAGTTTCTACCGCCAAGCGTTGAAAGTCAGGAAAGAGCACGATGTTCTGGTAAGCAAAGCCGGCCCATTACTCCGCTGCTCGCCTATGAGCCGGATGAAATTGACGATCTGCGCAGATATACGGGGACTTCAAACAGTTTGCCCCCGAACATCCTCAGATATTTGCATACACCCGCTCGCTGGGCGATGCCGTCAAAGCACTAATCCTGCTGAACTTTGGAGAGAATGAGGCCGATATTGCAATACCTCAGGACGTGGAAAATCGGTTCTTGGGCAACTCACGACTCGTCCTTACAAATTATGCATCAGAGGAGGAAGCCAAGGTTGATAGCTCAGTAACGCTGAAAGGTTACGAAGGCAGGATCTATGTTACGTACACATGAGATCGATTGCTCTGCTTCCGGATCCTCCACCGGGAATGATGTACGTAGGCAGGCACTCTTGCTATAAATGGGCTAACGTGACTTGGGTGTTTTCGATACGGAACGACACAACTGCAATGATACAGAACGTTATCCAGATTGTAATGCTAACGAATGACGTGATGACTACAGAAAATATTGTCAATGGGGCAAGAAAGGTCCAGTGCTGGTCGAAGAGTGGGGCAAGTGTTCGTGAAGGGCAAATGGCAACATTGCAGTTCATCATGGGTTACCCCTCACGAACTGGCTCAAACGATTGAGCGGGCTCGCCATAGAGCGCTTTCTGGTGCTCCGCCTTCGCAGCTTGGCGCTCTCTCCGCTGATGCTAGCTGCCTCAACGTCAGAGATGCGAAGGGGATCTTCGCCTTCCTCGAGACCAAGGGCCTCCATTTCGAAAAGGAAGTCCCCCTCCTTCCATTTCTCCGACCACTCATGGGCGCGTACAATCTTCCAACCCAAGTATGCCTGGCAGCTTCGGCAGGTGGTTTCAGATATTGTATACGCGCCCGTGTACATGAGCTGAACAGAGGGTGGTGCCATCGCAACGTTGAATCTGAACAGCGACGGCGTCAGTCACGCTGATACACGGGCACTGCGTCGTAGGTGCATTGGGGATACAGAGAGAGGGACATGAATCATCTCTTTTACTCACACATCTACATTATTGAATAGGGATGCTTTGCCACGATACCCCGAGAATTTCTAGCACAAACCACAATTAGTCGAAGAATTCCTTGAGAAGAGCTGTGCTACTCACTTCCGAGAGGACAGACTCAGGGTAGGAAATTAGGGCCTGGCAGGCCTTGCACACAAATCGCTTCCGTTGACCGCTTCGGCTGTTCCTGCTCGACGAGGTGCTGATGACAGAGCCCGTATCTGAGCCCGCTGTGCTGGTCTCGCTCCCTTGCCGATTACGCCATAGGCGTTTCGGCGGAGGCAGGAAGTTGGGCAACGGAGGTAGTCCTTGGTCTAGGCCGGCAGCCGTGAGGAACGATTGACTGTCATTGCCGGAGGGAGGAGATGCGAGCAGGTTCGGTGTGCTGCCGCTGGAGGCAGTAGAGTACGTTCGTAGATTTGGCGTAGAACGTCCAGCGTGGCGAAGCATGGCGTGAAAGTCAGTTGAACGGAAAGCGATCCACGCGTATATATGTACTCGAGACGTAAATGAAAGCGACTGGCGCGGAAGAGCGAAGGAGGAAAACGAGGCCCAGCCACGGGCGCAGGGGTTTGCAGCATCGCAGCTCATATAGCCCCACTCTGCCGCCCCGCGTCTTCGCGTGAGCGATTTTGGGGTGGCGACCCATTCGACATCGGTGAAAGCGCTGACGTTGCCTAGGCGGTAGGCGACGCCTCGATCCGGTCCTGGGTAAAGAAGCTCCGGTCGCTGCGAAGTGGCAAGCCAGGGGGGATATCGGGAGCAGCAAGCCATACATAGTTCGTGATGGGTGCTGCGCGGGCCGACATCACTACGGCAGTCCACCGTCATGGGCACTGGCGACTCCGAAGGGGCAAGATTCATCGCACGGAAGGGCGTGGCATCGAATAGGATTCCGATGGCAGGCAACGGCGGCGCTAAATGCTGCATTGACATTATTGCATGGCGGCAGCAACCAAATGAGGCGCAAGTCCGATTCTCATCGACTCATCGGTTAAGAACGGTGAGGTGGTGGAGGTGACTAGGGCCGGACGCGGTGCACCGTGCGCTAACGACCGGAATCAACGCCACGTCCATCAAAAAGCGCCCACGGCCTGCGTGTGGCTGAATACCGTCGAGGGTACCTGTGTGAGCGAGCAACGTCCGTGCCACTGTGCTCGTGAGTGGCATCCGAACTTACGTGTCGTAAAACATAGGTTCCCGGTGACGAGCGCCTAGTGTAGATGCACATGCTGGTAGAACAACCTGCGCTAAATTCTCAAGCACACCAGGCTGATGGTGAGCGAGGCGCTCGCTACAATCACCAAAAACAACTGCGCCACAGCCCGGTTGCATTGATACCCAGCCCCAGGAGGCGGTCAACTATGCGATCCGCAGATCAATATTACGCAGCTCTAATTTAAGGATCTCCATGAGAGATTTCGAACGATATACTCGTATCGGGTTTGATCGCACTGTATCGCAGACGAAGATAGCATTGTAACCTATTGAGTACTACAGCCATCATGAAGACAAACCAAAGCACAGGAGTGGACGGAGGCACACAAAACAAGAAATTGCCTGACTAGAACGATCAAGAGATAGGTCTTCGTGTAACATGACCGGGTCATATTTAGTTCAGTTTGGACTTAACTTTACCGAGGGGAGTCTTCGCCATGACACCGAGCACCTCGAAGAGAACCTAGCGGGGAATAATGAGTCTCTCAATCGCCAAGCTTAAGAATAGCACTGAGAGACTTACATCGGCCGCAGCCATAGTCGTGAGCTCGGCGTTGGTGTCATAAGCGGGCGCCACCTCGACGATATCGGCAGAGACAATGAATAGCCCGTCGAGCCCGCGAAGGATAGCGCGAAGCTCGCGGGTAGTCCAACCACCCGTCTCCGGGGTGCCCGTGGCAGGGGCAAAGGCAGGATCGATAGAGTCGATCTTTGTTATCAACAATGAGCTTCATGCACATTGGTCGAAGGGAAAAAAATACTTACATCGATGGAGAGGTAGACCGGGCGATCGCCAACGGTCTCGCGGATCTTTTTCACTATGCCATTAACACCTGGGGGAGATGTTGGTGGATGCTGATAAGATCCCTGACTAAACGACGCTTACCGAGTGTATCGATCTCGCGGGCTTCGATGCGCTGGAAGCCCGCGTTGTCATCGTTGACGTAGTCCGAGGGACCGCTGAGCGTCGTTCGGATGGCACCGTGCTATCAGAAAAGAGGAAACTAGGATCAAGAGTTCGAGAGGTCAACCAAGCGGGGACACAAGGTGCGTAGCATCGGACGGGTCGCGAATCGAATAAGGGACGGAGGAGCAAAGCAGACGAAGAACATAGACACTTGCAATTGAGCTTCCGTTCTTGATGAGGCCCTCTTGGCTGGCCCAGTAGAAGTAGGTACCGTGGTTGATCTCAGCCTGATGCGATGGGGCACCGCCAAACACGGACGGCTTCCAGGTGTCCAAGTGGGAGTCGAAGTGAATAACCGAGATCTCGCCGTACGCAGAGTAAATGCTGCGCAAGATTGGGAGGACTGTAGGAAAGGTTACAAGCAGCCTGTGTTGGCCGATATTTGCGGCATACCGATGGTGTGGTCACCGCCAAGAGTTATGAGGCGCGGGTGGTGCTTGCCATCCTTTGAGATCGGAAGCAGTGACTCTCCGGTAACGGAGTCGTTGCCAAGCGGGGAGTATGCCGGACGGTGCAAGAGCTCCTTGTGGCCATCCTCAATCTGCTGGATGGCGTGCTTGTTGTCGTACGGGGTGACCGCGATGTCTCCACAGTCAACGATTTTCAGTCCGGACGTGAACGCGTTCACGGCGAGGGGGACGTTGTACCCGCCGTAGAGGGTGAGGCGACGTGAGCCCGCACGGATACCGGCGGGACCGAAACGTGCACCAGGGCGGTATGAGGTGCCCGTGTCCTGGGACCAGTGTCAATACTGTAAGAAGTCGAAGAAGCGGATGACAATGCTCACGAAAGGAGCGCCGAGGAACGCGATGTCAAAGGCGTCGCCCTTGTCCTTGCCTAGGCATTGGGACCAGGGTAACCTAGCGAAGGTGGTGATACCCGAGAAAATCGAGTACGCGGTAACTGGTAAAGGTAAAAATAAGCAGCTGTCGCGGCTTGGAAGCCGGAGACGATCCTCACCATCGCCATCTCCGGGGATCGATGCTTGCCAGGGGTACTTAACGTACCCGAGGGGCAGCTGAGCCTCTTCGTGGCCCTCGTGTCCAAAAACGGTCGACAACAAAACAGATAGCACTACGGAGGTGGCGAGCGAACGCATGGCGGCAACTCTGGAGATGAACAAGAGGTGGAGAGAGGTATCCCACCTTGTGGTGCCTTTATATCCCAAGAACCCTATCGTCGGCCCATTTTTCCGTCGGAAATATTAGGATGAGCTCAGAGGTGGAAGTCCGCGTGACAGACTCGATCATAGATTGTCAGAGCGTAAGTTCAGGGAAGGCACACGCGGCAGGACATCGATTCTGCTTCGTTGTTATCTCTTCGCCTGGGGGTGGAGGCGTGTATGACCGCAATGTCATTCATGGGCAAAATTTTTGCATTGCCGTTGGGCGCGAACCACGGGACCCGGCTCAGTTACTTGAACGAGGGCGATACGATGCGGCACGCGGCGCCTTCGCCATCGTTTCCTGAGAAAGCCGAGGTGAACGCAACGACATGAGGCCTCATATGCCCCGCCATGGGTTCAGGAAACCACGGGCAGCACGCCTCAAGGCAGATTCTGAATGTTGTGCGTCCAATGAGTGCATCGACGCTTTCCCTGGCGCAGGGTTCTTGCTTGAGTTAGGCCATGACCCGCCTCATCTTGAAACGCGCCGGACGTCATGTATAGATAAGAAACGAAACGATTTAGATTTGCCGGACAAATTGGGACCTGAGGCCTCGGAATGGAAGAACCTTTGAGGAGAGCATGGTGATCTGGGGTGCACGCTGCCGCACGATGCAGAGATAATGCCCGGTTAAATGCTGTTATCGGCCGAGGGTCGATCGGCCCTATAAGCATCTCCTCTCCGTAACGGAGTCCCTGAGCCAATACCGGACCAGCGCAATGTCGTATACCAACGAGACCGAGCCGTTGTTGACCCCAACGCGCGAGTCCGGAAGCGCGGATGATGGTGGTCAGAAGCAGGGACGCGTCAAGCTCTTCCTCGCGCTGCTCGGAGACTCGGTCCCTGGTGAGCGCGCCACGGTCCTTTGGATCTGCCTTTTCATCGTTATCCGCGACGGTCGTTTGGTTCCAAGGCTGCTACTTCGTCGACGCGCGGTGAACACAAGTCCGGGTAGTTCTAATAACGTGTCTCATCTCTAGTGATCCTGTCCTATACACTCCAAAATTCGATCCAGACTATATGCATCCTCATCACCGGTCGCCTCGGTCCCGATGAGCTATCCGCCGCCGCGTTTTCTTCGATGCTTGCGTTCGTCACTGGCGAGTTGTCGTTTCATAGTCCCTCCTTCCCCTCAATGATCCCACGTCTAGCCCCTCATCCGTGCTGAACGGTCGCCGGGCACCTCCTACTAGGCCTCATCGTTGCCCTTGGTGGAACCACTGCACTTGACACGCTTGGCTCGCAAGCGTATGGGTCTGGTCGCCATGCAGACCTTTCGATTCACTTCCAGCGCTGCCTCGCGCACCTCTGGGCACTTTTCATCCCGGTCGCGGCTCTTTGGTTCTGGATGGAACCCGTCTTGCTGGCGCTTGGTCAAGGAGAACGCCTTAGCAGGGACGTGCAAGGCTTTCTGCGCGTATTGGTCGTCGGCGCTCCTGGTTACATCGGTTTTGAGACCTTGAAGAAGTATCTACAGTGCCAAGGTTCGGCTGAGGTGTTCATTGCTCCCCCTCCGTTAGGTGGCTGACTGGTTTGTTTAGGTATCATGACCCTTTCCACCCTCGTCCTCGTTGTAGTATCACCTATCAATGCGGCTCTGACCTATATCCTGGTCCACCGTACTTCGCTCGGACTGACCGGAGCCCCTGTGGCACTGTCCATCACGTACTGGCTGATGTTCCTATTCCTCGCCGTTGCGACCTGGCTCTCGCCCTCTCACAAATGCAACGGAACCTGGCGAGGTCTTCAACTGAGGGCCGTCCTGGACAGACGAAGCAGCGTCGCCTTCTTGAAACTGGCGCTGCCTGGAATTTTGATGGTCGGAACGGAGTGGTATGGGCTCGTGTCTCACGCCTTAATTATCTTCTGATTTTAACCTCCAGGACTGCTTTCGAGATAGTCGCCCTGGCTGCCGGCAGACTCGGAGATATACCGCTTGCCGCCCAATCGGTGATAATGACTACCGACCAAAGTAAGTTTTTGATCACTACCCGCTGACGTTCTGTTAACGTCTGATGTATCAGTCCTCAATACCATACCTTTCGGTATCGGTGAGTTATTTCGACGTGTGCGTGCCGAAATACCGTGCTCATATGCTTCACAGGCGTTGCTGCATCTGCGCGTGTCGGGAACTTCATCGGCGCTCGGTCCGCCGCGGGTGCCAAGTACGCGGGGCATGCATCAGCTTTCCTCAGCGTCATAGTCGGTTTGATTGTCATGGTCATCATGCTGCTCTGCAAAAATGTGCGACATCCCCTCTGTTTTGTATTGCGTTCACTCACGCGCTCGGGAATCAGGTATACGGTTACCTGTTCACTGACGACGTCGCTGTGGTGAAGCTTGTGAGCAAGGTCATGCCGCTGGTAGCAAGTTTCCAGATAGCCGATGGCCTCGCTGGTTCTTGCGGTGGTGTCCTGAGAGGACAAGGTATGACCTACATGTCTCATATACGCCTCGTAAGCTTATCAAGTACTTCTCCAGGTCGTCAACACCTGGGTGCTCTATTCAACATCGTTGCATATTACGTTTTGGCGTTGCCTCTCGGTATCACGCTTGCATTCAAAGGGGGACGTGGTTTGGAGGGCCTGTGGGTCGGTAAGTTGCATTTTCAGTACGTTAGTATGGTTCCAATCCAACTGATTCGTCTCTTCAGGCCAAGTCATTGCGCTGTTCCTTGTTGGTATAGGCGAGTACGGCGTGGTTTGGTTGGGCACCGATTGGGATCGGGAGGTTGCGCGAGGAGAAGAGCGCAACCGCATGGAGGCTAAGTTGAGGGATCGAAACCGCGTCGTTGAAGAAGCTGATTGAGCATGACATCGCACATGCGCATCCCGCAACAAATGAACAAGATGGTATGTACGATACAAGAGGGGTGTCTGTGATGTCGTACGGACACAACCGCAATACGCGACGAATGGTTCTGATTCCCGTACCAAAATACTGTTGGCCGATCTTCCATAGTCACAATAGTTAGTCCTATAGATGTCAATTATTGGTCTTATAGAAGTCAAGTGTATCCGACGAGGAGTATGTACCCTCATGGCGTCGTGAGGCTGACAACGAGAACGCGCTACCTACGCCTGGGCCATCCCTGAACCCATCAACCGAACCCGACCCTCGGCCATTGAGACCTCCGGTACCATCATCTTGACGGACGCACTCTCCGTGTCGAGTATATTGGAACACGAGATAAGACGCAACTGTTTGAGTGGAGGCTGGTTGATAGCGACATGCAGGAACCGATCCAACATATCCTGGAAGCCCATACCCATTCGTCGTACGCATTCGAAGTCGACTTCCTGAAACGAGAGCGACCTCAAGTTTGGCATGAGTACAGAGCTCGGTTCACGGCGGAGGAGCATCTGCACCAAGGATTCGGCGGCGTCAGTTCCCGTGATGTGCAACTTTTGTGTATGCGAGCACTTCATGATGACTTCTTTCCATTCCACTCCGTCCAATGGCTGAGACACGTTCTGAAATGTGAACACCGGCGACTGAAGGGCGGCGATACAAGGGCCGAGAGCGCGCATGATCTCGGGTAACTTCCCACCTTCCACAGGCAACCTGAAGGAGCAAAAGTAGTCTTCCGAGCTTGAATCGCTTGGTCGTTCCCGGCAGAAACGCAAATCGAGACTATATGAGGTGGTTTCAATGCAAATTCCCGCTAAACGCCTTCCCTCGCAGAGCCAGTGGGGTTCGGCGGTTGTCCACAAGGAAGGGTAAAGGTCAACACTAACGTCGGAGCATTCGATAGATAGGTTGTAATTCCCGTATTCGCGTGAGATGTGGCTGAGGAGGGCAGTGCAGCCGCTGCAGGTTCCGGAGAGCTCCACGACGAGAAGAGACGGCATGTGAATGATCCGGTTTTCACCTGGCGGTGATCCCAGCGAATCTTCCGGGAGAGCGTTGCTCCATCGGAGGACCTCGAGGCTCTGAAGATGTTCAAAACAGTCAAGCACCAGAGTAAGGGAGGTGGGGCTGTCATGGTTTCTCCAGATGCATAAGGTGCGCAAATTAGAGGAACAATACATGGGGCACGTCCATGGCACAACGAAGCCCTCTATCTCGAGGCATTCTAGAGCCGGTGTCTCCAGGCCGCGGATGGAGACCAAGTCGTGATCGTGAGCTTTGTCGTCGGAAACGATCGATAGAGTACGGGTGGATGGAAGGTTGGCGAAGGCAGATTTAACTACGGCATCGAGGAGTTCCGGTGAGCCGTCAAGAGTGATCGCTTGAATACGTTCCGGGCACTGGCGTAAATGTGATAAGAGAGTTTCCATGTCACCAGATAACTCCGTGGCCCCTTTCCAGACCAGATGGATAGGGTGTCTACAATGATCGAGGAGTTTCTGCGCTAGCAAGGGCCGGCCAAGGTCCACTAAGTTCCAGAGGGAGGGAGTATCTAGTGCAACATGCCGCCACTGCTTGCAAACGTGCGCCACCGCGCATTTCAACGAGGAGTAAGATGATGGGGACCTATCGTCCGAAACCCAAAATTGGAAGATCATGGAGAGTAGTTCCACAGGAAGGTTGTTCACCGAAGCAGCGTGTTTTTGGCAGGACTGTGCGGCGATTTGCGTGCCGTCCAATTGCTCGAGTTCGAGATCCGGTCTTCGTGCCGCTGACGGATCCCGACGACGAGTCACGGAGCGGAATAATTTCAGGCGTGCGCGTAACACTCGTTTCCTGCGTTCGGATATATCTGCGTTGGAGCGTGGAGAAACATGAAGACCACGTAGCAGAGTAGATAGAAGTGATGGAGGAGTCCTGGGACGAAGGTGAGTGCAGCCTTCAAGTGACAAACACGCGACAAGACTCACCTAACCGTCGCGCCGTCCGACGGCGAGGTCATATTGTTGTCTAGGCGTGAGTCGAATTTCATGGAGATGGGAGGCAACAAGGTAGACTGCTGGCGTTACAGCGACTACCTTATAGCCGTCGACATCGTAGTGGCCCACAATGCATGGCCGCCTTGGTGGCCTTGTACGAGACGGATGGCTTTGTCAATGAGAGATAGCGCTAGCACGGCCTCGCTGACATGAAAACTTGGTGCGATTCGGCATCGAAGTCAATTTTGGCGTTGACCGGGCGACGATTGATAGTCATAGTTAAGAAATTATATATGCAACCCCGTTGAGGTCGTCGAGGTCGAGGCGAACCCGGGGGGAGGAGAGCATAATTATGTAATAAACGCGCCACCACGTGTCTCAACTCTTGAGGGCGTTGAGACGACTCATCACCGCGAGGACGCGTACCAGCTGCAATACACCCGTGCATCAGGAGGAAGCACAAGCACCTCAACGCTCTCTTCGATAGTGTGGAACTTTTGAGCTTCTGACTGCATTAAATCCCAAGTGCCCTCGTGGCCTTGAGTTGTACGCAAGAGGTTGCGACCACAAGGAAACGTGCTACCTCATGCCATCGCACTCCGTTCAAGAACGAGGCAAACACGGGAACGACCCAGACAAGCGTAGCCTGACTGAACCGGAGACCAAGCGGCGTAAACTTGGTGAGCGCGCAGCTCTGTATAGCATCTGCTATCACCGCGATAGGCGCGCAGCAGCTCACACAGCATGGCTTTGCCTCATCCCCTCCAGAGCATATCAATACTGCAGACTCAGCTATGCCGACAACGCATACCAATTGGAACGCTCAGCTCGCAGCCATGAAGATCAAGCACGCTGGCATGAAGGGGAGGAAACGCTTCTTAGCTGACCTTGATGAGATACGGACGGCATGTAGGCAAGGATTATGCTTGAGCGGCCTGAGAGTGACCCGTAAGCAGCCTTACTTTAAACTCCTGTACCCCGCCAATCCGCATTCGCCAATCCGCATTTCTCGCGTCTAGGATTGCAACCAAGCGAAGACGAAGGAACGTTCGAGTTTACTGTTCTCCACGGTGCAGAGCACGTTGTGACCATCAACCTGCTCATTTCCGGTGTGTTATGTCGTCGCATTCGGTTTCAATCCACCCATTGCGCTCATTGTGTGGCGTAGAAACTGCCGAGTATCCCAGTGAACACGCATTCTTTGCGTTCTCGCCCGACAAGGACCTACCGCCTCGCGTATCGCACGTTGTCGAGGGAATATCGGAACGAGGCTCGAATTTGATATGCGTTACGGTACAAGATATCCTGAACAATCTATCCAGGGCCATTGGCATAGAGCAGGCTGCTCTCAAGGAGGGGGACTCCGATGCTGACGAGCTGGAAGACGACGATGAAGACGAAGAGTACCTCTACGATGACGATGACCAGTTTGGGATATCAAGTGGCCCTACGGTATCGAGTTTCTCTCTGGATCACTTGCAACGGTGAGTCCGAGGCGCGTCACATGGGCTTATGCTTATTGCTCTCCAGGGATTTCATCGAGGTAGTGGGAATTGGTAGTGATTATCGCCCAGGCCTTATTCGGTTCAACTTGGACGACGTAGCTATTACTATTTCACGACCGGTGATCTCCCTTGCGAAGGACATCCCTCCGCGGGCTTTGATGGCCTGGGACCGTCGCCTACTGTCAAGCATGCAACATCTCACGCTCCTCATACACGGCGTGCGCGGCGTCTATCCAGTCCTACAACCGGACGGGATGTACACTCGCGATGCACTGGTCAAAGGCGCCAAGCCAAAGTTCCACGTTGGCTTGACTGCGCGTTATAAGCCTGGAACCACCCAAGTGAGAGAGCTCACCAGGCACTTTGGACTAGTACAACAAGATGATGATAATGACGACGACGACGAACAAATGGAAGATGACTTCCTGGTGGAAGACGGGAACGCTATTGACACAGCGGACGTTATTCCCGAGCCCGAAGAGGAGGATATCGGTCGATTCGACAAGTTCAGTTTGAGCACAGCGATGGAGTCGCTCCTCAATGAAGTATTCCTACATGTTGTGCAGTTGAGAATTCGGTTCAAGCTAGGCTGGGCGGCTGCCGAACTACTGAGGAGCGAGGCGGAGAAGAAGCAGCGCAAGCCAGAGGAGATGTACGAAGTGATGAAAGATGTTTGTCTCGGGAACCCCCACCTACCCGTGTTCTGACTTCTTTGCCTTAGGATCTCATAAACGCCGATTGGGAAGAACGACGACTGGGAAACTCTTACCGACTTCCTTACGATCCTCTGACCCACACGGAGAAGGGGGCAGATATCAATCTTCCTTTGCTTGCATTCTCCTACCTTATACGACGTTTAACGGTGAGCGGCGCGGTGGCTCAATTCGCGCGGTGCGTAACTGACAGTCGACAATCTGTTAGCTCTGTGCACGATATTGTCTAGTCTGCCACGACCCGATCAAGTCCGACTACGAAGCGCTGAAGCCCTATGTTTGCGATAACAAGTTATGCACCTATCAATACTACCACATGAGCCTCGGCACGTCGCTCGAGGTGCGTATGTCTGCCTTGCGTGTTGCGCGGTTCGGCTAACGTATCCGTCAGTATGAAATATGTGCCAACCCTGCTGTTGTCGATCTGTTGCTTTCTTTGACCTATTGTGCTGCTGCTGAAGGGGTGTTAGACGACCCGCTGCCGGTTGGGATGGGCTTACGCGTTCCTCCGCCTATGGCTGGGGTTTCTACATCCAATCGTCAGATCATTGCAGTGCATGCTGGGTCAGCTGTCAGCCCGCCGAAGGCTGACGGGCCAGATGGTCTATGCGATTTCGACGTCATGGACATCGCATGTAAACGGGCCGCCATCCGAAACCTCATTGACACTTTACCTCCGGTGCGTGCACACTGCGATGGGGTCCTGCAAGTTTTGACTCGCCTACAGATTGCGGACGTGAAGAGATACCTGGAGAAGAAGGTCAAGGACGGTAAATCGAAACCCAAACTTCAGCAATACGATCCTTCAATATTGCCAGCTGCATGGGCTATTCTGCGATGGTGAGATGCCTGCGACATGGTCTCGCTATGATCTAACTACGTGGCATAGGTGTGTCGCATCGTGCACGGCACATTTGGAGGAGTTGACTTCGGAAGAGGAAATTGTTCAGAATATCGGTAAGTGCAATATATATGAAGGATCGGCGTCGCCGCTTATCTCCTTCTTAGATTCCTCCTGGAGGCAGTTCCGATTTACCGTCGGCTCGCCAGTGTGTTCCTCATTGTCCTGATTCACTGTTGATATCAACTTACCACATCAACAAAGGACGCAGAGGCAAAATTCAGCTCTGCCTTGAGGCAGGCCCAGAAGGAGAATTCGTCTGCAAAGGCATATCCATCTATATATGTGAGGTCATTTTCCCTTCAATCTGTTCACCAATGCCGATCCTCTTCAGGCTTTCCACGGATCTCCTTTACGCAACTGGCATTCGGTGAGATCGTTTTTCGCCTGCCACATCTTCTCGACTGACTTTTCTCAAGATCATCCGGCACGGCCTATGGTTCAAGGATGTTGCCAACGGCCGAGCGTATGGACACGGCGAGTAACCTCCTGCTAACCAGGTATTCAGAACTGAACTTCCTCGCAGGTGTCTACTTCGCAAAGGATGGACGGGTTTCCATGAACACTTACTCTGTCAATGCCTCGTACACGTGGAGGAACAGTGCATCGCTCCCTACCAAAGCTACAGCATTAGCCGAGATCGTCAATCATCCCAGCAAGTTCGTTTCTACAACCCCGTATCTCGTCGTCGCACAGACCGAGTGGATTGCTTGGTGGGTGTTTGCTATGCTCCACGTGAAACGCTATTCTGATTTTCTCCAGCCGTTACTTGCTCATCAAGAGTTCTGGCGCGGTTCCGGTAACACCCAAGCCCGATGACGCACCAACGGTGCATACGCCATTCGTCAGGTCCGACCCTTCACACAGTTTGACCATGGGCTCGGCGCCTATCAAGATCCCCCTGCCGTCCCATCATATCGAACGGTTGATATCATTACGACGAGCGGAAGTGTACGACGAGAACTACGACGACGAAGATACAGCTGTCTTCGAAGGGCCGAAACCCCAGGTCTATAGCCAGTCAAAGGATGATGATGCTGACGAAGACGAAGACGCATATATGGACGATGATGACTATGAGATACCGGCCTCCCCGACGAGCAAAGGCAAGCAAAAGGAGTCGCTCGCCGCCCCTCTCGCGGACGACTGGGTGCACGATCCAGAGTGGGTGAATGCCAGCATCGCTCACTTGATGCCCCCGCCGGTGGATGCGACGCCCATGGCGACAATGGCTCTGCAGAAGGAGCTCAAGGCGATGCTGAACGAGCAGAAGAAGGCGAAGTCCCTGAAGGAGCTGGGCTGGTACATGCCACCCGACCTCATTGGTGACAATCTATTCCAGTGGATCGTCGAGCTGCACTCGTTCGAGAAGGACCTTCCTATTGCCAAGGATATGAAGAATAAGGGGCTCAATTCTCTCATCTTCGAAATCCGCTTCCCACCCTCATACCCGCATTCACCGCCCTTCTTCCGCATCATCAAGCCACGATTCTTGCCTTTCATTCAGGTGAAGTTCACATACGATGCTGAATAGCACAGCTTATTGAGACGTGTTCCGACAGGGTGGAGGTGGTCATGTCACTGGAGGCACGTGGATGCATTCCATTCGTTCAAATACGTACTTACGAGTTCGACGATTGCAGGTGGCTCGATGTGCATGGATCTTCTGACTACCGACGGATGGCTTCCGAGCTACAGCATTTCGGCTGTCCTCCTCCAAATCAAGCTTGCCATTTCTAATCTCGACCCTCGCCCCGCACGTCTCGCAAACGATTGGGATAGGTCCGTCTTAATCTCTAAGCCGTAACGAACGGACTAATGTACGTTGTAAAACAGACCTTACGGTGTGCAGGAGGCGCTGGAGGGGTACAAACGAGCGGCCGGCGCCCATGGATGGACCGTACGTCTATACGCACCTTTGCAGACGACGAGTTTCGGTCCGACTGATACACGTTCACACAGCTCCCAGCTGGCATCGACAAGTTGGTCCGATAGAAAGCTTCTGTTCTCTATATCGCGTTTCGTCGTCCATGTCTGCTATCCCGTCGTTATCTTTGTCATTTGTCGTCTCTGCTATCGTCACACCATCCGCCACAAGACCAACGCATGCTCCAACTGCCTGTCAATCCTTTTCCGAAACCACGCTCGTGTATTTGAAGATCGTACCGGGCTGGTTTCCTTGTATATAGAGGATGTGTCACGCAGAATTGAGGGAAACATGAGACAACATATGATTGAAGAACCGCCTCCTAAGCCAACAACGCTGATAGGGACTTATGGCACGGTGAGAACAGCGCAGTGATATGACGTGGGATTGAGCAATACACAGTTGATTCCGAAGAAAACGTCAACACTGTGGGGTACGATGCCGAGGAGAGCCAGAAGGGGATTGACCGGGGCCTGATCCGCCTTCTGGGCACTGCGAGACGGTGAACGGGACACAAATGCTGGAATTTCGGCGGTGGTTCACCTTAGCAGCATTGAATGTGGATGGCTGCACGAGCGCCGGCAACTCTAGCGCGTGCTTACGTAGGTGGGACTGCGAACAGCGAGCCACCATCCGTGCTTTGACATCCCTTTCTGCCGCTCAAGTTCCGGGGGGCACTCCTCCATCCCACCCGACACAAAAACAGATTTGGCTGACGAAGGGCTTTGCAGGCCTGTATTACCTCATCGCCTCTGCGCCCGCCGGACCAAACGGCCACCGCAGCGCGGGTCGGTTCCCCAGCTCGGCAAGCTCAGAACAAACACCCCGCTGCCTGCCGCGCGCTCACCTCTTTCCCTCTGGCAACCTCCTGTCTATACGCCTTTCCTGTTACCCTCTCCTCTGCACTGTTGGCTACCCCTGCCCCCGTTACGACAAACACTTGATTTTCGGCACCCACATTTACTGCTGATTTCTGCATCGCTTCTCGGCCTCATATCTTCCGACTTGGACGGGGGGTCCTCGAACCGATCATCCATCCCTACCTATCTTTACACTCGCATCTCGGGTTCAATTAGCCATTCCTGTGTTTTGCTATCGCCTCTTCCCTCCCCATCCCACAGCTGCCCACCTTGGTATCTATACAGAGCCGGTGAACCCTGAGTGACGCTAGGATGGGCGCAACATGTACAGAAGACAATGCGCAAGCTGTTGACCAGAGCTCCTTTTGGGATTCTAACGGGTTACATTGGGATGCGCATCGAATTGGTTGGACGATCTCGGGCGCGTGTGCTGCTGCTGTGAGTTGTAGCGCCATTCACTATTGCACGATGTCCTGCGGCAGGGACCTCACCTAGCAAAATTCTGACACCACGCTTTTGATGTCTTAGACCGTGTTGATCACACTCGTATCCGTCTTCCGACACTGTCGAAACTACAACAACCCGCGCGAACAACGACAAGTGATCCGTATCTTGTACATGCCACCCGTTTACGCCGTTGTCTCCTTCTTCTCCTACCGTTACTTCCGGTCCTACACGTACTACTCCCTCGCCGAAGCCGCGTACGAAAGTGTCACCATCAGCGCGTTTTTGTGCGTTCACATCTCGCCAAGTCACGTATCCTCTGATCGTTGACGCCACATCCAGATTACTCCTCATAGAATATGTCGCCGACACAGCCTCTGGGCACTCGGCAGAAAATGCGCTTCTCCGGAAGGACAAGCAAAAGCTGCCCATCCCATTCTGTTGCTGGCGCTACCGACCTTCGAAAGCGTACTTCATGTACACGCTCAAGTGGAGCGTGCTGCAGTATGTGATCATACGCCCGGCGATCAGCATAGCGGGCATCATCTGCGAGAAGTTCAACGTTCTGTGCGCAAGCGGAAGCTATAGCATCCATTTTGCGGAGGTCTATCTCGAGGCGGTGGACTTCGTCAGCATCTCGTGAGTTTCCGTCTCATCCGTTCGAGCACCCAACCTTTGTTTGCTGTTCGACTGATTCGTTATGATACAGCGTGGCCTTGTACGGCCTCATCCTGTTTTATGCATTAACGAGGGAAGAACTCAGGGGACGGAGACCGCTCGCGAAGTTTCTGGCGATCAAGCTCATCGTCATGTTCACATTCTACCAGTCCTTCGTTTTTTCCGTGCTACAGAGCCATGGTATCATCAAGGGTAGGTTCCATGTGGAACGTAAAGGGCAGGTAACTCACTACCTATGTCGCAGCGACAACCTATTGGACCGCGACGAATATTGCTGATGGACTCAACGCGTTGGCCATTTGCATCGAGGTATGCGTTGCACATAAACTGCATTGTGGTGGGCAGTAGACTAACAGTTGCGCAGATGGTGCTCTTCGCTGCGTACATGATGTGGGCATACACCGCAAATGAATACATTATCGATGGTGCACCGAAGACGGGTATCTTCCGGCCCTTGTGGGACAGCATAAACTACAGTACGCTTGCATACAACCTACCCCCGACACCCTGTGCTGACCATTTCGCTCTGTCACAGTGGATTTCGTGTACGAGATCTTCGGCTCAGTCAAGTTCTTCTTCGATTACGCACGCGGAAAGCCGAACACACATGGTCCTCGCATACCTGTTGGCACCGACGGAACACGGAAGATGAACTTCGCGGAAGCGTTTGGGGTGGAGGGGGCCTACGCCGGCGCACAGAAGGGTATGGGTAGCGGAGGTGCGAGAAACAGTCGCTCACACCCGCAGAGTAGCTTCGACGAGGGCATACGTCTAGCGCCCTACGGAGAAGGTCAGGACCGGGGGATGATGAGCGAGAGCCCCAGCCCGACGCATGCGAATGGATATGGGCGGGTGACCAGTAACAATGTTCGATAGACTAGCTCTGCCGTTGACATACGATGAGGTGGGGTTTTCGTGCCGTGGATTCGTTGAGCTGATCGCATCCGCTGTGTTTCTGTTTTCTGTGCAGTTCATCGGACTATATACTTATTCTATTCCACTGTAGCAACGCGCTCTTGTCCACGGATGTCGCTTGTGATTGGTCTGTTTTGAGCATGTGGGTCCGACAGGCGTGCGAAACCTGGTCAGACGGTTGCGATTGATGGCCCGAGGGCAGGCTCGCGGTCGTTGCTTGGCACTCCGCCCCCGTCCCTCTTGTTCGCCCCCACCTCAGGTCGTTTCCCGAGAGACGTGCTCGTCGTCGTCCGTTCACTTTCCTTTCCCCCCTCGCCGCTCCTTCCCCTTTGCGGGCCACGTTCCTTATACCACAACACCCGAACGGGCTGACGATCGTGCTCTTTCCCATCGCCTCCTATTCACAGCCTGAAATCAGAAACAAAACCAACGTATAACCCACGAAAAGATGGCCAAAGGACACTTCCGCGTCGGTCATGCAGGCGCTCTGCACACCTCTATCCCCTCGAAGAATAGCAAGCGCGCGAGCTCCTGTGAGTAGCAGCTCTCTTTAGCCCTGTTAAAGTGATCTCGAGGTTCCTGACGGGCTATATGCGCCAGCCTGCGCCACTGGCGGGTTCTACAAGTCGCCCTCCTCCGGCCAGTCCATCTCCTCCAAAGATACTCTCGACATCACCTGGGACACGTCCTGCCTCAACGTCACCAAGGATGCCGTCGACATCTACCTCTACGCCCCCGGCTTGGACTCGTCGCGCATCCACGAGTGGGAGGCTGTTCCATACTCGCAGGGCTCATACTCAACCGTGCTCAAGCCCAAGTGGTGGAACGATACCACCTCCGTGAACCTGCAGCTGCTTATCATCAACAGCGGTGACGCGCCTTTCATGGCCACTCTGCCCGCCGGCCCCATTTGGACGGCGACGTATGACCCGAGCAACTACACTGGTTCGTCTTCGGACACGGACACGGACACGACCGACACGATCACCAACGCGGCGGAGTCGAAGCACGGGCTCAGCAAAGGCGCGACCGCCGCGGCCGTCCTACTTCCGCTTCTGTTCATCATCGGTTTGATCGTCGCTGGCTACATCAAGGTCAAGCGCTCGCGCGGCAAGGACAAGCGCAAGCGTTGGTCAGAGGCGGTCGACAAGCGCATGTCGACCATCTCCACGGACTGGAAGAGCATGACGCCCTCCGGCGCCTCGGCCGCAATCCGCAACTCCATGGCATTCTCGCAACAGGGTGCCAACTCGCGTGCGTCGACCTTCAGCTTCGGCGGCGGCATGCGCGAGGCGAGCTTCGATACCCGCGGATCGACTTACGCCGTCGAAGGTGGCCAAGCGGGCGTCGGCGCGCGCGGCATCTTCGTGCGCGACGAGAGTAACCCCGAGATGTCGCAATTGCGCTACCCGAACGGTGTGAACCCATTGGCGGAGCGCGTCTCTCGTGTCTCGTTTGCGGACGGCACCCGGGTTTCTCGCGTCTCCTTCGCTGACGGCACGCGCCCCTCCATCGACTCGCGCCGCTCGCGCGTTACCTCCCGCGCGTTCCACACCGGCTATGTTCCCCCGCTGCCCACTCGCCAGGATTCGTCCTCAGCCTCATCGGATAACGAACTTCCAAGCGGCATGCTGAGCCCCACGCAGGCTCAAGGACCATTCACTCTCACTCCCGAGGATATCAGGGCCAGGATGTCGGGCGCCAACACCCAACCGAGGCCCAGCATCGACGAGGTCATGCCCGCTCTTACCATGATGCGCACGGGCATGGATGCATCGGAGATGCTGTACTCCCCTGACGCTAACGACGCGTACGTCGAGACCTGGCATATGCCCACCCCGCCAACACCTTCCCACCAGCCTGAGTCGCCCATCCCCTCGGCCACTGCGCCTCTCATGCAGATGCCGACGCCCTCCGTAGATTCGCCGTCATTCCCGATGGTTTCACCCGTCATGCCCTCCATGCAACTCGAGCAGGAAGAGAGCATGAGCCCGGATGCTCTACTCCGCGCGTACGCTACGAAGAAGGCCCAGGGAGAGACGAACCAGTACGGAATGCGGGTGCTCTATAGCCCGCCCGGCAGCCCTGCACCTGCTGCCAACAACCAGAGCTTCGCTGCATTCGGTGCGGACTCGGCGAGGCAGTAATGAGGGACGACTGGCCAGCGCTAGTATCGAGTGGTGTAAGAGTATGGGTGGCGATGTGGTGGTCGCCTGTGGTGATGCCCCCTTCATGACCCTGTCTTTGTGTCCTGTCCCAACGTGTCCCGGAGAGAGACCCATGTTCTCTTCACCATAACCCTCTGTCTCTCTCTTCCGTTCCTATCTTCTCGTGGCTTCAATCTCATTCCTCCCGTGTGCACCTCTCATGTCTCATTCTCCTTCTGCCGTGTGCCGTCACCTTCCATTTCAATTCCTATTCGATCTATCCTATACCTTCTCTCCGGCAGGTCCTTTGTCCACTCCTGGAGTCCAGGTTCCGCCGACCCGAGTTCGCCTGCGGGGACAGTGACTTCGTCATCGTCCTTTTACCCGTCCTCCTTCGGACTTGCAGGGAGGGACTCGCGAGACGCAGGCGGTATTCCCTTCAGTCTACTATACCTTGGCCTTCTCGCAATATACCACTTCTTCTCGCTACGGCTGCCGCTGCCTCTACGCGGCCTTTCTGTTTATTCTATATGTAAATCTTCATCTCCCCTTGTCGTGGTTAAATGCGACCGAGAGGTGCTTGGAATTGTGATATGTATTATTCAACTTACACCGATATTGAGACATCTCTACCGCTACGCCTTATATTTATGAAGTACATCATTTGTGGTGCACCTTCTTGGCATGGTAGGATAGCTCGGGTGTGACCCTCGCGGTCCCGGCGCGCACGTCGGAGCTATGTATACATAGTTCCCCGCACGCAGGTACGCAAGCTGGACTTGCAGACGTTCAGATTGCCAAATTCGTTCGACTGAATTTCTGCGGTAGTTATGTTGAACAAGCTGCTGTAGATATCTACTGCTTGAAAGCCCTGCGCATCACGCAGGAGGGTCACCCCACACGAATGTAAGTACAAAGCGCTACTAGATGCCACCTTGATGCACGAGGCATGGACGAAATGTTCGTCATTATGACGATCACACCGCAGGGCTTTGCACGCAATAGCATGTCTGCTGCCATCGGGGACGCTATGGATCAGCTGCCGACCTGCGCGCCTCCGCCTCCGCCTTCGATTGCCGGATAACGAATGTAGGATCGTGGAGCAGCGCGCTACGCCTCGCGTCGGTGGAAAGCACACAGATCCACTTGCCATGCTTAGGATCTCTCTCTCACCCCAAGACTTCGGGAACCCGGTTGGTGTTCTTTCGGCGAATTTGTCAGCCTGTCGCGAAGAAACAGTATAGGTCTACTCTGTAGCATCTCCATATGCTACTGAGGTTCGTAGCGCCGCACACACTATCTTTCGGGTCTGACGCAGTACGCGGATTATATTGGGGATGATCTGGACTTGTCATTGCGCTGTGCGATTCCCTATCGCTGCAAAAATAGATCTTCTCTAAGGAGCATGTCGGTCTCCTGAAGACAGCTTTCGCTTCCCGGTGCACCAGCACCGTATGCGCACTCTGCGCACCCTTTGGAAGCCTGTGCCAAATTCTGCGTATATAAAGCTCGGTCGTGACGTGGCTTGTGATGCTCATATCCCTGATATGCTTCGCATTGCACTGATATTTGCTTTTCTGGCCGCTGCGGGAACGCTGGCTCAACGTTCGATCCCTAACACATGGCCTCAAAATTACACTGGTATACCACGTGGGGACTACTCCCCTGAATGGCAGCACTGTAGGTGTCGTGACCAATGTCTCCGCGTATTCATGTTTATCGATATCCTTTTATGCAGACTTTGAGGTGAAAGGTGCACTACCGAACGTTACCAAACCGTTCGCCCCCCGGAGCTTTGCTGGCAACATCAAGGTCAACCGCCCGGGCCATGATAACGATACCCTGTTCTTCTGGGCCATCGAAAAAGAGCTAGGCTCGTTGACAGCTCCCGAAGTCGAGAGGAACGATAAACCCTGGTTGATCTGGCTCAACGGTGATTGCCATGATCCTTTCCCGCAACTTGAAGCAGCACGTAACCGATGAACAGGCGGCCCTGGGTCATCGAGCTTCCTTGGGTTCATGACGGAGGTTTTTACATTCTTACCAAGTCATCGAGATACTTCCGTAACACTTCATATGACAGAACGGACCCCTGCACGTCACCGCCGACTATTCGATTGTTGAGAACAAGTACAGCTGGGACAAGCTCGCCGACGCTATTTGGGTAGACCAGCCTGTTGGCACCGGCTTTTCCACGGCGGACACGACGGGATACAGTGCGTTCATCCACAGATTCGAGCCTACAATGATGATTGATACTCGTTGTCAGTTGCGGATGAGGATCAGATGGGACAAGACTTCGTCAGAGTTTTGATGTTGCCAGCGATGGTACCTATCTGACCTGTTGCTTAGTTAGGATTCCTGTCAAATCTAGTCAAGGTGTTCCCAAGCCTGGCTAAAAGGCCGTTTTACCTCAGTAAGCCGTGATGTGTTTTTGAGTTCCCAGTATGTTGATTCAATCGTACTGTAGCCGGAGAGAGCTATGTCAGAAGCTTACGGTATTTCCCCTGAAAGCTAACTGACACCCACTGCAGGCCGGCACATATATCCCGTACATTACCAAGGCGATTTTTCAGAGGTAATCCTCCTTTAAGCAACGCGATAGAATACTGACGACGTACGCATTGCAGTCCCAAACCTCCCGTTAACCTCGTGAAATTCGCTATCGGTGATGGAGCTATAGGCGATCTGGCAACTTTTGAAGAACTTCCTGCTGTGAGTCTTTGCGTTCAAGAATTTTACTGCAGTTCAGCAGAACAATATTGCGGCAGGTTCAATTAATCGAGACGTACCCGCAATTGGTCAATTTTGACATTGATGTCCTGAACTATTTCAAGGAACAGTGAGCTATCTTCCATCTCTGTTATGATCGCCCAAATTCATCATACCTCAACAGGCAGCATCTCTGCGGTTATGATCTGAACTTCACATATCCTCAGAATGGCCACTTCCCCACTCTGTTGGATCCGTTTGCAAGCGTCTCTAATGACGATGCTATGAACGGCGCCTTCTTCTCTCGTGGGAGCTTCACTCTCCGCTCCGACTCCTGGCGGACTGCTATTGCTGAGCGATACGCTTCCCGAGCTAACGCCGGAAAAATCGTTAAGCGCAAGCCAGAAGAACGTGAGATGGCGCGCCAAGCCTGGAAGCAAGAAAAGCGAGACCTCAGCCAAAGGGCCAATGGAACCATCGATCCATGGTGAGATATCCTACGTAATGTCATTAGCAAGAATATTCAGCGACTTCCTAGGTACGGATGCTTCCTCTTGGACGAGCTGACTGGTAAGTAGTCCTTGACTCCGGTCTATGGAATCCCAACTGGACTGGTTTGCAGACTACGCGGTCAACTTCTCCTTCCCATGGACCCTCGGCGGGTTTGATGTATGTTGCTATGACCTGGACTCACCGGATGCACGTTGACGGCAAGCGCGTTTGCCGTCAGGTTTATGACATACCTGATGCGCTCAACCCGGAGGCTCCTTCCGATCCTTCTGTCTTCTTGAACAGTGAGCATAGAGTCGTCCTGCATAAGGAGCCAATTACAAATGCGACCCGCAGATCACATCACACGATCGGCGTTGCACGCGCCAACCAGCAAGAACTGGACCTCCAGTTTCAATTATCCTTTCAATTCGAGTCGTGCTCAGAGTGAGCCTCTCCTTGTCTGTGTATATGTAACATTCTGATATGCGAATCATAAGTCCCTGGAGCCAACGAGTTCGGCGACCCAAGTGCGTAGTCTGCTCTATTGCATAGGTTCAAGTTCTCGTATTGACTAATTCGAAGGTGTACCGTATGACCAATATCCCCTGAAATAGTTGTGGTCACTGACCATTGAATGCAGGCCTATGGCTTTCTTGTCAGAACTTGCTGCGAATGCGAGTGCTCACCACGTTTCGATGGTGTTCTACTCCGGAAATGACGATGCGTTGGTTGCACATCGTGGAACTGAAGGTGAGTTGTCTCGTGCACGCTGAGATCAATTCTGTGCTGAGATCGACTTCCAGTCATCATTCAAGTAAGCTCGACAATGAGCTTTTCGCTGGAAGCGAGCACTTACGAACATTCTCACTGTATAGAACATGACGTTCGGAGGTATACAAGGCTTTACCCGTGTGCCATCCACCCCATGGTTCGACGATGATGGGGTGCGTGCAGATGAGACCTGTAGGTGTCAGTTGTAAATGACGCATCTCACACAGAACCTTGCCGGCATAGTACACCAAGAGCGCAACCTCGCCTATGTGCTTTTCATCGGCGCTGGACATCTAGTGCCGCAATGGAAACCCGATGCTGTAAGACTCTTATTCTATCACGATCTGGTTTTCAGGGACGGATCATCTGGTTTTCACTGTTCAGGCATTTGTCTTCCTGCGCGAGTTCATTCTCGGATCGAACAAGACCGGTCTAGTTGTCGATCCGCATAAGCCTGCCATCGGCGGCGAAGATCCATCGATTGCGCCAGCTGATGTGATACCAGGCACGACAGCGATCTTCTACGGCAGTGGAACAACAGTATCCAGCGCTCTTGTTGCCAGCGCAAGCATAGCCAGCTGGGAGAGCGTGGTTGTGCACGCGACCATCACGGCTGGTGCTCATGCCACTTCATTAGGGTTTTAGGTAGTAGACGGCAACGTGAATGGTAATCCGATGACTCGATGACAGGAAGTACTGGAATGCACTCGTATTTCTGCAACACGCTTCAACCCCTTTACTTCCCCAATCCGTAGGCTTGACGAGGGAACAGTGATAACACTGCGCGAAGCCCTGTCCGGTGGACAGGCTATCAAATTCCCAGATGAATATATGGTGCCCAGCGGGATGGCGCCCCCTGTGTTTGTCGTAGCTGTTGTACAGCCGCATCCAACGCATAAGGCACGACGTCGGGGTTCAGGGTTTGAGTTCCGCCCTTGAATAACTGTTCATAAACGTCCCTAGCAATCGCTGGGCCATCAACGTCTTCCATGGACCTGGAGAAGCACATCATGGAGAAGACTCATTGAAGATAAATCAGAAAACCAACCACAGGGTTGCAATGACTGATTTGAAGCCTATAGACAGCATAGTAGCTGCAAGGTGAATAGTCTCGTCGGGTTGACCCTTTAAGATAACCGTAGATAGGCAGAGATTAGCATATATTCAAGGAGGTCCATTGTGATAGCCATACTTTGGCCCCTTGCGCCGTCTCACATGCACTCAGAAATGCAAGAAATGCCCGTGGCAAGGAGAGCCCTGTTAACTGGGAGATTGTAAGCAATCCATCGCGCAACACGAATCCATGCTCAAGTGGATCAGCCACGTCGTGGATGCCGTGACAAGCCAAATGGAGGATAGTTGTGTCAGGTAATTGTTCAAGTAAAGCGTCCACTGTTATACCGCCGCCCAACGATGCGTCGTATTCTGGTCGCAGTGAAACGACATCTGATTGCGGTACAATGCGAAGAATCTCTTTCACCTCCTCCACAGTGCAAGGCAAGTCGCTCCAGGCGGTATTGAATGACGTTGGTGAAGCTGCCAGAAGTAATCTATTTTTCTCCAGGCCAAGAGACGCGTGAGTCCTTCGCGCTTCGAGAAGTGAGCTCAGTGTCGGGATATATGATGAAACAATGTAATTCCAGCAACCCGTTTGTGATGTTCCGGCCGCGTGGATAGGAAGATGAGCAAACTTTCCTGTTGGACACCACCAAACTCGTGGACGAGCACGACCGCTTTTAGGCTGTTCGACGGATTGAGATACAGCTGATACCGGTCAGAAGGCATACTTAGTACTTACCTCTAGTCCCAAAGCGAAGAGGATAGGCCACACGACATTCGCCCATAGAGTGGCCAGAATGGCTTCGCATCCTCTAACCAAGGATGGTTTATCGTGTTTAGAAATTTGAAGCCTAGTCCGCAATGATGATCTCGCTGTTGTCACAGATCTGTGCCAGGCCTGGCTCGATTCCAGAAGCCATGTTTCGGTGATAGATGATAGAGGCAATATAATTCGACAAGACGGGTTAATGATAAGTGCGTGGCAAAACCGCGACGTCGAGACCAAGATAATCACAGGCCCCAACTTTGCCGCCGACATGAGCTCTTGGCAACCTTCAGGTAACATGAATCGCTCTAGCCCAGGCAGGACGCGGATGTGACGAGAGAGTCTATCAAGATTCGCCATGTCCATTATCCTTCTGATTTGACGGATCTCCTGTGGGATGTCAGGCGTTGATTGCCGCCAGGAATCCTCCCGCCGTAATCGAGCATGAAGGTTACGTATGCTTCGTCCTAGACCCTCTGGCAAGTTTTCAAACTGGTCGCGAAGCTGGGTTGCGAACGTCCAGAAGGCCGCACGACCTTGCTCAAGAAGTTCCAGAGCTATAGACGACTGGTTCATGGCTAAGGCATGTGACGCTGCAGAAGTCGCAATGTGGCGGGCTTTCGCAAGCAGGCGGATGCGGGAGTGCCGTTCTAAGGCTAAGAACGCAATCCGCGGAAGTAGGCGGGTCGTTTTGCCGTAAGCTTCGAGAACGCGAGAGCGTGCCCATGGCGGAAGGCGACTGTACAGCTTGTCGACGCCTTCCAAAACAGGGATAGCGCGCGACAGACGGACTAGAGGATTCAATAGAATATCTTCTCTGAGCGCATCCAAGAGATACTGCATCCCCCGAGCAACGTCGTGGAATGATGCCCCTTCCTCCAAGTGAAGATTAGCCAAAGAGAAGAGAATCCTGGCGCGGTGGCTATGATAAGGAGGCAAGGCGTCTAAAGCTTGGAGAAAGCACGCTTTTGATCGCACCGCGTCTGCTTGGTGTTTGCAGCAGCGGAATCTATGCATGTATACCTTCCCAATCAGGGATAATCGCTGCGATCTATGGGTGTAACCCTCGAGGGCGGGCTGCAACGAGATCCATTCCAGTATGAATATGACAGCTTCGCCGTCCGAATGATGAGAAAGGCGAAGATAGCGGGCAGTTAGAATATCTGCCAGTGCCATCGTATATTTCCTTTGGGAGTCAATCCCTTGCCAAGCTAGCTGGAAAATCGTGGACTCGCCACTACTAGGCCGCCGCACGAAGGCTCCCTGGTGAACGTCGTTGATTGAGAGTGAGTCTATGGCTGGGGGAAGATGATCCATCAGCCGTGCTTCCTGTGAATCTTCAAGGTTCCCTTTCTCCACGAATCGTATAGTCAGGGTGTTCGCAAGGAGAATGCGGCATGCGTGAGAGTTCGAGACTAGATTCGATGAGCACATTCCGCGAATGAGAGATATAGCTTTGTCCAAGTCTTGTAACGAGCCAAACTCAGCGAAACGTAACTTGAGGGCCTCCGTCAACGTGTACATAATAAGCCACCGACGGGGGTGACCAGGTCCGCCCAGCTCAATGGCTTGCCCGAGCAGGCGGACGACTTCATTGAGATCTTCGTGAGAACTGTAGTTGGTTTGACCAAACTGCACTACAGAACATGGTCCAGGTGTCAGGGGATGCAGCTCGGCTTCGCAAATCTCAGCATAGTGATCCAATCTGGCTCGCAGGCGAGGATGTCGATGGAGAAAAGAGGAGCGCCATTCATTGAATCTATCAATGAGGGCGTCGCAGTAGTGACCGAGGATTTCCAGACTGTCATCCTCGAAAGAGGCGGAGATGAGTAATGCCCGACGGTGGTTCATGACGGCGTCCTCAAGATCGGCAAATAATCCTTTCTGCAGAAAACGCTGGCGAAGCGCTATCGCTAGTAAATGCATAGAGATACGGCGTTCTGGATCGTCAATTGAACATGATGCAATAGCCATTCGATGACACGCGATGCCTTCCTCCAAGCAGTTTTCGGTCGGCGTTAATACGTGTTGGCGTCGGAGAGCGCGCCCCAGGACGTTCAATGCTTTGGATCGCGAGAGATGCAGAGCCGAAGCGTGTTCCAAGGCGAGCCTGGACAAATGTATGGCCTCCGCGAGATCAGGTATAAGCTCCCGTTCTTCGTAAGACAAGATCAGAAGTTCGGCGAGGGATACGGTGGCTTCGATGCGTTCTGAACAACGGGAATTGCAGGAGTCAAGAGCATCGCGCGCAGCCGCGAGGGCATCAATGAAATCTTGAATATCTCCCGTGCGCCAATACCGTCCGTCAACCGCTGCATCTCGAGGTTCACGGCTCTCCGATGTGTCGCTCGCATTCTTCCTCGAATCTTGGAAGTGAAAGTCACAGAAGGGTGAGATGCGGGCCGAGGTATCAGGAGTGTTAAAATCACTAGCTTGCCTGTTGAGCAACCGTCTTCGAGTGCATCTGCATAGATATGGTTCTGCTGGTTACATGAACTGAACATATGATCTTCAACGTTGAAATACGCCGAATATAGCTAAAGGTTGAGTTCAGCAATCTGTCGAAAGAGACCAGGAGCACAACGACGAGAGCAATACGACCCTGCACAGCCTGGATCATGAACCGCAACAGGGATACGTCGTATAATTAGCATTAGGATCAGATCATGTTTCTGAATCCGAGCTACTCATTCATGTTATGCTGGTTTCGGCCCTTATTATGGTAGAAGGTGGAGCGCGTCCAGAGCGCTTCATGAAGACAGCTGCATGTTCCTAGTTCCCTTCCTGTCCCCCATTTGAATCTGACTAAGCAGCCGCCACGCAGGCATTCTCGAGTTATCGGAGCAGGAGAATAAAGATGACATTAAAGGGCTACTGTTATGTGAGGGATAACATAGGATAGGTAGGATAATTAGATTATAATTAATAGTAATACAGAGCGAAGGTAACTTGTACGGAGCGGCGGAGCCTCATGTGTTCGATTTCGGGTCATGAAGCCGCTTGGGAAGGAAGAGTCCGGAAGTACATCGTATTATAGCTGCGCGAGCCCCATGTGTTAGGGTTCGGAGTGCGAGTGGAGTCCGTTCGCCGCTGTAGATCACGGAAATCGTCGATGAGGCCGAGTAAGGATGTGCCGCGCTGCTTCACAATCCGAAGAAACCGAGGGTCGCGGAACTGAGCGTTGTATTGGATGGCCTCCACCAGATAAAGCAGATCTGAGGTTAGATGTTGAACCTCGAAATCAAAGGACTCCGCGAGATCCTGAAGCTCGTCGTCACCACCAGCCCAGATGGCCGCGTTCGGGTCACTGGAGAACGCGTCCGATGCGGACGAGTTTGGTATGTCGCTCGTTCCAGAATCAGATGGCGGCGGCGCGTCGGGCGGCGAATACCCCGAATGCAAGCCTTCGTCGCGTCGAATTTCGGCATCCGTGTGCGGAGGTGCCAAGGGCTTCAGTAGCGGATGATGCCAGAACGGCAGAGTTCGATTCCGCGATGCCTGGAGGAAGAACTGGGGAGGGACAGTGTGGCAAGCTTGAATGAGGTGCTTGCAAATGAGAAATCGGCTTGTTGCAAAGGCCGGACAGGTACAAACCCATCGGTACGCATCTGGGCTGTACTTCGGGTCGTCTGGGTTGCGAATATGTGCCGACTCGCACTTGCGCCACGCGCGCTTGAACGATTTTCGCCAGGAGGGTTGTTCACGATTGCGACCTGTCGGTTTGAGGTGTATGCTGAGGCGTCGCGTGTATGCAGGTACGAGCTTGTCAGTCAGAATCCATATGAGCAAGTCGATGCGAGGCTTGTGGAAGTGATGTAAGAAGTCCTTTTTGATCCGGCGCCAGCTGGCGAAAGACATGTTATATCGTCGTGCACCAAGGGCTGGCGAAGGACTCACTGGCTCTCGCAGATCATTGTTGTCTTCAGTCGGGGAATCAAGTTAAACTTGCTTCGAGCCCAGAGTCCCCAGCGCCCCGGTCGATACCAATTACCCCACAAGTACGCCCAAAGTTCCCTCAACTCATGGCTGACGCAGAACGAATATACCTCCTTCACAGCCCACTCGCGAATCCCAGCTTCCGATGGCGCCGAGTAACCAGGGATCAAAGGATGTGCATGAAAATGCCGATCGACGAGCTTGAGGACTGAATCGTGCAACTCCTTTGGACAAAAGACGCGGCGTTGAGTTATTGATTCGGAATCTGAGATGGCGGCCAGTGTACTCGTTGTGTGGTCTTTGGGCGTGGGTTCGTTCAACGAGGCCAGCGTTGATTGAATGGAGCGAGGGATGATGATTTTGACACGTAGTGAGTTGGCGCTTCTCCAGGCGGGAGTGAGTGCAGAACCCTCGACGCTCTCTGCACTGCCGCTCATAACCACCTCAGCGTCGCCCGTCTCTGCATCCACCTTCACTGCCAGGTCATCACCGCCGTGTAGCCCGTCCAGGTCACCTCCCTCGATATCGTTTGGATCCGAGTGGCTCTGAGGCACGAAGTTGAGGTCAATGAATGGAAACTCGCGTTTTGCTATTCGCGGGTCATAGGCAGTCGTTCGTAGGTTTCCTCCTAATCGAGTACGGATCGCCCGTCTGAGATGCCACCAACATAGTTGATTCTTTGAATATGGCCACTGCTCTTGTGCGGCCTTGATCTCTGCGATGTCTTTATCTGTGTGGACAAACTGTGGATTGACACTATATCGGTCGCGCAGTGCACGTAAGAACTCGCTCAGCGCACGTTTGCGCTTGCCATTGCTGATTGCGGTTGCGGTTGACAATAAGCAATATGCCATGGGAAATCCAGCACCATCGACTTCGCCAAGGACCGAGTATAATTCAAGATCTTTGGCATTTGTGTTGTCTGGACGCGTGACTTTGAGACGGACTGATATTGATAGTACGTGTTGCTACTCACAGGTTGCATCCATGGCGACCTCCACCAGTGTCGCGCCAATTTTGGCTGCGATCTCCGGTAGACCCCACGCAAGGATCGTAACACCATCATCAACCTGCAGATCCTCAAGGAGGTCGACACGGCCTTGCTCTTGGTACTCAGTGAGGAGCTCGCAACCCGACGTGAACTGATCATCCTGGCGTTTCCATAGGATCTCGCTCATGGTTGACCAAGCGCGATGGATTTGGTTCGGGGATACATATGGCCATCGTTCGTGTATGACTGAGACGAGTGCGTTTGGGATTGATGTGCGGAGATTGGCTCTGATGATGTCCAGGGCTTCCGGCGGCATATCAACCCGGTAATACGGTTGGTGCTTTGTGTGATGTTCAAACCGGACGCGGATATTGAGCTGACCACCGATGTGTTTGACGGCAATTTGCAGCCGACTGCGACAGTTGAACCTATCCATGCCAAGGTTGTCGCGTGGACGAGCACCCTGTACCTTCCTAACCTTCTTAGCATGTCCGGCATCCTGGCTGCACCAGAATCGTGTCCGCCGGCCATGCTTCAACACAGTGTGGTCCCGAACACTGCCGTTACATGTTTTGAGCACCCAACAGACAACGCGGCGGAGCCAGTTCACGTACGTGAATCGGTAACCAGTTGCTGCCCATATATTCTCTTGTACTTCTCGCACCCGCTCATAGTCACGCCACAGTGGATCATCGGTTATCACATATTGACCCGCAAAGTCGACATCACTGGCATCTTTGCAACTCGTCTTCAATGCCTGTAGCATGCTGTATGAACTCTCGTATGACTTGTACTCCGTCTCTGCTACCAACGTCTCGCTGGCCACCTGCCGTGAGTCAGTGAACCGTTGACAAAGATAGGGGCTGTCATGTACCCGAGCTCGCTTTGCTATAGGCTCACCAGACTCCGCACCACTGTCGTCACCCTCTGTGTCCAGCACTATCGGCTCGTCCCTGCTTCCCGCAGATATCTGTGCTCCTTGTTGGACAGGCGATGGCTGACGGCATCCAGGCGCCTTCTCTTTTGCCTTCTGTTTGCGTTTGGACTCGCGACTGGAGGCTCGATGCTTTATGCATGTTTTCCATCGATATTCCGCTTCAGGAGGAAGTTGACTGTTGCAACCCGAAGACGAGCATTTACGCGGCGTCCCTGCACTGGCCTGTGTGATGGATGATATAGGCTGAGCCTGGAGCACCTGTTGAAGATTTCTAATGGAATCCAATGCTTTGGGATCCATCCGAGGGGAGACAGGGGTTCACAACGGGAGTTCGAGTGCAACGGCGGAGAGCCTCAGAAACGTTTGGGATGGCATGTTTCAACCATTTCCTCAATTTATTATATTTTGTACATTTTACTTGCTACACCATGCGAGGCAAAGCCCTGCATGAAGGCATCGTCGGCCGGGATCAGGCTGAAGTGAGATAAGACTGAAGACAGGATTGACCGTGGGAAATGATTGGTCAGATTCAAATGGGGGACAGGTGGAGACGCTCATGTTCCAGCCACGCAGGAGGGGCGTCAAAATTATTGCCGGCGCCGGGTGGCCGTGGAAACCCACACACCGCGCGCGAGGTCTCCCGGAAATTCCGTGTGCCCTCAATCCCCATATGCTGCCTCTGCGTGGTTCCCAAGCCTCGAGATAGCATGGACATACTACATATAAGAGCTTACGGCGCACTCGTCCACACAAGTCGATCCAAGATATCTGTACGTCCAGCCGAATCCCAATGTCAATTCATTCCATCAAGAAACATCAATGTCATCTGGCTTGGGACAATAGGTAGGCCTGTGCATGTAAAGACCCTCAGACCTCCCTATTGGACTGTCTCGTTGCCAGTATACCACCAGTCCTCCGAGTCTCATCCGGAGAGACCATCCACTTTGATTGCCTCGACGCTTCCAATGGTCAACTTGACGCGAACTCGACCACCACCACGCTGGCATCTATGGTCTTCTCCCAGCTAGACCAAGTCAACGGGCCTATTTATGTGGAAGGCGCGAAATCCGGTGACGTGCTACAAGTCGAAGTCATCGATGTGAAGGCTGCCGACTGGGGCTGGACTGCCATCTTGCCTGGCTTTGGCTTGCTTGCGGACGAGTACACAACGGCCGAGCTGAAGGTTCGTTTCTCTTTTCTGGATCGCACCGGGACGAACATTGACTGTGCCCGTTGTTAGATATGGAAGCTCGAGAAGGACGATTTCGGCGCGCGCTTTGCCTGGTTTGACGAAGCTAAGGGGATTAAGATCCCTCTAAATCCCTTCGCAGGCGAGATGGGCGTAGCTCCCGGCAAAAACGGTTCATTCTCCACGATACCGCCGTACAACACCGGAGGCAACCTTGATACGCGCCATCTGACTAAAGGCGCAACCCTATACCTGCCCGTCGAGGTTGAAGGCGCGCTATTCTCCATCGGGGATGGTCACGCAGCTCAGGGAGATGGAGGTACGTCACACGTCGGAGGTCGCTTCCAGAGCTCATCTTTGCTCCGTCCAGAGGTTGGCGGCACGGCGATCGAAACGCCGATGAAGGTGACGGTGCGCCTGACAGTCATCAAGGACCGGCCCTACGTCAAAACGCCGCACTTCACCACCTCCATCACGGGCCAGGACTACTATACCACTACCGGCATCGAATCTGGTCAGTCCAGCTGGCGCGCATCCGTCACGAGCTTATCCCTTGACATTGTCAGACATCCGTGAAGCGGCACGCGCCGCCGTGCGGCACATGATTGAGTTCTTGGCTGCGGAGTATGGTGTCACCCCTGAGCAGGCATACATGTTATGTAGCGTCGCGGGCGATCTGAGGCTACACGAGGTGGTGAGTGTCTAGAATGTCCGTACCTGGTCGAGCAGGATGTTGATTCGGTATCCTTGTCCGATGTTCAGGTGGACATGCCTAATTATGTGGTACGTTGATCCCCGAGTGCACTGCGTTCCTGAAGGCACGAGTATTCACCTCGTGAAACCCATTTTGTAGGTTGGCTTCATGATGCCGAAGTCCATCTTCGGGCACCGTTCCCAGTCCTGACAGTCCTGAGAAGACATAAGCCTCCCTGAGCACGCGATAACATCGCAGCGGACCGATATCGGGCCAGGCAACACAAAGAGTGCCGAGCTGTTAGACTGTGAAGTTACGAATAAGATTAAGAATATGCGTATCTGTGAACACAGAAGACTACGGGGTTATACATGTAAAGACAACACATATTATAAATTACATACACGCACTAGTACTACAGTACAGCTCTGCGTTGATTCATATTTCGATATGTGGGCGAACGATACAAACGAAGCTATCAAAGCCTTCGGATACCAATGTATGGTGGATGCACCAATCATTCGATTTGTTGTTATACTAGTGTAGCTTGGGAAAGATGGCGGCGAAGAAGACCCTCGCGAACTGTTTTGGTGCATAAGTATGACCATACGGAGCAGGTAAACTACACGACCGACCTTCCAGGAGGATGATCCGGGTATTTGTAGCATTGACGACGGACGTCTCATGACAGAAGAAAGGACGGTTCTTGTTAGACAGGCGTTTATGGTAGGCCATAAACCTGTCCTTGAAATCTGAAATTACATGCGGAATTAACAACAAGCACGATCGACGGCATCGTGGAACATACATTTCACCACGTATGGCAGTTCGTTAGGTTGGTCTCCGAAGCTCGGAACGTATCGCTTGACCTGGACGCCTGCCTTGAGGGTCTCGTCCAAGATGTCCATCTTGTTCAGGAACAGGATCAAGGTGGCCTTTGCGATGAGCGGGTTGGCGCAGACGGCTTTCCACAGGGTCACGGAGTCCTCCAACCGATTCACGAGAGGGTCTTCCTCCAGCATCAAGTTGAACGCGAGTGGCGCAAGGAAGATGATCGCCTGCACGTCGTCGAAGAACGGGACCCACGAGGCCCGCAAGCTTCGGCTTCCACCAACGTCGTAAATGTACCATTCACTGCCTGTCTTGGCGTTCACGTCGTCTATCACCGTCCCCCAGCTTAGTCCGGTTGAGGGTACAAATGTCCCGCGACTCGTACCAGACTCCACGGTGAAGCGATGCTCTTCGACGCCCAACGTTCGTACACGCGCTCGTAAAACGTCCGCCTCCGTCGGCTCATAGTCCACCGTCGCTATTCGCGCCACGTCGTCCAAGAAACTGACAGGACAATTATTCTCTTGGCTGATGACGAGATCCAACTGGGTGCTTACAAGCCTGGCATCTCCCGTAGCCGAACGCCCCATTTCTTGAGCACTTGCTGCACATTCGGATCTTCCCATAGAGAAACGATATCGTCCTTGCACTGCGCGAGCGCCATGGTCGGATCGTCCCGATTGCCGGTGACAGGACGGGAGCCCTTCCTCACCCGCTCCTTCTCCGACGGTTCACTCCATTCGTCGGAGCCAGAGAAGCTGCTCGTGTCGGAAGACGTGCGAGTATGCAGCTGGTTGCCCGTCGCCTTGGTCAAAATCCCCTTCCAGCCGCTACCCGCCCGAACGCAGACTTCCTGAACCGATCGCCTGCGGGTGGAGCTTACCCCTTCGGAGTTGGCTTGGGTCGCATTGCTGTACGTGTACGAGGTGGTAGTCGCAGCAAGACTTCCATGTTCCGAAATGGACGGCATGAGCTTGCGTGTGAGGGTTTGCTCGATCGAAATCAGTGGCGACAGCCGCATGCGTATCCGTCGATGATCATCGTTCAACCACCGCGTCGCGCTCCTCGGTCGGCCTTGCGGAGGCGATCCAGATATCGACTGGCCATGTGAGCTCCACGGCGGATGCGGATATTGTCGGTGAGTCGGCGAATGCTGCAGCGACTGATACGAATCAAGCTCATTCTGAATCACGTCCAGCAGGTTCTTGATTGATCTGAGAAAGACATTATCGCCATCAGCCCGAGGTCGGAGGGGAGAGGTCGGTCGCCATGCGCCGCCACGCCATCACGACGCGGCCTGACGTCGACGGTTCGAACGGAGGTTTCACATACCGGATAAGGTTAAGTTGTATGACCGTTTTCCACGCTGCCCTTTCCCGCCGGAAGTGGTTAGGAGCGAAGACGAGCTGGAAATCTGGGGAACGATCTCAGCACACGACATCGGCCCGGCGCAGATTCAAGGATAAGGACGAACTCCGTAGCGTGGTGCTCTTGCCGGATTCGGACTGGCCTATAATGAAGAGACAGCCACTAGATTCAGCGAGATTCGAGGGGAAGGAAAGCCAACAGTTTGTGCACCCACCGAGCAACAAGAGTTTGGTGGCCTTGCGCTTCCTGTCCAGCGCCTTCTTGTCCTCTGCTATAGCGGCATCGATTTCCTTGGAGATCCGCAGAGCTTCCTGCTGGGCCTCGATCCTCCTCGTTTGCTCTTCAGGCGTCTCGCCCGGTGGTGGACGCAAAAAATAAGAAAGCGGATCATCATATCGGTCGGCGTAGGTGACCGTGGTCACTCGGCCGTGCGACCTGGTGGTCATCGATCGGGGGGAGGGAGGGTATATGGGTGCGGCGGAGGAGGAGGAGGAGGGGATGTCGTTCGGACGCGATGGGCCAGGGTTGTGTGGTATTTGAGTGACATGTCCGCTCAGGAGCGCTTGTTTCAAAGCTGTGATACGCCACCGACTCTGGAAAAAAGAAATTGTTGAGTCGCCGATCGTTCGGAGGCGGACGCGGCGGTTCCTGCGTTGCGACGACAGCCTATCTTACGTAACCTCCGCCTTCCTCACCAGAACCCCCGGCCCGGATCAACCGAAGCCGTGCGGCATTCAGGCACCGACGCTGCGCCGAGCACGTCGGCCAGTTGTCATTCGATCAGAAATCGACAACACCTTCATCCCTTGATTGCTCCTGCGTCTCCTTTGCGTCAACTAGATCGCTTCCGCACACGGAACAAGCTGATGCGGGACGTCTAATCCAAGCTAGTTCGCCCTACGCTAACAACTACCTATCAATCGTACATTCGTTCCTCCTTGACACCTTTGATGCCGAAATATGCCCACACCCCTGCCGCATCGAGGTCTTCCGTGCCGTCATCTTTCACCCCAACGACACCATTTATCTGATAAACCGATTTCGTCTGTATCCGCAAGTGATCCGTCAGCACGCGGTCACCGTTGAGCTCATGCTCAATCAAGAAAACGCCGGGAGCAATGCGAGAGGAAACAAGAGGCGACTCACGATCCCCAAAGAAACTTTTATCGCTGGTGGGCCAGGCGTATAATGTTCGAGCTCCAGGTCCTCCTCTCCGTCCGCGACATCAGCGTCGCTCGTACACATCAAGGGTTCGTCCAGCCTCTCTTGGCGCACCCTCTTCTTCACGAGCTTGAGGATATTTCGAGCCGCGACCTCACCCTAGATTCATGACGACAGACAGATATCAGCGCGCAGTCCTCGGCGGTAGTAACAAATTCGAAGGGGAGACAGATATGCAGTTATCGGTCAACATCGAATGGCCTGCGCCACGATCGATTGACACGGGCGCTAGTTGGCCGGGGGGCCAACCTTGGATCACCATCACGCACCTGATAGTAGGCGTTATGTCCGGCCTGTATCGCACCGAACGCGTCCGCAGCGTCACCAATCGCGAACACGTGCTCGTACACCATCGCCTCGTCCGCCTCTGCATCTATCTGTGGACCAGACTCCGCCAGAATGGACGTGTCTGCCGCCCTGGCGTCCGACAAGATGCTGATAGGCTGTGATCCCGATGTCGCTGTGCCTTGAGATTTCTCCGTACCAGATGCAGGAACAACGTCGTCGACATTCTGGACGAGTTTGGAAGAGTGTTTGGTCGCATCCGAGCCGTCGCCCAATTCCTCGGATTCTTGTGCGGTTTCGGCATCCGACGCAGTGCCGTCAAGGGTTGTCTGAGAAGAATATAGTGTCGAGGATGTCGTCGAGCTAGGAGATGGAATTGTCTCGCCATAATGAGAAGTACCAGTAGCGCCGGTTTCTGCCGACGGGTCGTCCCCGAGATCGTTCGGCCCTTCCTCCGCTGTCTCCGAAGGTGCATCGTCATCGTCGTCACGCCTCTTCAATGGCTCTGCGTCACCAAGGAGAGACGACTTTCTCAGCGCCTGAGACAGCTGGTACTTCGTAGGGAGACGGAACCGTGACCCCGGGGGTAGACGCGTCGGAGTGGACGGAACCGTCTCAGCCCCTCCGTCCGAGGTCATGGACGATGATGTGGAGAGGGTAGAGGACATGGATGACGCTGTCAAGGTGCGCTTGAGGGCTGTTCGAATTGACCATATATGATTCCCGTTTGGACGTCGGTCGAGGGTAATCGACGAGAGTCTGTTCAAGGCGACTGCTGCGGTTTCTTCCTCCACCTCGGGCGACGAAGAAAGAGTAGGCCCGGATCCGCGTCTTGCCCTTGGCCGCGATCCAGTGACTTGCATAGTCCTCGCCACGCGCGTCATACCGGTGTTGGGATCCACAGTGGTAGAATCTGATTCCGCGAGCAAACGCGTATTGGGACGTTGACCGGTGCACAGGAGCTGATCAACGGCCAGGGTTAGAACAGCCAGGCATCTTCCCAGGAGGTAGAACGTACCACCAAGTCCGCACAGATTTCCCTTCCGTTTTCAGTGATCAAGACCTTTTCGCCTTTCTCGTTGTAGCGAGGATGGTTCAGCGATTTCATGCTCAGTCGTTCGCCAAGGATCGTCTTCACACCAGCGTCTTTGAGGGTTTGCAAAACTGCATACCAAGATCAACGTCAAACACGTTCATCTCCAGCGAAGAAGAAAAAAACTCACTCTCAGTGTGCATCATCTTGTCGAACTTTGGCAGCAATCTCGTTCGAGAGTGTAGCAACGTGACTTTAGTCGCCGGGTGAACAGCGCTGATGTCTGTGGCATATTCTGTAACCCGAGGAACGTCAACTTAAGCAGGCGGAAGAAAAGCTAATGTAAACCCACGAATGCCCAGCGCGCCACCCCCAACGACGAGCACGCTCTGCGCCGCTGCGATACGCTTCTGATCCGCACGCATGCGCGCGACAGCCTGTGGCTTCAATCCGCGATATTCCTCCTCTGCGAGTGCCTCCACCTCCAATGGCAAGTGATACCGCTTGTGCTTCGGAGGTGCGCCGTTCACGTGTTCATGTTCGGGCTCAGGGTGCAGCACCACAGGTTCCTCTAGGTCAACGTTCCGCGAAGGAAGTTCCTTGGACGGTGCAGCCGAGTCCTTGTATATCCTCTCGCCCCACATATCGATCGGGGCCGGGAGGTGCGAGCCCATGGCGTAAACGAGGTAGTCATATGCGATGGTCTCCTCCTCGTCCTTTTTCCTCTCACCGTCATCCGAGAGATGCTGTAGCCTGACTTCATTCGCGTGCAGGTCGATATTGTTCACTTTCGCATGAATGAACGAGTGCGGTAAACTGGGAGGGAAGGTGGTGCCGCCTTCGGGATGGGGAGGATGCAGCGCGAAAACATTCGTGTATGGTATAAATGCCTTGTGCTCGTGTCCGGGAAGGACAGATATCCTGGAGAATATGTAGAGATCTGCGTCCCGCCAATCAGCCTTCGTAGATTATGTATAGAAGTGACTTGACGTACGGTTCGCATGATGATTCCGGTCCACCAACACCACTCGCCACTGTTGCTCTTTCGTGGGTGCCCTTGCGTTTATGTCCTTGAGCCCTGCCGCGAGAACCTGCGCAGTTCGCGATCCGCCGTACGACGCGCCTAGAACGAGAATTGTCTTGGTGGACGGTCTTGTGTTCTTCATGATGAGATGATGTAAAGCTCGTTGCATGTTTTGTCGATGGCTCTGATGACGATTTGGAGGAAGGAAAGAAGCCAGTGGGGTAAGTACCGAGGGAGCGAAACGTCTACAGGAAGGCCGTCGGTGGAGCACGATTGGCGTAAGAAACCAGTGGGGTCATTCAATCGCCTCAGGCGCGTCCTCGGATCGGGGAAGGGTTGGCCGTCGAATCGAGTTGGTACGGGTACGAGGCACCGCGACGATGGTCTAGAAACAGTCCAGATGGAGAGCTTGGGGGGGATCAGGTCGTCGGGAGGAATAGGCTCTTGCCACTCGCTTATCAGATAAGCATGAGGAAGTGACACGACACGTGGGCGTTCTGCTGTGAGTTGCTCCCACGACCAGGATATAAACTCGACGTACCACCATGGCAGTCAGGCTCAACTAGGACTCATTCCCTGCGTATTTTGGCGCCTGCGAGTCGACGTGGACGCCATTCGTACACCGTAGTTCAATCCGAGGGTTACTCGCTTGGATGTGCGAGTCCATTGTACCGGCCCGCGCCGGCTGTCGACTTCCGAACAACCACGGTCTCCGCCGGTTCTCGACGCCGAGATCGCACGATCCCGGGGAAGCTTCAACATAATCTCATCCTCACTATTATACACACTTGGATTTGTTGACGGCGCTCCGTGGTGAAACCGTTCATTGCTAGCCGTTTCCGGACACCTCAGGAGTGCCGCAAGGATATCGTACGACTTGAGACTTCCCTCGTGGACAACGAATGGAGGTTGTCCGAATCGTCCAGTCGTTTGGTGTTTGGGATCACGATGGATGTCGCTACTGACTGTGCCAGTATGCTGAAGGCGCTATTCCACCGTCCTACGATGTACGAGATCGTCATTCGAACGCCTGCCAATCAATCGTTCTGTTTACAGCGTTGGCGTGCTTCTCCTCGAGAGCCCGAAGGTCAGACAAATGTCTCATAGTGGGCCGACCGTGAGGACAGTTCCATGGCTGGTCCATCGTCCCCATATGGCGTACAACCTGTGCGATAATTGTATCTATGAGTTCAGGGTAGACATCATGAATCTGTAGCACCTACAGAACGCATCTGCTTCCTGGTGAGGGGGTCGCCAATCATGACGCTCTTTCTACAGGCGCGACTCGCGAACATAGCCTGCGCCTTCGAACATCTAACCATCCGTCCAGTGGGCCGATCTTGCATGAGGTGCAGAAGCTCCTCGAGGTCTACAATGCCACGTGAGCTCCACAGGGCGTGTAAAACGGTTATGTTACCTTTCATGTCGAACACGGTGTTTTTGCTAACAGGCTGCGCTACCAACTGCAATCTACCTTGCCCGAAGGAGGCATTCTCGTCCACCGCAACGTCAAAACCGTTCTGGCGTAGAACCTCTATATTTTCGGTGACGACCAATTCATCTGCCGCTGTCAATTCGAGTGGTCTTGGACTGTCATAGAAGGTGAGGACAACGATAGTATTGGTGTATATATAGTAGATTACTTACCGGAATAGCCTCTGTGACTGAATCTTGGTCGTCTGTTGCAATGTCTCGAAGTTATACTTCTCGTCCGCTGCATGCTGGTCAATGATGAACAAGTCATCGCTGAAGGGCTTGTTCTCAACATCGGCTTCGTGATCGTTGGTCTGCCACTGACGACGCCGCGTTATAATGAATCCGAGGTTGAATTGGCCGAGAACATCCATGGTCTCGAAGTCGGATTTCGTGATGACGCGGGCCAGGGCATCGGCTGCTTTTTCGTTGTCGTCGGCGTTTTTCAGGCCCCCCGACGTTGAAAGATCTGCACTGGCCTCATTTGCGATGGCAGTAGTAGGTTGACAATCGATATCGCGCGCATATGGCGATCTGAGGGTGGACCATCTCTTCGAGACGCGTGAGACATCGAACTGTATGAGCACCTCGCGGTCGCCGTCCGGATACGTGCGGACGAATTCGGGGGGATAATGAGACGAGTTGGAAGTAGTTACGACGGACGAAGCGTGTAGATTTTCGCTAGTTGTTATTTCGCTGACGGTAAGCTCAGATGATATGTCTGAAATTCCATCAACTCGAGAAACCGGATCCCTTGGAGGAATGGCGGCATCCAGGTCAACGTCGACATCCGTGTAATCAAGCTCTTCTGAAGTCATACGTATCCGAAGTCGTTGCGTTTTAGCAACTGCGTCGACGTCACCGTCCGGGCTGTGACCTTGATGTTGGATGATATCTTCGCCTTCGTTCAACGACATGACATCATCGGCAATGGGTGGCTCAGATTGTATGTGACTGGCGTGGTCCGTCTGCGCAAACAAGGACAACTGAGACCGTAGCTTGCCCACGACACTTTTGGATGGCAAGCCGTTCGAGCGCTGCCGCTTGGACGGCCGCTCGTCTTCTTCGTCTCCTTCTCTCGGCGACGGTGTTGCGACAGTATCAGACCCATCATGGGTGGCCTCACGCCCCGGCTTCGACAAGTTCCAACCAGCCCCTCGAGTATCAAGCACCATCTGTACAGATCCCGTACGAGGTTTCATCGCGGATATGCAACCGGACGGGGCTAGCCTGGGCGTTGAGCTGGAATTCGCTCGTGAACCCAGTGTCTGGGCGTTGGGAGAAGCCTTCCAGCTCGCACGCACTGCAGAGATAGGTATTTGGTGCGTAACCGCCAACGGTGATGCAGGTGGCAGCGCACTGTCCGCCCGTAGACTGGGGCTTCGTGCAGCAGATGACATAGGTTCCGCTGCGTCTAATAAAAGCTGTGGAGATCCAAAACCTAAATCGGCGTCGGAGATCTCTGGTCGAGGATCAGGTTCCGGGGCCCCCGATTCTACGTCAATTGGCAATGCTGTCGCATCGGCGGCAGCACGAATCGCGGTAGCTTGGATCGTTCCATGGTCTGAGGTTGCCGTTGAGGGACGTCGAGACGGTGATATGCGAGAAGTATCATTATGAACCTGCTCGTCTTCGACGTCACCTCCTGCTGTACGCTCATCAACACGACTGACGTTTCCTGGGCCGGAAGAGACTCCGAATGTAGAGCGGGAGGCTGAAAACTCCTGTTCTAGAGCATCCTGCAAGCACATAAGGCTCTAGCTTCTCCACTTATTCGCATGGACTTACCTTCAAGGCTTGTATAAGGTTAATTTCGCTATGAATAAATATGGTCCTCTTATCCGGGCTCACGTTTATATCACATGTATCTGCGAGTTGATTCAGCATTGAGTTGTTGCAACGCGAAGTGGTGACATGGTGCTCACTGCCGGGTAAAAGAAAATCGGCCACAATGAAAGGCGATTGATGAATATTGTACGAGCGGTACACCTCGTTGAAAGCTTTCTGTACCTGTGATCTATCAGCAAACTGGTATGCGGATCTGAAAGCGAATCAATGTCACCTTTCCGGGGTTCCACGGGCGACCATTAACGAAGAAGAATTGCCTATCCGTTCCTGTACGACCGCATCCTATCTGGAACTTCGATATCAAACCACGAATACCAACATGAGTATATCTAGGCCATAGGTCGAAACTTCTCAACGCACAATATGGAGGACGACAGGGAACGAGAACCTACTCGGGTGCTGGATCATCCTCTCCGGACGAGATCCTTTTGCGTGCAACTTTATCTATAGTGACGTCGAGTTGGATATCCAGATCAACTAGATTCTCCAGCGCTTTAGGTCCCCACAGAGCAGATATGGAGGCTCGTGTGCTAGGAGCTCCAGTAGTCTGGATCTGCACAGATTTCTTCCTATTCAGTTGATAATGAATGTCAATTTGAACGAACTGCTATAAAGCGAACGTGCTGACCCTCCCTTCGGCTGATTGTAAACCGATAATCGAATCCCTTTGTTTTCTGCTGCGCAGGGTACGAGCGCGTAGGCATTGAGAAGACCGAGAGCCTGTCGCAAAGGTATCGGATGGTGGTCTGCGGTATCCAACAGGCACACGCCACCTTTCCGTATTCTCGTTTCACGTTTCTCTCGAGCTCCTTCCTTCTGACAGGCAAGGGGCTAAATAGACCGCTCACGAGCGTTGTAGTCCCGCGCTGAAGATTTGTTGAATGATAAGTCGATAGACAAGTGCTAACACGTATACTTCAGACTGACTTGCCTGGCGATCTTCGAGGTGCCCTTTAATCGACCGGCGCGGTCAAACGAAAGAACGGTTCCCATAGGTGCGCTCTCGGTAGTCGAGGTAGTGACTTGATTCATGTGCAGCACTGGGTGAGTACATGCATGAACATAGGGCCCATAGCATACCTGTTACGTTGTCGCTCAGCGCGCACAAAGATGACAGTGCTTCTCCCCGAAAACCGAAGGTACGGATGGTTGACAGATCTGAGAACGACGATAACTTCGAAGTATGGTGTTTCAATGCTAGAAGAGGGTTTGTGTCGTGCGCGGAGACTGAGGGAAAGGTTGCACTAACCAACACTCTCCCAGTCCTGCTCAGCTATGCCACAGCCATTGTCGACAACTTCGATTGATTGAAGACCGTAGTCTTTGAAGCGAACCTCTGTACATGGACCTCAGCAAAAGAGTACCTGCAGCGCAAGAACGCCGTACCTATACTGGTGGCGCCCGCATCGAGACTGTTCTCGACCAGCTCTTTCACCGCTGTCTGCAAGTCTACGACAACTTGCCCGGAAGTGATGCGATGCACTGACGTTCTATCGAGAGCCTTAATGGACTCATTTTTACCTCGATGAGCTACATTGGGAGGGGCCTCGTCCTTGTCAATGAGGGACATGAGATTATAGCTAAGTGTGAGATAGGTTGCGGCGAAAGAGGTAGCGCGTTACAACGGCATTACAGCCGTTTCCGAAAAGGTTGAGCGCAGCGCGAAAAACGAGCCGCGCGTTGTGAAGGCCCCTAAAATTGGGTTTGCCGCCAGCACATCGTGTTCAACGACGAACTCAACGATTATGCACCCCTGGACCGCATAGAAATGATGAATACATGTGGGAGGAGCTCAGAGGAACATGTGTCAGTGTGCTAAGCATGAAATTCAGAAGGATTTACTGTAGGGTCGAAGGAGTTGCAGGCGAAGGTAGTGTTAGGGAATATAGACCACCAATATCGATACTCCTTCGTCCAAACAGGGACACAGTGCAGCCCCTCAACCGTGAGGTACTTGCTTCGGGAGTCTATCGATGATTTCGACAACGAGAAGTTGCCGGAAGACTTGGGAGCTCGTCGTTGAGAACGTTGGTAAAAACCCCTATATCAGGGTTGCTGCTACTGCTAGAGATATCGTGCGGCGTCGCGCACTGAGGGGCAACATCGTCAGCATACTGTGTTAAGTCGTGGCGTAATCTACCGTGAACGAGAGTATAGGCGAGTGGAAGTTGTCAGAACGGGTGAAAAAGGGTCCACCGGGAGGACCTATTCGACGCGACTCAGAAGCCCTCCAGAGACATTGCACATCGAATTTCGCATCTCAAAAGTGGTAGCCTTCGGCTCTCCTATGCCCGGGCGCTCATCGGACAACAACAATAATGCGCTTCCATCGAGATACACAAATCGACGAACGTCCAGGACTCGCCGGCCTGGCTGTAACCCCATTTTAGGGTGTGTCCACGACATGGCCCGTTTTTCGCGCTGCGCTCAACCTTTTCGGAAACGGCTGTACACGCGGACGTGATAACAAATAACGCGCTGATTATGGTTTAACTATTACTAATCACCTGTGACAGGACGCGTTGTTGTGGCACAATTGTGCTACGACATCGTTTGCATGTTTCGGTGCACGAAGTCCGATGACAGACAATAATTTCAGGAGCACTACTTATGCACTATAAGACTGGGACTTCACAAACTGATAGCTAAGCCAGCGCTGCCTCATGATTTGACAGGTACCCATCCATCCTCCCTCATCTTGGTCACGATCCTACTGATATTCCTGCAGTCGTCGATGCCAGAGTGGTGCCTACCCTCAAGCGTAAGGCCTAGACTACTTAGCATATCCTCCAATCCCCTGACTCGCTGTTTTCGGCCTGCCCGTTGTGTGCGATACATGCTCGCAAAGGCCGTCTTGATATTGATCCAAGGTGAAAAGTGTTCATCAATGCGCAGCGCCTGGTTCGAGTCCGAGCTAGCATCGTCTCCACCGAACGAGAGCCGCAGTTGTGAAGGCAGCATCGTCTTCAGATCCCAATCCCCGCAAGTCAGAAAGGAATAGCTGGAAGGATTCTCGGTGAAGTGGTGTGTCCTCATCCACTCCGCGTATCTCGCCCAGACGATAGGGAACGCATCCGATTTATCCACAGTTTCCTGTTTACACGGCACATAAACCACCGTGAAGATTGGATGCGAAAACCCGAGCTTCACACCTGAGTGATGCCAGTCAAAGAGACACAGAACTCTGTCAGTTGCGGTTTGACCACAGGTCTGACGTATTCGTGGAATGTGGCTTCATCAAGGACCCGGTTCGTGTTCAGGTCATAAACGAGTGTCGGAAACTCGATGATCTCTTGCGTAATTTTGGGTTCTTTGTCATCGCAGGTTGCTTCGAAGTCGAGGATGAAGAGATATTCCAGCTTGTGTTGTGCGTTCGCCATCGTTCTGGCGTATCTACGTGGCAGAGCTCTGGAAATGCTCGATGCTTAGAGGTGATGCCCTGCCGCGCATGTGGTACGAGTGGAGTCACTGCGCACCCGCGGTAAGCGTCCAGGAAGTCAGCAGGCGGATGCCTAGTCCCACGTGCACATACGATGAGTCCTAGTGCTAGCTTATCCTATGTCAGTGATATTATTTATGTTGTTGACTGCGACAGGAAGTCTACCAAATGTATGGAAAGATCAACTCAATAGCATAATACCGATGGGGCCGCAGGCCGGCTCATTGCCTACGCGATCTGGCAGTCTTGCCATTTAAGTCGATTGGACAGAAGGGTACACTTGGTCCTGCCTCTGTGAACAACACCCGCCGGTTAGTCTACTCCAATTTGCTGCCCACAGGTTCCTATCCAGCTGATCAGTGCTGCTTTGCATTCTACCCGCTCTCTTCGTAGGTTATGTGATCATAGTATTGTCCCAATCATTCGCCACTCAGTGCTTGGCATCATCACTGGCGGAATGTTCAATGAAGCCTTGTTCTTCTTTGGGCGGCAGCTTGGCGACATTATAGTACCATATCAGCGGCTGATCCCGAAGGCTGGTATGTACATGCCTTTCATCCGGTGGGATCATCCGCTGATCCTCGTATAAATACATTACAGTCTCTCAAAGTCTCTATTGCCGACATGAAGCTTCTCGCTTTCGTTGCATTCGCAGTCTCGCCGCTATTCTCTGCTGCACAAGCACCCGACCCCTTCACTATCACTGCTCTCCATTCCGGGGAAGTCAACATTCACCTCCAACCGATTAATGCCAACAGCCAGGCTTTCTGGATCGGCAGGCCTACTTCCACCTTTTGTCCCAACCCGGCGAGCGAATGTCCGCCAGGGACGCAAACAGCCTTCATCGGTGGCAGCTCAACCCTTGAGCTTGATGACGAAGTCCCTGGAGGACAGCAAAGTATGTGTGCAGTGCTGATGGTCGGGTAGGAATTATGAGTATAACATCCGAACGTGCAGTATACGTGCAGTCAAATGGTGCACTGGGCTACACTGCGCCCCACTCCGCCGTCATTCCTGCAGGTGCTACTCTGACAGGATTTTTCTGGACGGGGGGCGCCGCCGCTGGCGATCTAGGGTTTATCGGGTTAGGTGCAACATCCTTCATTGCATGCCCTACGACTAGCGGTGGTCCTCCGTACCAAATATTTGAAAACGTTGCAGGCGGCGACTTCAGCTCCTGCATCGGATTCGATGCACGTACCACCGAGTACTCTGGCGGTGATACGTCCGCCGCTTGGGAGTATGCTTAGGCTTCGGAGGAGGTAGACAGGGTTCGACGAGACGCTTGAAGCAGCGTAAGTATTTCCGATGGATATGCATGTCACCGTAATTAAAGATATTGTTCTACTGGTACAGACTGTACGTGAGCAGACATTCTGGCGCGGATACAACCTTTGACGCTTTGCCTAGTACGGAAGCTACCCAGGGCCTGCACACATAGTTGCTCTTGAGCTGCTGGTTTATGCTGTCATGCATAAGTATGCACGTGTGCACGAACACTGACAATTCGGCATTCGTCACCGCTTTCCTGAACTACACATGGCATCGGCCTGAGCCCGTATACTTACGTGCAGTCTTTTGTCGCTTTGATCCGGCACCACATGACGACAAACTGGGCTGCCACCGCTCTGGACCTGGTTGCTCGATGGGTTTACCGTACTTGTGCCTCGGGCTTGTGCCATCCCTTCTTGCATGCCTTCTAAGCCTCACACCTTCACGGATGACCGTCGCCGCCGTGGGTTCAGCCGCCTGATGGTTGTACCTCAGAGCATCGTAGCCGATCACGAACAACGAAGGGAGCCAAGCCTGACGAGCTCGGACTACTGGGCAGGGTCTGGTGGGTTTTCACGGACATGATAGTCCGTCGTCGCCGATGCGGTGCGCAACGGCGTACGAGAAGCCCTCGGTACCTCTAACTGGTGCGTATAAAAGGCCATGGCGCCTGGTCGACCAGTTCAAACAAACACATCCATTTCAAGATCATAATGTCGAAGTTCCTCGCCCTCCTCGCCCTCGTGGCCTCTCCGATACTCGTTGTCGCCCTGGTTCCCCCAAACCCACCCCCATTCCACATCATTGCCGGTGCATCCGGCACGGAGTTCATTCACCTCCAACCCATCGAAGCTGCGAATGGGTCTCTCTGGATTGGCGCCGAGACTTCCTCGGCGTGCCCGTCCACGGTCGCGGACTGCCCGCCGGGCGACGTCACCGCCTTCAGCGGAGGCCAAACTACTGTGTACCTCGACGTCAGTGTGCCCGCAGGGCAAATAGGTGAGCCATTCGCGTCCTAGATTCGATGTGGTGATTGTAACAATATCCCGCCAGTTTACGTCCTGGGGGACAACGGAGAGGTCCATTTCACGCCACCGAACGACCCCTTGCTCCCCCTTCAGGGCAACGCAGTGATGCAAGGCTTCCACTGGGAATCTACGGAACCTTCTGAAGGTCTTGGAGAGCTTACGTTTACTGGCCTCAACTCCTCCACCTTCGTCGCCTGCCCGAAGGGCGATCCCTTCCCCTTCCAGGTCTTCGCACGGGTTCCTAATGTAAACTGGGCCGGGTGCACGAACTTCAGTGCCATCACCGCCCCGTACCCTGGTGGAGGTGTTGCCGCATACGAGTACAATTGATCCCACTATCCGAAGATTAACGATCAGGCAAGTCACGCAGCCGCATCTTGTCTTACGTGTCTGACAGAATCCTATGCTTAGATTCATGGGCACGCCCTGATTCGTGGGCACATACTAATTTCTTCTCGGACAATTGAACCATTGCATAACGTATACCCATTACATTGACCGGGTACGAATAGCGTAGAACCAGGATGTATAATCGTTGACACGGACTGTTGTTCGACTTGCGCGCGTTCCAGGCATCATGGCCTAAGCATTGAGAACGAAAGGCTTGATAATAATCGGTAGTTGATTGCCTTTCTCAGGCTCGCTCTTGACCGTCGGTCTTGTTACCACGCTCGCTTTCTTGAATATTTCGCTCGCCGGTACGGCAAGATCAAACTCGAAGTCGCGGACAAGGACGAACAGCAGGGCCTTCATCCTGACGGCCGCGTGCCGTTCAGCTCCACATTATGGAATGAGTTCGACTACGCACTCGACGAGGGAGAAGCGGTAACCTATACAGGCTCGTGGACCATCGAGGAAGGTAAGCATGTTGCCCCATACACCAGGGTTGTGCGACGCAGCCTCGGGAAAAGCACCAGTGCTCAACCATCGCTCGGGCCTACAATTTCATATTTCCTCAAAAAAACCCCTCGTAATGTACACGGGATATGGATCTTACTTGAACTCGTGCGCGTCATTGCCCCAGATACGACTCGCGCGATTGAGGCCGACGATGGGTATTTGAATCCATTCACCCTTGTTGACACTGTCATAGCCCAGGGGGTAAGCTTCGGCAGTCTAACAGAAATTGCAACTTACCGAATCTCGTGGTGCAAGTTTCCATTCTTATCCGAAAAGGGCTCGCTCACAGGGATCACACTATCCTCCATGGCGACCCTCATTGTTCCACCCACCGGCGCGTGTACACGCAGGGTCTCTCTGACCACAGCGTCCAGATAGGGCATAGCATTCAGTTCGTCCATATTTGGATTGTCCGTTGGCAGGGCCAGCAGCTCCTCACGCAGCTTCCGCTGAACCTCCTTTGCCTGTGAAAGAGCAAAGATCGCCCATGTCGTCCCTGTCGACGTCGTTTCGTGACCAGCGACCATGAACGTAGGGATTTCTACATATTCCATGAGATCGAGGTTGATCATGAAAGAATGAACGAACGTACGAGACAGGACCTCGTGATCAGTAAGGCGCTGGTCCTCAGGTATGTCAATAGCCATGTTAGCCTTGACTAACAGACTAAGCAAGTCACGGCCTGATCGCCGAGTTTCAGGATGAAGACTGAGACAAGACAGATGAATTGCTAGCCACCTTGCACATCGCCTCTCTCGACATGAGCACCATGCTTTTCGCTTTGCACAGCCGCCTTTCGCTCAGAAATAAGGCCATAGCCAATACGCTTCATGGTGTTCTGCGCATACTCTATCTTTTTGTCCCTGTTTGTGCGCTATCCATGCGATAAGCGCCGATGAAGTACGACGAGGGACAAGGGCGCGGCTTACCACGCAACGGAGGATCGGGATGCGAGATTGGAGAAGCCCGAAGAAACGCCATGTCCCAGTAGCATCGAACATCGTCGCCATGGCCTGATTCAGCTCGTTTGGCTTACTACCCTCGAGGGAATCGAAGCGGTAGTTGAATCCGGCAAGACCGATGATGTCCAAAGTCGCCCGACTCAACCATGACAGAGCATCGACCTTGATAGATTCATCGTTGCCTTTCTTCCTCGCCTCGGAAAGCCATGCATCCCGTAGCTGTGCGGCCTTGTCAATGAATATGCCTGTGAGCTCGCGAACCTGGGCGGGTCCGAAGCCGGGGTTCATGACACGGCGTTGACGGCGGTGCGCATCACCCTCAGCGATGAGCAAACCCTCGCCGACGATACGACCGAGGTTGTATCGCCCTAACGCTGGCTTCTGGAACTCGACGGAGTGGCTCAGGATGTGGGACAGCGCCCTGGGGTCGATGGTGTACAAACGATTGCTCTGTGACGACGGAGGTCAGCTTTGGGCGCACTGACATTGGCACCGGCGCGGATTTGCTCACGTTGAACAACCCGTTAACCTTGAAAGTAGGACCGTACTGTTTGATCCATTCATCCTGTACGAGCCCGGAGTCGCCGCTGAGAATCTGAGCGAAGTTTCCGTAGATCCAGCTTGCACTCGGTGGGCCTCTGAGGTTACGTAGTGGCGACCGGGCTCGAACCCAGATTCCGGAGAGGATACTCCACCCTGTATAGAGGGCTACGGCGGCCCCTCCGGAGTAGACAAGCCAAGTAAGCATCATGTATGTCTACGAGCACTTAGCACGTTGGAAACGGGCGAATCTGGGCACGACAGAGAGGCGGTCTCGATATATAAGGTGTCGCCGTATTGCGGTTGGCTATGCAGGGCGACTATCCCACCAAGATGCCGTCCGAACGCGCTGTCCCTGGATCCATAGTCGTCCGCCCTATTACAGTAAAGATCCGTTTTTCCGAGAAAAGAGCGTCAGGGAGCGGAAGTGAAACGCTATTTGCACTGCGGACGCCATTCAACGAGCGACACAACTCCGATCGACTCCGCGCGAACGCTCCTTCATCTCATTCCATCCCAGGCCTCAGGCCCCAGGGATCAGTTACTTCCCGTCATACTCCCCGATCTCCCCGGATTTCCAGCAAGGACGGCAGTAACGGAGAAAACTGACTCCCGCCCGCTGCGCGTTGCATCTCTTCAGCTTGAACGACATGGACATTGGCTGTCTCGCATTGATGTACTACATACATACTCTCAGCAAGACGAATCTTCAATGGGTACCTGAGGGCATGGCTGTGCGAAAATACGAACATCCTGTACTTCCTCATTTCTGGCCGAAATCCGTCCCGCACCCAGTTGAAGCGAAGGGGCCGGGAATTCGCTGGACGATACCGATGATTTTCACGTACCTTGGTGGTATGCGTACGTGCCATTAACTTTCCGGCAATCCGAGCCCGCCGGGGGATTTACCTGTCAAACAGTGTCTCATACACTTGAGGATACAGCTCTCCCTCATGGGCCATACGTCGAATGTGCAAGGCTTCCGTGCTCAAACCGTAGGCCCTCTTCCTTCTGTACGGGCATGTGCCGCCGAACGGCGGGAAAGGCGTCGCAAAAGTCTCAGGTATTCTCGCTGGTGCACACTATATAAAAACCCTGCATTGAGCGATGGACCAGCACAACAACTATCCGCAACTCATCCACCTTGCAACGCAAAGATGTTCCGGAACCTGGTCGCCCTCGCAATCCTTCCGCTCCTGGTTGCCACTCAGGCACCTGCGCCGTTTGGTATAATCGCCACTTCACCCGGCATGGAGTTCATCCATCTCCATCCCATCACAGCTGCGAACGGTTCGCTCTGGATTGGCGCGCCAACGTCTTCGCTCTGCCCTTCGCCCATTCCTCCCGAGGATTGCGCGCCTGGAACGAGCACCGCCTTCGTTGGAGGTCAACCGGCTCTGGGCCTTGACGTAGAGGTTCCCGGAGGACAGGCAGGTGAGCATCCGCTGCGCCGCCGGTTCCCTGAAGTGATACTCACGACGTGCGATATCGACAGTCTTCGTGCAGTCCAATGGTCAGCTCGGCTTCACCCAGGCGCACGTCCCGGTGATTCCGGACGGCGCGACGCTCACCGGTTTTAGCTGGGAGGCGATCGAATCCGACGAAGGCCTCGGACAGCTCTCCACATCCTCGTTCAATGCTACGACGTTCTCCGCCTGTCCGAGGGGTGACCCTTACCCTTACCTGGTCTTCGCTCGTGTTCCTCTCCTGAACTTCGAGTCGTGCACGAACTTCGATGCCGTCACGGTCCCCGTTCCAGGCGGTGGCGCAACCGCGTTTGAATACATCTGATCTCATTGCTTGATGATTGGTAAGTGTAATCTCGTGATGTATATAGATCGATGGCCATATAGGCTAACAACTCATAGGACAGGCGGTCCGTTGAATCTATACACTGTATTTGGGGATGCGCTGAGGAGGGGGAGTGAACAATGTACCGTATCTCTGGTGACAATGCCCGATACCAGTACCTGCTGTACGGGCGAAAGACTTCCTGTATGACGTAATAGATACGATGCTCTTCTACTTCGTAGCATTGACTATTTACCAGTTCTGTTGACTCGATCGCCCTTTTATTTTTGGCAGCTATAAGTGCACAATGACCAGTCGACTACCGAAGCTCGTCGCCTTCGATCTCGACTACGTGCGTGCAGAGCCCGAACGTTCAAGCCTGCGAACGAACGAACCGACCCTTATTCCACAGACCCTCTGGGATCTCTGGGTTGACACTCACGGTGCGAGCGCACTGTAGGGTGAATCAACTTCACCGTGCTGATACCGGATCCTGCGATCAGTGACTCGTAATGTTCTCCTTGCTCACCTGTTGAGCCTCGCTCTGAATGTCTGCGCGTAGCCCCCTTAAAGCGCAACGGCAATGCCTTGAACGAAGTGAAGGACAAGTACGCCCCCCTCCCCCACCGTGTCCCTCCATCCGTCCTCGCCGCCGTACTGACGGCACGTCGCAGATATGGCGAAACCATTGCCTTCTACCGCGACGTGCCCTCGATCCTGCACCGCTTGAGAGACGCAGGTGTTACCATCGCCGCCGCATCCCGCACATCTGCTCCCCGAGTGTAGGCAAACGTATTCCATTAGAATTAGATAACAGGCGCTCATACGTTCATGACACCCCAGAGCACGCCAAGCGCTAGACCTGCTCCTTGTACCTCCTAAACCAGGTGATAAGGACGGCGCGCCGACGAGGGCGATCCAGTTCTTTGACGAGATGGAGATATACCCAGGTAATGGACCCAACATATTGCATCTGCATCGTGTGAGGGACTCCACAACCCTACTTTACAGGATCGAAGATCACGCACTTCAAGAAGCTGCACGAGAGGACTGGGATTGACTACGCTGAGATGGTACGGGCGATTCAGGCCTCTCGCGAGTGCTCCCAGCTGAACCACTGACCATACATTTGCACAGCTCTTTTTCGACGACGAAAGCCGGAACCGCGAGGTATCAAACCTGGGTACGAATCGTCGGAGCATCGCGCTAACTACGGACTAACTGAAGAGCGCATCCTCAGGGGTGACGTTCTGTCTCGTCCGCGACGGCCTGAACGACCGGACGTTCGAACACGGCTTGGCAGACTGGCGCAAGCAGCACCCCGAGTTGGTCGTGGAAGATGCTGCTGGGCAGTCTGCAGAGGAGTAGATTGGATTCGCAGGTATCGTGCCTCCGTATAGATGTTTGCAGGTAGATAGATATTGCTGGAGGTATACTAGTTGATACAGTCTACACGTACAGTCATTAGCCAATGAATCGCAGCCTGGCGACACCAAAGGGAGGGGATAGAATATAATGCAAGAGATTGTCTGTGTGGGTCAACGCCATAAACGGTCCCAGCGGTTCATGCACGATGACCATGGGTTGTAATCTGCGTGAAAGCGATGCTCAGCCTGAGAGTGACCGAACGTAGTAAACATGGCACGTACCAAAGTTCGTGTTTTGATCGCACGCGCATCGGCCTTCCTTCCAAGGTTGTTCGCCTCGGGGACAGTGCGTGAAGGGATTGTGGAAGTATCCAATTTCGTTGAAAAAGTGAAGTTTGTCCTTGGGAAGGAAAAGCGCGGCGGCGATAGAATGCACGGGCGCGTCGCCCCAGCGCTCATAGTAGAAGCCGCCCTTCTGGTCCAAGTAGTCGAAGAAAGTGCTGTAAGCCTCGCTACGCCAGAAGTCCATGTCGGCAATTTCGAAATTGGACCAGAAGTGGCAGAGGTTGTACGTTTTCCCATTGTTGTCGGACAGGAAGCGCATCGCGTTGTTGTCCGCGATGTAGTGCGGGTACTCCATCATGAAGTCGAGGACGTTGCCCCATAGGGTCGGGATCGTCTTCTGGAACTCGAACATAGAGATCGTCCAGCCGTACGTCTTGTTGTGCTCGATCATGTAATGGAACGGATCGTGGTTGATATCGCAAAAGAAGTGGACGTCGGGCTCGACGCGCCAGTACCACTTGTATTGCTGCAGGAGCGGGTGGCGGTAGAAGAAGCCCGAGTTGAAACGGCACATGTTGCGGTAAGGAACGGAGCCACCGTAGATGACGTTGTTGGCAACGAGGTCGTCCCGACCGGCTTTCGCCTTGTCCTCGTCGATCCAGTCGGGCTGGAACCAGTACTCGCGTGGGATAAGGCCGAAAGAGACTGGGGCGTTTGTGAGGACGGAGACTCGTCTGACAGCGAAGTCAGCATCCCTTTGTGTATATGGACACGATCAGACAAGACATACTTCTTGAACTCGTCCGAGAATTCTTCCTCATTGAGGAAGACCCAAGGATAGTTGTGTTTCCTGTTCCAGCGATCCTCGAGCTCGCGCACGCTCTGCACCACACCATTCAGATCCGAGTTGCGCGCGAGCATGAGCAACGTCGCGTTCGCTCGTGGCGGGTAGCCGTCCGCCTGGGTCTCGCCGAACGTTGTCGACACGGTCTCCTGCTCGGCAAGAGATATCCGTGGCGACCCAGATATTTTGGACGTGATATGGCCGATGGACGTAGCGTTGCCGTAGCCCTCGTGTGTTAATGAGAGGATAGAATGTAGGCCGAGCTACAACGGTTGTGAGACCAAGTCAAACCACGATTGAGAGGGCGACGATACGTACGACAAGCAACACCGTCATGAGGACGTAGCGGGTAGTGGTGTTCATCTTGAGCTGGCTGCCGCCAACGTTGACGGTGAAGGGTGGGAGGAGCTGAGATGGGCGTACACGTATATGGAAGGGTGACGTCTATGTAAAGACCAGCGTCGCCCTAGCACAGGACACCGCCGACTTCTTTATCAAACGGGGTGGTCGCGCACCCTGGATTTTGCAACCGAACAAAGCGGGGGGCGCTGGTGTCGCGATCGTCGTCGAACACGACCGGGGATTTCTGACGAGACGACGAGCGCGCCGGGCTCGTTTTGAACAAGCTGCTGTATGGATTCTGCGCAGCCCGGGTCCGCGCCATATCTGCGCTGGGCGCCGTAACGGCCACCCGCATTCCAATTTCCAGAGCGGGTGAAGGTTGCAACGGAAATAGCGGCGCGCGACACAATGACGTTGAGACCACTGGAGGCTAAATTTAGCTACATACCAGGACCCCGGATGCTCTGCCCGCCCCCGCCCCCCGCGACCCTCCGCGACCCCGCCTGGAGATTTGTGGGGTGGATTGGGATCAATGCGCCCTCTGAAGCGCCCGTTCGCATCAACCGCCAGCGACGCGCCCAACAACATTGATCGACTGCCACCACCTCTGGATACCATTGCACTGCAGGTTCGCTCCACAGCCAGGCAGCGGAAATTCAGGGGTGGGCCCCTGAATCTGCGCCGGAAGCCGCCCACGTTCGTTCCCGGCCCCCGCCCAACTACTCGCTGTTGCCCCCCGTGTACGAACCTCCAAACCTCCACGAATCTCGCAGGCAACGCCAGCCGCTGCACAAGATAGACAGTCTTTTGACGGACGCTTTCGGCGTCACGCCGCGATCAGCGCTACCGCGTATTAGAGTGTATCTGCAGGTGGTAAAAGTTCTCCGCAGTGGTCAAAGATGTCCGCGAGGTAGGTAGGTAGGTAGGATTACTCGGCGCGGTCCCAATACCGGAACAGCCGGTTCCCGAGGCCTCGCTTTGGCGAGCTGGGACACAGTGGGAGGAGCCCCGCCAAAAAATGCAGTGCATGGTAAAAGTTCCACCCCACTTCGCCGTGCTGCAGATACACTCTGTTGGGACCACATATTCGCTGCTCTCCTAGAGCCATTTCCGTTCTTGCCGGGAGTCTTGCAAAGCATGAGAATATCAGGCCATGATGCCGGTGTTCCATGTATTGAAATTATGGCATCGACCCCCATATTAGAGGCGGTACCGAGTTGAATCCTAGACCAAGCAACATCTCGGCGTCTGCGCATCCACCGTTGTTCAACGTTCAACAGGAGGACATCTGACCTGCCATTTCGAACTGGAGACCGCATGCGTATGCGCTTCCTATCTTCGCCACAGTCTGCCTGGAACATGTCCCAAAGCTTATGCCTTTGCGCGGAGGCTCGGTACCGCGATAAGTAATGACATACACGGCCTACCTCCGCTATCAACGGCCATCATACATAAGTGCTTTGGTTCTGGTGGCCTTCTCCCGCTCGCAACCCGGTCCGAGTCCTTGCCGTGTCAATGCGCTGTTCACAAACGCTTATATGGAAGATCCTGACCGCTTCCCAACCTTTCCACTCAGCTCAGCGGACTTCACTTGACTAATACTCAGGATCATGTAGCATGGCTTGTAACCAGTAAATCGGCGGAAAGATGCTCCCGCGTGGAATCCGCGTCCCTCGTCAGCGATCGAGATTCGACAAATACTCGTTCGTCTACTTCATCGCAAATGGGCTTGACTTGTCTCCAAGCATTCCTCTTGCAATTCGTGGCCGAATCGATAGCGTGCCCTGGGCCTGAGCAAATGACAGAATGATTCGCCAAAGTCTCCTCGACGCCCTGTTGCTTTACCGTGGCAGATGTATGGCTTCGTTCTGTGTGTAAATATGGATCATATACGCATGTGCGTCTCGCTCATGATATTTAACGAATCTTGGCTTTTGATGTAGCTCTGTGACGTCATATTAAGCGACGACAGCCTGCGATCTTGTTGCTCTTTGTTGCTCTCGGTTCCACGGTCAACTTCCACGGTCAGCTGTCGCAATCGGACTTCATACCGACGTTATAACAACAGCTCAAAGTAGTATGTATGTATATCCTAGAAGATCCCGAACCCAGTCGCCATATAATCGCCCTCCATCGGACGTGCAGACGGTACAATATACGTGAGGAATGGGAAAGTTCACGCCTGGGAGCATTCCGGAGGTGATATATGGTTGCCAGGTACGGTCATCCATGTTCCCTCTGATGCCCTCGATATGTGTTCGTACGAATCATCGATGCAAATGCGCTACTACGACTGCACCTCAGGTGAAGTCCGCCGCCAGCTGGTTGTTTCTACGTCGCCGAATTAGTGCATGATGTGGTAGGTTTATCTGCGCCGGACCCTTACTCGATAGTCTACGAACGCAAAGACCCTACATTCTCGCCTGAGCGGACGTGTCGTGTCAAAGTTCAGGTGGAACTTTACCAGCAACACTGCGGGCGCAAGCGGCGAGTCGATCCGAACGCCTGATATCAGATCCTCCGAGTCGGGTTTCACGAACATGCGCATAGTAACAGGGGTTTCACCTGCGCCTCGGTTGACAAGTGACCGCTCGGGTGGCATTCTCGGAACTGTCCCGCTAAAGGACGGTAGCTTGAAGCCTCAGTATGGCCGAACAAGCCTCAGTATGGCCGAACAAGCCTCAGTATGGCCGAACAAGCGCTTTACGAGCCTTTGGTTCTAATCGTCCGTTCCGAGCTGTAGCGATGAGAGAGCTTGGTATCACGAGCAGTGACGAAAGCTGTAGAGCACTGAAGGTGGTAGAGTTAACTGCGGCCGATCTGCTGGGAACGAGGCATGACCGAAAGAAGAAGGCAGATTGCGCGGTTCTCAGACTTTCTCAGAGGCCAGCGGATATTTTAGGGACACTTCTCGGGACATGCCTGACAGCGCCGTCATCGCCTTGTCCGTATGGGCGGCCGGGGAGCGGCGCCTGACGCAACCCAAGGCCACCTTTGCCCACCTGTTTAATATAACCTTCGACTTTACTCTACGCCACGACTACGCTGCCCATCGGCCGGGACGACGACGAAGAGTTGCTCCTAACGAGGCTTCCGCCGACGGATCGGACTTCGGTCGTAATACATAGCTCTTCACAGCAAAACGGGGTCTGCACCCCGATCTAGGGAACGCCGCTCGTCGAACGCGTCTTTCGACTTCAGTCTTTCTACCCGAGGCTCACCGCCAAAATGAACACGACGACACGATACATCCTCGCGGTTGCTCTCATCATCGTACGCGAACAAAGGCTCTTCGTAGACTCCATGACTTATCTGTCCACAGGTCGCGTTGCATTCCTTGCTAAGTGTTACGCACGAAGAATACGGTCGGGCTACCTCCCTATCTAAACTCGCCTCCCAATGGCCCTCAATATCTGGCCACAAGGACCCGCCGAAAGCGGTACCAGACGACTATTATATCGATGCCAAAATCGACGCAAAGACCGGCGAATTGCTTCCCGTGTCTACCCCACGAATGAACGCGACAATCTTGATGCTGGCCCGGAATAGCGATACGGACAGTGTGATCAAGAGCGTACGAGAGCTGGAAGACCGATTCAATCGCAAGTTCGGTTATCCTTGGACGTTCATGAACGAGGAACCATTCACAGAAGATTTCAAGAAGTGAGCTGTTGGCGTTGGTAGGAAGGTCTGCACAGCTGACGATCTTTCGTTCGCAGGCGTGTATCTGTCCTGCTGAGCTCCCCAGCGGAATTCATTACGATACCGCATGATGACTGGTTCCAACCCGAATGGATTGACGAATCCAAGGCCGAAGCAGGAAGGAACAAGCTTGTCGAAGAGAGCGTCATCTACGGCGGGAGCGTATCGTGCGTGCTACACGATTTTGCATCAATTTCATCGTCCTCACTGGCCCTCTAGATATCGTAATATGTGCCGCTTCAACTCAGGGTTCTTTTACAGGCAAGCTGCCCTGCAAAAGTACCGATGGTACTGGCGTGTCGAGTACGTTCCCTTTCAGACGCTTCCACGTATGAACTTTGACGAGGTAATCCTCAACAGACCCGACGTTCACTTCCACTGCGATATCGACTTTGATCCCTTCCGATTCATGGAAGACAACAACAAGACCTACGGTAAGCCTGACAGTATGCACTATAGAACTTGTCCTGAGTTTGCATAGCGTTCACGATCACCATGTACGAGTTCGACAAGACTATCCCGACATTATGGGAAACTACCAAGAATTTCATCAAGGAGAATCCCCAATACGTCGCTCGCGACAATTTGATGGGCTTCCTATCGGACAACAACGGCGATACCTACAACCTCTGCCACTTCTGGTCTAACTTCGAGATCGCCGACATGAACTTCTGGCGCTCGCCTGCGTACGAGGCCTACTTCGACTACCTTGAGAAGGCCGGCGGGTTCTACTACGAACGATGGGGCGACGCACCGGTCCACAGCATCGCCGTGGCGCTGTTCCAACAAAAGGACCAGGTCCATTTCTTCGACGAGATCGGATACGAGCACAACCCGTACACGCACTGCCCGAAAGACGAGACGACATGGAAGAAGAGGCACTGTTCCTGTGACCAGGGGAGGAGCTTCGGTGAGTTCGGCGTCTTCCTGGCTTGTGGGTCCTCGGGGGGCTGATTGGCATCGCCATGGCAGATTACGACGGATACTCATGCATGCGCAAGTGGGAGGCAGTCACATCATAGACCGCATACAACGCCAATCAACACAGTTTGCCATCGAACGATAGACATCTTCTGTAATAATGATCGGTACGTAATACTCACATAGGCCATTGCCGTGCATACCAGCGCCTGTTGGCCATTCATATGCGTTGCTGTAGCTGCTTTCTAGTGACATCTTTGGCAGACTTCCGCTGCATGCTTTCTTGATCGCATACCCTCATGTATTGTAGTGATCGCATATTTCATCATTGCATCTGCAACGACGTCGGCGACTCGGAGGTGACTGTACATAAAGAAACAGCCCGTCATTTCGCAGCATGCTTAGTTGACGCATAGCCAACATCAGCCGGGGCCAACCCGGCGCGCCGTCCATCTCTCCGGAGTGGGTCTTCTATAACCGGAAGGGCGCCCTGGCAACACAGCCCGCGGAATAGCGCTGCAACACTTGCTTCCGCGCTTCATAAATACCCATCTGAGCCCGCACGGGCCTCTGGTTGGATCGCATTGCTGGTTTACTGGACATATTGGCTCGTCTGGCACCTGGCACTGGCCTTGGAACAAAGCCGTTTGATTAGGGACTGCATGTTTGTTCCCAGTTTCGGCGGAAAGCTGTGTTCTCCGTGCTCAGAACCTCCGGTTACACCTCCCGAGAAGTGAAGGTTTGCCGGGATAGCCAACCAAGCTCTACAAATCAACTTGCCAGGCAGTCGTCCCGCGCTCCTGATTGTCCGCATGTGCCTGATCCGCCCTAGCACATAACCTTCCTCGTTGTCCGACCGACCTCTCACCTCTCACCTCTCACCTCTCACCTCGCCTCCATCTCTCGTCTTATTCTTTCCTCTCCATGGCCAACAACAAGGTACCTCTGACCCGGGAAGTCCTGCTCGTGGTCCTGTCCGACCTCGCCGCCCGTCTGCTCGTCATGTTCGGGCGAACCGTTACCCTCGCCGTACACGGTGGTTGTGTGATGGTCCTCCACCCCTACCTGCAAGGTACCCGTCGGTCGACGCAGGACGTCGACTACATCCACCGCACCTTCGCCAGCGAGTGGGCACACTTGCCCGACGCCACACAGCGCCTCAAGCTGTGCATCGCGGCCACTGCGCAAAGCTATAACCTCGGGCCGGATTGGATGAATTCTGATCCCGATGTCGCGTTACCGGTTCAGGTCGAGTACGTCTGCGATCTCGTCACCCGACGACGACTGCTGACCGAGAGCGTTATCCGTGCTGCGAACCGTAGCATGTATGGTCGGCCATGCGAAACTGTCGGTTACCACACGAAAGCGCCCGGGATGAAAGAGACGATGACCGTGTTCGCGGCCCCTGGGCTCCGTCTCATCGCCGTCCCTTGGCTCTGGGCCATCGCGCTCAAACTCGTGCGCTATCAAAAAAACGACCCGGCTGACATTGCCGCCATATTGCGCATGGCGAAGGTGCGGCTCCCGCACCTCCAAGTCACGCCCCAGCTCCTGCAATCCTACCTCCTGCGATATTGCCAACCCATGTACCAGCCGTATATGCACATGCCGTCGCATATGCAGGCATGGGCCGCGCGTATAGAGGACGCGCTCGGGCGCGCTGCGCGGCCGCAGATCTACTGGTGAATCACCGACTTGCCTGATTTTCGTCACTTTTCATGCACAGACATCTCCTCTGCTTCCAAACTTGTACTGTTACACTCACATGATGGTTCTGACCTTGCTCTCTGTACAATGTTTGCATCCTCTTGGGCATCCAGTCATTGTAATCCCTCCTGCATTCCGGCGTGTTCGTTACGGAAACACTACCATACGTTTTGGCTTATTAGGTGACCGTGTTCGAATTCAATGCTGTCTCCATATACTGTACATACAATACCCAGCGTTGCTCCCTGAACTAAAATACGGGTGAGAAGGCATCTTATGTGGGACCGTCAGGCGGGGCGCTGGGCTCAGCAACCGTAGGGACGAAGTTGCGCAGCTGAGCAGGGACCAGCGATTCGGGTATTTGCGCGATCTGGTCGAGTGGCGCATATTGCGCGAGTGCGAGCAGGTTGATGCGCAATTTCCGTATTTCGGGGTCTTCGGACGCAGTGTCGGCGGGTACGTCGCTCTTCCCGATCGTGGGTGCGTCCCCCATCTGCACATCTCCATCGGTGTCTTCCTTCTTAACGTTGGAGATACCAACCTTGCGTCGCAGGCGCTCCGTCATCTTCTGCGCAACCCATTGGAGCGTGTACTCCAGTACTTTAGGTCCATCGATGACTACAAATTTACCGTCAGATATGGGCGCCTCGTTGTGAGATGTTTCATCATTACTTGGTTTCGCCTGCGATCCGGCATCGTTCATCTGGGCTTGAATATATGCTTTCCCAACCCACTCTTTGGCTGACACGATGAGCTCGTCGGGTGAGCGGATAAGCGCAGCCATGTCGATACGCTCGGCGGCCAGAGTTCGCAGAGCGAGCAATTGTTCAAACAGTCGGGGGTAGAGGATTAGGGACCGCGCCAGCTGGATCTCCACGCTGGAGGAACCATGTGGATTTATATCGCGCAAAAGGAGATCGGAAACCTCGCGCAGGATTCCATGGTGGCCATTCGTCAACGGATCAACAATGCTCTTTTCTACCCATTGCGACAACGGCATGCCGAGAGCGTATGGTCTTCCATCCTACCGAAGAAAAGTTGAGCTTGGAGGTAGGGCGCGACATATCGTACGCACCACTGGCGCATCTCCAACAAATTCTGCTAGGCTTCTCATATACGCGTATCCATCAGGACCGCCATACACAACATCACGGATGTACCCCTCGGCTTGATGGGATGTTGTCGGACTCCAAGAGCCATGGTTGCTAGACGTTTCTGGCGTCCCTTGGCTCCGCGCAAGGCTGTCCCGTAAAGTCTGCAGCAATGACTCCTGGCTCTTCAAAGCCTTCGGATCTACGCCCGTCTCCTCCGCCAGCTGCATGGGCAGTTCCGCCATCACCCCAAAGTCCGTATGCTCTGGCGGTCTAAATCGAAGTATAGCTTGACTCGTCTCCTCCGGTTCAGTAGTATCTTTGTGCCTTCGCGATCCACCGCGATGTATCGTCCAGTGTTTGCGCTTTCCGGGCTTCTGAAAGACTTCTATGGGAGGAACGGCGTGTGATGGAGGGAGAAGCGTCGGAATGGGTAACGTCTGCTCGGGTGGGGAATCTATGGACGTTGGAAAGAGGGGGACGAGATCCGGCACCGAAAACGGTTCTGGAACGAGGTCCGTGAACAAGGTGAAGGGGTCCTCGACTACACAAGATATCAGTAAACAGCAGAGTTGAAATGTAGTCGGATATTACTGTTCCAGTAGTCGAGACTGCCGTCAGGCAGATGAGGAAGGCCATCCTTCTCAATGCGGAGGCGTTCTTTCTTGGTCTTGTATCTCTTGCCTACAGTGCAAGATTCAGTAAGGATGGAATGGTGGGGTAAGAATATATGCGGACCATGGCGTCTCAGGGCAGACATGAGCTGAGCAAAATCCGAGCCCGGAGGAAAGGCATCTAAACCGTCCCTGTAACCCGGTAGATGTCCATCTTCATCAAGCCCGGCAGCTATACTCGATCCAATCGTAGGTTGTTCCTTGAGCGGCTGATTTTGGGACTGTGTAGAGTGCGCCATCTGGATCCTCTGAGGTCGGCTCGTCGTCCCGCCCATCATAGGGGTCGAGACAACGGATGGGGAACGGGTCTCGCGCGTGAGTCCATCGTCGCTTGCGCGCCCTGTAGCAGTGTCGTCCTCGTCGTCCATCATGTCCTGAGGCTCCCCATCCCCCTCGATGTCTAGATTCCAGTCGGTCTCATATTCGATGACGGTCGTGCTGGCCCTGTTGATCTGATCTAGGCCGTAGTTCTCGATGCGTTCGGCTTCAGAGTGGTATATTGTCCCAGGTGGGTTGAAGGTTTTAGCGTTCGTTGTCACAAGCTGGAAGTCTGCCTATAAACAACTAATGAACATACGCTATAACCAGTAGATGGCAGTACAGCTTACCTTGAACTCTTCAAGGGTGCGGTACTTCCCGCGACTAACTTTATGTGAGATTGTGCCTAGGTCCATCGGGTGTTTGATGAGATCCGCATATCCTGGTACTGCTGCAACGTCAACTGGTTGCAGAAAGAACGCATAATCGTCTTTCCTAAGATCAGGGTGAGCCAAGCTCCAGAGGGTTGTGTAATGTATCAAACCCACTTCTTTATCTGGGTTATTATGCGCGTCAGAACCTCTTTGAGAGGCTTCAGCTTGACCGCCCTGGGTGCTTTCGGGGTAACATCTTGAACCAACGACCCCTTCCTAGCCTTTTTGCCTCCTTTCCCTAGTTTGCCACCCTTAAGTGGTGGAAGAATGAGCTTGAGTTTGGAGGAGCTGGCTTGGTTGGACTGAGAGGGATCTGGAGAGTATGAAAGCTGATCATTCGCGTAAAACGACGAATTGTCCATCGACTCCGAGGCGTCACGAGCAAACGTGTAGCACCCGCACCATTAGTCAGCTTATTGCGTGTGAACTAGGATGTGGCTGAAGTTCTTGAGTTTCGACCTTGACCATGACTTGCCGTTTTACCGAAATGAAGTCCTTGCAAATCGCGCTGAATGCAGGCCATACCTGATCATAACTCAAATTCTTTTTGGTCGGATAGGTTAACAGTTGATCAAGGCATGCATGCCCGGGATGAAGGGAGTGTGCTCGTTTCAGCGCCAGTCTCTTGACCGCACAATTTCTGGCTCCAATCCTCAGGTTAGTAGGATGCATCGTAATGCATTTGTACCACACAATATATTGCGGAACACATGGAGGAACCCAGATCTCTTGACCTACTTTGGTTGATGGCGGGCTGCCAACGAAGATACTCGTTCTTCGGTGAAAGGCGGGATGTCACGGTTGAGACGCTCACAGTAGTCAGGGCTGGATTAGGTCCAGGCCCAACGCCGTCCGACCATCGCAGGAGCTTGAAGCAAGTTATTTGGGACATCTCGCATTCGGCAGCAGTAACGAGTCTACATGCGATCGACGCGCCACTTCCTCCAGATAAGACATGGACCAATTGCCGGGTAAGTCTTAGTTCAAGCCGACTCCGTAAAGATTAATGTAGCTTCTGCAGAAATATCATAGATGAATACCGTTCCGCGGGTGTGGCTGAGCATCGATGTTACCTTGCCCCAGGAATACCCCAGAATTGGGCCCGAACAGAACCGCAGTTAAGATTGTCCGCGCAATCATGCTTCGGCCTGCTCTGCTCCGCCTGGCACTGCGCAGACGTCACGACAACCCTGAGTGAGAATGATCTAGGGTTTTATGCGGAACGATGAGACTGCGAGTGGTTTGTCGGTCTCATGACTACCGAAGATTGTGACGACCTAACGGACAAAAGACAGTCCTTTGGAAGGAACGCGGCTCAAGATTATATAGTATAGGGTTCTCGCGTTGAAGCATTTGCTCTGGAAACCCTATCACAACTAATAAGGTGCGTCGTGAGGGCACCTTAGTATGACCCAAATACAACCACTGACTCGATGATCGTAGGATTTCCTCTATCACGATGCTTTATGTGCGTTCCGAGGATGTTTAGCACAATTACCCAGCACCGCTGTCAACATTCATATCCGAGGTTCAACATATCGCGGGCTCCGATAGATCTCCCAAGCTGTCAATCATCAAGGCATCACAAGGAGATTCGCCATTATATCCGAGGAGGGTGACAAGATATAGACGTCTTATTGCCGCTGGTATTCCCTCATTCAAACCCGAGACAGAAGTCGTGACGCCGCATAGTCGCTGCGAGGTCTGCCGCCGGTTATCCATCGCCGCAAAACGCCAGCAGACAGGTGGTGGCTCTCTACCTGTCGCAAAGTTCTGTTCAAGAACCGCAACCGCTGCTTCGCCAAGCTTCATTGTCGCCTTGCTTCAACCCCGAACCTACCTTCCTGCAGCTATGGCCGCATGGCCGCAACTCGGCTTCGATCTACGGCCACCAAGGCACGAGGCAGTCTTGATCATGCTCCACTATGTGCATAGAAAGGCACCAATACCGAGGTCACCGCAAATTCGTTCGTTTATTCCGGTTCATTCCGAGCGACGTGCGAGTAACGTCACTTCTTTCGCAGGTGCCCTGGATCATTGAAGAACTATCATTCATTCATCTGCATCTGCATGCTGGGGCTCGGATGTAGGCACTTGCTACGGCGTTCGTCCTGCCCCGAAGCTCCCCGAGAGTCGAGTTGTGTCTGAGCTTGGACCCACGGTAGCCAGGTTGCTTCGCGACTGTTCACTTCTACAATCGCTTAATTCGAAATTTACCTGATTTGGGTTCTCCCGGTGAGTAAACGCTGTTCCAATATTCGCCGGAGACGGAGTCGCGAGTGCTGGTGCCACTACTACTGACACCGACTCATGTGAATGTCTATGAACATGACCTGGTGCATCCAGCTGTACGAGGGGATGCTAACCGAGATGTGGGCTCAAGCTCGACGTGTGATCGGCTTACATTCTCTCCCAGTTCGGGCGCTTCCTATTACGTCTTTGGGCTGAGGCAAACGGCAGTCTAAATTTGGTTCGTCTCCAGCTGCGCAACGTGAGCCAGCATGCCCGCGTTTCGTCGGTTGAGGTTGTCGTCCTCGCTTGTATTTGTGACGCCGTCGCAAGTTGACGGCTGCGGCCTAGTCCTCGGATCGTCAGTATCTCCCGAGGCTATTGTTAAGCTTCATTTTTAATGCAATGTTCCAGGGAACCTTGTACATTAGGCGCCACGCAAATAGCACCCGAGATTGCACACCGTACACGCCTCTGCTTCGGCACTCGTGTTGTGTATCTTGCAGGCGAGAAATGCGATAGCCTGCTATACGCCGAAGGTCCTCGGATCTTGATTTGTTCTTACCACCCTCACCTAGAGGGCAATCGCCTCGTTTACTTCCGGACCACTGGCGGACCCATCGGCATTTCTGTACGCCCGCGTGAAGATACTGCCACGCTCGTGCGTGTGCTTCTCAATCATCTACATTCTTGCATGGCAGAACCTCGGAAACCACCACGTTTTTGGTGCGTTCGAGTTTCAGGTTCACAATGCGGAGAGACGTCCGGGACTGAATATCCATGTCATCGGTATGAAGTCATTATTTGCACACACAATGCCGGCCCACGTGGGGAGATGCTTAAGATTGCACACCAGATGCAGAGCAGTGTAGTGGCGTTCTGCACCAAGCCCCACCATGCGAGACGCTTCTACCGCGCCACTATCGAGGTGCACATCCTCGGCTTAGCTCAGGACATCCGCGGCACATGAGATCATATCATCTGCGAAGATATGCGGGCATTTCTCCAAGCAGCAACGGACGTCTTGGTTTAACGGCAGCGCCGGCAATTTCTCAGCGGTGAGAGTCATCATCCGACCCCCATTCAGTCCCTCGAACTCAAGAATACGGCATTCATTCAAGGCGTTCCATAATGACGGGACCAATCCGCGCGCAATCGTTTGATTGAATCCTCTAATTCCTTAATCAGGACGCTGTCACACAGACCTTGCAAGAAGCCTCGAGAAGTTCGCGCCCTCGAAATAGGATGGTGAGTTCCTGGACCCGCTGGGAAAATGTAACGTACGGTCGATAGCTCATACGCGCCATGCAGTGCCCTCTGGCGACCGCAAAAAATTGTCGACGCCGTGCTGTCGCGGAACGTAAGCCCGCGCAGCGTGCGGCATATCGTAGCAACTCGTCTCTATGGTCACGCGGCGTATTGGCCAGACCTGGCCGGACCCTGCCCTGCGAGATACGAGCGTCATGGATCGTCTGACCACATTCATATGCGATCGACCAAAGCTGAGTCGGTTCCACCCCTGAAGAGTAGCACACACCCTCTACCATATTCCCGGGCGAGCAAAAATGAACGGGGTACTATCGGATGGGCTTGCCACGTTCGCTGCGGTGATTTCAGTGACTCAGTCGAATTCCTGATTTGTCGATGCCCAGCGTCTTCTTGCTCCTCACAGGTCAGGCACGATCCAAAAGCATTCTTTTCTCGACGGCCCACGTGGAATATCTCTTGCCATTTTCATATGCTGGCCATCGCACGGCTAATCTGGTCTTGCGCGGGTACGCCCCGCTTCTTTCCTATTGTTTGCAGACGGCGTTAAGAAGACCGGCTGCCTGACATAACGAGCAAAATCATTACACCACCCTGGCCGTGGTAAAGCGTTATGATATGAACGTTGTGTGCCGTGCCGTGAGCGTGATTCTTCTCCAGACATGGTTTTGCGTACGATGTCTGCGTTCATTTGGGAGATGGAGCGAAAATTTACGCGCCACTTACTGCACCTTATCCGCTGCGATCGTCCTGCGCGGCTTCGACGTGTGCAAAGCACGCAGAGATGGCTCTGACGGTCGACATGGTTTTGGCCATGCTACGGATCATATGGGAACGGGCGGGGTGGGTTGCGCTCGTTCTTCAATTATCGATATGGACGTATATTGCGATGCCATAGCGATCGCGCGCGTCCGTCGAGGACGACGAGGAGCAGGGGCGGCGCTTTGGGTCGGGACGGTCACGGGGGATGCCGGCTTCTCACCGCGGAAGGGCTTAGCGCGACGCGATGTCAGATTCGCACGATGGTTGCCCCCAGCGTCCGCCAGAGCTCGCGACGGTTGCAACGCTGCTACGGCGGACTGGCAACGCGAGTCGCTCTGGACCTGCACTCGACGCCGGCGCGCTGCATCATCCATCTCACCACCGCGCTGCCCTGCCGAGGTGACCGACCCCTCCTCCTCATTCAGCAATCCCTTTCCACGTTCCCTTCCAAGCCCGGTTCCACGCAGAAAGACGCGTCCTGGTAAATCTCGGGTATCGAGGGACAAATCTTGCAAATATGTGCGAATCCGACCGGTCCATCCGCATATCGGAGCCTCATTCAATTCGCGCTCCTCGACCCGGCTGCGTTCCCCTCCCCCTTCTTCTTCCCCCACGTCCTCGCTCGTTTTCGATGTCCACCTGAGGCGCTTCTCCTCCCGCTCTTTGGCTGCTATATACCTTAATTTTATAAACCTCTCGCTCGCATGTCTGGTTCTGGTTCCACTACCCCGACGCCTAATACTCCACACACACTACGCGTCAACACGCCTGCTTCACGGTCCCCGACGACCTCACGACTCTCAACGAGCTCGATCCCCGCTCCGCCCCCATCGGAGTCGCATTCAGAGCAAGCACACCGATCGGGCTACCGCCCCCTCGATCCCGTCCACGAACCCCAGCCCTCCTCTGCGCGCGCCGACGCACCAGAACCAAGCTATCACCAGCGATCCACCGCCGCACCATACCCTGGAGAGCAGCAGATATCGCTCTCCGAAGCCCCCCTGAGAATGCGCATGCGGAGCCCGTCCAGCTCCTCGTCGCGAGACGATCTAGCAGACACGGAGGAGCCAGCCGTCGTCCAACGATTCGAACAGCCCGTCATGGGAGAGCCGCCCGCCAAGAAGAAGCGGACTCGCATGCTTCTGACGCCGTATCAGTCCTCCGTTCTCAACGCCCTCTTTTCTCAGGTGGGCATCTCCGTTTCCGTGCCTGCGTTAACCGCGTATTGACGAGATTCAGTCTCGCTTTCCCACCACGGCTATGCGTGAAGAGGTAGGCAGATCCATCGGGCTCAGCGCACGGAAAGTACAGGTAAGCACTCCGTATGGCGGTATCCGGATCTCCATCTTGACGCGAGTTATGTGCAGATCTGGTTCCAAGTGAGTATAAATCTGCATCCGCATGGCTGGGCTCTGATTTCGCTGTGCAGAACCAGCGTCAGAAGGCTAAGAGGCCTCGTAGTCAAGGGACGGCTTCATCAAATCAACCGCCGCAATACGGACCTTTCACCAATGCACCCCCCATGGATCCTGAGGCGGCCGGTGCCGATCCCGAACTAGGCCTCCGTGAGAGGCGCTTTGGCTATCCTGGGCCGCCGCCTTCCGCGGAGGGTGCCCTTCCTAGCGGGCTGCCGACCGTGATCATGTTGCCTGAGCCTGGAGGATTGACTGCGCCGGGAATGCCACTTTCAGGTCCTGGCGTACCCGGCAGCACGGGTGGGAGATCTGCGCTCCCTGCCCTTAGCATTCGTCCTCCCGGACCCTCCGGATCGCTGCCCAGCCTCCATCATGGTTCCGACTCCTCATCGTACGAATCCTCATTTGGGCGTTCACCTCTGACGAGGTGGTCCCCGTACGAAACCGCATGGGCGCAACGCGGTCGCTACGCAGGTTACGCTTCGGACACTGATCCAGCCTTAGTGCTTCCACCGCTGCGCTACGAGAATACTGGGCGCAGGGGCAGCTTCTCGGCACCGCCCACTGGCTATGCCGATCCTTCGAGGGCACCAGCTACGCCGACCTCGCCCGAGTCGCCTGCGGGCTCGCAGTATAGCGACCGCTCACCCTCGTTTGCGCCCATTCCTCCGCCGTTCACTCTGCAACCGAACCCCATCTGGGACCATACGGCCTTCACGTCCGCGTTCACGTTTCCCCGCCAGGCTAGGTCACATGACAACTCCCCCTCTCGTGGACGGCCATCCACATCCTCAGGGTACGGACGCGGACAATCTCTCACGGCGCCTCTGCGCGGACGATCCGGGTTTCCAGGAGCGTTGAGCTACGCACCCCACAATCCCGACGAAGGCGATCCGGAGCACGGCCTATCGCTCGCAGTCCGTCAACCGCGCTCGGTTCACCGTTACGATCCCATCGCCAGTTCGCGTACGGAGCCCGAAGCCTCCACTTCGTACACAAGGCGCCTTACCCTCCCTGCGTTAGAGCATCCCTCAGATGACATCGACGACGACAACGAAGAAGAAGAGGACGACTGAAACGCCAACTACACCCCTTCCTTAGAGACCCCAAGATTAATTCCCGTGGCATCAACCGGGACGCACGCCCTCTTTCAATGACTTGATCGACTCCTCCACGCTCTTTTCACGACTCTGATACGTATCATAGGACAGGGTTCTCCCTCGTAATCCCGTCCTTGCGACTAGGCGGCACTATAATCATCCACTCGCTTTCGTTTGTTCGCACTCTCCTACTGCTTCCTCCTTTACTTGCGCTCCTGTCTCGTCGCGGACGCACATCCATGATCTCATTCGATCGATATAATCGCCTCATCTTACCCCGCTTCGCGCGGAACTAATATCGCTTCTACGATACTACATATTCCTATTCGCGGTTTGGTTTTCCATTGTCTGTGCAACATTCCATAGTAGTACTCCAAGTGTAGTAACTATTACCGGATCCGCGGTTAGACCCAAATGTATAATCATCTTCGTCGTTCATGTAACCTTGCTTTCAGTGCTTCTTCTCTGGACCCGGCAAGCGCTGAAGAGCCCTGAAACCCGTTGACGTGAGTCTGCCCCGCTCTGCCTGCACTCGCGGCAACGCGCTTCTCCGCAGCTAAGCGGACATGCAACAGCGCTTCGTTTCGCAACCTCGCCTCCATGGCAGCAGATGCATCGCCGGTTTCGTTTCCCTCGCCAATCCCGCTGCTATCCCCTTGATTGCCTTCCGTCAGGGCGCTCGTCGCGGGGGGCGATAACCCGGTATGGACAGATGAACGCAGGTCTCGCTTTTCCCGTACGAGCTTGTTCAGGAGGCGGCGACGCGCCATATCCACAGATTTGGAGGCAGGATTGACTGATGTGTCTCCGCTTTCGTCCGTGGGAGGATTTCCGAAAGGATGATCAGGCCCTTCATGGCTCTGAGATGACGTATCTTCCGGCTTCTGAGAGTAAGCGGATGGCTGTACGCCAGCGACAGACTCATTTCGCAGCGCCGCGAGGCGGGCGCGGGTGCGTGCCATTATCTGCGGGGCCGAAAGCGAAGCCGAAACGCCCGCTGCTCCTTTGGTAGTCAGGGTCGACTCGGAGCGGTGGGGGGAGGTTTCGGTCTCATCGACGGGCGCAGATGAAGGTGCGTGCGACTGAGGTGTAATGGAAGGTTCAGTAGCAGTATCGCTCACCGCCCGTTGGAGCGAAGACGTTTTACTCCTCGTTGTACGCGATATGGCCGGGGCCGTTCCAAGATGTGCTTGCACGAGGTCCTTGAGGCGAAATGGTCTCGTGCGAGGAGCCGGGTTCCCATGTGCTACCTTGGGTGACGGTTCGTTCGGCGTGGAGTGAAGGGAGGGTGTAGGTAAAGATCCCACAGGCACTCCGTCGTTGGGGCTTGCACCTACCTCTGCTTGTGGTGCCTCCGTTGCACGGTGCTTGCCCTTGTCGCGAGCGGTGACGATTGGGGTGTCGTGATTTTCCGGCTCACGAGGAACACGCTGCTCAGGGCAGTCGCGTGATGCCGAAGGTCTGGACCTGCTCCTGCTCCTTGCTCTCGTCCTTGCACGCTGACTCTCTTCTCCGGGAGTCCGTTCGTCGAGTCCGTATTCACGAGCAAGTCGCTGATCCTCATGTTCGTCGTCGTATCCACGAGCCTTGCCCTGGCACACACGTCCTCCGCTAATAGAACTCCGTCGATAATGGCGTAGACTATCTCTGGATCGCTCACGCGATGATATTGAGGACGCGGGGGACCTGAGCGGGCTTTCCCCTGTGGAACGTGCCCGCGGACTCTCATAGTCATCGCGAACACGCGGACTCAAATAGCCGAGCCGGCGGGAGGGTCCTGGCTCAGGCTCATGCTGCCACCTTGAACTTCTTGCCTGATGGACCGGAGGTGGCGGTACCTCCTCCGACACGTCGTACTAGAGCAACGGGTGAATTCGCGATGACAGCAAGAAAGGGAAGAACTGACACACCTGAACGACATCGTCGTATACATACAGATCGCGGTAAGGCGAGCGGATATATGAATAGAGTTCTTGTAGGTAAAATCGTCATCACTAGGTTGTCATTCAATAACGCTCAAGACGTGACGTACCGTGAGCAAAGTGTTCCGCATTTGTGTGCCTAGCGCCGACGACATAGGGTGTATCCATGTCGAGGAACTCGGCAAGCAACTTGACTGCCGACTCGGAGCGAATGTCAATGGACTTCATTAGCGACAGTATGAACGTGGTCAAAAACTTCACGAGGCTCATTAGTCCGGTGGCCAATGGGTAAGCAGGGAACACGGACCTCCACGTCCATATTGGGCCATACGCGCAACTCGCGTCTGATGAATGCGGTTGCGCGGCTGATGTAGTCTGGAGAAGCAGCGAACTGGGCCGGTGTCGGATATGCCTTGTACCGTGTAAACGTGTTGGATGCAACGTGCTACAGAAGTGGGAGTCATAAGCGAGACGCTCCAAGAGGAGACCAACGTACGCTGGCTGCTCAGCGATAACGCCTAACCTAACCTTAGCATACAAGTTGTGTTCATAGATCCAGCGGCGTTTGCTGATGGCGCGCTCCAACTGGTCCTCTTCTCGTTCACGGTCGCGACGCTCTCTTCTTCCCCATTCAACGCGACGTCTTCGCCGACTTCCACCACGGGATGCGTTGTGAGATAACAGAGGGACGGGTCGCGGAGAAGTGCGCAGCGTATGCAAGTAGTGCTTTTGGTAGTCATACTTCGAGCGGATGCGATGAATAAGGTATTCCCCAATGTCCTGCGAGCATAAAGGGCATCTCCTGGACTGCTCTATCAGAAGGTCAGTCTAGACACATTGACGCATCACATCATATCATACCAGTCCACACGAGGATACAGTCGAAGCAAAATTCTGCGTGTCACTTAGTCAATTCGAGGTGCTATCAACCTGATAGAGTCCTCTTACCATGAGAGCATCGGGGTAACACGGTCCGATCTTCTACGGTTTGCAAACATATGCTGCAATGGTCGCCCTCGTCTTCAACCGGGACTTCTGAGGCCTCGCGAGTGGTTGGTGTAGCAGAGTCATTTGTTTTATCTTCTTGAACCGGCGAAGGCAGAGAGTCCAACCGTAGTCGTTTGGTAGGAGGTCCGGACGGCATTCCACTGGGCGTCCAGGAAGCCAGAAGGTAAAGTCCTTACGACAGTCGTGGCTTACACCGTTACTCTGACTAGAAGCGTGTATTTCTCACAGTCAGAAATCTGAATTCGTGTTCTTATGTACCGCTTTACGAAATGGTCATCATGCTTTCGTTCCGCAACACACTTCGTGCTGACGGTGGTACCCGACCGCTCCGGCGTCGCATGCTGCGCTAGTACAGCAACTACTGCCTTCACTTGTGTCCTTCACTTATCTTTCATAACCACGGCCAGCCAGTGTGATATTCGTGGTGTCCCATTAGGACCGTGTACACCAGTATGAGCTCTCTTACATTCTTGGTAACAGAGCTTCAGGTATGTCGTCGTGCTCGACCATCCGAAATCTTCATGTTAAGATCATTTGGGGCAGTCGCTGGCAAGTGAGACCCGGAGGAAGCATCCGGAAGTTCGCGAGGTGTGATTTCCATAAGAGTCTTGCAGATCGAACGTGTTGCTCACTGAAGCCCAGGCAGCGGAGAAATCATTGACTATCTTCAGAGCCTCACCCGAACAAGCAACGCTCAATCTTGCCAAAGGTGTGCATATACCGCGGTTGATATGAAGGAATCCCATGCTGACCAAGAGTAACGTCATAGATGGTCCACAATCCGATGAGCTGTTGCGGCCCATATTCATGGGTTGCGCGACGAGGAACGCCAAGGTCGTTGGGATTGCGTTGGGGTCCTTACAGCGCCTTATATCACTCCGGGCGGTACCGACAACCTCCGTCCCGGCCATCGTCCAGACAATGGCGGAGTGCATGAGCCAAGGCGTGGACATTCAGCTCCGCATCCTACAAACGCTCCTATCCCTAATCACGAACTATCCGAATGCCCATGGGCAATTGCTTGGTGACGTATGTCCGACCTCTCCCACGAGCGTAAACTGCTTCATTAATATCCCTTCAGGCGCTCCTATTATGCTTCAAGCTGCAGGACTCTCGGATAGCAGTTGTGTCGTCTACGGCCGCTGCTACCCTGCGTCAACTAGTGATGTTCGTGGTAGACAAGGTCGTAGATGAGGACAAACATGATGTGTCAGACGAGCAGCAACTCTCGTCTATCACTTTGCCCGACGGTACCGTTACGAATGTGGGACCATCGGCTCTGGATGCGTACGCCATCTTCGAAGATCTCTGTTTGTTGGCAAATTCGGAGAAGCCTCGTTTTCTGAAACTTGAGCACCTCCACAAAACGTTTGCACTCGAGCTAATAGAAAGCGTGCTTACCAACTATCATGAACTCTTCCGCAAGGTATTTGCAACTTAGGACCTGAAAGTCCAGGGGCCACTGATTTTAATTTCTATCAGCACAGGGAACTCCTACTTCTTGTACAGCATCACCTCTGCCCTTTGCTCTTGAAAGCGCTCTCCGATCGGCCCGTATTCCCGCTTAGCCTCCGCGCTACACGAGTAGTCTTCCTCTTACTCAAGAAGTTCTCGTCGGAGCTCAAGACGGAGGCTGAGGTGTTCTTTATGCTACTTATACGAACCGTTGGTGGCGATGCGGACAGCGGTTCAGGGCATGATGCTCATGGGTCGCGCCCTTTGTGGATGCGGGTGCTGGCAATGGAGATCATGCGAGGGTTCGTATTCTCTTCGGCGCGCATACAACGTCGTACTGACCGTGGCTCATCAGGCTATGTGTTGACGCAGAGCTCATGCGCAACGTTTGGGAACGATATGATGCGCAAAATACTGGCTCAAAAGTGTTCACGGCTCTGGTCACCTCACTGAAACGCCTTGTAATGGAAAAACCTGCGCTTCTTGGCGTATGCTCTCAGATGTTAGGTCTAGGTGTGCATTCCGGTAGTGAAGTTGCTCTCGACTCCGTAGGAGGAGTTGCTGGGATGGTAGCGAACGCTGCTACGGCCACCATGTCCGGTGTAGTGGGTATGATCGCATCCGGACCTGGGTTGAGCATACAGGGTTCGTCCATGAAGCTGCAATGGCGAGTCGATCCGCATCTATCTACGTCTTACGCTCACTCCATGGAACAGCATCGACCAGCTTGACAAAGCTGATTCACCTCCGATTCCGGAATCTTACATCTATCTCCTCGGAATCCAATGTATCATTGGACTTTGTGAAGGCTTCGCTACATTCGCCGCTCCGATATACACCACAATCATGGTCCAGAAGCCTCGGGCGGCTGGTGATGCGGTCGTGCGGGCTCCACCCGCACTTGACTTATCCAAACTTCCCCCAGAAGACCCGAGCACTAAACAAATGCGAGCAGTGCATGACATGGTCGACAATGGATGGCCCGCCCTTCTAGCGGCGCTCACATTTGTAATATCCACAAACCTATCCGACGAACTCTTCGCGGATGTTCTTGCCAGCTTCCAGGCGTTGACGAACGTTTCGGGTATGCTTGGTCTGAAGACACCCCGCGACGCATTCTTCGCGAGCCTTGCAAAGGTCGCGATACCCTCGATCGTGGTTTCTAGCGTTGATTCGTGGATGGAAAACCAGACGCCTCGTACCGCCTCCAGCTTCTCCGAAGGCCTCGGCCTCAGCGCTCCGGCCCAATCTCCTGGCCTCTCGGAGAGGAACATGGCTTGCCTCAAGGTCTTCATTTCCAGCGCAGTTTTCCTCGCGGGGAGCTTGAACGAGTGTTGGTTCGACGTGCTGGAGACACTTCAGAATGCAGAGTACGTCATAACACTCAAAGGGACCAGAACGATAGCTCCGAAAAGCGGCAGCGTGGCGAGTTCAACGGCCACTCGCACAGGAGAATCATCGTCCTCCGCAGGTCACCCTCTCCTCCAGGACCTCAGTTTAGAGAGCTTGCAAACGGCCATCCAACGATTATTCGATGCATCGAAGAACATGGAAGATCCTGCATTCCACGAGTTTCTGGAGGCCTTGTGCCGGTTGAGCGCCGAGATGATCGAAATGCAGAGTGAGGCTCCACTGGAGTCGCGCACTATAGGCGATAGTGCTAGACCCATCAGTGTTGCTGCGTCTCCCTCAGTGGAATCCGGCAGGCGAAGGGTTAGCGGTATCCAGCTCCCGCGGACACTGGTGAGTTATGATGACACTTCGACTAAGCTAGGACTCATACCGTCTCGGCAGCGATCTGGCGATTTTGGCATTAGCAAACTAAGCGGCGTGGCCAGGCTAAACATCCATCGCCTCATCTACCGACCCCCGAATGTTGCCTGGGATACTATAATCGCCCACTTGTTGGCTGTGATCCGCAATCCAACTTCCCCTCCATCCATCCGTTCCCAGTCCGCGCGCATCTTGGATGACATTCTTGTTACCGTTCCGCGGAACCTATCTAGTACGGGTGATCTAAAGGCTACAGTCCAGGGTCGTGTCTTCGACGCCCTTTCTCGACAAGTCATCCCGACAGGCCAGTTCGCATCGGATAGCTCCTCCACTGGAGTCGAGCTCCGCAAAATGGGCTTGGAGGCGCTGCATCAAATCTTGCAGGCTTCTGGTCATACCCTTCTTGTTGGATGGGAGAGCATCTTTGAGATGCTTTCGAGCGTATGCAAACCAGCCGCAGCTCCCAGCGGCGCAGCCATCGGATCGACTGATTCCCCAGTCTCTCCCGCGAAGCCTAGGCCCCCACCACTCGGGTATGCAAACGAGAAAGCGTACGCTTCACTCGTGAAGATTGCATTCCAATCTCTCACCCTAGTATGCGATTCACTCTCTTTGCTTGCCCCAGAACATCTCCGCCTCTGCATATCAACACTGGGCAACTTTGGCCGCCAGGCCGATACGAACATTGCTCTCACAGCTGCAGAGAGCCTCCTCTGGGGTGTGTCAGACTCGATACAAGCAAAAAGGAAAGATCGCGAGGATGAGGAGCAATACAATGAACTGTGGATGTTCTTGCTCCTGGAGATCCTTGGCCTCTGCACGGACGCCCGCCAGGAGGTTCGCATGGGAGCGATTCAGACCCTGTTCCGCACCTTGCAACTTTACGGGGCAACCCTGAGCCTGGAGACATGGGAGGATTGCGTTTGGAAGATCACATTTCCCTTATTGGATGCAATCAGCGATTCCATGCGCAACTACACGGGGACTCCAGCTAGTACACCGACTACCGCGGATTTATCTCTGAGTGTGTCTGATCCAACCTGGGGTGACTCCAAGATTCTCGCGCTTCAATCTATCGGCAACATATTCTCAGATTTCCTATCGACGAAGATAATTCACCTCTGTTCATTCATCAAGTTGTGGGACGTTTTCGTAGGGCATGTACAACGCACCGTCTTGTCAGAAAGTCGGAAGATCAGTCCCCATGCATTACGCTGCCTGGAGAAGGTCATAAAATCCGCAACTGTGGTGGAGCCTACGCTCGATGATGCCATATCAGTGGTATGGACCCGAACATGGGAGGCCTGCAGTGAAATAGGCGGGTCGATAAGTCGGAAGGATGCAGTATCTCCTTCTGTCGTGTCCCATGGAGGGTCACCCCCTGGCGAGCCATTCACACAAGAGAGTCTAGTCGCGCTTGTAGACGTTTTGTCTGTCACTCGAGCTATCAGCCGGACCTCTGACAAGTCGGAATGGCCCTTAGATCGGTTGAGGGCCTTGATGGCCATCCTCAAAGGTGCGGTTGTCAACCAGTCGGGTCCTCCTATTTCTCATGGCTTTCCCAGATGTCCTCACCTATACACATTCCCCCGATTATCGACCTGATGTTGATGTGCTATCACCTGTGCAGGTACGCTGACGTTTATTGCTCCTTGTACTATGATAACCATGTGTAGGCGGTGGTTATGGACATGATTACTACCATCGACCTATATGAACCGGGGGTGGTGTCTCTGGTTCTCCGAGACCTGTCCGAATACGTCAGCTTGCCATTCTTGGCCGCCTTCGATGCTCCAGAAACTGGCACACCCTCGGCACGACCCTCGAGTCAGCGCAGACGTATAACATACATCGGACTTTCCAAGAAATGCATGCCTATGCTGGCCGATCTTTACGCGCAGTTCAAGGAGCAACCTGACATCTACAACGATGGCACTGTTGAGGCCATTTTCTCCGTGAGGATTCCTGACGATATGCTGCGGCTCAACAATGACTAACGCGGAATTAGGCTTACTCGATACCAGTCAAGCTGAAGTACGATTGTCCCCCGTCCTCCAAGCTCAACAAAGATACGCCTTTGTGGAAGACAGCGACTACGAACTTCCTCCGAGTGGTCAAGGATTGCGCAGTTCAGATCAAGGCGCTGGGAGAGCGTAGGCCTCGCGCTAGCATCGTACTCAATAAACGCTGATAGTAGGGCAGGACTAACCGACGATGGTGTAGAGAGGGTGTGGCGGCAGATCATCGATGTCTTCAGGGGTGGAATCCTGGCGGATTGGTGGGCATCATTCTACATTATCCACTCTTTCTGATCATTAGTCCATTCCAGCTCGCCTGCCGAGTTTATGACTTTGGAGCAACAGGCGGCCGAGGAGAACTTCGATCTAGCTCTTGTCGCTGCACTAGAGGTCGATGTAATTCCACACCTTGGCGACCCTCGCGTTCCGGAGTCCCTGGTGGTCCACCTAGCCAGGGTCTTGCAGGAAGGCAGTAGATTGCAAGACTTCAGCATGGACAATCCGGATGGCAGTCCTCATGAGCAAGAGCAACCTTCATCACCCGATGACCAGAAAGTAACTGTGTTCGCCGACCGAGACTACGAAGTAGGGACTACTCACACCGGAAGGACCGTGCCGAGGGAGCGATTTGCGTATTGGTGCTTCGACCTACTGTTCCTCATATGTTCGGACACAGCCCGAGGTGGGGAATGCCTGCAGGGGCAGGGGACCCGAATTCTGATACTTACTCATAGACCAAGAACCTGCGCGGAGGCGCGTCGCTGCCCTTAGCGTTCTTCCTCTTCTCACTCGGTGCCGCACGACACTAATCAGCTACATCGCCGACGAAGCACTGCGTGGCAACCTCCCATTCCCAAGGTCAGTTGACACGCATTGGAGGTTATCCGGATCTAGATCTAATCCATGAACTCATGCACAGAGTCCGTGAAGAAGAGCTCCTATACGTCCTTCGCAAGTTGCTCGAGCTTCGTCTCTGGACAGGGACCCTCTGGGCGGCCCTGTCGGACACGCCATCTACATCCTGTCTGGAGCAGCCCTGTGAGCCTCCTTTCTCTACGTCGTTTCACCAGTGTTCGGGCGGCTGATCATGTTTTGATAGCGATTGACGCTTTCCTGGCACCTTCGGCACTCGTTGCTGATGCGGTCAAGCGCTCTGCCCGAGCCCACTTGTTCCATCTGTACCCTGTCCTTTGCGAGATTGCGACTGTCCCACGAAAGCCACCGTCGGCGTGGGTAGATACAAACGGCACTGGCCAAGCACGAGAATTGGATGCACGCTCACTTGCGCGCGATTGTTTGAAGGCTTTGGGGGTCGAGATGGGAATCCAAGTTTAGCTTCATGTACATTCTTCTTTCGTCTCGCTATCCGCGCTTCAACTGTATTTGTCTGTGCTACTATCGGTCTTTTCTTCGTAGTCAACGAACGAACGAAATTTACTTGGAGCCCAAATGCTCTATCATACACCTCAGGACGGGAAATCTTCCAGTTCATCCGATTCTCTTAAGGATTCTCGAAACGCCACGTCTGGTTGGTGCCCTCCCACGTCCACCAGAGCGTCACGGGAGTGCCCGGCGTCGAGTTGCCATGGTCAGCAAGGTCCCAATTGTACTTGGTGTTGTGAAGGAAAATCCTGCGTCCGTCGTATGATGAGCCGGCGACGCTCACGCGGTGGTAGTGAGTCTGTACTTACCGGTGCGTGGACGAATCCTCCTCGTCAGGCCAAATGTCCCAGAGGCAGGGGTCCGAAACGGCAACAAGAGGGGTGCCATTATCCGGTTCGCCCTCAAAGCCCAGGTATACCTGGTTGCCGTTGGAGTCGGTAGACTTGAATAGCCACTCGCCACCGGCCTGCTGTTCTAATTCCCACTTCACTCCCGTTAGCCACGACGCCAGCGAGCACGATGAGTAGGTGGTACGTACCTGTTGATTGGGCCCGCCGTGGTAGTCGTAGCCGATGATGGACTTGTTGTCCGCGCCGGAGAGGTCAATAACCGTGCCGCCCTTGACGTTAACGAGCTTGTATCTGTTGCCTGATTGTATGGAAACAGACATGATGGGGTGCACTGGTGCTGGGGATTCCTCGAGCTGCCTCAGACGGTGGTTTATATGTCTATGTGGTGGCGTATGACGTGAATGACCGTGAAGGTTGCTGTATCGATGATCGATCCCCGGGCAATGGGTACATGGGGTACGATTGCGTACAAACGGGGGTGACTGTCAAGTGGAGAGGCCCATGCCGCTGGGCCGGTCGTGCCAGGCGCCGTCCAGAGCAAGGTGGACTTGTGAACGTGGGTATAGATGTTGCCCGGACGGGTCGCTTCCACTTGCCAAGTCTATGCACCTTGCGTACTTATCATCCCCTCTGAAGTAAATCCGACGAAGTCAATTGAACAGCGTGTATAGAAAAGGGAGCAAGGCACACCATGTGTCCATTCACTAACGACACGAACGGATGACGTGCGTCGCAGCTGAAACTCAGACCCGGTGACATTCGATGAGAGTGAGATCGTAGAATTAGAACCGGCCGATCGTGCTGGTGTCGAAAAGGTGGGGCCGCTTGGCTTATGTAAATACGAGATCGACGTTCAACATTGCCGAGAGAGTGCAAGCTGAAAACGTAAGTCGTAGCGTCTGAACCTCGTTAAGCTAGTCTATCACATTGGATGATTTTCAGTGTAAACAAATACAATGGTCGATTGACGAATAGAAATGACGTAGTGCGAACATGCAACACTCTCAAGGATGATAATGTCAGTGATCGTATCTTCACCAAACCCTCGCAACTCTGATGCACGCGGCGATCATCCGAGCTAAGAACCTGTCGGTGAAATGGGCTATATATAACGAATCTTACACGCGGTCGATGCCTTCATCGAACCGCCAAAGCTGAGCACCGTCATCAGCGAGTCGGACCGGTGTACTTACCATTAGCGCCACTTCCGTCGTTGCCAGGATCCCAGTAGAGCTTATCCGGGTCGCATCTGCGACATGCACATTGGGCCACGCAAGATGTCCAGGGGGTGTCTTTGAAACGTCATTTTCAATAGACAGGCGTGCGGAGGATGCGGACTCTGACGTCCATCCTAAAATCTGTCGCGGGAATGCCCAGAGGTATGCGAACTTCGCCTCAGAGGATGCGACAAACGAGCTATTAGTCCCATTTCCCGAGAGCTGATACTACCTGTCTTTGTATTCGATGACCAATGCCATGGCTGCACCGTGAACCATGAGTGCAGTCATAAGATGGCGCCTGACAGAACGAATCAGGACACACCGACGTCAAAAACACTGAGCATAAGATGTATTCAAGCATCTAGGTGGCAGCTTCAGGTTGCTTTTCCACGTCGTACGGGCCCCGATCGCGTCATAATTTGCGGTTCCCAGATTGCGGCCAGCGTTGACCGCCGTAAGAGTCTTAGGATATCGGAACGTTCCTCCGATCCTTGGGTGAAACTAGCTATGACGACAAGTGTTCACCATCGGCTCTTGCTGTCTTTATTCGCGTCGCAAACCTCCGTGACGAGCGCGGATCTTTCGCGGCACAGCATTCTCTATACCAACCTCCATCCGGCGTGGGTCGCACCGCCCGGGGTGGTCATGACTCCTATTATATCGAGAGAGTACGTGGCAGCGTCCAGAGGCTGCAGCTGGTAGCGAAAGCGCGTGATTGGACAGGGCTGATGTATCATACGGCGTTCAAGCTGGACAGCGACGCGCGGTCAGCAGCATACTCTCGAAAGTAAAGCGGTGAGTGAGTATAGACTACACAGATCCGGTTACAGTTCGAGGCAGGGGATGAAACCCGATCCGGTCGGGATTAACACGCACGTGGTTGTGTAAAGTTCCGCAACCCCGATGATATCGGATATTGCGACTTGCATTTCAACGTCAATCGCATGGCGGACCGGTGGTTCAAACGACGTCTGCTACCTGCAAAACAATGACTCAGAAACAGTGTTCGGCATCCAAAGGCTTCTGCGATATTCTGATTTTCGACCTTACATTTCTAGTGCCCCCCTTATTGTGATTGTGCTGAGCCCGTTCACAGCGCAGAAGCCGGAGGTTGCTGTTCTTCCTCAGAGACTGGAGTGCCTCAAAGGTAATGGACCCAGGTTCACGGACGTTGATGGCCTGAACTTTGACGAATCGGTTCGGTTTCGTATTATATCCGCTCCCGCTATAATGACTGGTCCATTCTGCCTGAGGGCTATTCACTCTTCTCTCCACGGCCCTACCGTCTTTGTGAACCATGGCATTTCATTTCGACGAAACTCGCAAGTATAAGATTATCAATGTGAAGGGTGGCACGTACATGCGAGTGGAGGCAGCAACTGTATCTGGATGGGACTTCAACCGTCTCCACGAGAATGAGAAGGTATATTCTTACTCACGTAGTATCATAAGCTTGCACACACTTCTACTCTCAGATTTCCTTCCTTTGGACCATCGAGAAAGACAGGCGCGATGGTCAGATAGCATTGCAGTCAGACGACGGAAAGTATCTCGGCTTTATCGGTAAGCCAGAAGAGGTTAGGGACGGAACCACCCTAATCCTCGGCTCCCATCCCACCTTCTGGGATGTTCAATTGGCCGAGACGGTTACCAACGAGGCTCCGGCGTATAAGTAAGCCGATTTTGCGCACATTTTCTCTTTTGCTCATGTTTCTCCCAAGGATCGTCCTCCCAGGAACCGATTATGTCGTCGATCTCTCTGACGACGGCAATTCGAAGGATGGCACGATCATTCACCTTTGGAAGAAACACTCACAACCCAAGAACCAGGAATGGCGTTTCGAGCATGTAGAAGAAGGACGTCCACATCACGCCTGAAACCTGAATTGTATTCCACTTGTACCGTTGTGCCAGACCAGCATAATGTCGAATATCGAACCTCCTCTTCCAACATGTGCGGTATGATTCGCCGTGACTATTTTTAAGGACAACAAAAGAGAACGGATACTACTAGACAGGCTCGAAACGCCATGTCTGATTCTTGCCTGGCCATTTCCCCCAAAGCATCACAGTTGTACCTGGGGTAGGATCTCCATAGCCGGACAATTCCCAATTAAGCTGAGTTCCATGCAAGAATATCCTGCAACGGGTCTTCAGCGTCGATGTAAAGGCACTCTTAATTGAATTTAGAAGCTCACCGAAAGGTGGAGGGATCTTCTTCGTCATGCCAGATATCCCAGACAGTAGGATCGGGCCCGGCTCGCAACAAGGTGCCCTGTGCAGCCTCCCCTTCAAAGCCTAGGCACAACCCTGTTTCGGCATTCTTGAAAACCCATTGGGTTCCTAGCTTCTCCATGCGCCACTACAACGGCATCGGCATACGTGATGCAACACTACTGAGTCGAAGACGGTAGACTCACCCTCTGGTTGGTGCCTCCATGGTAATCGTAGCCAATAATGGAGCTGTTGTCGGCTCCGGAAAGATCAATACAGGTTCCCCCTTTCGCATTGACCAATTTGTACGTTCGACCTTCTTGGATGGTGGCTGACATGATGTCGACCGAAGGGCGGCATCCAACAGGAGTTCAGTTTATATACAGGCATTGTTTTGCTTGTTCACGAATCGATAATCGATACCAAGTTTAAATGCTGGTATTCTTAGCGACTCTGCGGTAGAGATATATACGATCGGAGAAGCTTTACGTTTTACGGAAAACTAGCGTGTGCTAACGGGGCGGAATCCACCTCGGTGTATGTTCTATAAGGTCTGAGGTCTGGGTGACGTGGTCTTCATGCCCATCGGAGACGATCTCGCCGATAATCTTGGCAATCCGGTCCTTGGAATGTTCGGCCATCTCACAGAAGTCGAGAAGGAGCACCACGAGGACAGAATGCTGTCCAGCCCAGGGGCGCAGAGGGAGTGTGTACACTTCCACGCTCTTTGCATTCTTTCCGCGAGAATCAGGACCGATGAGAGGCATGAGCGAAGCCCTACGCCAAGTTGAACCGAGTGCGCCAGAAGTGCAAGGCAATGAAGCAGAGATATGCAAGAGGTGGCAGTCCATGGAGAGACACAGAGGGCATGGATGAACCGGTTTGTTGTACAGCTGCATACAAACAACGTTAATAAATTGAGGGCTAAGCTGGAGATAGTCAGACAGTATATATTACGGCAACTATCTTGCAGCTCAGGCGGCGTCCGAGCCCTTGTTCAAATCGGACATCCACTGCAGCGCCATGAGGAGACATGGGTCGTGGCCACAGCACCTGAGGAATGCGAGTGGAAGGGAGAGCACACCCGCGTCGAGCGCATCGCGCCACTGTTGTTGACTCGAGGAGCCGTTCAGCGTAGCAAATGTACGCGCCACGGTTTGTTTTATCTGGGATCATTGGAGTCAGCGATGCGTTAAAGGTATCAAACACGGGTACGGATATTCCCACCTGTTCCTCTAGGGACAACCACGCCGAAAGAGGCATTATCTGCCCGAAGTCGACGAAGGTGTACGTTCCAAAGTATGCGATGCCTTGGTCTGGTCCAGGGGCCGGCGATATGAAGAGACTGAAAGGTTGCGTCTCTTCCGTCAGACTCTTATTCCGCCGCCTCTTCTCAGCCAAAGAACGGAATTCCGAGAGCACGACAGGATCCGTCGGATAGAACGAGCCATGTGTATCTCGTCTAGCAAACAGCATTTCATCCCATCGAAGCCTTATCGCAGGATGAGGGTGCTCTTTCTATGGATGGGAACATATCGTTGGAACATTTCGCCAAGACGAAGTTAGCAAACTCACCAGGAATTGGTCCACAATAGAAGATGGTATCAATGTATTGGCCTTCCCCAGCATGGACTTACTTGCCTCAACAAGACCAGACCTTTGTTGCCAGACGCCGTTCAGTAGAGAGTGAACTTGCGGTCTGGAGGTCGATAGACCCCGGATGATTTGCTCCCTTCGCTCTACATCGAATTTTCGGTCGAGCGAATGGATGCGACTGATCCAGGTTCCGATGATATTGACCAGCTTGCGTTGCTGAACGGCGAGTTGTTCGAGAAGGCGGGGATCATTCTTCGCTTGGTCCCAGGTGATGGGGTCGGGGAGATCGCCCTGCTGCATGAGTTGCAAAACCGGTAGTGTAGTAAGACGCTTCTGTTCGGCCATGATGCGTCGCTCCATTCCTGTGAATGACTGTTCTCCAACTTCCACAACCTGGCGCTCTCTGGCGCCGATGAACGGATGTCGCTCGATTTCTTTCAGGTATTGGTCGTCGACTTCGATGAGAAGATCCTTTCCGACTTGAACGAGACTATGTCCATGGGTACATTGAGTCATATCCTCTTCGATAGAAGGACTCGTGCCCGAGTCGGTTGATACGTCCATTATTTCTTCCAGCCGTAGTGGGGGGATGATCATGCTGGCGACTTTGGGTGGCAAATTCGTGGTTTCCTGTTTCAATAATGGATAGCACCGCGTGAGACTGAGATTCCGACGAGCAGAAGGACGCGCGCACAATTTTTTTTTCCAAGATCCAGTAACCTTGTCGCACGTAATGAGACCCTTAGTGGCGTGCACGGTGCGACGAAACGGGTCTGAGCGAGACAGGAAATCCTTTCTGATGAGTGCACCTTTTATGGGCGAGGGATGCGGACGCTTTGTCCACTCGCATTGTTGACTGCGGCCACAGCTTTTCTTTGTCTCCGATGGCGATCTGAGGGCCACCTGGCAGCAAGGCACAATATTGCCAATATGAAGGCGGAGTTCACAGCATACGCGGGGATGCCGCGATGCATCAACCTGGAAGCGCAACTATATTAGCATGTATAACTTGAGGTAGCAATAGATAGCTACCGGGCGTGTCTGAGTGTTGAAACATTTCATGCAATGGTTTTGCCAACCCGACCTAACCCTAAGGCGCGCGCGCTGGTATGAGGTGGAAGTAACTTAGCGGAATCGGCGTAGAACGTAGCTGGAGATCGCGTCAACTAACAGAATGACGTCGCATTGGTGAGCTCCTTATAATACGACCTATGGACTCGAGAATTATCCATACCCTCAAGAAGAACCATGGCAGACCAGCTTGAGAAAGGACAGGAAGTTTCGTAGGTGTTCACACTTTACCAGTGCCTAGCGACTGCAACTTGAACCATCCGTTGCGTAGGTGGAAGTGGGGACAGGGAACGGCCAGCGGCAAGGTCGCAGAAATCGTAGAAGATGGCAAAGCGGAGGTCACCTCGTCCAAGGTAAGTTGCGGCAACAGACCGTATTGTTCGCTTGTGGTTTTCAACGTGCATCCAGGGCAATACTGTAACACGAAATGGTAGAGGTCCTGACGATCCGGCCGTGAAGATTACGCGTAAAGGGGTACGTAAAACGAGGGTTTGAGGTGGATAGCTCGGACTGATGATGGTCGTGGTCAACCTTAGAACGACGTGGTGAAACTTGCGCACGAGTTGAAAGAGGTGGATTCCGAAACGTAAAGCTACCAACGCTCCGTACACATCCGTTATTCGTGTACATGTCAAGCGCACCTGCGATCGTGCACAATGTTGCATGAAATTCCATCGGCATCCGGGTTACGGGTATATAAATAAGCTAGACTAGGATGTTCTACCGTATGTACAAAACCCGATCGAAAACATTGCGAATTGCGTCGAGGGGATCCACGTTGAAGGACGAGCGTAATCTATGGGTACAAGGAGCACTGCACATGCGTACGCCAGAGCCTTGGTGTCGATAAGCAGGTATGTAGGGTTATAGGATGTTTTCTGGATGGTAGCAACTAATGCTTGGCGTGCGAGCCGAGTCAGTATCGTAGGGAGAACAGAGTTTAGCATACTTTTCGGATCGCTGGATCGACAGGCTGCGCTGGCCACTGGGGAGACCGTGATGCACCTGCTCTAGCGCCGAGGGGCCCTTCATCATACGAGGGATTTGATGAGCATCGACTCGAGTCGGCAGTATTCGGGCACGAGCGCGGCGTAGGTTAGGAAACCGTCGACATCCGGGTCCGCAATCTTAGCCACACCGAGCTGGAGTTCTGGCTCCGCGGTCGGCATTGCGGATATGGGGACTAAAGTCGTCGTGGTTGGCGCAGTAGGAGTGCTAGGGGTGGTCGCGCCATTGGTGCTGCCGCTGAGGGTGCCGCCGGGACTTCGGGACAATTTCAGCCTGGCAGCAGTCCCCATCTGCTCCTCTGCGAAGCCCAGTCCATAGTTGTTCGTCCGCCCCATTTGATCTTCCATGGCAGCGACATCCTCCTCGTCCTCCTCGACCAAAGTGGAGCTGCCCAGACCGAGCCCGCTCTTCGCGTACGGGGTGCTAGTCCCGGAACTCGCGCCCGTAAGGGCACTGGCGCTCGGGGTCCCATTGACATTCGTCTTCTGCGGTTGATTACCAGAAGCCGCCCATCGTTTGCCCAGCAGCCGTTTGATCTCCTCCTCAAACCCTCGGCCAGTACCGACTTGAATGCCCTTCTCCCGACCCCAGACCCAACGCGCCATGTATGCGCTACCCAGCGCTGCCCGCCCGGGGTAGCCAACAGCGGGAGCGTTCCGGTGCGGGCTCAGCTGAGCCGAGTCGATCTGGCTGGTGGGCATGTAAACCGGCGCGTTGAAGATGTCGCCAACCAAGTTCGCGATTGCGGGGCAGTTGACTGCGGCGCCGGTCACGATCACCTTCGACGGAAGTGGCGACGAGTCGTAGGCGTCGAACGGGATGCCCAAACTCGAAAGCGGACTGGGTGGCTGCAGGGCGGCCCCTGGACTCGACGTGACGCCGCTCTTATTGGCACGACCTGCAGCAGGGCCGAGGACGCCGGTTGCGAACATTCGAGACCAGCGGACACGGAATGACATGATTTGACTCTCGATGAGGCAGCGCGGGTTGGCGCGGAGGTCGCGGAATTCGTTGACCTGGACACCGGTCTCAAAGCGGTGGATGCCCTTCACTTCCATCAATGGAAAGGCGTCACCCTGGAGAAACCAGAAGCTGAAAAGCTTGTCGTCCAGCCTGCCGACGATGGTGATGAGTAAACACAGAATTGCATTATTTCAGATCGCATACCCAATGGAACCTCCGGGAGGAACGATAGAAACCAGGCGATCGAAGGCACTCCAGCTCTTAGTATACATGTCTCGCACAAGAGCGCGCGGAACATCAGCATTCCTGTAGAAAACCATTGGGCGACGCTCAACAACAAGCGAACGAGGACATACCGACTAGCCAGAGTAGCGATGTATCTTCGCTTCTCGCTGGTATCTTGAGCAGGGTGAGGATAGAGGCTATAAAGACGGGTAGGGCGATAATTGACAGCTGGCGCCATCATGAGGTCCATGGGACCAAATGCGAGAACAGCATCCGAAGAAGAGGGGCAGAAGGAGAGGTAGGAAGAGAGGAAGTCCGACGTGAATGACGTGACGATGGTGTCTGTAAAGCTCGGGTCAGTACCGGAAGACTAGCCTGGCAACAGCCTGCACACCTTGTTCGAACCCATACCGTTCTACCATGTATCTAGATACAGACCCCGCCCTTCTTCCTCCTCCGTTCGTTTCAACTTCCCCAAGCCACGCCTTCAGCCTCCGTCCCTCTTCTCTGCTGCCGCCAATGATATCCAAAACTTCGTCGTCCCACCTTCCTTGGCCGTAGCCCTGGCTGTGCACCCACATACCAGTGGAGACTGCCTCAGCTTCAGACATTCCACCGAACATCCCCGTGACCAAGCTCTGAAGGAAGGAGCTGGCGGTTTGCACCCGGCCGGTTGCGTACCATATGTTGGGCCATTCGGCTCGGATGCGATATATCTGAGCTGCAGGGACGGATGGGTGCGCGGAGATGCCAACGCGGGCTGCCATGAGATCGGTTCCGCCAAGAGCCGATTCGAGGACCTTCGCATGCGGCTGAGCGGAGGTGTCTTGCGCCACAGGGGTGTTCGGTAAGGAGAAGGCTTCCGCTGTCAGCTGGGCCTGAAGCGGAAGACGAGAGTCCAGCCTGGAGAGAGGTGAGATCGGGGCCGATGTCCACCAGACGAGAGCATGCTGCGAGGGATTGTCAACAATGCTGCGTACCGCAGAGAGCAGTCAGCTCACCTGGGCTGAGCCTCCTATCGAGCGAACTCGGCTAAGATCGTAGGTCCGGCCCAATTTCTCGAGTAACACGTCTATACGGATTTGGTTAGCGCCACGTGACCGTCCAACATAGTTTGCTTCCGTGTAAGGAAACGCGGTCCTCACCGAGAGCTTTAATCCACATCTCCACGGGGGTGGTATACGCATCCCCGGGCGTCGTAAACATCCCTCCATGCGTCCTGAAGTAGGTCAATGGATTTAGCAAGGGAACCTTGTTAAAAAACGGTCAAGGGCCGCAAGGCACGATTAGAAAGGGACAGCAAGGATTGGAACGAATGTTCCTCGAGCGAGGTATACGAAAACGGGAAGTATGGTCGGGCCTCGCATGACCTATGTAAGAGTATGCGTGTATACAGAAGATCACGGCCAACCGCGTGAAGCACGAGGATTCGACTCAAGTTCTGATCCAGCACCTTAACCAAGCATCGAATCTGGCTCGACCGTCCGGTATGCGCAGCAGAAGAAACGAGAATGGCCAAGCAATGCCTCGAGCAATCACAGGCAGGAAGGCTCAAAGATACTGAGTGAAGACGGATCCTCGGGATGGGGTAAACAGTATCGTCGAACATGCTTACTGGAATTCGGGTAGCTCCACGTCAAAGTCTACGGCGTCAACACCAATCAACTCCAAGGTCTCGTCCACGATGGTGGCCCGAAGCTGGTCTGTGGAGAGCTCGAGCCCGAGGAACAGCGCGGATTTGTTGGCTGGAGGCATCCTGGTGTCCCTACGGTCAAAATTTCGCGTGGCGAAGGCGGTTTCGTGACCTGTCGTCTCTGCAGAGGGTCTCCGTCGGCCAGGCCTCGGGGACGCTCAGGCTGGAGAGACAATTTTCGAGGCGGGAATGAGGACGTGTAACGAGTGAGCACGTTCCCAGGTGGTCGCTGGATGCATCAGTTTCCTGTCTTCCTTTTGGGGCCTCGTGTCCGGGTTAACGCTCTTCCCACGCTCATACCGCCCGTTTTCCTCCCTTTGCTGTCATCCTCGTGTATGTTCTGAATCTGCTCGGGGTACTTCCTGGTCTATGGACATCTGGGAACATCTACAGTCTTTACAGGGATCTCGACTCGATGACACCGCGCATACATCTGGGGAAGGTACCATAGTCGACAGATTGACCGGTGGCGGTACCCGCTCTCCTACCGTGAACCGGGCCTTTGCGAAGGAAAACGCCGGTTGATCTAGACTTATCCTTGCCTATTCGCTTGGCTGCCTCCTTTTGTCTTTGGAATGGATTGCAGATGTTGCCGGTATTCAACCAGCATCCATGTGCCTACAACGAGCTATCGGCCAATGGTGCTATGTCTACATGTCCTATACTTGGCACTCTCAAACCGGAGCGGTCGCGTTGCAGTCGCGGTCTTCCTGGACGTACGTTTGCGCATGGTGATATCTTGCCCATGCCTCTCGTGCCACACACCATTCCTCTCAGCTGAGACCGAAAACAAATACACTCAGTTCTCTGCTGACTACTTCTATCTGACGCTAGCATCATTGATCGTTGCCCGCATTCCTAGTGACGCCGGGTTACGTATATTATTGCCTCTGATTGGAAGCAGCGCACCATCGGCGACAAAATGCCGAGGGTGTCAAGCAGAAGATAAGTACGCGCGGTACGACGATCCATTTAGTGGATGTTGCTCACAGGTGAATGGCCAAAGAAACGCTAACTGATTTCTATGCCATAGGTATCGAAAGCGCGCTGAATAACACGGTGGCGGCAGAGAGGCATCAACCTTGAATTCATTTCCAGTCTGCTCACTGTGCGAGTTATTACCTATGCATCTTGAAGATGCGATGGAAATAATTGTCTTGTCACAGATTGGGACAGCCAACAACACAACTTGATCACAGTAAGTACGTGACTAGTCAGGGTACCGTGTGACAACCATTCAATGCATACTAGTCGCACGTTTCGGCGGCCAGGATATTTCTGCCGCCTCCGAGAACCGCGGGCGGGCAGTCTTCTGCAATGCATCATCAAGTTGCGTCGCTGCGATCGTGCCCCGCATCGCAGAGCTGCGCCATTGCGTTTTCGGAACACTTCATGCTCCTTTTACCCGGCGTAGCCCCTTTGCATTGGAACGGGGCTGGAAGCGTGAGTGTGAGCTATACAGGGTGAAGCCGATTCGAACAGTGCATCGCCGTGTTTCCTGTGAGCTGACCGCGGGGTAAGTGGGTGCCGTGTACATCTCGGCGCTCGTTGTGGGTGGGCGAAGATGCTTCAGGCGAAGCCTCCGCGGTCAATGTGACCGTCAGATTGACGGATATACTGCCTGAAGCATGGATCTACTCCGAGCTTGTATTTTCTACGCCCATTAACTTGGCACGCACGCAACTAAGTTATGTAAAAACCACAAGAACTTGGAAGTATGGTCACGCTCATCGCGGAGCCAATTACCGCGCACACGCAGTGATAATCTGGTGGCTATACCTGGTGAGGTCAGTCGTCCGGCTTGGCAGGGTCGGCCATCAAATTCGCCGGCGGCTTGCCGAAGCGGCGAACCTTCCTTCTCTCCAGACCACTTTGGATTCGAGCGTAAATATCCGGTCGTGTGCGAGCTCTGTATGGATCGTTGGTGCAAATGTATCTACGCGCAGTTCACTCTCAGGGATAGGTATGGGCGGCAGAGCGTCCCGGTGCTTATCATAGATTGATGGAAGGCATGCGGAGGGACCCCTAGTGGCCGCTTGGTGGCCGCCATCTGCACTGCCGAAAGCAGCCCGAGCCTTGGCAGCTTATTCGAGCTCACACGAGCAACGCCATGACCTGCGCGGACCGTCCCAGCGCTCTGGTTATTATGCACCTGCTCTGATATCCCTACCCTCGCACGACCAGGTTGTCTCTGCACACGACCAGAGCTCTTGTACGCTGGTCGTCGTCGTCTCGCCCGTTTCCAACGCGCGACGTCGTGTGATGGACTCAGCTTATTCACCGCTCCGTACGTCCATCCAGCGACGCTGACGCCAGACGCGCCCCTGAGTCAACCAAAGTAGATCCCCATGCAAACCACCGGAGCAGTTGGTCGTGGTCTTTCCTGCCTATGCGGGGGCACAGAAGGACCGTGTCGCGGGTCCTACAGGGGTACTCCGTGCGCTCGCCCCGCGTTCTCCTCTTGACGACGTTCTTGGTCACCCTCGCATTGTTTTGGGCGCATACATCCGGCACTTTGTCCAGCTTGTCCTTCGTCAACCAGCCTCCCCACGTTGTCACACCTCACCCTAACCTCGCTTATGCGTACGTGCCCTACACGCCGAAATCGGTCAACTCCTCGGTCGCCGCCTCCGCATACGCTCCCGATGTTAACTCAACCTGGGCGTACTTCCCTGGATCACTGCCTGGCCCCTTGACGACGTTCTACCACCTCTACCGTCCTGCCACACCACGGCCTGCCTCTAACTCCCTGCGTCCAGTCCGAGCGCACTCGAAGATCCCTTTGCAGTGTCTCGACACCTGGTATTCAACGGGCCGCTGGGATCCAAACTGCTCTCACGGCATGGCCGACCTGGAGGAGCCTCGGATCGATTTCGTCTGGACGTGGGTGAACGGCTCGTGAGTTGCGAAATTTCAATTTACCGAAACAAGCTCCCGCTCTTCCACTTCTCTCAACGCACGTCATGTGCGCAAGCTATTGTCGTCCTCACTTCCACATATCCTCGCCTTGTTCTCATTGGCTAGCGCTGCCGGCCGCGAGCGGCTGATGCCTCGTTTGAGCTTTTCCCACTGGGGCTTACTGGCCCGTGGGACCGGTTTACCACATTTATCGCATGAACACGGCCGCCTTGCTGACTGCCGCTCTGTTTTCAGGGATCCGCTCCATGCAAGCGCACGTCATGCGTATCCACCATACAGTTTGAACGCCAGCCTTGAGGACGACCCCGGGAAAATCAAGCGTACGTCATATTCGTGCTCACTGGCCTGCCGACGCAGCTGCTCTCACGCCACGCTCGCGTTCTTGTCCCGACGAGAGACGGAAATACGACTCGGGGCTGACTTCCTTTCGCATTCCAGAATACCGAGATCACGGTGAATTGGTGTACTCGTTAAGATCGGTTCTGCATGCCTCAAAAGATTGGAAGCAGAGTCAATGGCATCTTGTCACGAACTCTTACGCCGTCCCCGTTGACGAGCTCTCGTATTGGAAAACTATCAAAGAGATAGATCTCTCGAGGAATGACACCACAGAGCAACGTCGGTTCATTCGGCGGAAACGTGGAAGCGATGACGAGGATGACTGGGAAGAGTTGGAGAAGCTGAAGGAGCTGGAGAAGGAGCTGGAGGAGCTGGAGGACTCACTCGATGATTACGAGGACGAAGAAGATGACGATGACAGCGAAAGCGAGAGCGACGACGGCGACTCCGTCGAAGAGAAGGATCGCTCTCCCGCTGACCACGGACTGACGTTGGAGGAGATTGTCCGGACCCATCGACTGGGTCAAGTGCCGCAGTGGCTTGACTTTGCCGAGCTAAATAAGGAAGCGGGGACAGAGAGGCAGCTTCGGCTTCACCACGACTCGGAGATCTTTTTACCGCCGCTGGCCACCGTCCACGGGGGCGACGAATATGAACAGAGGACCAAGATAGATGCCTGGCGGTCCGAAACTCTCCCAACATTCGATAGGTACTCGATTTATCGTGTTCCGTCGTTCAGGAATTTGACAACGATTTCCCAGCATGGCGGTCGAATCCCAAATGGCCAATTTGGCGCCTGAACTGGTTTCGGATCATACGTAGGTTCATTCTCCATTCCTTTTCCGTTCCCGGCCTTAACCTCGTTATTAGCGTCTTTCTCATGGATGACACGTTCATCATGACCCCTCTTCCTCCATCAGCATTTTTCTCCCCCTTGCACGGGCCGGTACTTCGCTTCCATCCGGATTTCAACGTACACCCTATTGAGGCCTGGGATCCGCTGCCGCCAGGAGACGGTGAATGGCGCGGACTACGCACCGCAGCGACGCATCTCTCCCATCGATTCGGATGGCGCGGTCGCCCGTACGTACCCCTGGTATGTTCGCGACGCGTCCCCTGACAATGAACTCCTATTTCTCAGCTATGTCGACCACAACGCGCGGTCACTCCCATTGCCTCTCTACCACGAAGCATCTATCGCTTTCCCAGACGTTTGGAGCACCACAGCGAAGGCTCGTTTCCGCGGCGGGGACGAAAGCGCTCCCGAGAGTCATACGGTCTGGCTCGGCTCGCAGTGGATCGTCGAGCGACATCGCGAGGTGCTACTGTGGTCATGGGTGGTGGCTAAATGGGGAGGTCACGAGGGCAAGCTGAGCGCGGCACACAAGCAGGCCATGTGGGATGAACTGGGCGGCGAAAATGGCGAAGACCAGCTGGAGCTCATCTGGAACGTTCGTACCAGTAGGCTCAGCGTGCCCGAGGAGCTCGCTCACACCGGACAACGCCCTCTTACAAGGTCCGAGTACGTTTTTGGTATGTCTGTTCTATGTGGTCTTGAAAATATGCGGGGCGTTGATCCTCATCCAAGTCTCGAACGATGGATACCCTTGGACACACTGGCCGAGGTGGGCGCGTGATCACCAGTTCCCGACCACGCACGGCTGGATCGATCTTTCGAAACCCGATCCGGCAGATGCTCCAGGAACTGTATGCACTATTTCGAGAGACACATGTCTTGGACAAGACGATGAATCTGCGGTGGATCTGTTCCGACGAATCTTGAAGGATAGACCAGGGTGCGGCGATTGTGGTCAGTTTTTCTCTGTTTCACTCTTTCCAGCCATGCTCATCCGCGTACAATAGTTGTTGCCGCGCTGGCGACCGCATCCGGTACGAGAGGACTGTCGTATTTTCTACCTCAAGCCTCTGTGTCCAACTCCTATGCCCATGACTACATCTCTGAGCCTGTCCATCTTCCTTTGACGCTCGACGGTTTCTCGTCCTTCCCTCTACCGTCAAACCCGCGTAACTTCGTTCTACGACTGCTCCAGCGTTATTCCTACGTGATTGGGGAGGCACCATCCGAGTTCTTCGGCGTCTCTTCATACAATGATGCTCGTTCCCGCCTTCGGGGCATTGACCGGAATGCGAAGAAGGGCATCAAGACCGAGAGGGTGTATGTTTGCATCAACGACGATTTGGGCAACGCGCCGGTTTCTGTTCTAGTGAAGGTGGACCGACTACTTCGCAACTGGTGGCAAAAGCACTGGGGGGCACGGCTTGCTCTTGAACTGCCGAGCTAGCGCTAGCTGTCGGCCTAGCACGAAGGTTCGGCAATAGTCATCAATCTTCGCCGCTCTATCAGTGGCAGAAAACCATCAGAACGGGATGTTCTTTGTAATGATTACACGGCGTTCCGGACTACTTCGTCCAGATATCTACGTCAGGCGTCACATGCGCTGCGCCGAATAATACACTGTCGAACAGCACGGCTACCGACGATTGGTTGGGCTCACAGGCACTACAGCCTGTTCTGCTTCATATCCACATATCTAATGCATCTGTGTATATTATTACGTTATTGTATCAGGAATTATCGGCGCCGTTTCGTCGCACCCTTGCTTTCGGTCCCTCCAACTGTAAGCAATGCACCGGTGCAAACCAGCGTCGCAGGACACAACGCTGCTCGCCGATGGCTTTCATATCACTTTTCCGCAGCCGCGTCGTTCGGCCCACCGGTTCCTGCAAATATACGGCCTATCCTAGCCAATATTCGTGGGGTGCCAAAGCCGATCGCCAGGAGGACCGCCACGTCTACCGCAATCAATCCCGCAGCGCCCGCCATGAAGCGCGGGGCAAACACCTTCCACACCATGAGATGGCGCCGAAGCCATGCGCTGCTCAGCGCGGTTCCGAGTAAGAGGACGCAGAAGTAGGCGACGATGCCGACCGCGGCCCTGAGGGATGCAGCAGCAGCCCTTGCGGATGCCGCATGTTGTGGAAGGGGCGAGACATTCCATAGTGCAAGCAGCGGTGCAGCGAGCGCAAACAGAAAGTGCGGGCCGAACGTGTTTAGGATCACGAGAACCGGAGAGAACGGATAAGTTAAGGTTGATGTCAGCACGAAGGCCGTCTTCCACTGTATTGATGATATGGTCGATTGATGCCCGGTTGCGTAGTATGTGTGTAGGCCTAGGAGAGCTAGAGGTATGATCTCCGAGAATGTTACTGGCGTGGTCGGGGATCCTGGGGTGAGATTGAGAATGGAGGACGGAGTATTTGACGCGAAAGCAACGTTCATCTGCTCCACGTCACGAGCGCTGTCGACGAGCTCGAGATATGATAATAACGCAACTGCGGCTAAAGCGAGCACGACTTGACCTGTCAACTGCGTGCAAATGCAGAGCAACGTCAGGAAGATGCACCAAAAGACGAGATACGGCGAGCCGAATGCGTTGGCAAAACCGAGCACAGTGACCTGTTTCTTCGTCTTTTGGGGCGACGTAGCGGGAGGGTTCTCGACGACAATTTCGAGGCATGCAGGTATTATCCACCATAAGGTGAGTCCTGCTACGAGGACGCCGCCAATCGAGCAGCGCGCGAGGATGGTGCGAGTGGTGCGCAGTAGAGGCGAATTATCCATGCCGAGCACCTCTGCGGATTCCATCCATTCGAGAATCCAACCCAAACTCCCAGCAACGAGGGCCGGGCGCATGAGCCATGGGAAGAATAACGGGGCGACACCCCGATCAGACTTCGAGATTCCAAGGTAACGTCCTATCACCGAAGGAAGGAGCACCGCGACTGGTAAGGAGAGGATGAGGATGGCAGGAGGTGGAGAGGGTAGGGATGAGGACGCAAAGAAGGTGACATGGCAGTACGGTTGTTGTTCCTCCCTGCAGACCGTACTGACGGCCATCAAGCGGACACAGACCGCGAACACGGCGGAAAACCCTAGGATGCGCTTTCGAAGCGTGGGGGTCGGCGCGGTGAAACCGGTTAACACGAATGGCACGAGCGTGGTTAGCAGCAGATACTGCAGTAAACGATCCTCCCAGAACGTGAATGAGTTGGAGAAGAACGCAATCGCATGCAGAACAAGCGGCAGAGGGAAGGACCTCAGTGTAGCGAGGCCGAGCCGCGGAGGATTCGCGATAACGACAATTATTGACGACAAGAGGAACGATCCGAATATGACGAGGTCCAAAGGACTGATCGCCCCCATGTACTTCTCCAGTCCGATGAAAGAGAGAGTGCCCACCACCGAACCCCCAGCGCAGCCGCGTATGATTTTGGGCATCAGATCATCAACCCAACCTTCCCAGTCCTCCGCGCCGACACCGCTCCCGAGGCTGGAGAAAACCGCCCAACAAACCACGACACCAGAGAAGATGAGGATAAGGCCCAACACCATGAGAGTCACGTCGAATTGAGCCCACAACGAACGGCAGGCAGCTAGCGCCTGACGGACGTATTTGTGCATGTATTCGGTATATTCGTAAGCTTTGCGGTCGGAAGCGGCCTTCCACGTCGCTTGAAGGCTGTCCCAGACAGCATCCAGCTCGCCTCCAGAAGGACTTGCCCTGTATGTGTCCAAGTATCGCTTGACCTGGGCCACATTCAGCTCCAGCGCGCGCTGGTACTCCTTGCCGCCGTCACGACTTAGGAAAAGCTCAGGTATGACCGACCCCAGGTTGTTGAAGGGGATAGGAAGACCGAGGAGGAGCGACAATGATGGGACAAGGTCGATTTGCTGGATAGCTCGATGAGCTGCAGCGGCCCCAGGGAACGTCGTGTTGCCATGCGAGGTGGCAAGGGACGATGGAAGCGATGTGACGAACGGCTTCTTGCTATAAAACCACATCCCAGCTGACGTCTCCAGCTCGCCGTCGCCTCCATGATCCCCACGCCTGTCCATACCGTGGTCCCCGAGCACAACCAGGAGGGTATCATCCTCCAAACGCTCGACTACGCGGCTTAGCACGTCGTTCATTTGCCCTAGTTTCGCCTTCATCGTGGGATGGTCGGGACCAACTCGGTGTCCTACGTGGTCAACCCCGAGGAAATGTCCGATGAGGAAGTCCCATCTCTTGTCCTTCTGCTCCAAGAGAGGGAAGAGATGGGTGGTGACACCTTCGTCCACGGTATGGAGGTCTTCGACGTTGAAGGAATCATACGGATGGGTCATGTCAGGGTCGAATGTGTCAGGGAACACGGTCATCCATGTATCGTCGCCCATGAACGCTATCTATTGTGTGCATAAGAACCGTGAGGGTGGTGGTGACAAGCATAGCACTTACCCGTTTGCCCGCTAACCACATTTGCTTGATGGTCGAGTCCTCGTCAATTGAAGAACCTCCAAAGTTCGCGCCCATATCGACGAACGTCGGTAACGATCCGGTCACCAACCCTTTTATGCGTTGTAAAGTGGTTGTCGGAGGGTCGGGAAAGGCGTTGAATATGACCGAATGCGCGGGCTGCTTCGCAGTCAGTTCCCTCGGTAGGGTGAGCACATTATGATGGTATGGCGACTCGGGTTCTGGTGGAGCATCGCTGATGAAGTCGAAGCGAAGGGAGTCAATGATGAGCAGGACAGCGCGCTTGTGTGTCGGCCGGAGGGTGCATGGTGCATGGGAGCAGTCGCTCACTTCCGACAGCGAAAGCCGCGTCAGGAGGAATCCTCTTGTGAAAAGGTAGAGACCGGCGAGATGGACGAGGCATAGCCAGCCTAAGAGGAAGAGGGCCTTGCCGACGTTCATGACACGTCCGACTCTGTCTGCAGGCCACCTGGCAGCAGCCGAATGCTGATGTTCCCCGTTCCTGCAGTTCCGTGCAATTGATAATTACAGTCCAACGAGGTGAAAGACAGTATAGAATAGAGTCGATGCCAGAACGCAGAGTTCGTGTCGACCGCTCAAGGAAGGGGAACCGAAGGATATGCGCTGCGCCACCAGCGCGTTCACGTCGACGTCCCTCTCATTGCCGTTCGAGACATGTCGTGCAGAATACAACACACAACTGAATGTCATAGTAATGATAAAAGTAGCGGAATCACGGGCAGAATATCCTAAGCGCCTGCCCTCTTCTGCCTCTTCTCCATAGCCTCCAACCTCTGCTCTATGCCCAGCCCGGCCAGCTGTTCATTCTCGCCGGACGCATCGCTGGCTTGGCTACTGCTCGCCTCGCGAACCATCGCCGGCCTTGACTGTGCCTCGGGGTGAGCGCCGTACATCGTCGGGCTAAGCGGTATCGCACGCGTGCTCCAGCTCTTGCCCAGAATCGCCTGCACCTTCTCGTGCACAACCTTCCTCTGCACGGACGACGTGGTCGAGCACGCATCGTCGTCCTCGTCCCTCCTCGCCGCAACCGACTTGAGCTGTATGCCGCTCCTGCTCGGCTTGGTGAGCCGCGCGTGGAAGTCGGGCGAGGCAGGCATCGGCAGCGATGGCGTCTTGGGCGAGTGTAGCCTGTTGCCCTTCGGCTTGGGCTTGGTTGGGGCGGGTGCGGGCGTCACCTTCCTATGCTTGCTCGGCGATACCGGCCCATGCCCGCCAAAGGACAGCGCGTCCTCCATCTGCGGGCTCGAAATCTGTCTCGGGCTGAGAGGCAGGACCGTCGAATCCACGCGCGACAGTCCCGTCGGGCGTTTGGCCGGTGCGGGAGCCCTACGTTGCTTCTTGCTGGGGGAATTCGTAGGCGTCTTGTCACTGTGGGCACCCGCGGCCTGCGGCTCGTTGCCAGACCCTTGCGTGGCTTCGGAATAGCGGCTCACGACCGTGGACTCGCGGCTCAGCACCGCGTCCCGCTCGCGAGACCTTGCCTTCCTCACGGGCAACGGCGAAAACTTGTCCTCCTGCTCGCCACGTCCGGACGCCCAGTTCACGAGATTCCATCCCAGCCCTGCCCCGCCGGTGACAACATCGTCTCCGGGCTCGGCGGGAGCGGCCCTGGTAACGGTCGTGGATGTCCTACTCAGCAAGGCACCCGTCTCCGGATCCTCCTTCATCATGCGAAAGCCGTCAGTCGATCTCTCATCCATATCCGACAAGACGTCCTCGCCGGTGCGTGACTGATAACTCCTCGCCGGCTTCGCGACGGGGGCATCGAGGAACACGTCCGACAGCTGACGGGCGTGCGCTCTCCTCGACGAGCTCGTCTTCCGCATGGTAGATGCCGTGCGTCCCCTGCTGAGCGTACCAAGGGCCTCTAGACTCGTCGAGCTAGCGAAGTCCCCTCCGATCGAAGACCCGTTAGGTGCCGCCGACGCTGTTCCGCGGTAGTCTCCTCCCCACGAGACTTCATCCAGGTCATCCCTATGTTCAACATATCCCCTTCGCGCTTGCTTGAACGAACTGATCGTGCCAGCGAGCCACCGCCCTGTGAAGCTCGCCTTGCTCCCAACGGACCCGTCACGGGCTCGGTCTTGTTGATCCGCTCCCTCGTCGTAGAGCTTCTCCCTCTCTTCACCATCGCGGCCTATACGCGCTTCATCGACGCCGTGTTCAAGATCGGCGTCGTGATCGTCGCCCTCTGCGGGGGCGTACTGAGGCCCTCCCAGCGTATCGTCTCTTCGCCTGCGCCATCTCACCCAGCACATGGTCAGGATGACGCCGAGGATGACGCCGATGCCAACGATGACGACAATCGTGTATACGGGTTTCCAGCCGGATGTCACAGCAGCATTAACCTGCGCGGGGTGAGCTGGGTCGCTGGATGCGGGCGGAATCGCCGTGATGGAGATGATAGTAGGCGCAGACGATGAAGAGAAGGCCGGCGACGGCGTCGCAGTAGAAATTACGGAAGTGTTCGCAGATAGGGGAGTCGTGATAACGTTACTGGTGGAAGTGGCAGGATCGGCCGTCGTGGACGGAGTGGGATCCGTCGAGGTGGAGATCACCGCGAGCGTGGCAACGCCGACGCCAGCAGTGAGAGGCACCGGAAGGCCTGGTATCGGATTAATCGTGTCCGTACTATAGACGATAAGGCTTGACAAGACGGGGGCTGCATCCGTAATCATAGCTGGGGCGGGTGCGACCGGTGTTGTGGTGGCACCCCAGACGGGATATGGCCACCAGTTGAAGCTCGCCGTGGTAACGCCGAATTGGCGTGCATTGATAGAGCGGCGCTGGTCCAGCATGAGGGGATAGGGCGGCATGCCGAAAGCCGGGGCAGAGGCAAGCAAGACGGAGCCCATCGGGACGATCAACGTCTTTCGGCGTTGCATCGTAGCGAGATGTGGAGGGTTTTTATATACCAGTTGGGATGGTGTGTTGAGGAGGAAGGACGACGATGCCGACTCTGCTCTCTACGCCGAGAGCACTAATGTCAGCGATGGGACGGTCGAGGTCGAGTCCGGCGGCGATGAAGGTTGACCGGCGGATAAGGTGCGTCGAGGGAGAATAGGACGCCGATGTTACCCCTGATCGACGGGTATTTCGCCAGAAAGTGGTCGGACGGCCTGTACGCGCTAGGCATTAGCAAACGGGTAAACGTGGGTATAACATCATGGTACACACAGAGAGGCGGAGGGGGCGGAAGGAGTTCGCCTCCCAAGCTCGTGCCTATCGTCTGTACGCGAGGTATGATAGCCGAATTGCGCCTTGCTAGCGTCGGGCTGGGCGGGACGGGCGACGTCCGGTCGCGCTGGACCTGATCCTTCGGAAACGTCGTCGTGCTTGGAGGGGCGGACGACGGACGACGTACGTGTTTTCCTTTCCGCGCGTTGGTCTGCAGCTGCGGCTGTGTAGGTTGCGGGGTAGCGATGTCGATGGGTGGGGAAAGGAGCGTGGCGTCCGCGAAGGTGGTAGTAGGTTCGGGGGAGTGCAGGGGCGTCGCGAGGTCGATGGCAATCCTTAGCCTGGGCGAGTTGGGAGATGGGCCGGGAGTAGTAGAGCGCGAGCCGGCGGACAGGGCGGTTGGATCTGGTTGACGCATGTCTGGGCTGTCGTGGCAGGCGTCGTCGCCATCGGGCGACTGAACAAAGTCATCGGGATCGCAGTGGATTTCAGAGATACCTTGCAGGATGCGGATGGTCGGCGGAGAGGACGATGATGGCATGCCCATAGCAAACCACGAAGGGTCAATCGAGGTGAAAACTGTGCTGAGGAGGGTCTAGATGTCTATCTTCCTCGTTTCCTCAGTTATCGGAAGAGACAACGAATGTGTGGTACCCAAGGAGCGGCCTTTTATAGTGTGAGTTGGGATGAATGCAAGGAAGTTAACTTATTACACCACGCGCAGAGAACGGGTCGCTGAAGAATTCTGCAGGGAACAATGAGGGTCACGACGAGCCGGAAGGTGAGTAACCGTGACGAATAGGGGCTCGATCAAAGCTCGGCCTATCTGAGGAGGCTCTGGGGTTAGGGCTACGGGGTCAGTGGTATTGGCACCGCCACTCGCCAGCCCTACGTTGCGCTTGGAACACGTAGACGAGCAACGCAAACGCCATGCAGGATGCTTTGCAAGAGCTGATCGACGGCAAGATTGTATGTAACCCCGGCAAGCACGTATCTTTAATTGGATGGCTCAGGAGTCGTGCTCCAACAGGATTTTGAAGGGCAGAAGACCGTTGAGCACATAGCAAAGGTCGCCCTCATAGCCCTGACAGTACGTGTCGCTTTGAATTCCATACGGTGCTGCCGAGACTGACGAACATGCTAGGTCGTCTCGTTTATCATTGGATTTGCGCTCCAGTCTCTTCGCATCACCTTCGGGGTATTTGGCATTGGATCGTTGGCTGTCATGCTCGTAGGACCGCGAACGTGCTGTCCGTGTGTCGCGCTCTCACACCATGCATTCTTAGGTGGTTGTACCCCCTTGGCCGTCATTCAACCGGCACCCCGTACAATGGCTCGCGCCTATCGAAAGCAAAAAAGACCAATGAGTTCATCGGCGCACTTCGCAACGACGTTCGCCGCCCATGGCCTATGTTTCGGGTGGCGAGGCCGAGAGCGCATCCTCGCACCCTGCTCTAGCTTTGATAGGCGATCTCCGGTGGACTGCTCGACGGATTCGCAGCTGGTCGTTGCTTCCCCTTCACGCCGGCGGGTACAGAGAACCTTCTAATGAAGGGGTCCAGACTGGCCGACTCGCTTGCCCTTTTCATTGTAGGTATCTGCCGCGATTACTGTTTCTGCTCTCGTTGGATACGGCTCGGAATGGACCTCTGTATCCTGATATGTACCATATAGTGATTGGCCCGCGTAGGCACGGGTAAAAACGAGTCGATGGTAGAGTAAAGGATTGTTGTCCTTCCGTAAGCAGCAGTGAGATCGGCCCTAGAGTCGGGCTCTTGACCAACACCGCCCTCGGCCTAAGGTCTCCCATCGCACACGCTCAGCGCACGTCCTCCGACCTTTTGTGTTCCCCACCACTCGTTGTCGCCGTCTCAGCCGATGAGCGCCGGCCCAGCCCCCGCCACGCCGTCCAGCGCCAGCACCAGCACCAGCACCAGCGCCACGCCCGCGGCAGCTGCGGATTCCGACCGTCTCCCATCCGAACCGCCACGGTCAGGCTCAGGCTCGATCACGCCGTCGCACGGAGCACACGAGTTCGATATGCCTGTCCACCCCGCGCAGGAGCCTTCCCAGCTCCCCACCACCCTCGACCACCCCGACGATCCGACAGCGCCCGGCAGCATCCCCGACGACCCGCCCACCCCCACCAACCCCTCGACCCTAGCGCCCAGGAGGCCGCAGCCCACGTCCTCGCGCCAGCGCCCCGTGTCCATGCCGCCCCAGGCCTTCGCCGCCCCGCCCCCGCCGTCCGCCGCCACCACCGCCGATGGCCAGCGCGACCGCGACACCGCGAGCAAGCCCCGGCGGGAGAGCTCCAGCACCAAGCCCCGCAGCTCGAACCGCATCTTGGGCGACTACACCCTCAGCAAGTCGCTCGGCGCGGGCAGCATGGGCAAGGTCAAGCTGGCCACGCACAACGTCACTGGTGAAAAGGTGGGTCTTTTTGTTCTGCTCCGTCGGTGACAGAGCGGGGGCTGATCCCGCACGATGACAGTACGCCGTGAAAATCCTGCCCCGCACCGTCCCCAACGCCTCCTCCAACTCTCACCAAACACCCGAACAAGCCGCCAAGCAGGCGAACAAGGACGCCAGCAAGGAGATCCGCACCCTGCGCGAGGCGGCGCTGTCCATGCTCTTACATCATCCGTACATATGCGGCATGAGGGAGATGATTGTCCATACCCACCACTACTACATGGTCACCGAATACGTCAACGGCGGCCAGATGCTCGACTACATCATCAGCCATGGCCGACTAAGGGAGAGGGTAGCGAGGAAGTTTGCGAGGCAGATCGGGAGCGCATTGGAGTATCTCCATCGGAACAACGTCGTACATCGAGGTATGCAAGTACGGCCATGCACATCGATGCCTGTACCAACTCATAGGACGTCGCAGACCTCAAAATCGAGAACATCCTCATCTCCCAGTCGGGCAACATCAAGCTCATCGACTTTGGCCTCTCCAATCTCTACAATCCCTCCGACCACCTATCTACGTTCTGCGGCTCTCTATACTTTGCCGCCCCCGAGCTCCTCAATGCCAAGCTCTACACCGGCCCCGAGGTCGACGTATGGAGCTTTGGCGTCGTTCTTTACGTCCTCGTGTGTGGCAAAGTGCCGTTCGACGACCAAAGCATGCCGGCACTCCATGCTAAAATCAAACGAGGATTGGTGGAATATCCCGTATGGCTGTCCGCCGGTCAGTGCCCTGCGTTACGTGTTTTCTCTGCGAGCTCTCGTGCTGACCCAACGTCTTCCAGAATGCAAACATATCCTGTCCCGGATGCTCGTGACTAATCCTGCCGCTCGGGCGCTGCTGACGGAGGTCCTCAACCACCCGTGGATGACGCGCGGTTTCACGGGGCCGCCCGACCCGCACCTCGTCAAGCGCGAACCGCTGCGTGTCGAAGACATCGACCGTGAGGTGATCCGCGGCATGAGCGGTTTCGAGTTCGGCACCGAGGAGGACATTGAGCGCCGGCTGATCGAGGTGCTCGAATCCGACGCGTACTACCGCTGCCTGCAGGCGTGGGAACGCCGGCGTAACAACTTGAACGGCGTTGGCAACGGGCGAAACGGCGTCTGGGGCAGTGGCTCGTTCAGCAACTCGAGCCTCACCGCCTACGACTCGGGGAGCGAGCGCACGGCGGCGGAGCACATACCGCGGAGCGCGAGCCGGCAGAGCAAGAAGCGGTTCTCTATGGGCTTTGACTGGTACAAGAAGAAGCTGTTCTCTCCGACGTCGAGCCCGCCCGGGAGCCCGCTGTCGACCAGCCCGCCCAACTCGCAGACGCACCTCTCGCTCAATTCGCTCGGCGAGCAGCCGCTTGACCCAACGGCCGGCTTCCACCCGCTGATCTCGATCTACTTCCTCGCGCGGGAGAAGATGGAGCGCGAGAAGGTGTACGGCCCCGGCATCTTTGCGAGCTCGCAGCTGTCGCTCGAGGGTGCGCACTCCTCGCCAAACGGCGAGGACGTGCCGACGATCAACGCCAAGGGGGTGTCCCAGCCGGCCGCGATCAACGCCGCGTCGTCGAAGAAAGACCCCGTCCCGGGCAAGCCCGACTACAGCATGCCGCTCCCCCGCCTCCCCGCGCCCGCCAGCACGCATTACTCGGAGCGCTCGTACGACGCTGCGCAAGCTTCGCCCTCGCCCACCGGCGGTAACTTTGGCCCCCAACCCCGGCCTCGCGCCGACGCGAACGCGCTCGCCATCCCCAAGCGTGGTGATGTCGCCACCGGCGGTACGCTGCCCCGTAGTGCGCCGAGCTCGCCGAGTTCTCCGGCTAACGCGATCGTAGCGCCGATCCCGCAGGCGGTGACGAACAGCAAGACGCACAGGCGCAGCCAGAGCCTGAGCCAAAGGCCGGCTGCGTCGCAGACGCCGCCTCTGACGAGCGGCTGGACCCGCCTGTTTGGCGGGCAGGGTATCGTGAACGAGCACGGCATTGTCGAGAAGGAGGCGCCGCCGTATCGCGAGCCGCCGCGCACGGCTGGCCCCGAGACGACGTCCTTCGGCGAAAAGGAGGCATCGCTGACGCCGAAACCTTCTCACACCGCCGACGAAGACTATCCTCAGGCGCCGATGTCGGCGGGCGCCACCCTCGTGCGCAAGTTTGGCAGCCTGCTGGTTGGCAATCGCGACGGGTCGGTCCGGGGTGGAACGACCGGTAAGCGAGCGAGCATCGCTGTGCACAGGCCGTCGGCCGACCCCCAGATGAGGGAAAAGGACGAAGCTGCGGGATCTGGACGGCAACCGGTGATTGACGAGGATGCCGAGAAGGTCAAGAAGAGCTACGACGAGCAACGGGCGAGCCACGAAAAGCCCTTGTCGCCGCAGCGCATCTCGACCAGCCAGAGCCAGCCCGTGGGCACCGCGCACCGTCGCGCGGCGACCATCCTCGACCCGGCCTCGAAGCGGCACGAGCGGAGAAGCAGCACGAGTGCGGCGTTCCTCTCTGGCGGCACCATTGGAAGGCATCGCAGGCCATCTACTGGCTTTTCGCATGGCACCGCGAGGCCGAACAAGGAGCCATTTGGGCGGATGGAAGAGGAGCCGGAGGGTATGGAGGAAGAAGCGCAGCCGCCTACCGACACGGAAGCTGGGGCGCTGAGCGAGGGAGAGATCAAAGAGGCGAAACCGGTGTTCCTCAAGGGTCTGTTCAGGTACGTCCTGAACTGCGAGAACGTCCGAGTAAATCGTTGACAAACCTTGGCAGCGTGGCGACGACGTCGACGAAGTCGCCTGCGGTCCTCAAGTCCGATATCCGGAAGGTGCTGGATCGGATGCAGATCAGGTATCGCGAGACGAGGACGGGCTTCGAGTGCATACATCTGCCCTCTATAGACATCTCCTCGATAAACCCACAACCCAAAACGCCGAGGCGGAAGCAGCACCGCCGCGACGGCTCGTCGAGCTCGGCCGAGACGGGTGGCACCAAATCCATCGCAAGGAAGGCCTCCAAGTTGTCGTTTGGAATGAAGAGCGGCAAGGAGTCCGCGAAGGATGCTGACGCTGCGTCGACGACGACAGCGAAGGAGAACAAGCCGTCGTCCGAGCGGCCGTCGACGGGCGGGAGTCTCAACGGCACCGGCGGTCAGCACCACCCCCTCACCCCGACGCCCAGCAGCGGCTCATCCTCGTTCTTCAATGTCCCATCAGCTGCCGCGCAGAACCCGCCTCCCCCTCCTCCGGCGGCCGAAGAGGGCGCTGCGAACGGCGTGAACGGCGCATCGCACGCCAACTCGGAGCTTACGCCGACGCCGACGCCGCGCTCGGCATCTCCCGAGAACCAGAAAATCCTCCCGCCGATCCCGCGCGACTTTGCGACGAGCCCGCAGCCGACGTTCAGGACGGTGACGCCGACGCCGACGATTCCGAATACCACGGCTGGCGAGCTGGACTTTGACGCGATCGGCACGAGCTCGATGGCGGTTCGGTTTGACATCAATATTGTCAAGGTGTGTGCCCTATGCGCTAGTATCCGAATTGTATAAGCTGATCGGGATTGTAGGTGCCGATGCTTCCGTTGCACGGTATTCAGTTCCGTCGTGCGGGAGGCGACGGCTGGCAGTACCACATGCTCGCCCGTCGCGTACTGACCGAGCTGAAGCTATAGCCCGTGATCATTCTCTTAGGATCGTAATGTTCTCGATATCATCACGAGGTCATCACGAGGTCGATAAGCTATCTGTTGTGGTTTATACGCTCTTTCCCGCTGCTCCTCGTTTCGTGTAGTAAAATATTCTCGAGCCGTGGTTTTTCGCTTTGCATGGGCTTTTCTTCTTTTCTTCTCGTCTTACTCCTTTTTGATTTTTTGGCATTAGTTTCCCCTCCGTCGTCGTGCCTACTCTTAATGAACACGGAGGCCCCGCATGCAGCGCTGGTATATCCTCTCTTGGCATCACACAGACCACTGTACAAATATGGCCTTACCCTACCGATAACATATGAATCACGAACACACACAACCAAGTTGCCAGGGAATTGTTCGATGGTTAGTATCCGATGCTCGTGGACGAAGATGCTGCTTGGTTCGAATCAAGCATTCCTCCTCTGAGGCCCTCGTAAAACGCGGGTATTAAACCGGCGCGTTCGCGGTCGTCAGCGTTGAACGGGCCCTTTAGCTCCCCGCGCCAGCCCCGGCGGACCTCCTCGCGAAAGGTCGGTATAGGATCGACGCCGTCCTGCGCGCAGCAGTGCGTGAACCAGCGATGGCCGGCGGTGACGTGCGTCACCTCGTCGTGGTGAATGATCTCGAGCACCTTGACGGACTCCGCGTCGCCCGCGCGACGGAAGCGTTCGATGGTGCCTGGGTTCACGTCTAACCCACGAGCTTCGTGGACGAGGTGGATGATGGCGAGGCGCGACCTATCGTATTCCTGCTGTGAACATGCAGCCGCAGGTCCGAGAACAAAGGGACCGACCTCAGCGAATCCTTGGTCACGAGGGCTGACTCCCATAAACCGGCGTGTACTGGAAGAGAACCATAACGCACACCTTATTACGAAGCCAGGTCAGTGGAAGACGGCTACATAAGGAAGACGGTGCGCGCGCACCCATTTTCTCCAATCGCGCCGCTAGCAGCGAAAAGTGCTTTGACTCGTCTAGGGCGACTTTGGCAAAGTCGGCGAAGAAAGCCGGAGGGAGCGGGGGGTTGTGTGTCGGCCCGAATCGCGCGATGATATCCCAGCTAGGTGGACGGAACCTCAGACCTCCGCAGCTCAGTTGACATGCAGACTCGCGCTTACGCCAAGTCGATGCTAACGAGGAAACATGAGGTTCGACGGCCTATGACCGAAGTCGGTTTTGGATGCACTCACGCCCATTGCTCAATGTTCGCCAGCGCGTGCAGCATCACGGCGGCCTTTCGCCGGTTCCCGAGCGTCTTCACTGCAGCCGGGTCGACCGTATTATTTGCATACTCCTTATGTCGCGGAGGCGTTTCCGGCGGCCTCGAGGCCGTGGACGACCGATGCCCGATGGAGCTTAGTTGACCGGTATGGAAAAGATGAACTGCATGCCGGGTACGTGCGACCTGGGCCGCCATTCAACGAGATACATTCAGGACAGTTCCAGGGGCGACGGTTATGCAGCCTCGCTTACCTTCAGCGTCGGGTCTGGGGTGTTGAGTATGAGGACAGCCCAGTCTATGAGAGTCTTTGGCGCGTTGGCTTCGGGCACAATGGGTTCGGTCTCGTCCGAGGAGGTATCGGGTTTCTCTGTCGGAGGCAACTGGGACGAGGCCGTCGCCGGCGGTGGATCCGCAAAATCTGAAAAACGAATTTGAGGAAAAAGGACTGCAGCTATAGTTGTTCTGGTTTTCACCTTCCGAAACAGGCCGGAGTTCGACAACGCGCCAATTGGAACCATCGTCAGGAGGCTGGAGCCATACATATTGCTTATCGTCCTCTGCTGTTCTCGGCCGAACTTCGACAGCATAGGTGCATGCTTTCAGACCTGTTTCGCTTTTGCCGGTTTGTAGATCAAAGTCGTACCTAGCAATGACGGGTCAGTAGCAAGGTATGTAAACGTCGTTTTCATGCACAAACCTATGCCAAGGGCAGACTGCTACCATGCTCGTCTCACACTCTTCGATCTCAGCATGGCTCATATCTGCACCAAGGTGAGGACATGAAGACTCCATCGCGTACAGGCAGTGACCATTCCTCGGGTCAGGCGGTGGAGAGACCTCTGCGTCACCCGCATTGGCATGAGCCGTAGACAGGCGAAAGAGAATAAGTGAGTGGTAGGTGCCCTCTTGCGAACGAAGTGTCAAGAGGAATCGCGTATGGGTGAGCAGGGTCTGCAATGATTCAACTCTGTCATTTCGTCGCGTCTAGCTTCTCCGCGGACTCTATTGCATGCGTGACGGAACCCACTCGATCATGTTGGGGCCGGATCCGAGAATTTTGCAAGGTGGCGCACTGCGACGATGACAGTCTCCGAAATTCAAGCTTCAAGAGGCTGCTAGCAAGGGACAAGATAGATGAACTACTGTACATAGATTCCGGAGCCCCCACGGCGATCGGTAGTCCAATCTTTGATCACCAGCAGCTGGGCCAGGTCATGTTGCAGCTCACCGGAGGGCGCACCGCCACCTGACGACGCATCACGTGCAAGCACCACCATCATTTTGTATTTCAATTTGCAAAGCGGGGCCGCAAGCAATGTGGATTGGGATGAGAGAACAGCAGAAGACGGGAGCGCGCTTTTCCGTGCTGATGGACGGTAGCCGACCGAACTTGCGCTATCCAACCCCCGGCTCACGCCATCCTTGCCCACACTCCATCCTCCGTCGATCTCCTCAAGTACGGGGCCAAAATCTCCGGACGTGTTGCTAGTGTTCGAACCACGTCCCCCTCGCCTTCCCTTCTTTCATTCTCCAACTCCTCGGAGCTCTGAGACCTCAGAATTTGACTCAGGAAGCAACGATGGACACCGAAAAGCAATCTCGCACCAGCTACTCGGGTGACTCTGACGAACTCGTCGATGAGGTCACCAAGGAGGAGCTGGCGTTCGAGAGCAACAATGCTATCAAGTACCGGACATGCTCTTGGGAGAAGGTACGCTATCCGTTGTAATTCAGGCGAGGAGGACGAGCCGATTGATCATTCCACTCAGACGGCAGCCCTCCTCTTCTCCGAGTATATCTGCCTTGCTATCCTTTCCTTTCCCTGGTCATTCTCAGTCCTGGGCATGGTACCCGGCGTACTTGTCACAGTCGCCGTAGCCGCATCCGTCCAATACACCTCCCTGGTGCTCTGGCGGTTCTGCCTCGCAAACCCCCATGTCCGGGACGTGTGCGATATCGGACGGCTCCTCTTCTCCCGTGCATTCGGCGAGCAGTATGGACAGATTGCGTACAATATCACGGCCGTGTTCTTCGTCCTGAACAACACCTTCATTCAAGGTTTGTCGATTTTTTCAAGAACATGCATCTCGTACCGCAATCATCTTGACCGCCCTATGCATTTACAGCGTTGCACTGTTTGGTGGGTGCAAAGCTGCTCAACACGCTCTCTGACTCGGCCGCGTGCACCGTCGTTTTCTCTTTCATCTCCGCGGCGATCTGCTTCTTCGTCTCGCTCCCGCGGCCGCTCAGCCAGCTCAGCGGCCTCGGCACCTTCAGTGCCGCCACCATGGGCATCGCCGTCCTCCTCGCGATAATATTTGCCGGGATCCAGGACCACCCCGCGGGTTTCATCGAGGACGCGGCGCCGATCGTAACTAAGTTCCCCGTCGCGGGCACCGGCTTCGTCGGGGGCATGTCGGCGTTCTTGAACATCACATACACCTTCGTCGGCCAGATCACCCTCCCCTCGTTCATTGCTGAGATGAAGAACCCCAAGGACTTCCCCAAAGGTACATGATTGTCCAGCTTCTTATATCGTCAAACTCAAGTGCTGATTTGATTTTTGCAGCTCTGTGGGCGGTTACAATCGCCGAGATTGTTGTGTTCACGCTTTGCGGCGCAATCATGTACCACTATGTCGGTAAGTCGTGTTTCAACTCATTTGATTGAGCATCCGTTGACCACGGACGCAGGCAATCAATACATGACCGCTCCTGGTGTGTCTCCATTTGAACGTCTCAACAAATATTGTACTCAAATTTCGTTGACTCTAGCATTCGGCTCTCTGCAGCCGACTTACAAAAAGATTGCCTTCTCCTTCGCGATACCGTGCGTTTCATGATCCTCTTGTGGAATTGTCCTCGCCTGACGATGTCCATAGGACTATCGTTTTCCTCGGTTCGCTGTACTCCGTGAGCATGCTCTCATCCTGTATCGATCTCGGATATGGTTCCTGACCTCGCCTGCGCAGTCCGTGACGTCCCGCTTCATCTTTTTCCGTATCTTCTCCAAGACCTCGCGCCATCGCAATGAAAACACCGTCGTTGGTTGGGCTGTCTGGGGAGGTATCGTCGCCGCCACATGGGTCCTCGCGTTCATCATAGCCGAGGTCATTCCGTTCTTCTCTGACATGCTCAGCTTGATGAGCTCACTATTCGGTGCGTCCAATTTCCCTTATGGTATCCTCCAGTTTCTCACGAACATGATGGTTCAGACGGATGGTTCGGGTTCATCTTCTGGGGAATGGCCTACCTCACCCTCTACCCCGGCGCGAAGAAGTGGGCAGGGCCGTGGCGGTCCGCCGAGACGATCCTGAACTACTTTTGGATCGTGTTCGGTCTGTACGTCCTCATAGCCGGGACATACGTGAGCACCTTGCATCCTCTCTCCGAGTCACCCCCTCATCGATTGTTTCATCAGACCTCGATTAAGTCTATTATCATTGACTATACGGGACAAAAACCCTTCACATGCGTGCGTATCCCGCCGTTCTACATGTAGGCCCGGCTGACATGTTTTCCCCCTTCACAGGCAAGCAATGCTATATGATGTAATCGTAGATATAACCGATCGTGTATAATCTCCCTGGGAAGCTGCCTGTAATAGTGGCCTATAATGGCATGAGAGCTACAATATGCTCTTGCAACCACATCTATCTTCGAAGCATACGCGTTCCTCGGGGATCCCCGACTAAGTTGTCTCTCACGAGTGATTCGAGAGAAGTTGATTGGTACGCCCTTTTACCATGTTGATCAACGACCGTGATCTCTTTACTATTCGCAAGAAACCACTCTCGCGTTGCATTCGTGTCGATTTGTGGGGACCGTCGAGTAATAGAGACGTTCTGTTCCAATCATTATTGGAAAACCCAATACTTCCCACTCGCAAACTCCCTAGCTCCTGGCCCGGATCTCAATACCGGATCTCAATAATTATTGGGAAACAGAACGTCTCTAATGCAAGCTTGAGGTACGGAGCGAACTTATGTCTACATCTATTACATCATGTTTGATTTGTATATTATCCAGGGCTTCGGAGTCGCTGCCGCCATATTCGCGTCAGAGCGGCGTCATCCCCGACGCGTCCGTCTCCGTGCCGCGTTCTGGGTCGTCAAATAACACGATTGCTCGCATGGCTATCATCCGTTCGCGCCGTTTCCCCGCAATCAGGAACCCGTATTGCGTGCTCGATGGCTCTAGATAAGCATGATCGGACCACCGCACGGACGGACCCATCATAAGAGGGCGACCAGGCAACGCGGATCTGCCGTCTATTAGCTCTCTCCAGCGTACTCTCCGTCCACCGGAACCCACAAGACAGACGACACGATGGTTCCCGCACCCATTGCTCAGCGAGGCTCGCTCGGCCGATTCGAGTCCATCGACGAGACGCCGCACATCGGCACCCGCTTCCCGAACCCAAACACCCAGCTCTCCGCGTTCCTCACCGCGCCGGACGGGGACGAGCTCATCAAGGACCTCGCCACGCTCGTCGCGCACCGCGGCGTCGTCTTCTTCTCCAACCAGGACATCACCCTCGAGCAGCAGAAGCAGCTCGCGACGCGCCTCGGCGAGCTCGGTGGCAAGCCGAAGGGCAGCACCCTGCACAAGCACCCGATCTCTGAAGAGACCAGCGAGCTGGGTGCGGATACGAGTGTGATCACGTCCAGGGGGTACGAACCCACGTATTTCCGTTTCTAGGACGTGTTCGCTAATACAGTCGCATCACAGCGGCATCGCGAGGGCCGGATACGTGAATGGATCCCGAGCAAGCAAAGGATGGCACACAGATATCACCTTCGAGCCCGTACCATCGGACTATGCTGTGAGTCACACGAGCTGCGCATCTATCCTGAAATAAGCTGATGTTCTCCCGTGTGCCAGATCCTCAAGCTGCACACATTGCCCAGAGGTGCGCCTTTACCAGTTTTTACGTTCTCGAGTCATCGTATGCTGACTATTGGCGGATTGACTAGTCGGCGGTGATACTCTGGTGAGCTGCAACACTTCTACACGTAGTCGATCACGTCCTAACTTGATCTCTTCAGTGGGCTAGTGGATACGAAGCCTACGATCGCCTTTCTCCCGTTATGCGCAGGTTCCTGGAAGGCCTCACGGCTGTACACGATGCTCCCTTCTTCCGCGAGGTGCGTACTTCTTCCATGCTACACCCTTTGCGAGTGAGATCTGATCAGGTTCGGTAGATGGCACGTGCGGAAGGCAAAAAGATGCAGGATCATCGCGGTCACGCTGAAAACACCGGGGAGGCTCTTGTCGCCATTCAGTTCGTGACTCCTTCTCATCGGGCACTCAAATGAGGACTGAGCATTTACTCTTCCTAGCCCCGTTATCCGCACCCATCCCATCACAGGGTTCAAGACGCTCTTCGTGAACCGAGGGTGGGCCCGTTCTTTCATCTAAAGATGCTCGAATCCCTGACCGCGTAACCAGATTCACGAAGCGCATCGTTGAGCTTACGGAAGACGAGTCTGACGCGCTGCTGGATTACCTCTTCCGGCACGTCTCCGAAAACCACGACTTCCAGGTGCGATTCCGCTGGTCCACCAACGATGTCGCCATTTGGGACAACCGATGCACATTCCACACCGCTACGTGAGTTCTCATCAGATTTCCCATAGCTATGCATCGCTGATGAAAATCCTGCAGGAACGACTACGGAGACGAACTGCGCGTCGGAAACCGCGTCGTCAGCATCGGCGAAAGACCGTACTTTGACCCGGCGTCTAAGTCTCGACGTGAAGTCCTGGGTAACGCGATCTAGCGCCCCTTTAACGCTCAACGCGTAGCGCGTCCTGCATACTTCGGATAATTCGGTGTTGTATTCTACTGTCATATGGGATGGAAATAAACTGTACTACTTTATGCAATGCGTGATTAGGATGAGCGGAAGTTTTACTAGGCAATTACAATCAAGATGCGGGCGAGACCAGCGCTAACGCAGAATCACATATGGTCGTCGAGAAGGAGCTCAGCGGCATTATCATGCTCTTTTTCTCCTATTCAACTCGTGAACCGTGGACTCAAAGACGACTAGGGAACCGATTGTCAGTGTCGTGCGTGTCAACAACCATAAATCGTAGGGATCATTCAGCTGTGCCTTGGCCTCGTAGCCTTGCAACTCTTCAACCTCCTGGGAAAAAGTGACCAAGACGAACGATCCAAGACCAATAGTCGCATGTTTTCTCGAAATCATTCGTCCTGTGGCAAGAGGGACGTTATCGAAGGGTGTGGCATCGTCGTTCGTATGGCCCTGTGGTTCTGTTTCTTGCTCGGCGACAATACTCGATTGGATTTGGGAGTCTCCCTTTCTGACCAAGCTCCAGGTGGGCGTCTGGCTATCTTCGTGCACCAGCTTCGCCTGACATGCTCGAAGGTTAACTACGCCCTCCCGGAAGAGCGGCATATACAGCGAACCTCGCGCGAGTTGTTGAACTGGAGAGTCTCACCGGACGCCGCATGTACCAGCCTGTGCAAATGGTCAGCTCCTGCGCCTCGTAGCTCTGCACAACGCCACTCGACGAACCTTACTCTAATTTCGCCGTCTGGAGCATCGTCACCCTCGACCTCAACACGCCATCTCGCCACAGGACAAGACGTCCATGCAACCGAACCTTCGCCGCCAGATCGTCGACCTCCCATCATGAACAGTCCGGTTGACACGCTGCGAATCAGGTAAAGGCCGCCGTCTTCGCCTCTGGAACTAGGGGCAACATCCCACTACAATGGCAGCAGGACATGAAAGACAGGTCATTGAAGTAGCGATCGAACGGGTGCTTACGAGCTGATTATGGCCGTCGTGCGGAGACCACGCAATCAACGTCGTACTGTCTGCACCTGAGAGATCTAGCGCGGACCCAGTAGCAATGTCAATCAATTGATAGATCCCATGGGGCAATTGCTGGTGTCGTGCATCGGATGGTTCAATATGAGAAACGGGGCTGGAGCCAGACATTTATAGCGAAGAAATTTTGAAGGATAACTGGGCGCTCGATCCTCCCCATCGTCGCATTTATACCGTCGTTGTCGCGGCGCGAGGATCGCTCCTGGCGGAGCACCTCGTGTATTGTGCACGCTCGGACGTGGCGCAATTTCCGCTTCGGGTACTGCACGTTTCGGAAATGCATGGCGTCTCCATTACACCTCGAGAACTTCGGACGGAGCCTGAGCACGCAACAACGCGCAGGGTCTGGATCAGGAATACAATTCGGTGTTCACGGGGGTGATAAGTATTAGTGGTGTACAGTCTATCATACGCGATCAGTCCCTTGTAATACATTACCCAAGACAGACATCGATATACATTCCAAGCTGAGATATGGTTGGAGGTATAACACTTGGAAGGTTCACTTCATCTTTGCATAATCGTCATTTCAACTGGCTTGGATGGGATACGCGCTCGAAGTCGGGCTGATGCCTTGGATGTTCTCGAAAGGCCCGTAAGAAGCCTGATTCACTTCGACCGGCCACGCAAATCTGCGCAAATGTGTCTGTTAGAGACGCCATTGTTATCGTTCACCCAGAGATCGCCTTACCCTGGCATCATCATACTTTCCCACCATGCCGGGTTCTTGATCGCCTGCATGGAGGCGAGAGTCATTTCCGGGGAACCGGGAGACGGCTGTGCGCTCGGAGGGTACAGCGTTCCGTCCATACTTCCGCCAAAGCCAGAACCCGGATTAGATGAAACAGCACTCAACAGCGCGTCGTCCTCGGGCGGCGCCAGCATGACGGGCGGCAAAGAGCTATGCAACGACATCTGCTGAGCGCCGTAATCTTGACCGCCGCCGTACGCCCCTTGCTGTTGCGACAGGGAGTAGATCTGGTTGGACGCCGATGGTTGCATCTGGTGTCCGCCTGGATTGCCAGTGCCGTACTGCACCTGGTGGTGAGGTGGCTGTGGAGTCTGTCGATCTTGCGGTACCATGCCATCTTGACGGTGCTTCGTCAACAAACCGGCGAGGAAGCGAGCGTAAAGCTTGGGGGCATGGCGATCGTCGAGCGCGATTTCGGGCGAGCTCAGAATCTGAATCAGACGAGAAATGACCTCCAGAATCTCATGCTCGTCCTGAGGGGTTCGTAGGATGGCAAACTCGGGACGCAGGAGCTATTCAGGGGATGATTACTGTTATGCCATCACAGGAGCCATCCGTACTCACTTTGAGCAAGAAAGCTGATGCAAATGAAGAGAATAAGAACCAGCCTAGTTTGACAGTGTCATTCAATCACGAATGAGGTGTTCTCGGATATGACTAACCATCCGGGCTGTACCGCATCAAACCGGTCGGTACCAATCGTTCGATCATGACTCGGATGAGGGATTTCGCAGCGTTCATGCACTGGAAATAAAATGAACATCAGCCAAGGGCTATTGCTGATGGCAAGCCGCGATTTACCGTAGTGAACACAAGTTGGTCGTCAGCGGAAATGCCACGCTGGAACGCCTGCTGGAACGGGAAGGACCACATGACTAGTCTCGAGTAGTTGATGACGCTGACGACACAATGAATAAAACATTTCCATCAGCAGTATGTGGAAACCCACTAAGGGAGCAATGCTGCTCGGACAACGCAGACCGGGTCTAAGGGGGAGTGGGTCAGTCTTGCGCGGAGTGTACTATAGGAGGCACGTACCGTTCGGATCTGAGTCCTGATCGAATCGCATTTGCCATTCTTCGTAGTACTGGTTGAGGCTATGATCATGGTTCATGATCAAAGGGCGGAGGTCGGCGTGCTATCAGGCATATGAGTGTTCCTTCTCAGCACCAACAAACACCAAATGGACGGACCTGATTGATACCTAAGGGCGACGACGGATCGGAATAGATATCGCTGTGTACCCGACCAAGTAGACGGAGCAGTTGATTATAGCCACACATATGGATGTCATACTTTATTTCAACAACAATGAGACGACGTCGGGACGCTCGTGAACGAAGAAACATACCGGGCTGTTGAAGCGCGAGGTCTTGTAGAAGTCTCCAGCATTGCGGATGATACTGCAATGACAGGCTCAGAAGCGTATCAGGCCTCCTGAATGCAGGTCTACTCACTAGTCTTCCTTGATCGTCCAGGGTTTACCGAATTGGGTCGCCGTTGATCGATCCTGATTGAAGCATAGCATCCAGGCACGAGTCCTGTTGAGGACCTCCCGCTCCTGACGCTCATTCTGCGGCTTGGTCTGCGGTGGAACATGAAGGTTCAAGTCCATGGCAATCCTACGCTCATTCCGTCAGAAACCTGGTAGGTAATAGCTTCAAATGACGGCAGACCTGATTGCGAGGCCAGTATATAGCCAACTGCGGTCCTCCTCCCAGCGCTTCGCAGGCACACCATACATGGACATCAGCAGATACGCTTGGCATAGCTCAACTGTCTTCCATCCGTGGATCAACGCGTTGGATGCCTCGCTCTTGGCGAAATGCATAGCGATCGAATATATCTCGGATTTTTCGGGGCTATAGCGCGAGGAAATGGCACATACTGCCAATAATAATGATCGGTCAAGGACATACATTGAATGCATAACACTCACTGCACGTGAAGAGGAAAGGACATCGAGCGAAGACCGTGGACGGGGTGTGCAACACTGGATCGAGCAGAGGCAACCATATCTATTAACAACATGAGCATGATCGTGAAACTGCGGTCGAGGACAGATCCTCACGTTGACACGCTTGAAGAAGCTAAGGAAAGTCAATAAAGGCAGTGATGGAATCTATATGACCACTTACATGTCAAAGAGCTTGTCCACATCATCGGGGGTGACAAGCCCATGCAACAGGATTTCGGGAGGACTGTAACTTTCGATAAGCTTCGCCCGCATGCGGAGGTCTGTCGCCGGACCCGGTAAAAAGTAGGTCTCGTTGGCTACACCCTGCAAACGACGATTCAATTGATGATCTGAATGTGCTGTGCGTCCGGACTTACCACATCATCATCTTCGCCATCCTTGTTCTCATCCGCGCCAGCATCGCTCTTCGCCTTCGTCGATCTCGCTTGGTCGAGCGACAGATCCGCGAACAAGCCCAGGGGCACGGCAGCGTCCGGTATGAGCTTGGAGTCCGAAGTCACCAGACAATCGTCCAGGTCCTCCCACTCTGCATCATCCCCGGCCGCCTGATCCTCGTTATCTGACTCGTCCGAAGCGTCTTCCACCATCTCGCGACTGCGCGACGCGGCACCTTTCAGCGTGTTGGGCCCGTTGTGAGTGCGGATGCTGGACTGCAGACGCTCGAGCCATTGCTTGACATTCTGATTCTGTTGATCGGGAGGTGCGGTGGACATGCGGTATGCAGCAATGGACAACGGAGTAGCTAGGTATGGATTGTGGAGCTAAACGCGAGAGACTAAGCCAGCAATTTCCCAGGACCCTTAGATCACAACCCACGGACCTGTTTCAGCAGAGACTCAATGATAGCGTCCTTTTGCCGGATTTGCGACAGCAGGTATTCGCGTTTACTGTGACAATATGACATGAGCAACGCATGCATACAGCGAGGAGAGGAAGATGAAGATCCGGGGGAATGGAGGTTTGTTCCTTACTTAGGTGCACTCCGGGGCTTCCGGCCTTCGACGATACACGTGTGGCCGCTAGCCTTGCATCTCCGGCAAACATTCTGGTCTTTGGGAAAATCGCATTTCATCTGCAGAGTATAAAGTGAGCCCGTGCGCCCCACATCCTTGACAAATGCTGACCTTCAACTTCTTACAGTGAGTGCAAGCGCCGGGCCTGAGGTGATAGGTTTCAGGTCAGCGATCACTATAGAAGGTTCGTGGCACTCACAATCTCCCACTGATCAAAGGCTCAGGACCGCGTGTGGGGGGCAGGGTCAGGAAGGCCTCCGTATCGATACTGCCATCGCTCTCCTTGCCCTCCCTGCGTTGACGTTTCCGAGGTGTGGTTCTTGGTCGACCTCCGGAGGACGCTTGCGCAGCGCCCAAGTTCGCGGGTAGAGTCGCCGACATAGGCATGGCCTGCTCGTAGGGGGCGGGGACAACGTGCGACGGCGACGAGGACGAGGACGGAATTGAACTCGGGAGGAAGTGAGCGTCTGAGGAAGGGGTATAAACCCTGTCGCTGGGCGTTCGGCGTTCATAATCCGGTGCTGGCATGCCACCATTCGAGATCGGCTGGTGATTTGCCTCCGAATCGCTCAACGCCGGGTAATAGAGATTTTCGTTCTGCGAAGGAAAAAAAAAACCGCGAATGTTACTCCAAGGTGTACAGCCTACGCCGATCGCTGACGCACCTGATCCCGGTTGTGTCCATAGCTGCCCGCGGAGACACTCCGGCCGATCTGTGGCGCGTTGCGATTAGGAAACTTGCGTACGGCGATCTGAGGATCAAAGGAGCCGCTGGGCACCGAGGAGCCCGGGAACGGAGGCTGTTGGACGAAGTGGTATTGATTTGGGAGATGATTTGAGTTCGGATGCTGATTAGGCTGATCTAATGGCTGTTGGTCTGCCGTCGAGTGTTGGAAAGCAGGGTTCGAAGGCGCAGGATGGCCTCCAGATTGGAAGAAGCCGAAGCCTCCCTGGCCCTGGGCGTAGGCGTCGACCCATTGCTGATAGTCCATCACCGGCTGCTGATCTTGTGCATGCGCGGGGTCGTAAAACGAATAGTTACCACCTATCATACTCTGTGCCGGGTCGACGATCCTGCCGGTGCGAGGTACCGAGGGCGAGCTCCGGGAGTCGTAAGGCCGGAGAGTGTCCGAGTGGGGAAAGGTCCAGGAAGCAGGCCCGTCGTCTCTCGGTGAGGCGTCGACTTCGGTTGTGCTCAGAGACGTAACCTGGACGTTGGGGGGCGCGCCCTTCAGGGACTCGGCGGGCGTGCAAGTCAAAGATGAGGAACGCACCAGTCCTCCACGAGCAGCGCCCTGCAGCCTCGTTGTTGGCGGTTGGGAAACCTGGGTCGACTCGGGCATTGCTATCTCCGGGTGTGACGTGATTCTTTGATAGCACTACTTCAACAGGACTACTGGGCGGGCAAAGTCGAACGGCTGCGACGCCCCTCCGAGAGTCCGCTAGGATGGGCGTAGGCTGGAGAAAAAGAGGCGGTGGGGGCGGGACACGCAGTCAAGTCAGCCAACCCAGAGGCGAGCTCAACGGGGCGCCCGAAGCCTACGGCAAGCCACCCTTCAACCTCCCTAAACAAGTTGACATCTTCACGTTGTGGCTTATTGTGTACTCTGCCCAATTACTGGCTTGTGATTGTGATGGTCGCGGCGTCAGCTTTGCATCTCAATCGCGGGCTGGAATGGACATCTACGACGGCTACAGATCAACCCGCTGTAGGTAAGAATAACTGGTATGTGCACAACCGCAACTCATTCTCGCATGATCACAGTTAAAATGTTTGCACAGCGCTGGTGGCTCTCAACCTAAGCGACTTAGCCTCTTTGTGCGTGTCCATCCGGGTCGAAAGTTTTCGACTGCGCGAACATCGGGTATCCAGAGTTCATGCATGAAACCGCAGCAGCCAGCCCATCGATATCGGCGTGCCTGGAGCCCGTACTTACCGCCGGCCTAAAGAGACACTCCGTTGTCAAGCGCTTGCATAAGTGCCTGATTCGACAAATTGTCGGCACATCGAAACCCACCTTCATTGATGGTGATCGACTGGCATTGAGAAGCGAATAGTGTCAACAACGTCTCGTCGCTCGCACGTTCAGCGGTCGGACATTCCTGACGAGATCTGTAGCGCTGTTCATGTCTGGCCGAGCGGTCGTTACCATGGGGTTTTAGGCAAATCCCGAAAAAATCCTGCATGAGACTTTCAAGGCTGTGAAGCTGCACATAGAACACAGGCACAGAAAACGCACAAGCTGAACATGAGGTGCTTTGTAACACAGCGGCTTTAAGGCAGAATCGCGAAATATTCGCAGACGAGCCTCGATATCGATAGGGCCATCACGCTTGTCTGAATTCCTTGACTACAACGTGAGCACTCGTCGAGTCTCATCGTCGAAAAGAGGCTGGTCAGCCTCAGCCTCAATGGCCGTTGCCCCGGGTGACAGGCGTTTTGTACCTTTCAGGTCTGTGTGGGAGCGGCCGACGTACATGGAATATGTGCAGCGGGAGAAGATAGAAGGTTCATCGATCAGACCGCGGTCCTTGACAAACTTCAGTGCACGACGGCGCTGGCGCCGGGCGCATGGAAACAGGAACTCCCGTGTCCCAGAGCCGGCGGAGACCACCTATAATCATAATTCATACAAGATAATATGAATGCACTGCTTTAGTACGATGTCCAAATATCGATTTGAAGCTGTATACCACAGTGGTAAGAATAGAGCTATACTCGAACAGCACACTTATCCGTGCAAATCATATCTCAGAGCCGCCAGGAGGTACCGCATTTACTTTATCTCCATATATGCCTACGTGCATACTATATAGTCCAAACTTCAACCAATGTGCGACCAACAGCAAGTATCATTGATGAATAAATACGTTAAAGGCGTAGCCGTGCATACGTACATGTTTTGAGCTGCATGTCTGATTTAAGCTGTGCTCATTATTGACGGGTGAGACTTACATAGACGAACAAAATTGCTAGCAGCGAGATATCGGAGTCCCGCACACAAGAGCTTTTCATGTCTCTATTCGCTGGTTATGCCGGGTACCCCCTAATAGACCGGAGCTAAGTTACATTTAAAACTTACAAGTCGAATACTAACAGGAAGCATAGCCACCATGAATCGGCTTTCTGATGCACGTGACTACACATCAGAATCATCGCCTTCGCGCGCGTCTCCTGCCGCACGCGTTCGCCTCTTGTCTACCTACGCCCCTATCCTATTCCACATGAAGGACGTTACTGCAACGAATGCATCTAACGATGCCCAGAAAACGACGTAACATCCACCTTTCATATTGCATAGCGCATCTAACTAATCCCTTTCTTCCTCAAAAACAGAAAGAAACGAGGCAGGAAGCCTACCCTAACTAAGAGCGGCGATTCACAGCCTGAGAAGCCTAAGAGAAGGCGAATAGTTGGACGGCTCGCTGGTGTGTTATCTTTGCCGATCGAGGTCATGGAAGAGGTACGCACAGTGCAAACTCAGTTTTCCTTTCAGAGGTTGATAATGCAGCTACAGATTTTCGGACATCTACAACCACTGGATGTTCTTCATCTCTCCTGGACGTCCAAGGATTTCCACTCGCTGCTTATGCGCCGATCGTCTGTCTTTATCTGGAGGGCGGCTTTTGCTAACGTTCCTGATCTGCCGGATCTACCGCCAGACATGACCGAGCCGCAATACGCTCGCCTCGCGTTCGCTCCATTATGTTCGGTGAGCGTCCATTCTACCCCGCGCATACAATTTAATCAGACAATTCGCAGTTCTGCAACAGCCCCGGGGTTCGTAAAATTGAGTGGCGACTTCGTTGCCGTGCATGCCCCCGTTGCGTTAAATCTGAGTGCGTTCATCTTTCTTCACCAATCTCACGGATTTTTCATATTCTCAATAGACTGGAGGAACGGTATGACTACGAGGGCATATTCATACCTTCTCGACAAACGAGTATGTGAATAAACGTTAGTTCGGTCCTAGCTGACGTTTCAACCAGAGTATTATTATCGTTATATATTCATCAAGTCCGTAAGAGAGGAGTTCTGTAGACAGGTGTCAGAAATGGACGATGCAGCAGCGGAAGTCTTCAAAAAGCAAGCTCGCGATCGTGTGAACGCCATCAATGCAGTGCGTGGTTTTTGATCGGTGCTCTTTCTACGATGCTCACGGCCTGCATATAGCATGCTAAACTCTGCGAACAATGGTCAGAGTCGCGTAATCGCGATCGTGCTGTAGTACTTGCCGGCATTCGCGATCAGAGGTACGAAGAGTGAGTACATGAACCACGAAGCGATTGCCTCCTTACTGATGATGACAAAATAGAGTGGTCAGGAGGCTCACGGAGATGGGGTGGGGAGAGGATATCGAGAAAATGCGGCCTCCTGACCTCCTGCGTCATCATCAGCTCGTAAGGATAAGCAAGAAATTGACCGAAGGAGGTGAGCTCCTATATACGCTCAGTCGCACACACCTAATCCCCGTAATCACGCTAGGATGGAAGAACATTTGTGCATCGCTCGTGGAAGTCATGGAGGGCGTCAAACGGGAACGTTTGGTGCGCGATCTAGAGGCACTTCGCGACGCAAGGAGGCTTACGGCTGGGGTGGCTCTCAATCGTTGGAAGATCAATCTACTCAAGCAGGAAGGACACCTCCCCCTCTTACCCGACGTTGCAGATTTCGTGCACTGCCCCGAAGTCAAAGCCATCATAGATTCCCCGGACACTAACACGATCACACCGGAGTCGTTCGATGCTGCCTTTGACGCCGTGCCCAATTTTGCCACACGCTGGCGAGTCGATGCCGACACGATGCTTGCAAGGAAAGTCCGCAAACAAATGCGACTCGCGAGCCCAACCGATTTCAACGACGATACCAAGCCGGACCCGGATGTTCTCGACGCTATGCTCAACCGGCTCAAATTGGCCAAAACTGTGTTTATTTGCAGCAAATGCGAACCGCTCTCGATGTCATGGGCGGATTACGGCACTTGGTCTGACTCTGATGATGGCTACGACTTCGTCCATACCTTCCCGATCAAGCCCCTTTTCTACCCATCGGTCTTCGCGCACGAGTGTAGCAGGCGGTTCAAGCGCATCAAGTTCATGAAGTCCACGGGTGTGGCAGAATACCTTTGGACTGATAATATTCCGGAACGCTCGACAGACTTCGTTTCTGACCAAGCGTGCAGACAGCGATGGTCGCCCGGGTGCCTGAGCCTGCATGATGAAGCGGAGCGAGCAATGGAACAGCTGCTCAAATCTTGCGGCTTAAATCCGGACACGACGACCGCAAAAGAGATGGAACAACTGGATTACCGGTTTTCATGTGGGTTTTGTCACAAGGTGATGCCTTGGAGGACGACTGTAAGCACTCACCTCTTCATGCATGGGGGATACTTCTGATTGTCACTCCTATCGCAAAGATTGGACACCATCGAATTCACGATAACAGGGACATCGCGTGGACTCGCTTGGGAGAGGAAGATGCGCAGCGCGCCCGAAATTTAGAGAAGTCAGGCATCACCAATGACAGGAGCGATCGGATCCTAACCCCTTGCACAGGAATGTTGAATCTACACTCGAGAAATGGCAATGTGTCCATTGCATCGACCTCCCTTCGGAAGTTGGACCGAAAACCATTGATGACTTGAAGAAACACGTGGAGGATTGGTAAGCGCCGTCGTCCTCATATTATATTGGTTGTTGAGAGCAATGCATACGCTAGTCACAATATTCATGAGCCCCTCGTGAATCAAGATTACTTCCAGGCATTGGAGCAGCCACAACCCAACGCTGTTCAGCTTTGCTGAGCAGCAACAGAAGGACACTACTGATACATGTGGTTACAAATCGATGCGAGCGCAATCTACAGGTCCTCCTCGTCATGATCGTTCTGTACACTAGACTTTGGGTACAACGCCCAAGTTGACCATAATGCTGCATCTGCAGTTGGCGAACTGTACCCCCATGTGATAGCGTAGTGATCTAGAACTAGATCAAGCTCCTCAACCTCGTCCAACATCTCAAGTTTGGATATCCTGAGAAGTAGGTATAGGTCAAACACGATGTCTCCGCCGAACTGCGACGGTGTCTTACCTTTCAGACTCGCGTACATCGATGTAGAGGTATCGGACATCGCGGAGCGTCAGTGCATGAGCACCAGTGAACCCGTGTTGCAGAAACCGGGCGGCAAGGCTTTGTTTCGACGGATATGGTGTGGCTCCGGGTAACGATATCCCTCGCGCCTGGGTAACATCAGCCATGTCGTATCCACGTATCGCACACAGCACATACACTCAGATTGTTGAGCATGACCCTGCCAAATGAATCTCCTACATTGAACATTTCGTAGACAACCGCACCGAGCGGAGTGAGGGTCGGTTGACAGTAATCGGCAAACCGTTCGATGAGACGGTTTGATTCATCCGGGGTCATGTAAACGAGTACGCATTCAAATATCAGCAGGACAGGTATTCCCGGTGAGAGCAACGGAGCTTCGCCTGTCTGCTGTGATTCGAAAAGTTGATTGAGAGTGTTAAGCTTGCGAAGATCTGCTGATAGCAGGTGATATTTGCGAGCATGAAGTTCGCAGCCCCCTCTCCCTGGTGATAGTCATGGAATCAATATGACTTGCATGAAATCGACGGGAACGGATGTCTATTCACTGATCTGTATTTGCTCCGCATCGCCCAAGACCGTACTCAGTTCTATACTCTTGCGGATCGCTTTCGCTTTCTTAACGACATTCTCCTCCAGGTCAAGCTCAACATACGAGGCGAGCGCCGATGATTTGGGCCCAGACTACTGAAGAACTATGAGCAGACACTTCACCGGCGAAGTGTGTGTCGTACGGCAATCCGCCAAAATCTCGTGTCACTGCCGGCACCGAGACTTATGATCTGACATTGCTTTCCTTGCTGCAAGCTCAGATCCAGCCATCTGTCCACAAGTTCATCCAAGGCAGAGGAGCGCAGATAGGTACCAATGTTGATCAACGGTGGTCGAGGCGTCTGAAATTCGGGGCGCGGAACCAAGTGTGCGATGAAAGGGTCGTGCAAATATCCTCGTTTGACCGCTGACAGCCTCGCAAGAGCAGCATCAGAGTCTGTTTGGCGGACCGCGGCGTCCTTGTCGCGTTGGGGACCGACAGCGATAGACCGCGAAGTACGTTGAGGAAACGACAGAGATGAGGCCATGCGTAGTACCCTGAAGCTCAGGCAGGCTGATGATTGAAGGAGGTTTGACGCGAACGCGCGATGAAGCGCTTGCCGAGCTCGCGACCTCGGCGCCATTCACGAACAGGATGTCGGTTTTCAGAAACACACTCGAACCCACAAAGCCGGCAATGGTACATCGCGATGTATTGGTTCAGGACAAGTGACAGGTGCAGCGCATGGCAGGCGAGGAGGAAGTGGTATGAAGAAACATCGTGTCGCAAACTGAGAAATTCATTCCATTGTCTATGAGTGCAGCCGCACGAGATATGACTACAACTTCGACTTCTCCGCCTTTATTGAGTAGTCCGCCTCCTCAAGGATCGCGATTGCCATCCGGCCAATGATAGGAAACATCGCTACTTGTGTACTGGCGTTCTCAGAACTTGCCTGCCTTCTTGCGTAGCGCGCCGCGATACCTTGCGAGATGATTGATAGCTGGAATCACGTCTTTCGTCATTGTGTGGAGCATAGCAGGGATGTCAGGGACCGTACTCGGAAAAACATCCAACTACGAGCGAACACCATATCTTGAAGTGGGAACGGCTGGTTCGTCATCTTGCAGAAACGCGCCTCCAGCTCATCACGAGAAACGGCCAATTCTTCTGGTGGTAGGTTCTTGAATGTACGCATCAGGGTCGCCTTCGTTAGATCAACACCTTGAGGTAGTAATGAAGGCTCGACATTCCAAGGCTGAGTCAAGTTGGCAAGATCTGCGAGCTGCGGTCGCCTAGTGTGAATGCATATCGCGGAAGAGAATTAACCGTGGAGAACGTACAGGGCTGCCAAGCGTACAGAGCTCCCAGTCGAGAATACCAATCACCCTGTTCTCCGTTTTGTGGAATATCAGATTGTCAAGCTTGTAGTCGCCATGGACAATCCGAAGCCCCAGCCGGCGTTCGTCCGGTAGGTGCGTCCGATACCATGTGATCATCTCGTCGAAGAGGGGGATCTTCCCGGTCTTTCGGCCAGTTTCGATATCAACCGCCTCCGCCTGCGCGAGGGACACTTTCGTCAAGGACTTTATCTGCCGAGGGAAGTAATCCGACGAGGGTCCAAACGAAGACAGCCCAACATCTGCGGGAGAAAGGCAGGCGAGGTTGGCGAGAGCGCCAACGGCAGAAAGCCAACTGGCGTGAGGAGATGGTCAGAATAGCGCGGAGGTCCTTCATCAGGCGGTAGGCGCACCATTCCCGCTGGTCTTTGAGCGACACACCGGGCATCCTTACGTCCGTGAATATCCGCCCGTCCAAGAATTCCATGACATAGAACGGCGTCCCGATCACCGAGCTATCCTCACACAGGATAACGGGTTCGGGTATGGGAACCTTACGTTCGGCAGGCGTTGACGGGTTGGTATTGTGTTTGTGGAGGGCATTGAGGACGGTGAATTCTCGTTCAATTTGATGCGCTGTGGGCGACAGCAACTTTCCTGCGGGCTTCTTGCGTAGCACGAATCGTCTTTGCCTTTCACAACATGATCAACGGGTCGCTCAATCTCGGTGCCAGGTTGAGTTATGCACCTTGCGTCGGTGAGGAAGTATGTGGGATTCGACTTGGAGCGGTCGTCAACGGGTCTGAAACGTTCATTGCAACAATCTCACCTGACCGAACTACCACAGAACGATGAGACACACTGAGGAAGACGAACCACATAACCCCTTACGCACCTTGAATTGCTTTACGTCCACCGGTTGCGATACCGCAGGGACATGCCGTTCCAAATATTGGTTAAGACGCGCAATGTCGATGTTGGCGCGTATCTCGCCATATTCCCCGCCAACTTTCCGAGGGCTAGACATCTCGACGAGGGAACAACTTGAACCGTAAGGGCTAGGTTATGTGCTGCGTCGGGGACGAACAGCTTCCCCGCATTCCTTGTACAGCCGGCACTTGGAGGTCGCCGGTGATCCAGTATCAGGTGATTGAGGTCCGGTGGTGGCGGAGCGGGGAACGAGCGCAGCGGGAAATGCCTCATATGTAAGCGCTCCGCCTCTGAGTCTGCAACGTCAAGTCGGAGGGTCGAATACCTCTATCATCACTCGAAGTCAAATGTTTTCAATCCAATACATTGCCTTGACAGAAGATCATTAGCGTATGGTAATCGTCTACACCAAGGCATAAGTAGCAATATTGAGAGGGGGTACGTGATCGAAAGCATGCAGACGAAATGAACTATAGGCAGAGTGGTGTACTTTTAAAACATATGCGTGAGTCTAGAGTATGCGGCGTGAACGAGTGAGAATGCGGGCAGCGTGCGGTTCGTAGGCGACACTGCGATGCAAGCAGAATGAAGACGACGAAATGCGAGGACGGATCGCAAGGTGAAAGGCAAAGGCGTTTATTCCTTCTTCTCCTCCTTCGAGGCGTCGGGGCTGTTCTCCGCGGCCCGCTTCTCGTATACCTTCTGGAACAGGCCAAGGGATGCCTGTTGAGTCTCGTTGATCTTTTCGCGGATGCCTTCCGCAGTCAACGACGCATCGCCAGCCTGGCCCTTGGTGGCGAGCTCACGGAGCTCACCGACGAGCTTCTCGACCTTCTCCTTCTCCGCGGTGTCAAGCTGGTCCTTGAACTCGTTCATCGCCTTCTCCGTGTCCACGCATACGGACTCCGCCTTGTTGGCCTCCTCAATCAGTTCCCTGCGAGCCTTGTCCTGCTCCGCAAACTGCTCCGCGTCGGCGACCATCCGCTCGATATCCTTATCGCTGAGACCTGAGCTGGATGCGATGGTCATGCTCTGGTCCTTGTTCGTCGCCTTGTCCTTGGCCGTGACGTGCACGATGCCGTCGGCGTCGATGTCAAAGGTGATCTCGATCTGAGGGACACCCTTGGGTGCAGGCGGAATGCCGACGAGGTTGAAGTTGCCGAGCAGCTTGTTGTCGCGGACGAGCTCACGCTCACCCTGGAAGATCTTCACCTCGATGGCAGTTTGGCCATCCGCGGCGGTCGAGAAGGTCTGAGTCTTCTTCGTCGGAATGGTGGTGTTGCGGGGGATTAGCTTAGTCATGATTCCGCCGAGAGTCTCGATACCGAGCGAAAGAGGGGTGACATCGAGCAACAGGATGTCAGTGACGTTGCCAGCGAGAACGCCAGCTTGGATAGAAGCGCCGATAGCAACCGCCTCATCGGGGTTAACGCCCTTGTTGGGGTCGCGGCCAAACACCGACTTGACGGTCTCGACGACCCGCGGCATACGAGACATACCACCGACGAGGATGACCTCGTCAATCTCGCTAGCCTTCACACCAGCGTCAGCCAGCGCCTTCTTGCACGGGTCAACAGTGCGCTGCACGAGAGGTCCGACCAATGACTCGAACTTGGAGCGAACGAGCTTGCTGTTGATATGCTTGGGGCCGGAGGCATCGGCAGTGATGAACGGCAGGTTAATCTCGGTCTGCGAGGTTGACGAAAGTTCGATCTTCGCCTTCTCAGCAGCTTCTCGGACACGCTGAATGGCCATGCGGTCACCCGACAGGTCGATGCCGCTCTCCTTCTTGAACTCGTCGAGGATGTACTTGACGAGCACGTTGTCGAAGTCCTCACCACCCAGGTGGGTGTCACCATTCGTCGACTTGACCTCAAAGACGCCCTTCTGCATCTCGAGGATAGAAATATCGAATGTACCACCTCCAAGATCGTAGACGGCGATAACGGACGAGTCGTTCTTGTCGAGACCGTATGCGAGCGCTGCCGCGGTGGGCTCGTTGATGACACGGAGGACATCGAGACCGGCGATCTGGCCGGCATCCTTGGTCGCCTGTCGCTGCGCGTCGTTGAAGTACGCCGGCACGGTGATGACCGCGTGCTTCACGGGCTTGTTGAGGTATTGTTCCGCAGTTTCACGCATCTTGACGAGAACCATCGAAGACAGCTCCTCAGCCGACTAGATGCATGCTCGTTAGCATGATGAAAGCGCGAATAGGATTACATCTAACTCACGAACTGCTGGGTCTTGCCACCGTTCTCCACCTCAACCGCTGGCCTGCCGTCCGGCTTCGGCACGACCTTGAATGGCCAGTGCTTCATGTCCTCCTTCACCTCGGCGTCCGAGAACTTCCGACCGATCAAGCGCTTGAACGCAAAGACGGTGTTTGCGGAGTTCACGATCGCCTGACGCTTCGCAGGAAGACCGACGAGGCGCTCTCCATGCTTGGTGAACGCGACGACGGACGGCGTCGTCCGGGCACCCTCGGCGTTTTCAATGACTCGGGACGTCTTGCCCTCCATAACGGAGACGCAAGAGTTTGTTGTTCCCAAGTCAATACCGACGACGGGGCCGGAAACCTTTGAGTTCATGTTACGCGCAATGAGCGAGCGGGGGATGCCCTGTGGAGAAGGAATTAACGATGCACTCGGTGTGACACTAGACAGGGGACACACCGCATAGTTGCCTGCGCGAGGCACATAAGCACGAAGGGATGCACGAGCAGCGGTGAACATGACGGGAGGAGGAAGGGAAAGGATGGGGAAGCGCTTCGTCACAGCTGAGAAATTTGAGGTCGCGCCGGCACTTACATAAAGCGTGTCATTCTCGAAACTTCCGGCGGGTCCCGACCCTTCCATAAAAGGCAATTACGGATGAAAACACTTTGCCTCTCGCATGTCGACCGCGCTTTCCCTTCGACGGCTTCATCGCCCAGTCTCAATCCCCTCTTGTCGACGTTCTCTACACGCGGACGCGCAGGGTACACCCAGGGATGTACTCAGGGTTGATGGCAGCAATCTTAGTCTAGCCGCGTTCCGCGAGTCCATCTTGAACTCAAACGTGCCGTGCATCCTGCATTCGGTTATTGACTCATGGGCCGCGCTGAAAAAGTGGAGAGATTTTTCGTCGTTGAAAAGGGCCGAGACTCGCAATCTGCTCGTACCCGTAGAGGTGTCTAAAATCCCGCCTGGCTCTCGCGCTTCCCCGGGATACAACACTGCGAACGTCCCTGGCAAACGAGAGCGTGCATGGGACAAGATTGAGATGCCCTTCGACGTTTTCATAGAAGCGTTTATGGAACGCGAGCGCACTGGTGAAGACGCGGCTTGGACAGGTTACCTGGCACAGTATGGGTTGTTAGACGACGTAGGTCGTGAATCTGCACGGAATTTTCGTTTGCTGACAAGCTTGCAGGTGCCATCGCTGAATGATGACCTGAAACCACCACTGATCTTCACGCGTAGTGGACGAGGTGATGAATGGCGAACAAATCTCTGGATTGGCACCGAAGGAACATTCACTCCGATTCATCGCGACCCATACCATAATCTATTCTGCCAAGGTCGGTCCGTCGCTGGCTCGAACGTTACCCTGCACTCATGTTATGATGTTGCAGTGGTAGGAATCAAACAGATCAGCGTGTTCCCGCCATCAGCATCAGCGCAACTATACCTATCCCCAAGCCATCTTCAACGTAACACCTCCGTCATTCCTTGTCCCAATCCGGATCCGGAGGCGTACCCTCTGTTCTATTCCGCCTTGAAGGACAGTTGGCAGGTCACCGTGCAGCCCGGTGAAATACTGTTCATACCGCGGGGTTTCTACCATAGCGTGCAAAGTTTGTCGAAGAGCATTTCCGTTAACTCCTGGTTCTTGTGAAATGCCACTACTTCGTCACGATTTAACACAGCGATCATCAACACACTACGAACTTCCATACATAACACGCAATAATCAATACTTAACCCGGGCTTGCGATGTATCGAGACGCACGCGCTATAACTATGGATTCGACGCCAGCTCCCTAATCAGTCAGCCTAGATGTAACTGGTTATATCCTGTGCAACGAACGGGTTCCGCATATATATTGTCACCCGAATCTCCTAGCAAAGTGAAGATGGGCACGGTATGCCAGCAGTACGTACAGTGCACAGGCGGCGCCCCCGCATGGTCCTCGAAATCGAGATCCAGGTTAAAATCCATGAGCAGATCGCCCACCTCCCTACGCTCGAAGGCAGCTGCGATGTGTAAGGGAGTGCCCAGCCTGGCGGATCGGAGCGCGAGAAGCTTGCGTTTCAACCACGGCCTGCCGACCGTTGAGTGCTCGACGAGCAGGCGCATGACTTCGACATTGCCGCCCTTGGCGGCGAAGTGAATAAGCGCCCCGCTGAACAAGTGACATCCGATGACGTGAGCCCCGGCGTAGTTGTGATGAGACGGGAACGGTTGGTAAACATGTGGGGAGGGAGAGGGAGAGCGGAAGAACTCGCGGTCCAGGATGTGCCGGAAATGAATCTCGCAACCGGTCCCATCACTGTCATGGCCACCGGGTCCTTCTGTTTCCGACGTAGACGCATAGCCCTGCAGGGGACAACAACAATGTGTATGTTGCAGAGCCAGCTTGAACAATCCAGCGTATCCCCACTTGGCCGCCCAGAACAAGGCGGGAAGATCAGAACGGGGCTGTAACGCGATGGCGCGGACCCTCCACACGACAATCTCCGCCAAGCGCCGGTTTGTTCTTTGAAGGGAAGTCAAATCCCTGGCGCGGTGCAAGTACAAGGCGATCTCGTCAAGTAACTCGTTGGGGAGATCCATGAGGCCGGCCAGCGCTAGATTAGAAGGCTGACGCGGCGTACTCCCATAGTGGACGGCAGAGTATGAAGTAGCCATATCGATGGCCCTCCGTGCTGGGGAGTTCCTGGCGCTCGGGGGTGTATACGTCCCTGAGAGCATTGGAGAGGGCGCAGGGGATGGCCGGGGTGTAGAGTGAAATGGACGGGGGTAGAGGCTGGTGGATGAAAGCGTGGTTTCTCGAGGGTCTCGAGGTACGACGCCGCTCGGTACACGTCTATACCCGGTAGGTTTCAGAGCGCCTGTTTGAGCTCCGGACGATGGACGCATCGGATATGCGTATGGCGCCTGAGCGTTGACGGGAACGACCCATTGAGTGGGGGGGGAGCAGACGACTTGCATGGTTGACGGCTGCTGGCACACTGGGGTCAAAGAGGTTAATATAGAGCACGTAGCATCACGTGTCATCACCCTGTTGCCGAAAGGCTGCGCCCCGTTCATATACAGAACGAACGCCAGTCCAGGCCACCTTGGCAGGCTGAACACGAACTATTGCTGGTATCGCCATTCGGGGATAGATCTGATGCGCGCAAAACGACGGAGCCGGGTCGACCGACGGTATGCAGGGGCTAACGTGGCCCGGTATGAGAATTGCTGGTAAATGATGACATTATCGCACGGGTCTATCAAGAAGCTCCTCCTGAACGTAGAACTGTCTGCACCACCAATTCAGCCTTCCTCGGATGGTTTGATTGCATGGAGTGGACAGCGCCTCGTACCTAATCATCTTCCCCTCCTGTCGGCAGGTTCCATTGCCATCCTCGCCCCAACGGACGATCCATCTGCCAATCACACCGCCATCGGCATAGGTCTCTGCTACGGTTTCTTCGGTCCCGGGAACGACGCCGGCTGAGCTGGCGTCGGGAATGACGACGGTTTTGGCGAGTTCCCATTTGGACAGAGGCCTGCGCGAATCGACGAGAAAGGCCGTGTCGTAAACGCGGGTGCGGCGCTCATTCAGTCCGAGCGTCAGAGTCGTCATTTCGATTCCGCCGAGTTCGGCACTTCCATCCGAAGACTGAGCGGCGTTTCCTGTCGCGGACACGTCTTGTGAAGCGAGCTGCCGAAGGCTGACAACGTATGGTCGCGTGCACCAGGCGACGAGTGCAGTAGATACACTCGTGGTGGCCATGGCTACGCCTGCGAGCGTGGCGCGCGCCGCGAATGGTAGGGAGGATTCGACGATGAAGAGGAAAGGTATGAATCCGAAGCTGAGGGTCAGGGAGGAAAGCGAGAATATCTTGAGGCGACGCAACGTCGGGGCGATTGGGCCCATATAGATGACATCTGGCAACGAATGCTTGCCAGCAGATGATCCAGCAGGGGCCTCCTTGCGTAGCCGGGACGCGGAGTGGAAGGCGCGGCACGGTGACTCTTGCAGAGAGGGATGGCGACGCGGGAAGGTGGTTAACGCGGAGGGCCACCACGGTGTGCACCCTGGGACGCGTGCAGTCGTTATGAGCCTAGAGGCACGAGCGCATTGTAGACGGAGAATGCTCGCCATGATAGAATCCCTCCAAGTCGGAGAAAAAGCGAGCAACGCCGACGCTGTGTATAACCCGGTCTTGGGGTTAGGGCGTGGTGAGAAAGGCGGCCGGTGTTCCGTCCTCGGGAGCCCCTGCGGAGACGACGGAATGATAGAGGTCAGTAGACCAATGTGTCTCGTGCAATCATGTGGGACGGATTGCCGATGCCGACCCCACGGGGAAGCGGGCCGCCATCGCGTTCACTCGTCTTCCTTCAACCTGGTCTCCTGTTCACCCACGACGTCTCTTACGACACACCACCACCTGGATAAGCCAGCGACAATCGCCAAGGCTCTTTCACTCCTCATCCTACTCACTCCAGACTGTACGACGATCTGCTCTGAGCATGGCCCAGGAGAAGGTGTTTTCCGGAAAGGAGGTCGCGCAACATAACTCGAGGGAGAGCTGCTGGATCATTGTCCATGGTAAGTGATCCAAACCTCCGTTCAAACACCAGAGGAGAGGGGTCTCAGCGTACTTGATTGGCCCCTGTTCTTCCGCGCTTGTCGACAACATATCACTCACATTCCTCCCAGGCAAAGTCTACGACGTAACGGAGTTCTTGGACGGTATGCATGCATGCAATTCGGTTAAATATCATTATATCCTAAACATGCATACAGATCATCCCGGTGCGCTGTTGCTGACAGAACACAGAATACAATGATTACTGAACCGATATGGTGTTTCCTGAAGGCGGGAGTAAAATCATCCTGAAATATGCAGGCAAGGATGCGACGTATGTGCATTAGACCGCAGATCATTATGCCTAGCGCATGTCTCATAGATCTACAGGGCTGAATACGAACCAATACATCCCCCGGATGCCATTACCTCCAACCTACCGCCCGAGAAGCAGTATGTTTGAGCGTCCCATAATGGCTTTAGTTGACGTGGTTCCTTAGCTTAGGGAAGGTGGACCTTGGTACCGTCGAGAAGGTCGAGGTCACGATCACGGATGCGGAGAAAGCCCGTCTGGAGCGAATCAGCAGACGGCCCTCACTGGACGAGATCCTCAACCTCCACGACTTCGAGGTACTGCAACCTCGTCCAGCCACCAAAGATTTTGTAGCTGATTTATTGTCGCGTAACAGGCCATCGCCAAACTTCTCCTTTCGGAGAAAGCCTGGGCATACTACTCCTCAGCAGCAGATGATGAGATTACGAACCGAGAAAACCACGCGGCGTACCACCGGTAGGCTGGCTTAAGTGCCAATAACACCATGCGGAGTTAACTCTATATTGAACCTATCCGTGTCGCCCGCAGGATCTGGTTCCGCCCTCGGATCTTACGGGATGTCACGAAAGTGGACTGGTCTACGACCATACTGGGCCACAAGTCCTCGATGCCTGTATACATCGTACGCATATCGCTGTTCTCGAATGTGTCGTCGCTTCACTTACGAGTTTCACCAGACCGCTACCGCCCTCGGCAAACTCGGACATCCGGACGGGGAACTCAACCTTACCCGCGCAGCCGCTAAACATGGGGTCATCCAAATGGTGAGCATACACGCATGAAGTCATAGTGCCGTATTGATATTGTGATATAGATCCCAACCCTCGCCTCGTGCTCATTCGACGAGATAGTCGACGCTGCACAGCCCGGTCAAACGCTCTTCTTCCAGCTGTGAGCTCTTTTGCCCGATCTTCGAGTGCGGGTGATTCAAGTTTGATGTGTGCTCAGCTACGTGAACCGGGATCGTGAAATTACCAAACGAATCGTCCAACATGCGGAGAAGCGCGGCGTGAAAGCTTTGTTCATCACAGTCGACGCACCTCAACTGGGTCGACGTGAGAAGGTATCGTGGAGTGTTTGACGTTTCCTATATGCTCACTGATTTTAACATGCGTCTGATAGGACATGCGCCAGAAGTTCGATGCAGAGGACCCGGCCGAGGTAAGCAAGTCGAACGACAAGGTTGATCGTAGCCAGGGTGCTGCGAGAGCGATCAGTGTGTGTATACATTCATTATTATTGTTTTGCCATGAGTGACGGGTAGTTTTTCAGTCATTCATCGATCCGGGACTGAACTGGGGAGACCTCGACTGGTTCAAGAGCATCACCAAGAGTATGCATTCATCGCCGCCTCGTTGGACATAGCAAATTTATGACTGTTTGTCAATTCACAGTGCCTCTGATCCTGAAAGGTGTGCAATGCTGGGAGGTTGGTGCTGGCTCCACGTCTACTCGCCTGTTTGCTAAACGGGATCTCTCACGACAGGATGCGCTCGAAGCATACGATCGTGGTCTCGCCGGCGTCGTCCTCTCCAACCATGGTGGACGTCAACTAGACTTCGCACGCTCCGGGATCGAGATACTCACCGAGTGCACTGAGATGCTCAAGCAGAAACGGTGAACTCTACTCCTAGCACGTTCCTCTGAGAAAACGCTCACTTTGATGACAAGGGGGCTTACGTTCCCTAATGACAAGTTTGCGTTATTCGTCGACGGCGGTGTACGACGAGCTACCGATGTTCTCAAGGCTATCGCCCTTGGCGCCTCAGCAGGTGGGCGATCATATCAAATCCAGATGTAGAGTCTCACTCGGTGCCTTGATCACAAGTCGGGGTGGGGCGTCCGTTCATATATGCCTTCTCGGCCTATGGCGAAGATGGCATCGACAAGGCTTTGCAGATATTGCACGTACGTCGATTCCGCGACCGTCACAGCTCGGATTAGCTAACATTTCCAACAACGAAGGATGAGTTTGAGATGAACATGCGTCTCATCGGCGCGCGGACCCTGAAAGAGGTAGTCCCAGAAATGGTCGACGCGCGTAATATCCATTCGCATGTCGTTGCCGTTCCTGGAGACAGGCTATACGACTCCAACTGTGCGTCCTTAGCCACCCGTTCTGCGGAACCCAGTGCTGACCATCGCTTCAGACGAGAGCATGCAGCACGCAAGGCTGAAGGAAGTAGTTTCGAAGGCGAAGTTGTAGAATTGAATCGCACTTGCGCCATTCATATATAGACATGACATCCGATCGTATGCTATCTCGTTGAGATGTACTCCAATAGAACTGCGTCCAGTTTCATTTATATACGTCACATAGTACGATGCACATGCGGGGGCTCCGCGCCCGGAGCATCATTGATTAAAGCCTTGTACCCGGAATGCTTGGGGTTAAGTATATTTGCTTTTGAGGCTCAAGATATCTGGCGCAGCATGAATGGTGCCTTAGCGGTATCTCGACATACACTTGCAGTAAGTATTTATGTTTCGTCCGACCGTCGTGGCAAGTCTACGTCGCGGGGTATATCTTGCAAGGTATATCATACTCTCCGCATTGGCTGACGCAGTCACAGTGGGCAGCCGTTCGCATATAGCGGACTGCTGCATGCTGTCCCTATCACCGCATGTGTGCAGCGGTACTGCGTGTCACGGGTGCTTTGGGTATCTTCATGATGACCCGGTCAACGTTCTGCTGGAAGCGGTTGAAATCGCGTATAATATTGTTTCGTTTGGGCCTCCATCAGCTCTTGCGTAGACTCGGGGAGGTCCTCCACGAAGTGCCCTTAGAGTCCGTATTCAGCAATGCTCATATAAACAAACACAATGTTTAATGTACCTGGGGAACCAGCGAACAACGACAGTGCCGGTATTACAGTATTTGGTGGGACCACTGTATTGTCGGCAATCTTGGCGCAGTCCTTGATTATGGTGAACTTGCCCTACTTGCATTAGACTGACTCTTCGTCAACAGACGAGCAAAATAGTTCACGTACGATAACACAGTTCTTTCCGATCTCTACATGGTTGCCGATGGTCGCCGCTTCGACCACCGTGTTCGCCCCAATGTGGACATGGTCGCCGATCTTCATGGGGTAATAATTGAAGTTTCCGCGGTATGTCTTGTACGGAGGCCTCAACAACGCTCTTAAACCGGGGGAAATGAATTAGAGGACGGAGCGTACCTCATAACGCAACCTTCGCCAACCAGGCAGTATCGTCCGAGCGAAATGACGACCGCGTGCCCGGGTCCTGTTCGTCGCAGGTCGCCACGGATGATGGCACCATTCGCAATGATGGTCTTCCCGCCGAGTATGATATTCTGTGGCCCTGCTATAGTCGCCCGACGCGAGACCTTGTTCCCTGTGTCCTGGGCACCCTCTTGCATGAGCTTATGCGAGTGACTATGACATGCTGGATTAGACCGTTTCGATGTACTCCGCACGAGAGTAGTATATTGGCGGGTCCATCTTTCCCGTCCAACGTTTCGAAGATGCGTCGAGCACAGAGCACAGAAGCAAGTCGTTGCGCGTCGCGGCTTACGCGCTGACGGTTTAAGAGCTAGGCCTATTCCAGGGTGAGGCGGCGATTCAGAGAACATACGTGCACAACGGATTATAATATACATATTACATAGTAGGTCGATACAGTGCATTACATGTCTTTTGATCTACGCATTCTAGCTGTCGATTGTATAATATGTGGATCATGGCCGTTCATGATCCTCTCTTGACCCCGTCCCCACGCGCAACGCCGCGTCGAACGCTCGTGGTTCAGGCTCCATACCAGCACATGGAGTAAGCGTGTACGTCGACCATCTTCCGCCGGCGACTGGTACGATGGCTGTTTTACACGAATTCGGTGTGACCTTATGCACGATCCCGTAGCCTCATGAGGGATTGTCGTTGTGTGCTGAGTCCATCGTGGCCAAGGTCACGGTCCTCCTGCAGAATGGGGGTGTAACCGTCCGCCGGAGATATCGATCCGGTCCGTCGTCTCCGTCACAGGGTCAGCCGGGATACTGGGCGTCTCGCCGAGGTAGGTCGTCAGGACGTATCCGTTATGGAGATCGTCATCGCCGTGCGCTGCTCCCCACGATAAGGCTTCAGACGTGGAACCGAACCTGCGGCGGGCAGAGAGCAAGGTGCTGGGCAGGCGGTTGACGCCTGACGCGGTGGGTGAGGCGGTGTGCATATGCAGCACAAGCCGACAGCCCGCAAACGCGCAGATGGTGAACTGCCAGCTCCACATCATGCTTCCTCGCGGGCCAGCGATGATCAGATAGAATAGCCCGTTCAATGCGAATGTGACTGCGTGCCACATTAGTGTTGGTTCATAAGAACGTCTAACGGGGAACTCACGGAATACAACGAGAAATGTCCATGTTCCGTCGCGGATAAGTAGGAAAAGCATCCTTTCGTGTCTGAGGAGACGCGACATTCTGATGACCTTGGCCCATGTAAGACAGAGCATGAAAAGCTCGAATCCAATGGGCGCGACCCTGTCACCAACGTCAGTCAGGCATGTCGATCATAGGTCGACGCACAGTACCCAATGAGAACCGCGACGCTCGGAATGGTCTCCGCGATGCAAAATTCGTTAAACTGTAGCTTGGGCAGGAACAACGCTAGTGAGGCGGCCATCGCCAGTTCTTCGACGATGAACAGGGTAACGAGCAGCACCGCGACGAGTCTGCTGCGATTATACAATGCGTATACTAGGAGTTGCGAATGAGCTTCCTCCCTCGCCGCAGATAAGCACTGCAATGAGCACCTCGTAACATCATAATAGTTTCCATCAGGGCAATGACGACTTGCAGCGAGCCAGCCTGGTACGAGTACCATGGGGAGCAATACGGCGGGTGGTGAAGGCGCGTCACTGATCCCCGCCCGGCGGAAACCAAGGTCATTGCGGCAACGATGGCCAGGGTGTAATACCTGCATACAGCAGTCAACAGCCTTGCAGATCACGCGAAGCGATGTGGTAGTACCGTAGCACCAGGAAGACCCATTTCGTGAACGAGAAACGCGGTTTGGTCCATATATGCGCGACTTCGTCGGGGAAAGTGAGGAGGATGTCGTACGCCAGGAACGCGAGCGACGCGACTGCAATGACGGCGCGCACGTCAGACTCTGACGTGCCCAAGCCGATCGGAGCTACCACTCACCGCAAACGCGATTGACGACCGCAGTCGCGTACGCGTCGGCTTCGCTCATGACCGACATTGCACGCGTATGCTGCTGGTAGCGCCTCCCGAGGCGCACCGGTCGGACGGGACGGAACGACGACGACGACGAAGCAGGAGAAAGAGACGGCAGGAGGGAAGCCAGGTCCAGGGATGCAAGCGAGCTTCCGGTTCCGAGGCCACGGAGGAGCCGACATACCGACTTTTTGCATAGACGGGGACCGCGAGTGTCCGCAAGCACGCACTTGCGGCGAACACCACCCACAGGGTCCTGTTGTCAGGCACGTACCAGACCTGGGAGATCGATAGGTGGCAATCGTTTAACTATCTTGTACGCCGGCAAATGTAACGCCGCGCCGGCTCTAGCCTTGGTCATTGTGCTTGGCAAGTGCTGCCCCTTGTTCCTGTTTTCAACTTGAACATGGCTGGTTGCCCCTGTCTTCAGCGCCTCTCGTGACATAGTCATTAATCTCCTGGTCGTCTTGGACGATCATTTATCGCCAGGGCGTCATATCAAGACTGCTCGCCGGTCGATGTGCACCAAAGCTCACGGAGACTCTGACTTGTGCGGCGTGCGCCATCGCACGTCAACAGAGCGCAAGTCCTCATAGCCGAATGGAGCTATACTCTATGGTAGTAAGTATAAGTAATCGCAGAGATACGGGGCATAGCATTGCTGCGCCGTCGAATGAGGGCCTGGTCCAAGGTGTGTGACGCCCCATGGACACCCCGTGTACCTGTCTTACTTGCTTGCCTTGTCAGTCCTCTGGTCTGTTTGATCTGTGTCATGGTTCCAGGCATTGCCCGTCCGCGGACTCTTACATATACTCAGGTCGAGGCAATGCGATTCTGTATGTGTTCCAGCGAGTCCCTGCCAGATATAACACTGAAACTTGCCTCGTGGCGTGGAGCCGTGGCCAACTTCAGCTCTGCGCATGTTCACGTGTCCAAGGATACCGCACTCTTGGTGACCTCTGCAGGCGATTCCAAGGCGATTTGCACGCAAACATGGGCGGCTTGCCACCTGAAGTACGGGAATTGCCACCCATGGTCGACGTTTATGTTTAGTCTGGTTCAATGGCTACGATACGCGCGCATTGTTCCACGATGCGATCCGGACCCTTCGAATCCGAGTACAGCCTTGCGCTATTCGAAGGCTACTTGATCAGAGCCGACTGGAGGTAGCAATGTCATATACTCCTTCAAGTCAGGTTACTGACTTCTGTGGCGGTTTGAGCGCGTGCACTCTTGGGCGTAGCCTACCGCACAGGATACGCCATATCACATGGAGACCTTGGGCCTGGTACGCTTTGAATTCAGAGTCCCACTGTTGGTAAGGGAACATCATTGAACGCGACGCGCCGGTGGTACTACCCCGTTCCTTCCGGATCCCCAACAAGGATGAAGGCACAATCAGACTCAACGCAATTCCAATGATTGGGTATGGGTCTGTGACCTGATAAATAATTTGTCTGCCGCTATTCCATACAAGTCGGTATGTATGGGAAAGCGATGTGTTCGTTATATATGTACGTATCCGCGTATCCTGTGTATCCTATAATCCCATCCTCCCATATTACATCGAAAAATCGTACTTTTTCCAGGCTGAGAGGGGGGTGGCGTTTCTAATAAAGATTCGTGGTAATCGGGGTCGACGTGAAAAAGGTATTATGAGCGAAGAAAGGGGTAAAGGAAGGAGGGAGCGCCAGCCGTAAGCAAGGAGGTGGCGCATATGTACACAGATCCGGAGGCTCGCAAATAAGTCAATGGTTGAAGAAGGCACGGAACAACGAGCGGACTGTGAGGCGATGCATAGAGGGTCGAGTCACATATCAAAGAGCATGAAGGCGAGAGCGAAAGGAGAAGAACATGCATAAGGGGAAAAGCCGCCGGAACCGAAGATCGAAATGTTCTGGTCGAGTATTTTGGTGAGAAAGAAAGAGGACGGCGACAGCATATCCAAGTCGGACCACGTAAGCCAACACACTCCGTCTTCCACATGGAAACCTCCAGGGCATGAATGTCGAAGTCGAAACCAAGGGGTAAAGGGACAAGAGACATCCAAGAGATTAGCCCGATTTATTCGCGTAATTTTGCTTCTTCGCGTTTCTTCCTCCCCTCATCTTCGTACCCGGCCAAGGCAGCTCAGCAGACTTGCACCTCCCACTCGCCGCCCTCACCACCGGGTTTGGGCATGCTCTTCAGCGCAATCCGTACACGGCGTTTGCTCTTGCTCGAGGCGCTACCGGCCGCACCGAGTCCCGCAGCACCCATTCCGAGTCCCATGCCCATGCCGTCAAAGTCGTTCGCGCCAGAATCCGAGCCGGAGTCGAACGCGAAGTGTTGCTCGAACGGCGAACCGATTGACATCTCGAAGTCGTCCCCGTGTGACGCCGGGACGCCCAAGAATGGACCGAGTGGATCAGCATCTCCGTTGTGTAGCGTGTCAGAGGACCACGACATGGATGGCGCGAACGGCTCCGCCTTGACGGCGTTTGAGGGCATAGACGAGGCGGCGGCGGAGGCGGAGGCGGCAGAGGCAGAGGAAGGATTGTGTATCCTCACACGGATCCTGCCGTCCTCGACAGGGCTTGCGTCGAACGAGATATCCAGGCCGCCGAGACCGAGCGCCTCACTGACACCCTCCATGTCCGCAAACTCTAATTTCTTAATCGGGCTTGATGGGCGTGCGAAAACGGATGAGTCGATGTCCATAGACGAAGAATGGAAGCTTCCGAAGTCGAGGTCGACATCGGCGGGGACGAAGGCGGAGAAGGCGTCCGCCCGCGAGGCGGCAACCGACGACAGAGGGAACGAGAACCGGGCAGGCAAGCTGGAGCCACCATCGTGCGAGTGGGGATGCACGGAGAGGAGCGTGGGCAACGCGCAAAGCAGTACCTTGGGCAACAGGTTAGCTCCCTGCATTCGCGTAGTGTCGTAGCTAGGATACATACCATGAGGCCCAAACTCGCGGCCGAGCGGTGCGTCGGGTTTTGCAACGCTGGGCTGGGCGAGCGCGACATCATGGTCTGCGAGTGCATCTCGGGCTCGAGGTGCTCCATCTTCACGGTTTGCTCCGTCCGAGTAAGCTTCTCATTAAGTTCCCGCTCCCGCTGTTCAGCGGCCGCCAATCGCGCGCGGAGTTGCTCAACCTCACTCAAGAGGTCCTCGTCCTGCGGCGAGCCAGAGCGAAGCCGCGCGTTCTCCTGCTCCAGTTCCGCGACGCGACTGCGGGCGATATGTCAAGTCGTGATCAGAAGTGGCTCGCTGAGAAAGACTGACATCTCCATCTGCTCAAACTCCTCCCGCTTGCGCTGCCGGCTGAGGAATGCGGCCGCGCGATTCTTGACCAGTCGCGCTTCACGTTTGCTGAGGCCGCTGACGTCGGGCGGGATGAATTCCTTCGTCGTCACTCTGCCCTCCGGTCCACGCGGCTTCTTGGGCGCGCTGCCCGAACCGCCCGGTCCGTTGCTCGCGGCGCGTTTACCGCCTGCAACGGGCGTCGGCAGGTCGCCGACTGCGGACGGAGCGGGGCTTCCGCGCGTGGTCGATGCGTCGACGTCGTCATGCGCCTCGGGCGGCGAATTGAGCTCGAAGTCGAAGACCTGGTGGGTCGGGAGGCACAGCGTCGCCTGTTCGGAATCGCTGCCGTCGGCTCCCGGGCTGCCCCGGAGGTGCGTCTTGAGCGCGGTGGGCATGGACGCAATGTTCGTGTACTGGAACGAGAACGAATCGAAGATGGGCGGGTGTTGGACGTCGACCGGGGACGAGACGGGCGAGAGCAGCGGGGCGTCGTTGACGATCAACTGGGACATGGGCAGGAGGGTCGGGCGAGACATGGTTACCGGGAGTTGCGCGTCGGCTACGGTGGAGAGGAAGTGGGGGAGGTCGTCGTTGGAGACAGCGTTGGGTGGGGTGGGGGTGTAAAGTCTAAGGTAGAGTAGGAGATAGGCTTCAATCTCTGGGACGGACGGGCGTTGATGTCGGCCCTGGGGGGTTTGATTTCGGTTCTCACCTGCGAACTGACGTTCGCAACTTTACTTCCGCCCGTTTCCGGCGACAGTGCGGCTTCCACCAGCCCCGGCCACCGTTGGGCACACGCTCAGCCGACATACCTCCGTGCAGCCCTGTCTTGTGCTTGTCGAGCATATGTTCATTCCCTGCCCACCCTCATACATAGCTGGCCTCACTCACGGCAGCGGTCGTTCCCGGAATAGGGCTGCCCAAGTTGCGATCAATGATCCTTCCAGAAGGGCTGGGAACGTGAATTTCCAATGCCGCGCCCAGAATGGTCACCGAAACCGGGGGGTGGCACTACCTCAACTCCGAGGGCAGTAGTATCAAGGCAGTATCTTGCAGTTTGTGCATCACGTCCTTGATGAAAGCACGCAAGCATGCTCTGCAGATATCAGATTCATGATGCAGTCAACTACATCTGTTTGTCCGCTCTCCAGCTGAGCCTGCAGGACATGCCCCGCGTTGTCACGAGCAACAACCACCGCGATTTCAGGGTTCCCCGAAAGCCCGAGGGGCTTCTTATCGCACCTCCGCCATTTCCTTTCCAATCGTGTGCGCACTAGAGGAACCATATTGACACCTGCGGGCACGACTGGCTATTCAGCGCGTAACATCTCCTTGCTTGTATACTATGATAGCCAATTAAAGAGTCATGTACACATTTGCTCGTTCTTTGTGAGGATTCGGGAAGCTGCTGCGCACTCCCATTTAAGCGTTCGACCCCCTCACTTTCCCCGAGATTCGTATGCTCAGGCCCGGGGTCTATTCAGTCACCGGTCAGACCTCTCATGAGCCCATAGCGAGGAAGACACGACGATCGCAAAGCTTCGAGTTTAGTCCGAGTGGCATCGAACATATACTATCAATGAACATAGTAGTAGAGCATATATACATATAGAGTCTTCTGTCGTAGTGTTCACTGTTTCACCATTCCACAGCAGTTGCGCGGCGAGTGTTGTAGTATAACCCGGACTGCACCTGTAACGCTGCCCGCATGGCAAGGACAACCCGTACCACTAGGCGATGGTCGGCATATGTGCCATGAGCTCACGGGGTAAGGTACCTTTCCAAGGACCCCAGCACCACAGCAGCATCATCTTCTTTGCGACGTCCTCGCGCGCGCAAGCTCGAGTGATGCCAATGTCGAAAACAGGAGGATCCAACCGAACGATCCTGAGGGCACGGTCCAGACTCCAGAGGCCAACCAAGCTAGTCAAGAAGCCCTAAGTTTAGGCCGACTCAAGTCCAATGTCATACGAGTCGCGTCGCCGTCGACCTCGAATGAGTCAAGGAACGTGCTAGTTTGATGGGCGTCCACCGGCGGATCGATCGTGGTTCAAATATAACTGAATCCATGGGTTAAAGGGCAATTGCTAATCCAGATTGGACGTACACCCATGCCTACAAGCACCATCAGTCTGGATCAGCTATGACTCATGAGGTCCAAAGATCGCGCACGTACATGATCTCGAGAGCGCACGTCGGGTCTCCTTGCCGGCGTCCTCAATCAAGGATCATATCTCCTTATGCCGCCTTGATCCCAAATACATTCTGTTAGGCCATCCTAATCACTGCGTCGTTGCATCTATACGATTTGGGAGCGCGCGATTCTTGGCAAGTATGCGGTCAAGTCCTTGACGTGGTCCCGCTCCCTCCGGCGGCTGACACCTTGGATTGTGTCCGGAGCTTTGTGAACACTGACAGAGGATGTGCGATACAAAACGATGCATCACATCGGAGGCTCCGGGGCGGTCAAGAATGCTGAGGCGGGAGTACGTAATCATTCTTGTCGAACACTTTACGCCACAACATCATGCCACCGCAAGTTGATCGCGCAGTTATTCCGCATCCACTGCGACTTCAGCAACACAGCGGAGGTTTCATAGCAAATACCTGCAAATACCTGTTGGATTTACGGCATAGGTCCGAGTGTGCATGACGGATCATTCTCGCACTATCCGACGACTTCATATTGCTGCACTGCTGCTGGCTATTCAGCGATCTACGATCTGCGCGCTCGTCGCTCGCCGTGTTTCTCTACATGTCTGGAAACATGGGCTCTGGCTTCAATACCCTGACAAGGAACGGAGAAGAGGGCGGTGGCAAACTACCTACCACTTGTGTCAGCGCCGAATCTGGTCTTGCGTGGTGATTATGCTATCTATCTCGTTTTGTCATGGTCCGGTCTATCAGCGCAGTAGGCCAAAAAAAAGCCGGACCAGCTTTCCCCAGTATGGCTTATGTCCTGAACTAGCGAATCTGGAGGGAGATACATAAACCGCATCTCCCGCACTCTCGCGCCGGTTCTATGTAAGGCATCTCGGTGGCGTTCTCTATCCGGTGTCGAGGTCTTTCAGCTTCGCTTCACAGCCGTTGCGATGAACAGTCGTTCGCTGACAACAGTCCTTGTAGCCATGTCCGCACCTCCGATAATGTCGGTCCACAACGTCAAAACCCGCCCACCGCTACATCGGGAGACGGGAAGAACCCATTCAATCCGCCGCGTTGATTGCAAATATACGGATGTGATCATCCAACGCGCCCCATCAATCGCGTATACTCAGGAGGTCGCTAGTCATGACGTTTTTGATACCACAGAAGCGCTGCTTCACGGTTAACCATGCCCGACACCCCTGACAAAATCCACGGTAGGTCCGGAACTGACCTTCATTTTCCGATATTCATGGGTATATATAGAGCGCGCCGGGGTGAGCCAGGTCCGACTGAAGGGATTTCCCCTCCAGACAACGCCGACACGCATCAAGATGACGCAGAAATACCGGTTCTGGTCCTTCACGTCGGTGGCGTACTTGGCTTCCTACCTCATCCCTCTAGCCTTGGGAGATCTCCGTGCTCGACTTTCAGCTGCGGGTGTCGACGCATTGTTCCCTGGCGACGCAGGTTTCCCACTCGCTGCAGCAGCGTTCAACGAGCGTTACGAGTATATACCTGCGGCCATAGCATTCCCGTCTACGACACAACAAGTATCGAAAGCGGTACTCGCAGGTCGCGCTGAGAATGTCTCGGGTTAGTCAATAACTTCTGGTTGATGTTCCTCGCCTCATTTGTCGCTTAGTCAACGCACGAGGTGGTGGCCACTCTTATGTGGCATACTCTCTGGGATCGGAAAACGGACATCTTATCATTGACCTACGCCGGTTCAATAACATCTCTGTTGATTCATCCACTGGTCACGCCGTTGTCGGCGCTGGTAACAGATTGGGTGATATTGCTCTTGGCCTCAACGACCATAAGCGAGCCATGAGTCATGGTACATGTGCCTACGTCGGCATAGGAGGTCATGCTCTTTTCGGAGGGTGAGCCACCCTTCACTGGCCGGATTTCCGCCGCCGATCTGACATCTTTCAGATATGGCTTCACGTCACGCCAATGGGGGTTGGCGCTTGACAATGTGCTTGAGCACGAGGTGGTCCTTGCTGACGGACGTATAGTCACTGCCTCGGCGTCATCCGAACCCGATCTTTACTGGGTAAGTGCATCAATCATCGCCTTTTATTGGGTCTCACGCTACAGCTTGCTCCCTGCAGGCACTCAGAGGCGCGGGAGCATCGTTCGGCATTGTGACTTCATACACGTTTAGGACTTTCCCCGCTCCACCGTCGACCACGGTCTTCACTTATGGATGGGATCTTACCAGTAGTGCAGCGGCCAAATCGTTTGAAGTGTGGCAAGACTACGCCGCAAGCGGCGGTATCCCGACTGACTTTGGGGCGGAGCTCACGCTGGGCAAGGGCAGCGTCAAAGGCAAGGTGTCAGTGCGGCTCGTTGGAGCGTACTACGCCTCGAATAGTACTTTCAGCCAGGTTATCCAACCGTTCTTGTCCCAAATGGTACAATCTTACCTCTCCTCCGTTGACCTATCCGTAACTCAATTATCTATATACAGCCGAAGAACCCGACCGTCTCTGTCGAGGTTGGGTCATACATTGCGTCGGTTCAGAACCTTGCAGGCAGCCAGCCGCTGTCGACGAAGGGGCAGAACCTGAGCGCGGAACACGACACGTTCTACGTCAAATCGTTGTCTACTCCTTCCAACTCACCTATGAGCGACAAGTCGCTCTCAGCATTCGCCGATTATCTCGCTAACGAAGGCTTCGATTCTGACACTGTAAGCCGCCCGATTTCTTGAGGGTATCAGGGATGCCGAAAAGTGCTCCGCTTTAGAACTGGTTCGTCGAGATCGAGCAGTGGGGAGGTAAAGACAGTGCTATCAATGCTGTTGCGCCAGATGCGACTGCATTCGCCCAGCGCAATCAGCTGTTCACCATCCAGGTTCGTGCTGCTCCTGCATCGCGTTTCGGATCAAGATTCCGACGTCCCATGCGCTGTTGTTAGTTCTACGCGTCTTCAGCCAACGGGCTTCCTCCGTATCCACAAGACGGCTTCGGGTTTCTTGACGGGATGGTCGCGTCGATCACCGACAACAACCCTCCGGGCTGGCTCTTTGGCGCATATCCCAACTACGATGACGATCGCCTTTCAGTGCAAGAGTGGCATAATCTTTACTACAAGAATCAGTGAGTCACATTCGTTCTTCGTTGTGCCTGCATTAAGTTCGCGTTCTTCGCAGTTATCAAAGACTGACTAAGATCAAGGAGACATACGACCCTATTAATGTCTTTGACTTTCAGCAAGCTATCACGCCAGCAAACTGATACAGTTCATGTTGACCAGTTCGGTTTGGACTGACATTCAGCTCGAGTACAGCATCAGTATTAATTAATCTACAACCGAAACGCGAGTCCCCATTCGTTGTTTCTCGGAACCTCGTGGACTTCGAAATTCTCATGCTATTCTATGATTCCCGTAGTTTATACAATACTACTGAATGACGGCACTTGTTCTGAGTTCATGTGCACGTGGTGAACACCATCCAGGTAGGTAGGTAGATTGCCGACGAAATGAACCTTCCCAATCTTGCAAGCGAACTACATAGATACCCCGCCGTCGTGATCAAATCCATCACTCACAACACCGCCCGACACGTCTCATATAGAACCCAGGCGGCGATTACAAGGAATATCAATGGGTAGCGTAACACGCCAGCGACGAGCAGTTCCCTGCTTGGCCCCCAGCCGCCGTTCCGCTACATCAACCTATTAGTACAGATGTTGGGGATGATCATTCGCCTTTCATTCATACTATGTGTCGTTGTACCACCAACGATTGTGGCTGCCCTGACAAACCGTACCATCGACGACCAAAATGGGGATCCGTCGACGGGGTTTAAACCGGTTTATGTCGACAAGACGAGCTCTGGCTCCACCGAAACCAACGGAATCTGGCACTTCGGGCCGGCTTATACTGGCGGATGGGTGCAACCACATCCTGATCAGCTCGTTCAAGGAACATGGCATGCTATCACCTTCGATCCTGGTGACTGGGATGTTCCACCATCTGTGAGTCTCACGTTTACAGGCACGGTACGTTCGGATTCTACTGTCGAGGCCAGTACATAGTCAACTTACGAGTAATAGGCTATATATATATTCTGTGTGGTCCCAAATACCGTGACTTCTGGATCCAACCTAGCTACAACACTCGCGAACATGACCTTCACCCTAGACAACCAGGCAGCAGGGTCCTATTTCCATTCACCGGATGCCACTACGGACATGATGTATAACGTCGCGGTATACGCGAATTCCTTACTTGACAACGCGGAGCATACAATAACAATGACGGCGCAGCCAGGCGTTGGTGGTTCCTATATCGCTTTCGACTACGCCATCTACAGGTTCGTCTCAATCAGTTGTTTGAACCATCCCATGATGACAATCTCGCAATCAGCGTGGAAGAATCCATTACGACGGTCGGTTCGACGACAGCGACCACACCCATGACAGAGCCTGCTGGCACGAGTTCAATCATATCCACATTCCCCAACACAGGAACAGGATCATCGTCCCCGAGTACATCCACACTGGTATCCAGCACGGCTGGCATCTCCAAGTCGTCCTCACTGGGTTCACTGCACCCCGCAAGCGCGTCGCCTACGTCGCATTCATCCGCAGGCGGCCCGGGCTTTTCTAGCACGACACCCGCCTTGCCTGGATCACCAGTGCAACCTTCGTCGCCCGCAAATTTGTCACATCCTTCGCATGCCAGTGGGATCGGCGCAATCGCAGGCGGCGTGGTCGGTGGCGTGGTCGTCCTAGTTGTACTTGTCATTCTTCTGTGGTGGTGCAAGCACCGTCGACATCGACCACATCGCGATGCTATGAGCATTCAAGCATACACATTGCCGACAAACGTGGCGTCGTCGACACTTCCATCGGAGAGGTTGATCTCACGTCCCAGGAGGTTCATCGAGAAACTCGGCATATCCTCCACATCATGTCAGCTGGAGAGTAGTCGAGTCAGCTCCCCGCTGACGCCTCCCGTCCGTCTCGACGGTATCCCCCCTTCCTTGTCCACAGATACGGCTCCAAGTCCGGACATGGAACTGCTACATCCGTTATCTCCAAGTGTAGACAACGAGATGGGTGCTTTGCGTGGTCAAGTTGACGCGTTGCAGCGAGAGCTCGAGGATCTTCGTACGATACACTCATACTCACCACCGCCGTCATACCATGCATGAAATGATTGACTCAGAAGCTCTGCGTTTGCTACGCAGACACCTCGTTCACCGCGAAGATCTTTCTCCGAGAATTCCTATCAGCCTCTTGGAGTATCGCCAAGGTCCTGTGTTATGCGTTTATATGACATACCTTCGTGCTCCGAGGCGGCACTCCTTTGCATGCCGCTCCCTTCTTCTTCTTGGTTATTCCGGGGTTGCGGCCCTATCTTCAACCAGGCGTACTTGTCTGTATACACACGGATGCCCTGTGTCGGACATGAGAGTTATTGTATATGCCCCGCCGGATAGCACCCCCCCTTCACCTGCATGCAATTTCATGGATGTCATTGTTCATTTTCCCCCGTATTCCTCGTGCTTACCCTATGCGTCGTACGTAGCGGTGTGTGCTCAGCGCTACTTTTGTCACGCTCGTCGCATCCCCGTAGTACATTACAATTGACGCAGGCAGCGCCTTTTATTGAGGCTTCTTCGCTTCGTGCTGATTGTGCTCGTGGCTTTGTGTTGGTGTGAGCGGTCTTGACCACAGCATATCCAAATACAAATATCGACAGGCCTGGCGAAATGGAACCGGACGCCAATATCGCGTCATCATCCAGGTAGGTAGGTAGGTAGGTAGGTAGGTATATTATCGGGCACGGTCCCTAAACAGGAACAGCCCTACACTCCGGTGTTTCGCGGTTTTTGTGGACCACGTAAGCCGACACACCGCTACGCACCGGGTGGAAAAGTATCTAATACATGTAGTACTCTATGTCGTACTATAACGTTTGGAGCTCGATCTCCGTAAGTCTTCCGAGATCAAGAAGATCGAGGACAGTCGCATCAATAGGGGCATGCGGCAAGCGGCGGAGTGAGAACAGCAGGTCTGTAAGCCATGTGCTATGACCGGCGAGAGAGAGGGCGAAGAGCAGTTGCAACGCAGATGATATGTAACGCTCAGGAGGGGCGCGGATGACGTGGTCGAGGTAGCGAAGAGCGAGCGTTAAGCGTCGATGGCGCAATGGCATCATGCCGGTCTCCGCAAAGAGCGGGGCAATAGGCGAGCGACTGGATAGGCCAAGGACACGTCGGAGATATTTGAGCTGTACGCATTCAAGGTCATTGATGAGATGCTCGTTGATATCCACAGCGATTTCACAGCCTCGCGTGAGATGAGGATCGATCTGGGCCATGTACAGCTTGGTGCCGACGTGGGGGGGAACGAGTTAGCGTCTACCACGCGCAAGTGAGTACGGAGCGCCCCGTGGTGCGAGGTAGATACAAGAGACCGCACTGAATCAAGGGAGGTAGCCAGCTTGCGCAGATGAACTTGCAGTTGGCATGCTGCAGGCACACCTGGCGGCGTCATGTGCCCGCCAGGGCAAGACCGGAAGACAGGCAACGGAGTCGATATGAACGCGATGCCGACGTGGCCTCATGGCACCAAGGGAGTTCGTTGACATGTGGTGTCTGCCGTGGGAGGCTACCAAATATCATACACACGGATTTTGTGGCATTTGCGATTTATCTCGAGCTCGTCCACGGTCCTCCAAGTCTCAGTCCGATGGATGATTGGCACTGCCACTCACCGACGCGTCTTACAGTCCAACCGTGTATATGTAGGCAACAGGTCACAACACGATAGAACCTGTTTTCCGACCGATGCATCAGCTTCGAGCGAGATGGAGTGCTCTGTGTCGACAATACGCACCGCCAGTTTCTATCTTTGCTGCATGGTAATGGATGCGTCATTCCCTTAAATATCGGTCCAAGCATGCCAACCACATAGTGATGTCGATTGTGTTGACTTGACTTTCCCGGTCCGCTGGCTAGTTCATCGTCTGTCTTGTTACTGACATAGTCTCAGTGCATACATTTGCGCGCGGCCGAGCTCGTAGAGTCGTTTCCGCTGCATGCTCAGTTATTTATACACTAGCCAGAACTATCTCTATCTAGGTATGTTGGGAATACCATTCCTGAATATCTATGGATATCAAACATCGTTCCAGCGTACGCCGTTATGACCATCGCGGGGTCGAATACCAACGAGTTTGCGTACGGCGAGTTGAGCGGCGCAGTCTATTTTACGAGTGGCACCGTCACTTCAATAACTGCCGTGACAATCTCAGATGGTGAGTGGATAACCGGTGCCTTCGTTTTCACCAAACTTATCGCCATGTAGCACCGTCCAGTATGGATTGGTTGAGCGAAGGGAATATCTCTGGCTCCAGCATAGGCGGGGCTCCAACAGCAACACCTGCCACTGTTGGGACCACCACACCCATCGTTGGTGCAACTTCGATGGCTACGTCTTCCATGACACACCCGTCCCCTGTGCATGTTGACGACAAAGGCCATGCGCCGCATTCAATACAAGCCGGCGCGATTGCGGGTGGGGTTATGGGCGGCTTTGTCATCGTCCTCACGCTGCTCGTTCTGATCCGAAGATACAGAAAGCGGAGGCTGCAACCGACACTTTCTGTACGGCACATGAGCCCAACCCGAGATGTGCACGATTCACCTCTCCCTGCCACCCCAGAGAGAGATAATAGACGCTTGGGGAGGCGGAGGGTTCCCGCTTCTCCTATACGTGACGACAGTCATCGGATTAGCCTTCATCAACGGGTAGAGCGAACTTCCAACGCACTATGCCCCTCGAGAATGCTCAGCAAGTTCGAAGCGCTAACGCGCGATCGCTTTCGATGTTGCAGAGGCCAGTTGCAAACCATGTCGGCGCGCAGGGCCAGGATCGCGTGTTGATCGAGGCGTTGCAGCAAGCGGTCGATTGGCATCTCTCCGCCGTGCGCGCTATCGCCGATCGGGAGGCGCCGCCGCCGCCGCCATATCAGGAGACCGCAACGCGGAGTTGAGGCCTTGTACGCGTTTCCTTCCATGTACTAAGGCGATGCGGTCAGGAGAGCATTGGCGCGATGATCGGGATGAGAACGAATTCGCCTGCATTGCAGATCCACACGTCGTACACATGTATGCACGGGAGCAGTTAAAGTTGTTAAATGTCCATTGTGTTCTTTAGCTCATATCCTGAGCGGGGAACTCAGGCCAAGAAACGGGTAATGAAGCGCCAGAGGTTGCGTGCGTTCGCAGGACTTACAACTGTTAGTATGCGAGCTCAGACTTATGCTTTTTACTGCTCGAGGACGTCTTTCATGGATCATGAGCTCGCACTCTGCCTGAAGCGGTGTGTCGTCTGCTATACAGCTCACTATGAGCCCCAGAATGGGTTGCTACCACCCACATGATGGGGGATATCAACCATTCACCCACGGTCTGGTCAATATGTGGTTGATTGAGGCCGTATGGGTGATTACCTTGGATCACCCACTTTGTGGTTTGCTGTATACAATCACCCACAGTTCCAGTGAACAGTAATGTCGACGAAGTCCATGGGTGATTTTCACCCACTGAACCAGTGGGTCGTGCCAATGCTTGCTGCACAGCAGCGGCAACCTGTGCACAGCTTCTTGTTTAACTAGTACTGTTGACTCCCGCCATCATCCATGGCCAAACGATGGGCTCACTCTCGCCATGGCCCAGCCGCTCTCTCACGATGACGCAGAAGCATAACGGCGACCTTCGCGAATATCAGTTACGTCTAGCACGAGTCGACGTATATATTGTCATGCAGAGGCAGAGTGGTCTGTCAGCTTCCTCGCCATGCTGCGTGCTCTCGGAACACTGACAGACTCACGGAGAGCCCAGGCGTGAAGGTGCGGCGAAACTCGTTGCATATATTCCAGGATTAGTCCACTCAAGTGCTCGTACCGCAGCAATGAGGGTGTCCTGAACATCGACGTGCCGCAGTTATGCGTGACGCTCACGCCGAGCACGCCTTGGGATTGGAACTACACCACGACGCCTCAGGTGCACCTCGAAAATCGCACCCTCCCATTCCCGCGAGGTATTGGTTTAGGTGGCACTAGCGCCGTTAGTGAGTCCCGTTGGTTATCTTGGCGCATACATGGACTTACGTGGCATACCAGATTGCTTGGTATACACGCGTGGAACAAAATCCGACATCGATACGTGGGCTGCCCTCAGCGGCGAGGAGAATTGGTCCTGGGATGGCGTCCTTCCTTATTTCAAGAAGGCGAGTTCGATTATCCATCATATCCCTCAATTCTGCCTTCACGCATTTCCCTCCTCTCTGCCTTCACGCATATATCACAGAACTGACACGTCCCACAGAGCGAAAAGTTCAACCTGCCGGTCGATGGGCATAACGTCTCGGGCCAGTTCTTGCCGGAGGTGCACGGTTTCGACGGCGTCATTGGCGTGAGCGTGCCTGGCGCGGCGCGTGCGACGGATGGGCGCGTAATTGCGGCTACCCAAGAGCTGGAGGAATCCCCGTTCCAAATCGACCTGAACTCTGGCGAGCATTTGGGCATTGGTGAGTGCATATAGTTCCGACCTGGGCCACGGCGCACATAACGATGTTGTAAGCCTGGACACAGGCGTTGATCGATCGGGGCGTCCGCTCCAGCTCTTGGCCTACCTGGCTGAGAACTATCTGGCACGCAAGAACCTCGATGTTCTCCTTCACGCGCATGTCCCGCGGGTGTGCCAGACGAAGGATGCGGAGGCACTCACCTTCAGGACGGTCGAGGTGGTGGTTGATGGTACGAGCCTCCGCATCTCTTTCGTAGCTGAATGCCGATTTCCCGAGAGGGTCGCGATCTAACCCCATATCTACGCGCAGAACGGTGTCTACCCGACGCAGGAGACAGGCCACTACTTCAATCTCCCCGTTGGCTGCGTCTCGCCGTCCTCACGCGGATCCGTGACGATCAACTCGTCCAACCCGTTCGCTCCGCCCCTCATCAACCCCAACCTCCTTGCGGACGAGCTCGACCTCTACATCGTCCGCCAGGGGCTTAAGGCCGGCATGCGCTACCTTGCCGCGCCCGCCTGGGACGGCTACTTTGTCCGGCCGTTGCAGAACCTGACAACGGACGAGCAGTTCGACGCGTACATACACGAGCACGCGGTCAGCTTCTTCCACCCAGTCGCGACGGCCGCGATGAGCCCCAAGGACGCGGCGCGAGTTGGCTAGAGCTGCTGGCGATGACGAGGAACGCGAGAATACTTCACCGACCAATCACGAACTATCGCGCCTGCGTCCTTCCTTGTCTGCTACAGCTGCAGCTCCACAACGCCCGAAGGCGTGTCCAACTTCGTCAAAGCGTCAGAAGACACAGTCCACGGTTGCCTTACAGTCCGAGAATACTGAAGAGCCATCCGGGGCTGCCCTGTGGCGCAAGCGAACGGCACCGGCGACGACCAGAGCCAGGCGGTAGGCAACACGGGACATTCAACTTGATGTTCAAGCTTTGGTGGATAGTACTCAATGTAGCACCCAGCGTGTAGCCTCTGTGCCCTTAATCCAGACTTCCTGGTAGCATCTTGGCTACGCAATGTGCCCGTGTGCGTGTAAGGATGAGTGCGCTGGCAAACAGTGATGGCGAGCGCTCGGGCGCAATCGATTCCCAATTTGGAACAGCCGTGCGACTGGCGGGGTCAATGTACACTGCTAGGATGCAGGCTGTATACATAACCAACGAAATGGGTGATACGAGTGGGTGAGAGTCCGTGAACTGCGTGTGGTTTAAATCGGACATGTACTGGGCGAAAATCATCCATCTGACTTCACCCACACCCTGGGATGTGTCCCCCAGGATGTGGGTGAATCCAATCCATCCTGATGGTCGGTAGACCCCATCTTATGGGTAAACCCGTGGTTGAATATCACCCACACCGAGTAGCACAGTGGCTCACGGGGACCGTGGATGCACTGTGTGCACGTATTGGCGTGCGGTGCGGCAACCGGTTGTTCCGCTATTGGGACCCGGAAATATACCTACCTACCAGTTGGGCTCCCACGCAGAGAGCGCACGCGGCGGCGAGGTAGGATCTGCGCGTGTGAATAGGGCTGAATAGGGGCACCCCTCAGCTCGCGTCCCGATCTCGTCTCCATCCTGCTTGTATTCATCGTCAATTGTACACACCACCCGTTCCAAGTCACCTTGTCTGGGCTTCGAGAGCCTTGGGATTTGAAGCTTAAGGCAACAGGCCGTCGGTGATGGAGGGATCGATTTTCACAGCCCTGGGCGCGATCGACCATACTGCCATTCCGTTGGGATCTATGCGGACAACATGCCGTAGCGCAGCATAGTACTCGTTTCGCCATAACGACAATCCGGCGACCAGTCAACACTCTATCCTTGGATTATTCTGGGTCGCGGGCGCTGTGGCGAGATCGGTACTAGAGTGTCGCAGCTTACCTCTGTCTGTGGTCCACTCCTTTCTTCCTCGCCGAACTCACTCCCACTTCACTCGCAAGCAGGTCTGGAGCCACTGTGTGCGCCCTGACTGTGACATCGTCCGACGTTATCTAGGTATGCCACATGTACTCCGAATCTCCCCACTCTTTCATCTGATCCGCCTTGTACTAGATTGCCGGCTCGTCCTCCATTCCAAATCACCGTCTAGAGAACGCTCTAGGATTTCCGCTCTGTTTGACGACATCTCGAGAAGGCTGTTGTTCCTCGATCGTTCAAGGCGTCCTCGCACAGCTATCCATCCCTGGCGGAACCTTCAAACTCATGACAACGATAGGACTAGTGCTACGCCAGGTCGCCAACGATAGGAGGGACAACGACGCACTTACGACAACGATTACTTCAGACATTGATGCAATCACGACAGTGACGATCAGCGGCAGCGAAGCGATCACGACTCTGACGGTATTCAGTGCAGACGGCGAACCGGTTACCGCAGAGCTGACCCTGTCAGTGGGTGATACCGCGCTACCAAACCCGAGTGCATACACTGGCACATCTCTTACCACACCTTTGACAAGCTCGGTTCCATCTGCTACCAATGCCGCCGGGAGTGCGAGTCGGCACGCACTGCCGTTGAAGCCAGCCGTGCCCATTGTATGTGGTGTCATAGGAGCCTTAATCATTGTCCTCGTGATCGCACTCCTTGCTTTACGGAGGAGCATACACCGCCTTGAGCGGAATCTGTCCGCTATAGTACACGGCTGCGCAACAGCACTCCCGCCAACGGAGATCAGCGCGTCAGAATGGGACTCCCCCCCTCATGAAGGGAATATTTACGACATACCGACTCAGTCCCTTTCCCCCAGATCCACTCCTACGCAAAACCCTCAAGCTCCTGATGACCTAAGACTTGCCGTCAAGTCAGCGCCCAAGGAGTCGCAGACCGAAAATCCGGAGCAAGCCGTCATCTACAGCCCTATCGCCGTTGCAGATCCATTTTCGACGTCGCGTCAGCTCATCGTGAATGGAACGCAGGATTTGGAAGGCACCCCGCTCGGGGTGCTGGCGCGGGAGGTCGAGCTTGTTTCTGCTGCGCGTACTACAGAGGAAGAGGATCAATGGCCGCCGCCGTCCTATCTGGAGGCTGTGGGCTGGAGTGCTGCCCCTAATCCCTTGTGAAGGTCTCTAATATAAACGGCACCGATCGCCCGATGCAATTCTCGTGGCATAGTCCATAAGCGTGAAGCCTCAAACTCGGGATTCCGCAAACGAAGCCATCAGTGCCACGTCTGTCGTTTCTCTTGTGTGTGTAGCTCTGAATTCTGTTTTCTCGATGCCGATCTGGGTTAATTGACAGTCGACAATCTATTTACTTGCAGCTGGGTAACGTTTCTGCCACCTCTGATATTTGCTGTGCAACCACAGGGGGTAAGTTGAGGCTGAGGGTGAGCATGCATCCCACTGATATATTATCACGATCTGAATATATATATAGATGAGACATTGCAGTACGATATATAGATTGCTTTACGATCAGAACATCAACTTCGAACCAGATAGCTTGCTCTGGGCCAGCGATACGCACTGCCTATATCTATCTTCGCTGCAGGGTGATGTTCGCAAGTTGATCATCGTGGTCCTCAAATGTCGATCCAGGCCAAAGTAAACTGGTCGATCGTGTCTCAGTATCTGCCCCCTCTCTGGCTGGTCCATCTCCTGTCCGTCGCTGAACATCTGCTCATTATACATACATTACGCTCGGCTGGGCTCGCCAAGACTTGACTGCCTCAGGTATATCCTCCTACCTTCGTCCACCACTTCCATCAATCGATGCTCAACGTTGTTTTAGACCTTTGCTATGAATACTCCAGCCCCGCAGGCCGGAGAAGCTATCGCCACCTCGGTCACCACTGTCACTTCCCTAACAACAGACGCTCGAGTCGAACTCACCACCGACACGGTCGCTTTCACTATTTTCTCCACATTCCCGTCCCCCGCGGTAACCACTTCTCGCTTCACCGAAGGACGGCATGCAGAACTCACAACTTCGCTCGGGAAGGAGTCCGTGTCTACCGAAATCCCAGCGTCTACAGCCGCTAAGGCTTCAATGACCACCACATCTACCACAACCGCCTCACTCGTCCTCGTTGCGACGTCTGCCGAGACTTCCTCAACCATCTCTACTATGGTATCTCCCGGGACTGCCTCAGTCATCCCCACTGCGATTTCAACGATTACGTCGTCCGCTTCCACCGTCCCGGGCCCATCCTCTGTTCATACTATCGATGGCAATCGTGAAGGGCAGCAAATGATAGACGCAGGCATAATCGCAGGCGGGGTTGCGGGAGGCTTCATTATCTTTCTCTCGTTGGTCATAGCATTCCGCAGGTACAGGAAGCGAAGGATGTCGCAGACACTGTCCAGAAGGCGCAGCGGACCGCCTGGGGACGACCGCCCTCATCCGTTACCACTCCCCGCCACGGCCTGGAGCGCTCCGGAGAGAGCGCGCAGATGCTCTCGCAAACGGTCCCTGTTCACCGCCCCCATTTGCGCGCTCAGTCGCAGGCTGAGTGCCGCCCGAAACGCTCCCAGTGGCGCTCAGCGAGCCGAACGTCCTCCCGACAAAGCGTCCCTCGCACCCCCGGAAAATGCGCCGCGTACCAGTATACGAAGCGCTGTCTCAATGCTACTCTCGTTGTTCCAGCGGTCGAGCGAAGATCGTGACAGCGCGCGGGACCTGGATCCGGCTCTGATCGAGGCGCTGCAGCGCACGGTCGAGCGTTACCATGCGTCACGCACTTCGGCGGAAGAGGACGACGAGCAGCCTCCTCCATCCTATATAGAGGCCGTCAGTCGGCGCGTCTCTTCGCAGTTTTCCTCGTGAAGGTATCGTTCTACATATGGTCTATCCCATCAGCTGTTGGGCGTAATGCTATCCATCATCCCCCGAATCAAAAGTGAGAGCAAATTCGACTGCATTGCAGATCCACATCGTACACATGTATGCACAAGCTTGACATCATCTAGATACCCATAGCAAGTATCCTCCACCTCATATCTCCGACTAGAACTCAGGCGAAGACGTCGAGCGGCAGGCGGTTGACGAATCGCCGGAAGTTGCCGCTGTTCCCGCCCTTCTTCGCGCTGTTCTGCTTGTCGTTGCCGCCGGTCGAGGAGCCGGAGCCGGTGGAAACGGCAGTGGCGTCCGCGATGGCGGCGCCGTCGGTGTTGGTTGCATCGGCGGTGACGGCGACGTCGCCCGTGCCGGTTGCGTCAGCGGTGACGACCACGGCCGTGGCCGTAGCGTCTCCGGCGGCGGCTGCGTCGGTAGCGGTCGCGTCGGCGTCGGCGTCGGTAGCTGTGTCGAGCGCAGCTGTGTCGAGCGCCGCGGTGTCGGTGACGTCCGTGGCGGCAGCGGTGTCCGTCGACGTCGAGTTGCTTAGCGCGGCGGCATCCGTGGCCGAGCTCGCGTCGGCGGTGACGGTGACGGTCACCGTTACCGTGCTGGCGGTGCCTGCGCCGGTGAGGTCCGTCTAAGCAGGAGAGGGGAGCGTCAGTTAAGAGTCAATTTGGCAGAGGTGGAAAAAAACAACGCACGGAGTTGGAGGAGCTGGCAAGGCTGGTGACGTCCGAAGCCGCGGCGGTGTCGGTCGAGCTCGCGTCGGTGGCGGTAGCAAGCGCCGCGGCTGCGGTGTCCGTCGCGTTTGCGAGCGCAGCGGTGTCAGTGGCAAGCGCCGCCGCCGCGGTGTCCGTCGCGTTTGCGAGCGCGGCGGTGTCAGTGGCAAGCGCCGTGCTGTTGCCAGCAGCCGCGTTGTCGGCAGCGTTGCCCTTGTGCTTGTGGTGCCTCTGTGCACGGGGTCAGTCATGAGATATACAGGCGAAGAAGGTGTGAACGTACGACGTCGAGAGGGGCGGCGACCGCGGTGCCTGCGAAGGCAGCGAGCACGGAGAGGGTGATGACGCGAGGGAAGTACATATTGTGTTATGTAACGAGCGATGGAAGGCTTGGATAAAAAGGTGCTCTGCACGGGTGGATCGCAGGGGACAAAGATGCAGTCGAATAAGCTAGTTTCTCGAGCTCGGCTCTGGAGAAGTACGCTGGACGATCACAGATCGAAAAGTGACTAGAGACGAGGCTGGAGAGGAGGAGAGGAAGTAGGGGGATGACAAAGCCGGCTGAGCGGATTGTTGAGAAACCATCCGGAGCGCAGAGGGGCCAGTCTTATATACTGTTTGTCGACCATCCCCCATATCACGGTCGCCGAGTACAGATTGGCAAGTGAAGCGCCCCTCGTCGGGAGCCTGCGCGGCGTGCGGTGCAGGAGTGTTCTATATCAAGGCCAGCGCTCCACACTTTCCCGGCGCAGCGCTCCTGGCGAGGCGAGGGCGAACAAGGAGGGCACGGTCCCTAAAGATGCGCGAAGCCTCGCGAACGCGGCGAAGCTGGTGTGCGGGGTAGACACCGCGATGGGGGTGGTGACGCCATTCGGCCCCGTGCGGTTGCCATGGCCATCGTCCGGATATGGAAGGTGTTCAAGATCGTCGGCTTTGGCCCCGCGCCTCCTACCAGAGACGTCCCTTTGTTGCCTGCCACGATGTTTGACCCATGTTCGTTGCTAGACGAATTTCCCTCGGTCTGGCTAGCTTGCAGTACAGGACCGTGTATGCGCCACCGGCCAACTCCAAGCACGAGTAAAGCGCTCTTCAGCGGAGGGTCACAACTTGTCCCCAACTCCCGCCGATCCTATGCTAGCCAACTCAGGAAGGGCCGAGAGCGCCCATAACGAGCGCCAAGGTTAATCGAATGTGGTCGCAACTTCTGACGATCCCGACATGGGCCTAGTCACTTGTTCATCGTCCGCCCTGCTGACGTGCTACTGCTAGTCCCGTAAGCAACGCTCTATCGGCTCCGAAATTCTCTGGAAGAAGCAGAAGTCCGTGAAAGACTGGCCATCGTCGCGAGGAGTCGCACGTACGTACTTATTTTGGCGATCGCAAAGCTTCCCCAAC